TTGGGAGGTGGATTAAATTTTCGCCCCGAAAATTTCTCACATTCTCAATTTCTGAAGGATAAAATGCTGTAGTCAGTGTGGTCAAATGCAATCGAATATGTCCCATCAGGGTGATTGCACAATTCACCCGAAATGCTGTTGAACTTCGGGCTTCAAGTTCAATTTTTGGTGAAATGTGCTGTTCATTTCGTTATATGTATTTAATGTGTTTATGGAAATTTTGGCTGTTTCATTGCCAATTCGTATGGCACGAAATAAGATAAAACTGAAAATTCGTTCCATTTTCGTGCCACTGTCACTCGATAGAGATTAGATCCAAAGAAGTCAAAGTGAAGTAGATATAATTAAATGTGGTTTGAATTTGTGAGATATTTGAAAAAAAGTAATTAATTAATTCAAATTGCCGTCTTCGAAGGCTTTCGGCCGAAGAGATTACCTTGATTGTGTCTCTCCACGGGCAGATAAAGTCAAAATTTCCCAACTTTATTCCAAAAATTATTCAAATTTCCAAGTCATTTGGTATGACACTGAATTTTAGTGAGAATTGCATCATGTGAAACTTGAAAATTTCAATCTAAAGCCGTTGACCATCTCAATCTCACTTTGATTGTCGCTGCTGAAGAGTATTTACCACACCTTGATAAATCATTTTCAGCGTATGGCATTGATTTATAGTCACGTTATGCGAAAATTTACAGCATTCAACATAGTACTTCTATTGATTTAGATCCAATTACATTGCCCAAATTCCCGAGACACTATATTTTCTGGCCAAGTCGAGGTTCTTCAGACATCATGTCATTCACCCCGTCAAAGTTACCAACTTTTACTTGTCATTTTTCATCTTGCAATTTTGGGGATATACGCCGACTTTTTTGGATGTTCTCAAGATCACCTCAAAAATAATGGGATTCATTAAAAAGTCAAGAATAAATAAAAATTTCTCATATAGGAATTCTACATACATATATCTTGATAGGTGTATCTCGATAAAGGTGGGTACAAGATGGAAGTACAATAATGATCGATTTAGGCAAAAAAGAGAGGTGTAGGTACTGTGAGAGGCAATGGACAAAAAATCCGCAATTATTAAAACGCCTGTTCGAGACAAGGTTGTACGAAAAAGTTCACGTGTGTTACACCATTAACAATTTTTTACAAATCAAAAGTCAATGGACAATAAATTATTAGAAAAATCGCACAGGAATCCCATCACATATACGCACACAGAGTGTTGAGTAATTCTATTAAAATCATATTTTGGGTATGTATGATTTTTTTATTGAAAATTTCCGAAATCTTTCATCATCTCGAGTGCATAGCACATGAAACATACATATCTTACGCACTCACGTTAATTTCATGAGGATAGAAGGAACCTCATTAAGAAAAATGTAAGTGAATGGATGATCTTCGACTACAATACAGCTTTATTGAGACCATTTCTCGGTTCTTTTACAATCTTCAACGTCACTTGAAGACAAGACTAGTTTTCAATACATACAGTAATTTCTGATGGAAAATGTAAACAAATAGGTACTTCACATCATAACGCTATGAGCGATAATTTACAATAGACTAAAATATTTGATTGTTGCTAATGTTTTGCCATTCTATTGAAACATGGGCACTTAGCAAGTTTCTATCCTTGTTTCTACAACTTCAATTAAATTTATTATAAATTAATTAATAACATATAAATAATAAATCGCGTGCACTTATCTCAAAGACGATCTCACAGACTAACAAGAAATTGGCGTACGCCTTCGATTTCTAAGTACTTCCATAAAGAATTTGCACCTTCACGCATAATGGTAAAAAGAACTGTCGTTTTGCTTCACTTAAATGCAGCTTGATTGACAGGTTGGACATAGTATACCTACAATTGAAGAGCTTTACAACTTGTAGTTCACGCACATGAGTGCCGAATGCATGAATTAATTTGCAATAATTCACATTTTATGTCTTTCGCAAGAATCGTACAATTAGAAAAAGACCTCCAATCAGTTGAATATTTTTTCTACGCATCGACATTGAAAGACGGAACTTGGGTGGTAGAATAAGAAATTAGGAGAAGTTTAGCATCGATAGCATCGCCCTTCATATTCTATTTTTTATAAAGGTTATGCAGAGATCGGGCCATTATCATACTTGATGGATGGTCATACGTTAATGTTAGTGATGAAATTGTGTCGTGATGATGGAATCAGGCGGAAATTTCATTTCACACTGGTCAAAATTTAAAAATATCACCCATTTTGCATATGTTACGGCGATATTCGGGTCCAGTGAAATCAATTAATTGCCATTAAGACTGGCCGGTTCAATGACAATGAGGAAAGCACACTGTGATGACCGAAAAGACGCAGAAGAGATCTCCACTTTTCGGTGCTACATCTTTAGTGTTGATGAGCTTTGGAGTATTTGCACTGAAAAATCTATTAATTTCATCCACTATGGGCGACTCTTTTCGCATCTTAGAGTGTTGAGCAGCGATGGCACAATACACCACATATTTATGGGACACGACCTTCACTACGCATTGCTGATGGCGTATGTTGCAAGTATTTTCAGTGCTTCTATCTTTTGTAGTGTACTCAAGTTAGTATGAAGCACCAAAGCACAGTAATTCGCGTACTTGCACGAGTGCAACGATAGGAAAGACTGCCAATTAAGGGGTTCCAATCACTCAATATCTCCGATACAAGAGACGACTTTAATTTCACACGACAAATCCTAGCCAATCATCTGGATAATTGTCAATTTTCCATCCATTCAGTATTGCTTATTAGAACGTCATAATTAAATGCATAATTTACCTACGAAAAGTTCATTATGCATGACATTTTGACGGCTTCCTTACCACTATGCTAATTGTTCACATGAATCGTCATAACGAAGGTGTTAATTTGATCCCATAAAAAAAGTTGTGTTCTCAAGAAAAATGCAATAATGTAAAACTTGGTTGCACCTAAAATCCGAACATTCTTTGCTGGGTTAGAAATATATATATATATTTTTTAATTTTCTGTCGTACTATCACGCAATAAACTTTGAGTTAATTGCACGAGGTTTATTATTTTTTGAATGGGCACTGCTCTCACATTATAAAGTGTAAACTATTAAAATGCTAATAATTTTTACGTCTCAAGGCGACAAACGAGATGAATCCCATCGATATCATAGTGTAATACACCTTTTTTCCGCACTTCTCGCCGAATCTGGTTTTTCTGCCGGTGACGAAGCTTAAGTGTAGTCTTTGGTCTCATCATTCATCATTTCAAAATAATGATCTACGAAATTTTGTTGTTTTATTGTTCAATCGCGCAACGAAGAAAATTATTTGGCAGACAGAGTAAAAATTTTATATCATATGTTAATTGATATGTGAATTTTTGCTTAATCAAAAAAAAAATTTCTGAAAATATTACCTCAAGTCTCACCCTAAAGTATTTCGACAGTGTGATTATACAAATTATTAGCAAAATTTGTATAATAATTTGACACAAATTATTGAAAATTTTATTATTCCGACAAGCGTTAGGCGACTTGCAGTTAGCTTTGATGCCATTTAAAAAATTTTCCCTTTACCAACACGTGTATAATTACTAATACGTGAGTTTTGGCTGACGCAGATAAAACAAGTATTCTAGCTCTTGTTGTTTTTGGCAAAAGAACTTTGGAATGAAGTGTCGGAAAAAAGCAGACGTGCAGATCTTTTTTTACGCAAACTCTTTGAAAGCCATTATTTGACGTGATTTTATATGACGTCTCTAACAAAAAAGCCAGTGATTTTATCGTATCATGAAATTGCCTTTCTCACTATGGGAAAAGCCAAATGTCTAGAGTGGTTGGTTTTTTCCACATCACATTACCACTCGATGTACGCAATTTGTGATCATCGCGAAGAATAAAGGATCCTAATGGAAATTACTGGTAGATTGAGATTGATTGGAAATTCTCAGAGTGTTTTTGCTGCTGCACAAATTAATCGAAATGTTCAATTGTCGCCGAACTAATATTAATGGGTCAACATTCACTGATCATGCAAATGATCTCCTAGCAGAAATTACAATTGAAAAACTAGTTGATTGGATATTTATTGATCGTACATGCGCTTGAGGAGCAGCATGGCAAAAAGTGTGAAGATTGCGCAATTGCGAATTGGATCAAATCTCGTGAATTGCGCATGTGCAATCACGCCTAGATGGACAAAGTCTTCTGCCAATAGCTTAAGGTCATCTTAAGTACACACAGTGTCTCAGAGCTACAACTCAAATCATCCAAAAAATGGTGTTAAGTTCATCATGGGGCTGTGTACCTTTACGTAATGTGAGCATTAACCTCTTTCACTTCGCCGTTTGCTGCGGTATTATAATGTTGATCGACTGATGGTGGGCCTCTTTTTCAACTATTTTCACAATACGCAGTCTATTGATCTTTTTGGGACTCTGCTGGCGATGCGATGGCGAAAGTTTAACTTGCAACTTGGCATTGAAATTGTCGTTGAAATTGCGCAGTCCTTTTGGTCACCGTGTTGTTGATATATGGAGTGACTTTTGGGGTTCCCAGGGTGAATTTGCTCATGAATGAAGCATTGAGGCGCACGATGGGCGATGAAAACTTGCAATAAATTGCCAGTGGCAGCAAAATTCGCAAAAGAGCTGGCGCATTCTCATGTGGTTTTGCAAACGCACCTTGCAATATCACTGTAAATGGTCTGCTCTTGAAATTAGCAATTGTAATAGGGAAAATTTTCATGCCATTGACGAGAGTGTTGAAAATTGGTGCGCCACCCTCGGCCGGCCCATTCGCCACTTTGTATCGATTCGGCCGGAGCGGAGAGACAATGTGCGACGTCGCACCCCACCAGTGAGTACCTCGAAAGCTCTTCGGGCGGAAGCTTCGAGCTTTCGTCTCACCGACTGCACATTCTCCAATCTAATACCTCCCAACCGTACGCTTTGGATATACACGCCGGCCAGACGCACTCGTTCACTCAGTTCCTCGCGAGATTCGGGAAAAATCAGACGTGATTTCGTAGATAAACTCAACCACGCCTCACCTCTTCTTTTTTTCTTTATTCGTTTATGGATCTGCTACCATTTGGCCACATTCGAGCAAAGGCACTCAGTTGAAGAGCAAGAAAGAGTTGATTGATGTGGCGGAGATTTCGGGAAAAGGCATCGCGAAGAGAAAAGGCCTTATATCACAGCAATTCATCTACTAGAAATCAATTTGGACGGGCTGTTCCATCAGTTTGGGATTATAAATGAATCTGTGAAGTTATTCGACACACCATAGAGGAGAAAAGCTCGCAAATTAGTGTGGAAAGTGAAGAACAATTTACCATTTTTTGCTTATATAATTGTGATAAGTTTAGAGAAAAAAGGGGGGAAAAGAGCAAGTCACACGAAGAAATTGGAATAGTCATCCGACAATCATTCAGTGAGTATTAGTTCACCCTTCACAGGTTATGTTAGAGGAATCTCCACTATGATTGCAATGTGCATTGGAGAGAAAATTCTCACATTTCCCCTTATCGATTGGTTGATTGTCGGAGAATTGTCTCGTTCGCCCACAATTTCCCACGCTAATCCAAAATAATTCCTCACATTCTATGAGTAATAAAATTGTATTAATACAATTGAAATCGTATTGAAGTGATATTAACCATGGCAAAAAGTTAATTGTTTATAGAAATAGAATGAATATATGTACATATTTTGAATACAGAAAAAAACATTTGTAATTTTGTGATTTTATGATATGAGTAATAAAATTTTAGAGACTTGTATTAGAAGGAAGAAATACTCAAAAGACCTTTTTGCCATTTTCAATGATTCAGTAAAAAATTATTTCTGGTTATAATTACCTTGCGAAAAACAAAAATATCGAGTCTAAAACTCCCCGGAGATTTGATCTTAAGCTAATCGAGATATCTAAAGTGGTAAACATAACTATATCGTTTCACCATCGAATCAATCCATCATAAAGATTTGCCGAACCTGTTTGGCATGTCAGTCGCGTAGGAATGTTACTGAGTGTTTTGCTTCATGTCTTAGGAAACAAACAAGTGTATTCTCAAATAAGATCATTTGGATTGGCAAGAAGCAGCTCTTCGTTTTTGCCAAAATGATCTTGAATGTTTGGGTGTCCGCCACAGTAAAAAAAATTGCGCATTTCAACTTGAAAATATTATGATATTAAATTTAATTTGACCACCGAGAACCTTGGTCATTCCTTCCAAGTTGAATATTTTTTTACCAGAATTATTCCTAAGTGGTGACGAATCCTGAACGACAGCGTGCCTCAATATGAAGCTGTAAATTTTTATAAACGTAGTTTTAAGCCGCTGATCTTGAATTTGTTGTTGTATTCTTTTTACGGTTTATTCGGTTTGTTCACTATCTCGTATCTTGTGTTCAGTGTGTGCAATATAGTAATTCAAATTGGAAATCCCATAAATTCTTCTCTCTAACTCGCATTAGAATTATCATCTCATCTGTCTTCTGACTCGGTCGTTACGCGTGCAATTTGAATTTCATGAAATTCACATCGCGAAAAATCATCTGTTGATCTTTTCCAAATGCCCAACCCACGCCAACATGAGGATCATATTTTGAAAATATTCACACATTTTTCCGGTGCCTCACACGAATTTAATGTGACTCTCAATGTCGCGACATTGATGAAGAGTCAATGGGAGTGCTTTTTCCTACAACTTATTATCTCATAATATTTTTGATTATAAATTCGCTGTCAGCCTAGTTCATGGGTTTTCACGTGTCTTCTTCGTCTGCTGCACAAGATATACATAAATATTTGTGTTGACTCGGAAAATAAATCTTCTTTCGCAATGTTACCATTGTCGTGTTGCTTTTGTAATCGTCACTGAAAAAAAGAAGTTATTATGTAGATTACTCTTTCAACCATATTCATAATAAATATTGTGTATTTTTCATTTAAATACATCTCAAGTGTGAATGGGAAGTTTCACTGGGATAATTAAAATAATTTACTATAAAATTGTCTTATCTAATAACATCTTGGCACTGCAGCATTAACAATTTTCACTATTTTTGTCAATGACGCAATACAAAATCCCCAGGTAAATGCACACAAATTGCCAAAATAACACGATATGTATCTCAAAATTTTTGAGACTTGTAGCTCTTTTAAATCTAAATTAATTATACGCGTATTCAAGGTCTTCGACAGCTTTGTCGGGATTTGAACAACATCAACAAAAAATCATAGTAAAATATGTACTCATGATTAAGTAAAGAATTCAATCACTAAATATTGAGACTCCTAATGTGAAATATTGACATAACTTTCTATGTTAAACATTCGATGTGAACCTGGATTCTTAGGCGACACTAAAATTCCTAAGTTATTCCATAAATGGTGTGAATTATAAATGAAGTGATAAATAGTATTTATTTGCCGTTAAAATACACTACTGTCAATAGAAAAAAAATCATCTAAATAGGAATAATTTATTTTTGGCACTTTTCTGCCATTCAGCACGCGCTCAATCATACAAATTGTATGTTTAACTCTTATGAATAGTAATTTGAATTGAAAATACGATTGTCATTTCAATATTCAAACATTTATTTAGAACTCAATTGAAATGAACTTCTTGTCATTGGTAAATTTACTTCTGGAACTAGAAGCAGCAAAAAGCAGCAGTTGTAAAACAATTTTGTCAATTAGCGAAGCAAAAAAAGGAAGACGAGCTATTATTAATAATTCAAATGTCTATTAGAATTAATCGAGTCTTCTAAGTAAATTACAGCCAAACAGTTTATGGACGATGAATTCGGAATAACATTCTCTAATAATTTAACACCTTAATCCAAATGTGGATCACTGTTTATTGCAATGACACAAAGTGAAATGGAAATGAATGTTTTCGACCTTGCAGCTTAATATGTATATGCTTCTAATCAGTCACTTCCACAAGAAACTTATTATAAATTAAAATTTATAAAAGACCCCTCTTTCGCAATGGTCCCAATGTGACTCAGAAGGCAGACTTTAAATATAAATTAAATAATGTTTTTTTTTTGACAACGACGGAAACCATGAATTAATCCACAGTATTGAGTTCGAGGAAGGTTTTGTGTCTATTGTTGAGAGGTATCTAATAAATAATTTCTTGTTATTTCTCCTTGTTTGTTTTTATATCGTTAACATTTTCTGAATTACGTAATTCAATTAATTTCCATGTAATAATTGCAGAAAAGCAAATTTCGGATAATTCTTTCTACATATTTAGACAGAACTGTGTTTTCCCAAGAGAATCAAGAGTCTCTTCCCAGTGAAGTGTGTGAAGAGATTTTGAAACTTACCAAACAACACCGAAAAACTATATATAAACTTCTCTTCAATTTGATTAATCACAAAAAATCATTTACCATATTATTGAAGTTCAACATAAAGTTGATGTTGCTTCATTAGATGTAACCTTGACTTAATAGTTAATACAATAAAATGCGATGAGCACACAGCAAATTGACTACTTCTTGCACATGGAAGGTGTATGTATGCAAAGAATGTGGTAATCCGCCAGAAGATGTACTTTGAGCGTCGAGATTATGCAAGTCCACGTTGAGTGGATGTTTATATACAAAATCACCCATAGATCCGTGAATTCGCAAATATTAGCAGAAAATTTCATAAATAAATGCCACTGGCCATTAAAACTGCTCATCTCATTCATGATGAGTCTCTTAGATACTTCTCAGCTACATATAAAATTAGCACTTGGTGCATGTTCATTGCAAAAGTTAAGACAGATGTTAGGAAATGTGTGAATTTGCTAAAGACAAGAGATTGTATACTGCGAATTTTAGACAGTTTGTTACACTATCAACGCAATCTAAAAGAACTTCGAAAAAAGGCAGAATCAAATATCTGCACTAGACTTTATACGTTCGTTTCGCTTCACTTAAGTCACAAGAACAATTCTTCTGCAATTCCAATACAATTACCTACCTGCTAAAGAGTGCCAGTAAACTCCAGTGTTTGTGATTCCACAACAGCGTCTGTGGAAACAATAAACAAAACATTGCACCCTGTACATTGTACTTGAAGAATAAGTTGTGAACTAATTAATTGGCAAATGTGTAACAATAACCTTCTCATATGTCGAACGTAACACATATTGAAATCAATTCTTCAAATTGAAGGGTTCCCCATTGCCAGACAATGTCTCAAGTCTCGGCAAAACACCCACAATTCTTGCAAAATGTAAGAATTTTAAACATCGCATTTAGACTTGTGCAACGCCATATTTTCCAATTCAAGTGCAACATATTGACGTGTTCGGAGCACGCGTTCTCCCGTGTAAAACCTAATTGTAGATTACAAATCAATATTATGGTACAACTTAATAGATGATTAATGACGCAATATAATTTGTATCCTTTCAATGGGCAATTTATCAACAATTTGTGTGTGTTGCGGAGAGACAAATTTCCATTAGATACTTTTGAATAACTTGTTTGACATTTTGTGAGCAAAGCAGCACGGTAAAAAATGATTGATTGAAGTTTTATAGATATTCGAAATATTCAACATAGAATCATAATAAAAACAAATCATTAATTGATCTGTTTCAAAGGGTTTTTATACAATAATTTAAAAAAAAAAACTGAGCCTCACATAAACTGCTTTGCATAAAACAATAGCATTTCAGTTCTAACCTGACTTCTAATATCTTTGCAATTTACATAAGATATTACATGAGATAAGAAATTCATAATATTTTTTACATATAGAAATGTAAATAGGGTTGGTGAACTTGACCATATTGATGAAACTTTACGAACAAAACATAATGTCAGGGAGAGGAATTACTCCGTCAACTAAAACAAATAGGTATATAAAAGGAGAATATCAAAAATAAATCATTTATCGTTAGTTAGTATATCTAACCTGTCGTTTCAAAGAGTACTTGTCTCAGAAATTGAGAGTGAATATTTTTTAAGGAAAGTTTCAGACTCGGTTTCATATGATCGATAAATCTTAGGAGAAATACATGGACAAAATATTATTATCGCATAGAAAGTTTTAATATACTATTTCTCTATTTCGGTAAGTTGTTTTGGCAAAGAGGAAAAAAATATTACAACAAGAAATTTTACTTTATGAACCATTTCACATAAAACATCAAAAAATTTATCGGCTTCTCGCACTGAACCACAAGAAAGATTTAATTGGTGATTTGATCTTCTCAATTCACGGATGTTTCTTAGACTGTGAAATTTGAGAATACCTGGAGAGCGCTCCCTTTGGCCTTTATCGGATGATACAGAAGCGATGAATAATTATATGATATCCGGGTTCAAACTCTAAAATTTTGCCATGGTTCATGAGACGTCAGGCTGGCTGTTGACACGCGAAACACGTTTTATTCCCCAAATGTCGATCTTATAGCGTAAATACCCATTCTAATTTAATATAATTATCATAAGAAATATTATGAGATGTATAATTTAACTGGTTTTCCCTGTTTCTCTTTAGGTCTGCTGAATGAACACCTAAAGTCAATTTGATCGTCTCTTCCGCACAACGCTATACTGTAGTTATCGAAATTTATATAAAATTAGATCATATAAAATTGGTTCGTAAATCAAACAGAGCCAAAATAGCAAAATGTCTCTATACGACAACAGATTCACCAAATACTGGGATTTCCTCTTCACTGAATTGGCCGGTGAGTTGATTATTACGAAATTGTAAGCACATATACTTTCCAAGCTATTATGTTCAAATAAGTGGTTTCGGTCGATAGAGAAAATTTGTGATATTTACGCACATCAGTTGAAATTGGCTTTTTCCCGAAAATGGTTGTTATTTTAAAAATCAATTGACTTTCAACAGATCATCGAACAAATCACTGGCCACTCATATCATCACCCGTGCCTGGACTCACTATTTTGGGCCTTTACCTTTACTTCGTAAGCTCATGGGGACCCCGATACATGGCCAACAGGAAGCCCTTCAAGCTGGAGCGAACTCTCATGGTGTACAATTTCCTCCAAGTTATAGTCAGCACATATTTGTTCATGGAAGGTCTCGATGGAGCCTGGCTGAAGAAATACAACTGGCGATGTGAGCCTGTGGACTTCTCCGAGAGCGACGAGGCTATGCGTGTGGCTCGCGGATGCTACTTCTACTTTCTGGCCAAGATCTCTGAGCTCCTCGACACAGTGTTCTTTGTGCTGAGGAAGAAGGAGCGCCAGATATCCTTCCTCCACATGTACCATCACACTGTCATGCCAATGATTTCCTGGGGAGCCACGAAGTACTACCCCGGTGGGCATGGAACCTTCATTGGCGTGATAAATTCGTGAGTTGATGGCTTGTTAATTTTCTCGTGTACTTTTACTAACTTTCATCTCATTTTTTGCCTTTTTCTCAAGTTTCGTGCACATAGTTATGTATTCGTACTATTTATTTGCTGCCATGGGACCTCAATTCCAAAAATACCTCTGGTGGAAGTCGTACATCACCAAACTCCAAATGGTAAGTTGATTATTCAGTGAAGTCAATCAATTAAAAAGATATTATAATGTCTGGAGAGTACTTGATGCTTTTCAGGCTAATGAGTTTATTTACACTTCAGATATTGTGGATGAGTTTGAATTTTATGTATTTAACTTAATTGAAATAATTTGAATGTATGCCAATTCTCTCAAATCAATTCAATATTGATTAGTTTTATGATGCTAAAATCTCAATTCAAAATCCCTAAAGTCACTTTTATGATATAATAAGGCATTCCAATCGAAATGACTGGAGATGAATCGAGATGGATTCCGAGTCGGAATTTAATGATACACAATATATTAATAGTGTATGATTTACTTTCCTTTTCTTGTGTCAATCCGAGACCATCCATATGAAATTGATTTGATTATAAGGTTAAGTGCGCTTCTTGATTGTCGATCTTCTGCCTTTCAAATATTGTGATAATCCTATTGGTCTTACTGTCCAATCTCTCTATCTTCAGATCCAATTCTGCATTGCATTCCTCCACTCGGCCCAGCTTCTGTACACAGATTGTGGATATCCGCGCTGGTCGGTGTGTTTCACGCTTCCGAACGCAATTTTCTTCTACATGCTGTTCAATGATTTCGCCACGAAGACTTACAAGAAGCCACGTGATGTGCCAACGCGAGATCAGAACGGAAATGCCAATGGCAGTCTTTGTGCAAATGGTGATACATTGAAGTGTGTTCAACGCAATGGATATTGCGAGAAAAATGACTGCAATGGTGCTGACGACAAAGACAAGAAAATCGAATAATTATATTAACAGCCCTAAATTGAATGACAATTTTTCCTTACTCGTCGCCAGAGTTGAATTCATTGAATGCAATAGTCGCATCGTATTCAGGAATTTTTACCAATTAATTTTATATTATTATGATAGTTTTACAATCATGAAGTTTATTTTATGCATTGCGAATGACACCCACATGGTCAATTATTTGTGCAGATATTTTTTACATTAATTTTAGTATAGCATTAAGGTATGATTTATGCATAATTAATAGATGAATAGGTTTTTTTGTATGAGAACTTGAAAAACTGTGGCCTTTCATTTTACACACACCTAAAACTTCCTAACCATTTAAGATGTTTTTGTTTTAGCCCCGAGACCTTTCTCTTTCGGCGAAACTAGCAACACAAATTGGAGTTCAATGATACATTTGTAGTGAATATTTTCGTTGGGGTCAAAGAAATTCATGCACTCACCTTGATTACCTGGTCTTTTTTCTCACTCATGTAGGCAGTCCGAAAAATTTACTGTAAAAGTCTTCGAGGGTCTCAATAGAGATACATCAGATTTATTACATACATAGAAAGATTTGGAATTGACATAAATTTAAGGATACATAAGAAAGATGCGAGATGAAAGACAAAAGCAAAAGGATAGAATATTTATAATCAGGTTGTGTTTCTAGTGTGATATAATATGTCAATTAACCTAAGACGAAGTTAAATAAATTCTTCAACAGTAATAAAAGTGAAACTCTTTTGAGATTGCTATAGTGCAGCAGAGAGAATAAAAAGCCAAAACGAGAATAATAATTTATTTCACTGGAGAAGAACTCTAATTACACATCAATTTACACATAGTTTATCTAACGATTAATGTAACAATAATTTAAAGCAATTTTTGGTCACCATTCTTAATTGTCTTGTTTTGTAAATAAACCTTCTGCTCATTCTGATCGATCATGTCTTTAAGTTGAGTAAGTTGTGCTATTGAGTTTGAATTCTTATCTTTGTTCGCGAGCTTCTTCTGGTGCTTCTTGTTGTACTCCTTCTTGTAGAAATCTCCAAAGAGATACAGGAAGATAATAACGTTGGTGATGAAGAAGAAGGTGTGAGAACGTGGCAATTTGCTGTCCATTATCGCGATCATGGTGAGATAGAAGAGCATCACGCAGAACTGCGCCAACTGGAGAGTGGTGAGGTATTTCTTCCACCACAGGAATTTCTGATATTTGGGCCCCATGGCCGCGATCATATAGTAGAAGTACATGACGATGTGAACAAATGAGTTCAGGAAACCAATGACGAGAAATTGCGGCCCTGGCAGATATTTCAGGTGCCTGACCATGAGAGAAAGTTTAGAGTTCGACCGTGCAATTCGAAATTGAACCTGAGAGATATCAATCATAATCAAAATACATCAATTGTAACATACCACCAAGACCCAATGGCCGTCAATGAGTGATGGTAGACGTGAAGAAAGGAGATTTGATTCTGCTTCTTGCGCAACACAAAAAATACCGTGTCCAAGAGTTCAACGAGCTTCGAAAAGAAGTACCACCAAGATGCACGCCATGCCTTTCGGGAAGAGAGATTGTGTCATCATCGATCAATAAATTCTTTGCTTTCACCCATGAATTAGCACCCAAGCCAATAAATTTTGTGTGAGATTTTTGATAGGGGTGAAAATCCAAACTCACCGCATGCACGAGACCACGATCGTTTGGTATTCCAATTCCCACTACAAATTTGAAGATATCCATGGCACTATTGTCCACCTGAACTGCCTGTAAAATGTGGAGATCATTAGTGAAATGAGCAGAGTTTTGTCTTTGGACGGTGCCGGAACCTGGAAACAGAGCCACGTTGAGAAGATCACTTGGTAGAAGTTGTAAAAGACTAGGAGTCTCTTCATGTGGAAAGGCTTCCGCGATGCCATGAGCTGCGGTCCCAACTTGAGGACAAAGTACAGGTAAATCATAATAATGCCCAAGACGGGTAGTGGTGATCGCATAAAGAGCCAATTGTCGATTTCAGGATCTATTCCGACCATCATCTCTTCATACTTGGATTTGATGTCTCCGATAATTGTCGCCATGACTGTGGTAAATTTGACCGAGGAAAAATAGATAAATATATATTGTTCGATTGAGTGACAACAACGGATTTCAAAGTGTACCAACTAAATTGACCTCAAGACTTTTCACTTGTGGCACCTCGTAAAAAGGCAGAAACTCATACAGCAAATAAATCACAGCAATAATAATATGCTATATAAACATTGAAGCGCAACGAATGAATGATGGCAAATCTCTTTGCATTTCGCCCTTATTTTACTTCTTTTCGTTCAATATCTGCGAATTTCTCTACCGTATACATATGTATGTATATGAGGACAATAATGATTCAGAGACAAATATAGTCGCAATTTATTGTTGAGGACTTTTTTATCTTTCACTCTATTATGAGGTGCATATTTGTCTAATTTTATGCCTGAGAGGTGAAAGTCGAACAGAACAAAAGGTATCTCTCGTATCTCAAAGGTAGCGAAGTCATAATTACTTTGCCTCTCCTCTACCGCCTCGAGAAGAGAGGAGCTGCGATTCTTTCCAGTCACACTGAATATTCACCACAAGAATTACCTTTGATCGATTTGAAGATGCCACAAATGGGTAATAATTCCTCGAATGTGTATTGTGGGAGAAGAAACACGATCACTCACGGTAACGAATCACTATTTTCACGACGATGTTGATGCGACGACGAACCAGCAACAACTGATAAGAATTGGCAGTGGTCTGAAGTACCCACAAGAGACTCCGTTTTTGGTCTTCTCGTGTAATGCAAAATTAATGGAGTGTTGGTTGGAGAGCAATTGACATACTTTGCTCCCTTCTTGCAGATATGCACTTTCTTCGGTGTGTCAAGTGCGATTTTTTGTCCTTCCGCTTGTCTCGAAGTGTGCTGCATAGGGGTGGGAGATCTGTCCTAGTCGCGTGCGACTGGTTGCTTGGGAAAGTGATCCCACGATCTCGCGAAGAAGAGCTCTCCATGCGGAATTCCCCTTCAGTGCTGCACAATATTATCCATACGCAGTGACAGTGCTGAATTGTTATGAGACCCATCAGCACTACAAAACTCTACATCATTGTTGTCATAGGCAAATTCAAATTAATAGTTCCGTTACGTTTCTATCGTATGCGGCAGGTAAGCACTCTCATGTGCACCTTGTAGTGGTTTTCACACTCTCGTGTTCACATTTCTTGCATTTTTCGCCACTGAGGTGATTATCAGCGTCGCTTCTCATTAATCAGCTTTACGTGTTATTTACATGAAATTTTTTATAAAATTCCCTCCATTTACAGCGTCTCATCGCTTTCCTTGTCATATTAGCCAGTTTTATGATCGGACGCTTCGCCCCATGAAATCAAAAGTTCTTTATTTTTCACACGCGTGCTCGATGCCGGATTTTGGAGATTATTCAGCAAATTTATGATACATGATCGAATAACACACAAAGTAGACAGTAAAATTTGCTAATTTATAATAAATAATATTTTCTTTTCTCCTCCTAGTGAATATGAAAAACTGAACAACATCAAAACACATGTCATTATTTTAATTAAACGTATACGCTTGAAGTATTCATTATTAATTCTATTTACTCTTTACATAGATTTATTAAATTGGGTTATTTATGTATATAGTATGTTTGGTAAAGCCCTTCCGCGACGGTTTCTGTTGATGTTGTCGACCCAGAAATGCCTAAAATTCCAGCAATATTCATTTTTATAAAAGTGATTTCAATTTATTACCGATATAATAAAAACAAATACGAAAATCCATTTAAATATCATATGGTAACCTGTTGGAAAACAATATCAAGAGATACGTGCACTTAATATGAATTGCCTCTGCACGATTTTCACCCAAATTGTTGTCAGAGTACCTCCTGGAGGAAATTGAGTGAAAATTATGAGGGAATAATTCATTAAGATGCAAGAATATTTCATTATACTCTCTTTTGCCATTCGTGACACCTTATTAATAACATTGAGCGGCGGTCAAGGGAAACAAATCACATGCAAAGGCGAAATGGTACTTTGTCATCGCGATCAATTTCCAATGATGCTCCCACGAGATCCTCTTGGGGACACACACCTGAATAAATATGTCAGAGTGGTTGGCGTGATCAGAAGCAGTCAACTTTCACTGCAATTAAAATGCGATTTTTCTGCTCAACAGCCGAAAAATACAGCACGGAGGGCAATGAAGGGCACGGTCTTGATCTTGAGAATTGGCAGCATCGCAGCGCTTCTTCGTCGGCAAAGATGATGAACGCATGAGGCGAAATTGCAATTTTTAACTCTTTACGACTCGGCGATGCTTATCGCGTTTGGGTCTGATTTCGCGCTTTTCTTTTAGGGTCATCCACGCACCGAACAAGAGGCATTTTATATTAAATCAGCGGAAGTGCATTGAATGCAAAGCTGCGACGAGTTGGCAAAGACAAAGTATTTCGTTGCAACAGCGCACCGATCCAGAAAAGGGAGACGCAAATGGGGATAGAATTACGTGTTATATTTCTCTCTTCGCCACGACCACACCCGATGGCTTCTTACGTATGTACTCGCGGTAGTAGAAGTCGGCAAATAGGAAGAACATGAAGAGATTCTGCGGTACCATGATGATGACCGGGAAGCGTGGATAGCCGCAGTCGCTGGGAATAAGCACGAGCCAATGCATGAGGATGGCGAAGAATTGGAAGATTTGGAGCTGGGTCAAATACTTCTTCCACCACAGGCTGCCCTTGTAGCGGGGACTGATTGCCATGAGGAGGTAGTAGAAATACATAATGACGTGAACGAGGCAATTGAGAGTGCCCATGAACGCGCCGTGTCCACCCGGAAGGTATTTGACTGAGTGCCAGGCTAACAATTGCATGCCTGTGTGGTGATATACATGCAGGAAGGTTACTTGGTTTTGCTTCTTTCGCAGAACGAAGAATACCTGAAGGAAAGAGGTGAAGAAAATGGAATTAATATAGTGCTTCGTGGGAGAAAATATCAGAGTTCCCACCGTGTCGAGCAGGTCAAGATTCTTCAGGAGGTAATATGTGTAGAATCCCCTGGCGATGGCTACTGCCCTCTCGGAGGTGGCGTAGTCCACGGGCTCACACAGCAAACTGTAGCCCTGGAAGTAGCAGAGCCGGAGACTGTCGAGCAGTAGGTTAAAACATAGCACTATCTGCGCTGCATTAAATGCTATCATGATGTATCTGAGATTGAATGGCTGTCGCTTTTCCATGAAACGTGGTCCCCATCTCAGGACGAACTGCAGATACAACAGGAGCACGGCGATCGTGTAAAAGGGATTCTTCATCATGGGCCATGGATACACTCTGGGGTCTGCAGATGAAAGAATCTCAGAGCTAGTAATTGTGAACCTTTTGGTACATATTTCCACACGAAAACACCATCGTCATGCTCAGGAGAGTGCACTTTGCATTCAATTAGAGTGATAAATTTGAGGAGTAGTCCAACTTTACTGTCACAGCTTACATATCACCACAAGATCACCCGAGCACTCACCGCTGACTTCTTCATTGAAGTAGATGTAGAGTTCGAAGATTTTTCTCAACACATACGCCATAATCACTGAACAATTTCACTATAGGGGGGACCACAAGGGACTGGGCAAGCAAGTGTGATCGGCAGAGTGTTCAGCACTTATTTATTCCATACTGGCTCGCATAGTTAAAGAGTTGTACACAAGGGGATAATTAGAATTGGTAATTGATCGCAATATAATGTGTATTAATGGAATCGGGTGCCGAATTGGGAGTGAAAATTCCTCTAATTTCTCATCAGATTACTTCTGCTTGTGATCCTCAACTTTTTCACCATAATCCTCTTCGTCAAGATTCACTTTCAAGGCCTCGAAATATGCATTAAAATTTCCATTTACGTGATTGGCCTTATCTGGACTGTTCTTGACCTCTGCTGGGGTCGCTTTTGGGCTCACATACGCCCTATAATAGAAGTCACCGAACATGGCCAGCATGAAGATATTCTGGGGAACCATGAAATATGCCGTGAACTTGGGGAAGTCGCAGTCGATGAAGAAGAGTAGTAAGTAATGCACCGTGAGTATGAGGAACTGGATCTGTGACGAGAAGAAGTGAAGTGAAATCAGACAAAATGAAGACATTATCAAATTCCAATCATACCAATTGCAATTGAGTGATGTGCTTCTTCCACCACAGGTTGTTCTTGTACTTGAAGCTGAGGGAGCTCAGCAAGTAGTAAGAATACATGGCGACGTGAACGAAAGCATTGACAACACCAAGTGTGACATTGTGCCCTCCTGGCAGGTACTTCACGCCTATCCATGTGGCCACCAGCATCCCTCCATGGTGGTAAACGTGCAAGAAGCTGATCTGTGTGTTCTTCTTCCGCAGCACAAAAAACACCGTGTCCAGCAAGTCGAGCACCTTCGTTAGGAAGTAGTAATATACGAGCTTGACAATATGGAGAGAATTCGGCGAGCTGGAGTAATCGAGGGGCTGGCACAGCCAATTGTGCCTCACTGAAATGAGGACAATCATGGCCGAGATCAGGAGATACGAGCAAATAGCAATTTGTGCCACATTGAACACAATGAGAATGCGCTCCAGATTGAAGGGTTTTCGCTTCTCCATTATTTTGGGGCCCAATTCCAACACAAAGTAAAGATACAGCCCGAGGAGTATTAAGAGCTTCAATGGATTTTTCATCATCGGGTAATCCGAAGTGCGAGGATCTGTAAAAGAGCGATTTTATGCACTTTCACCTTTCGATTGATTGGATATTCACTAGCATTTACCACTGAGTTCGTCATTCACATAGTGATACAGCGCAATTATTCTCGTGATAAGTTGAGCCATGACTCAAGAATAGTCACTTTCAGAAGGAAACTCTGTGAAACACCCTGTGATCACCAAGTAAGAAGAAATTAAAACGAATTCTAACAAAAGAAATTAATCTAAAATATACCAAATACATATGTAATATTAGGAACTTTAATCAAAAACTTTGGGAAAGAAGTGAAAATCACGCAATCGATTCCACAAAAAGGGTAAAATGACTTTTCTCAAGAATCTAACAAAAATTTTTGGGAGTGTAAATTTTAAAAATCTAACGAAGAAACAAAAAATTCTCTTGATGATAAAATTTGACATTTTTCGTATATGTACTAGAGAACATAAAGTTTCCTTTTACCACTGATAAATCCACACTAAACGCACGGTTCTTCACTTCGTCTCGAAGTGTTCTAATCGACCTTCGAAAAAAGACTAATTCAGCATTGCTACATACTTAAGTAGTTTGGGTATAGTTGGCCCGAATAAATGCAAATAATACTTTATTTATGCAGAGGTAAATGTTGGGTAAATGGGTGTCTTCCTTCACACCCGCCCCGGACTCATTGATTGTGTCGTTTCCTGGTGCGAAAGAAGTAACATGAATTGCACATAAATCAAACATAAAGACTGAAGCTGTTTCGGCTGGGCAGTAAATTTTACCATGGAATTCACGATGCCCGATGATCTCGTGGACCACCAATTGGTATTGGATAATTTTTGGGTCATCACCAATCAGCGCGTATAATTTAGTGAAAATTTGTATTATTCTTCTTGCACTTTTTCGCTGAATTGCGATTTTCACTTTCTGAGCGAACCTCTTCGGGGCTGCTGGAGTCTCACCTTTTTCACCGTCAGCATGGGTGTCTCTTAAATTTAATGATCCTCGTCCGTGATGCGCATATGAATTTCATATCGGAATTAGTGTCATCAGTTCTTTACACACTAAGAAACATGTGCAACAAGCATTTAATTAATCAATCAATCATAGGACTGCAAAGTAATACTTTACGATGCATCAGTCTTCGGGGTTTTTTGAGTAAACACGAAATTACACAGAAAAGCTCTGGCAAACACTCAATAATTCACATTGGGTGAAAAAATAAATATTGAATTGCAAATTTATCATTCGCACTTGATGAACTTCAAGAGATGATGCAGAGTATATGCAAATATAAGGAGTAATTTTTCATATTGAAGATGACACTAATAAAGGAAAAGAACGTTTTGTGAAATCAATTATGCAGCATTGAAGATTGGCAATCTTTAAACTTCACAAAAAATTTTTCTTGTAATATATTTTTTATTTTTTCCACTTAGCGTATCAGTTTATCACTCTAAAATACCATTTTAAATACAGTTTCATTGAAATGATCAGAAATATAGCCTCAACCGTGATTTCAGAGCATGATTATGATTTCTTCACTATTTTCACTATTAGTGAAAGTATTTAAAAATGATCTTTTTAATTATTTCGCAATTGTCTCAAAATTATCTCATTTTTTCACCATTTGTAAAAACCCATACGGTCGGTGGATTAGAAACGCGATGGCGATCTTGAACGAAAATGTGTCAATAATGCCATGATGATAATTCTTTTTCTTTACCAAAATCTACATATATTCCTTGCCTTAACATTTCGCAAGCATTGAATTTCATTGCTCTATTTTCTCATGTCTTTATGTGCATTTAAATAATTCGTAGCACAAAAAATCATTCTCTTCAGACTGTGGATGAATATTAATAAGAAACTATCTAAAAGATAATTTTTTCTATTTTCAGAAAAGATTTGATTTACAGATTATGCTTTATTTTATTGCTTTCTGATGGCGAAATGATCATTAGAAGTAAGGTCGATCGTTACACTTTTGTTTTTGAGACGAATTTTGCATACATTCTGGCGCTTTGCTGCTCTGATCAAAATCTCAGAGAATAGTTTCTTCAGTTTACTTCCCATGTGATGATTGCAGGTGAAGAAATCACTTTCCTCGCTTCGTGACTCTGTGTTGGAGAAACACTCACTTAACTTTCAAGATTATCAAATAGCGGTATTTATTACACAACGACTTAAGGCATGGAAGCACCTCAAATCTGTATGACTTTAGCAAATTGCGTTTTTTATGATGTGATAAGACACACACTTTCTTGGAGTGTAAGGAAATTTAGGTGATTTTCTAGCTGAGGAAAATGATGGATAGTTTCCTCTCTACATCAGTGCGAGATAGGGCATGGCAGAAATCTTCGAAGTTGATATTCCCCGTTCCAGTGCGATCGGCTTCGATAATTGTCCTCTCCACGATTGAGTTTAGCTGATCTTGCTCAATGTTCTCACCCACCATCATCTGCAGGATGTTCAGGAGCTCCTCTCGGGAGATGACATCGTCATCATCGAGATCGTACATTTTGAAGGCGAATCTCAGCTTATCCTCGCGACTGTTGAGCTTGAGCTTTTTTGGTTTTGTAGGCCTGAAGTGTGCCAAAACTTTCACGAATTGCCGAAAGTTCACGCGGTCATCGTGGCTGTCCTGCATGAAGGCGTGCACAATGCGATCGCAAAGAGGATTAATAGCAACTTCCGGGATGCGCAGGAAGTCCTCACGACCAAGAGTTCCACAGTCTCCGCGATCGAGTGACGTAAAACGCGAAAACAGTCGCTCTATTTGATTAGGTGTAACTGCGAAGGTGAGACAATTTAAGTAGAGCAAATAAATTATTCCTCATTGAGAATATCAGAAAATTGATAAGGGAGTATTTGTTTTGTGTGCCACTCTTGCGAAATATGGCGAGAAATTGTACAAATTTGTAACATTGTTTTCACTATATCGATTGTGTACTTACACCCAGTCTCGTCCTGGATCTCCTTGATGTCCTCTGGTCGCAGTATCAAGGACGACTTGTTTCCCATTTCGTGAAAATCACACAAAAAAACTCGCCGATGTGACTTCAATGGCACTTTCGCGTGTATGGAAGTGGTGAAATCCCGCTTTCTACTAAAGGCGGGAATGCACTGGTGGCGCCACTACAGCAAAAAATTTTCCGGTAAAAAGCAGCGCTCCTAGTGACAGGTGTTCGAAATAGCATAGGCGATTCAACCGGGAGGTAGCTTGTCAAAATTTTCCATTTTTGCATCGAGGAGCCGAGAAGCGCGTTAAATTGTTCTGACCAGTGAAAAGAAAAACGAGGAAAATGATTAAGCCGCACTATAACACGAGGAAGAGGGCCACGAAACCCAAATCTCAGGTTGAAGAAATCACGGAAGACGGTGAGTTGCGGACAGAAAAATTTGATAATAGGGCCAGAAGGACGCTCATGTTAATCATTTTGCAGATATTGCGGATTTCAAAACAGAAGATGGCCTTCCGGTGCACACACTATACGTCAGTGGCTTTGGGAATAACGTGAGTACTGCTGAAAGGGAGTTTTGAGTCGTCATGAAGTCATTTGTGGGTTTCTTGCAGCCTGTAACCGCACAGACACTGATGCAGAGCTTCCACGATGATGGGCCCATCAAGAAGGTCATCATTCACGATGCGGTTAAATCATCCTATGCCTTTGTCACTTTTGCTGACGTGAAGAGTGCCTTGAGGGCGAAGAAGACTCCTCACTATCACAATGGGCGCAAGCTGACGCTCCGGCCGGCGGATAGTTGGCACCAGCCAGAAGATGTTCGTGATACTGCGGAGGATGAGGTGGAGATTGACATGGAGAGGTCAATTCTAAAGCTAAATGATGACTGTGTCTTCTCCATCTTCTCCTACTTGAACCTCCGAGAGCTGCTGGTGATGGAGAAGGTCTGCACGAGGTTCCAAACAGTCGCCGAGAAGATTTACAAGTCGCAGCACGTGCTGGACTTTGATGCGCTCGGTGAGCAGAAACAGATTACATTGATGGAAGTGAAGAACGTATCAATGAGACTGGGCCCCCATGTGCACACGCTGAAGGCCACCTCGACGTCATTCCGCACGATAAACATCCGTATTCTGTTGAACATACTGAGGTATTGCGTAAATCTGAGGAACATGTATCTCAGTGGCTTTACCATCAGCCAGTCAGTGCTCAGGGTACTTACCAAAACGTTCGTGAATCTGAGGGTGGCTCAGCTGGAGAACTGCAGTATCACGGACGACATTGGGGATTGTTTGAGGGAGGCGAAGCACTTGGAGACGCTTGATGTGTCCCAGAACTCAGAAATTGTTGGAAAATGCCTGACTGTGCTGCAGAACATCAAGGAGATCAACCTGTGCTGCTGCAACAACCTCCAAGTGTCCCACTTTAAGCAGTTCTGTGAACGCAATCAGGGACTGAAGAGCCTCAATATAATTCGCTGTGATAAAATCAATCATATCTGCCTCGAGGTGATGGCGAGGCATTTACGCAGCTTGGAGAGTCTCATGATCTGCAACAATTACCCAAATGTCAATCCAACCGACTATCTCGTGTTAGGCGATTTGCCGTGCTTGAAGCACCTGAAGATCAATTACAACAATTTCCTCAACGTTGATTCCTTCCTGGCAAAGCTGGCTGACCGTGATATACTGGAATATCTGGACATCTCTGCGGGTCACTTGACGCGAAACACCCAGCGTGCGCTCTCTTCATTTACAAAGTTAAAGGTGCTGAAGCTCAACTACAAGATTGAATGCAACGACGACACACTGATGCAAGTCTCATCCGCTGACACGCTGCAGGAGCTTCATATTGTCGGTTGCACCAGTATCACCAACGAAGGACTCGTGGAGTTCATCAAGAAGTGCGGATTGCTGGCCCGCATCAACATATCCGGGTGCTACGGCATCACCAATGATCTCATCACCAGCATCTTGCCGTTCCTGGATGAGAGGATCGTGCCTCTTGAGCTTATCGTCGGTGGCACGCAGATCTCTACTTTGATTGAGGTAAGAGAGTTGCGTTTCTTATCGTGAAATTTAATTAAAACCTTTCTTTTATCTCTTTTTTATAGAATCAAATTCAACTGCTCGACAATGCAAAGATTAAGTTGGATTTCTCAAACACAGCCGAGTCTTTCTGCGCCATCGACGACTGGGAAGATGCTCTGAGCGATGACGATTACGACTTAGATATTGAAGACTTGGATGATCCGTACCAATTCGCATGTGAGCTTAACTTGTGATGTAGAATTTCTCCATGTCTCCTGTATAGATTACTTTTTCTCCTTTTCAGACTTCGATAATGGCTATGATTCTGATCTGGAAGATGATTTCTTCATATAAAATCTTCGCCCTTTTCAATTATTCCTTCCATTCTATGAATTCTTTGTCCCTCTGATGAATCTCCGTGGTATTTCTTTTTTTTTGTAAGTAAATTGAATAAAATCTTGAATTATGAAACTCTAAGTTTATTGGATCCTTATTAATACATATTAATACAATTAAAATAGCTCATGCTATTTCACAATTATGTTTCTCTGCTAATTCGCATCATTGTTCTAATCTCAAAAGTGAAAGTCCATTCTCCGCCGGCTGACGAAATTGTAGAAGAGCAAATTCAGAAGTCCACAGACGCTAAACTACCATTGGAAGTTACTGACAAAACTTAAGGAAAAAGAAACCGGAGACGTGATTTCTCTTGCAAAGTGAAAAGGGGTAATTTCTGAAATTCCTAAGCCTAAATCGTGTAAAGGACACGTATACGAGTAGTCTAAAAGAACGACACATAGACCATTTGATTGTCAAAGCGCGAGCCATCCATCAATTCTGCAAGAGAAAGAAATACAAATGGTTAGAAAAACTTTCTCTCAAGGTGAGAGGAAATGTAAAAGGTGAAGAGTGAAATGGTGAAGCCCTGATTGAGCCATTCGTTTGTTTAATCGTTACAATAGAAACATTGTTGCATGCTCTTTAAATAAGGCAATGTGGCGCGATGCCGTGCTTAAAAATCACAATCAATAAATTTTGCATTGTGCGGTATATTTTGTTTAACTGTTCTCTATCGTTCATTTCAGCATGAGGCGGGTTGTTTGAGACTATTCAACTCGCTCTCTCTTTAAGAATTCTTTCAAGTCCAAAATTTATCCTTAAGCGAGCAACAAAACTAATTTCTAATTTTGATTTCATGAAGAAATCCAAAGGATACTTACTGATAGCCAATTCGGCATCGCGTTCCTTGGAGAAGCGCACAACCCCAGTGTCCTGTCCGCGAATCTCGGCGAATTTCACCTCTCCGATGTCACGGAATTTGTCCCTCAGAGTTTGCCACGTACAGGACGGTGGAAGCTGTAATGAATCCATCAATAAATACCATATTTCAGTCAGTTAACAAACTAAAAGCCTTACATTCTTAATGACAATCGTATCAGACTTCCTCACGTTGCTCGAGCTGAGGCTGTTCTGTGCGCTGTAGCTGTTGGAGACGCCACGACCAGAGAAATCATCCTGTGGCTGTGTACTGTAATTGCGAACGGCACCAGAGCCGCCCAGGTCAAAATCTCGGACGCCGGCATTGGAGCCACCTGAGTTGCCAGAGTTCCCATAGGAATTGGAATTGGCAAAGCTGTTAGTATTGAAGGTGGATTGATTCTGATTGAATGCATTGTTTGTGCTGTCAGAGGAGAGAAGGCCGAGGCCAACACTCTGCAAATTGGCCGCGGCGGAGGTGAGAAGTGGATTTGACAGGGCCCCTGACAAGTTACTCAAGTTGACAACATTGCTCAGCGCCGCTAGATTGGAACTCAAGCCGCTGAGGCTGTTGTTGGGCACGGGTCCCAGCAGACTCGACGTGGCATTGAGGTTGTTGGGCGGCGCAACGGGCACCGGAGTCGTATTTTGTTGCGGCGGATTCTGTTGCTGTTGCGAGCTGGGCAAATTGCGAGCAACATCGCGCAGTGGTTCGCCATTCGGACCCAGACCAATGCCAATCGCCTTCAAACCATCAGGCAATTTTATCCCTTCATTCTTGTCCGGCACGCGATCCAAGCGAACCGTCATTCTACGCTCATACAACATCTGGCGATCCAACATGGAAATAGCCTGAACCGCCTCAACCGGATGATCGTACTCAACGACAGCAAACCCACGACTGTTACCATCCTTGTCAGTTGATAAATCAACACTCACAACGCGACCAGCGAGCTTGAACACCTGCTTCAACTTCTTTGCGTCAACCTTGTAGTCCAACTGCAAAGGGAAAAGAAAGAGATGGAAAAAAGAACAAAACCCACATGATTAGAATCTTCGACAAACTCAACACTACAAGAGAAAAAGATAGACATTTCTAGTGCTGCTCATAATATTGTTTACTAGCAATGCAAACTCCGCAAAATTGATATCGCAAGAATTTGAGGTCAGTGAAACACATCTGTCGGGAATTGTATATGCCAATATTACACAAAAATTGCCCACTTCCGTCTCACCAGCCAATTTCGCATCGCTGCTATTTTAAGAAGGATAGAGCAACTCCCAACAAGATTCAAGTGGCCAAACCTAATATTGCTCCACACTACTCAAATATTTGCTACAATATTAAAGAGTTAATTGCACACGAACGAAAATGATGTGATTGCCAAAAGATAACACAATTCTTCTTGTCCCAGGATGAAGTTGAAGGAACTCAACAAGTATTTATCATAAGTCTGATCTGAACACTTGATAAAGTGTCACCTCAACAGTTCGTCCAAGGAATGTTAAAGGGCAAATTCTTAGGGTATCAGTGTCAAGCAATTGATGTTGGAAAACCTACAAAAGGCATCTTAACAGCTTCTCTAAACGTACGAAAGATATTACCTACTCAGCAGCTTTTTAGACCATTTCAATCTCAGTCACAGAGAAAAACCCTACTGTTGTTAAAGGACCTAATAAAGCGATTGACGATTTGCAAATCCAAATACACTCAAGAGCCCTGAGATGAAAAGATCTTTCAAATATCCATTATGCGGCCATTCACAACATTTTTCTCACCCAATAAAATCAATCATAGAGAGATCTTAAAGGAAGATAAATTGAAAATTCGCTCTTTACCCGTAAAAGGGAATTGTCAACTATATCGGAAGCAAGCAGCTGCAAGGGTCTTACATAGTATTTCAGTACTTGTCCAAGTCTATGTAGATAATTGGGAATATAGACAAAAAAACAAATCCAGCGGACAAGGCATGGCGAAGATCTTTCAATGCACACTTATTTCTTTTTTGTACGTTCAACACAGAACAAGAGAGAGAGAGACACATTTGACGGATAAATACTCACATTGGCAACAAAGACTTTAGTATGGAGTGGTCCGAAAATGCCCAAACCTTCCAAGAACGACGTGCTTAAACCGTAAGTGTTGTAGGGTCCGTCGTAATCATTGCCATGACTGCTACTGTGACGGGGCCTAGATTGGGAACGAAAACCATTCAACGTTGAGTGGTCAATTAGATAGTCATCATCAAATGGTGGGAAAATATTTTGGGATTATTTCGCCCTTCCTCTTCCATGCGAAAGCATCCGGGAAGACACTCTGGATGACATTCTGGCCGGAACGGCGAGCACCCGACCGGGGAGAGAGGCAGTATGGCAAATAAAGAGATCAAATGAATTGCTTTTATGAGAAACACCTGTCATCATCGCGGTCTCTGCGATAGTCTCGGCTGGCTCCGCCGCTTCCACCGCCGCCACCGCCGCCGCCTCCGCCACCGCCGCCCCCGCGCACAACACGCCCGTACTCATCGCGCTCATCCCCGAAGTCCTCCTTCACTACCAAGTGCCTGCCGTTGATCTCGTAGCGGTTCAGCTTCTCCATAGCCTTGGACACGCAATCATTTGTCTTGAACTCCACAATGCCGCATCCACGCGGCTTGTTGTGCTCGTCGTTGAAGAGCTCCACGAAGTTCACATCCCCCACAACGTCCCGGCACAGGTCCTTGAGGTCCTGCCACCGGTATTCGTATGGAATATTGGATACATAAATGCGGTTCCCGCCAGGGCGACGCTCGCGACTGCGGTCCCGCCCATTGGAGTCCGACGCATTGGCATCGGAAAAACGACTCTGGCGACGGCTCCTGTCGCGTTCCCTCTCCCGATCCCGTGGAGACATTTGCGACTCCTTGCGATCACTCATCTCACCACTGAACTTGTCAAACTTAGCTCAAAACACCGGCAGAAATGCCGCTCTAGTAATGCCACAACAGAGCGCCCCAATCGATACGCCTAACGATAAGCAGAGTCACCAATATGGCCGGTGGGGTACACACACAAAATGACCTGCAGAAGCGAGTTGAACAGAGTCGCAAGTATCCCAACTAGTGCAAAACACGGGGAAGACACTACAGAATGCCCTGCAGTAACTTAAGTGGCTGAAAATACTCTTTTTCTCACACTTTTCTCACAATTTCTTGTGCGTCACTTGCCTCTGGTTGTCTGAACTAATCGCAATAACCTTTCCAGTGCGTCGAAGATGGTGGTGGTGATTTTGCGGACACCAGTCACTTGGAGCGCAGTGATCGCCTCCATTCTTTTCACCACTCTTATGAGATTCCATACGCGTGCGTATTTGAATTTTGAGCAAAATTCGGAGTTAAATTATAAGAAGTAACCACACAATTATCTAATATTTACAGAAATTTCCCCTATTTGACAAATGTTCTTTTAAATGGAATTCATAAATGATGAAGCAAAAAGATGAGGAATGAGTAGTGTGTGGTGAAATGACATAAGAATCAGTAAAGAGGGTGTGTTCCAACCGGGTCGCCTCGTGGTGTCAAAAACACATTGTTTTGGGACCGGAACATTTCACTGTTTTTCGTTGAATTTATCAGCAAAAATGAGGAATCTTGTGCTCTTGTGTCAAGAGAACTACCCAACGGGTTGTAATGCGATTAAATCCATGAAGATAGATTCGAAATGCAGTGGAATTTGTTACGGTGTCGGTGAGAAAGAGGTTTTCCGGATACACTGGCGAGAAAAGCGGATGGAGCAGCTTTTTGCATGTGAAGATGTCCTGGACGTAGAGTACTTGATGCTTAGCGGTGAGTTGTGCGTCGCCAAGACATCTGGAGAGATTCTCTTGTGGAATTTTGACACGAATACGTTCGACGAAGTGGCTTTCTGCGGAGACATAATCACAGCAATGGCTTGGAGTCCGGATCAGGAGATGGTGGTTTTCGCCACGGAATCGAACAGGATTATCGTGATGCATTCCCTATTTGACATCATCGAGGAAGTGGATCTGTTGGAGAACTCGTTCGGCGACAAGGAGTTTGTGGTCTTGGGTTGGGGAAAGAAGGAGACCCAATTCCACGGATCAGCCGGCAAGAAAGCAGCTCAGAAGAAAGAAATCACAGATCTTCCTGGGGATTTTTCACCTTCGGATGACTCAGGCGTTGCCACAGTGAACGTGGCTTGGAGGGGAGATGGAGAGTACTTTGTTGTGAACTTCTTAAAAGACAATCAGCGGCTCTTCAAGGTGTTCAACCGCGAAGGGAAGCTGCAATACACGTCGGAGAAATGCATCGGATTGGAGAGTTGTATCGCCTGGAAGCCATCGGGATTGTGGATAGCAGTCTCTCACAATCTTGAGGATAAATACGTGATTACCCTGTTTGAAAAGAACGGACTTCGCCATCGTGAGCTGTGTCTTCCTTTCAAGAGAGAAGAAGTAAGAGACTTTCTAATACCAAAGAGACTCTTGATTAACTTGTTAATTCTGTTTAAGGAAAGCGTGAAATCCCTCAAATGGAGCAGCGATTCTGTAGTTTTAGCCATCCATACGCTTAAGGAAACCTCGTCAAATATTTATTTATACACTTTGGGCAATTATCATTGGTATTTAAAGCAAACTCTTCAGTTTCATGATGTTGTGCAGCACTTTGATTGGGATTCGTCGCTATATGAATGGAAATCTTTACATGTGCTATTGGCTGATGGATCTTATAACGTCTTCAAGTGAGTTTTCTGCATACATTTTGAGCACAAATGCTTAGTAAGGGTGAATTCTCTATTTCAGATGGAATGACGATATTAATTGTTCTGTAGGACAGACAGTCCAAGACGAATCTATTGTAGGCGTTATCGATGGACAAAATGTCCTACTGACCAACTTTCGAGGAGTTGTAGTTCCGCCTCCGTTGTGTGTTTTCACTCTCAAGAGCAAGAATTATGTAAACTCCGTGGGATTTATCCAGCACCCCAAAAATCCTAGAGATAGCAACAAATTCTTCAGCATTACAAATCAACATGTGATGAGTTTCTACGAATGCGAGTTTTCCGAAGGACAGTCTTCAGTTCGACACATCAAGGGATGCAAGGAAGTTGAGAATTTTGATTTAGTAGAGAAGTTCTCATGCTATAATCTCACTCACTGGCTAACTGATGGAGTATTGATCATAGAAACATTTAAGAAAGATTTGGGATCTTACCTGAACATCCTGATGAAAAATGAGGACAACCAATGGTGCATTACGGATGAAGTGTCCATAAAGACTCACGCGATCAGTATAACATCAAGTGACAGCATTTCTTTAGTTGTGAATTTGCTGGACAAAACAGTGCTGAAGAAGAAAGTCATTGATGGAAAGTTTGTGGAAGGTGAAGAGCACTTTTCTCTGCCGGAATTCTGCGAAAAGACTATCTCAGTGAAGATTGCTTCAGAGGAGAAAACCTTTTCGTTGCGAGGTCGACAGATGTTGTATATGAATGGAGATAAATTCCAGCAAGATGTAACATCATTCTTCATAGCGCAGCCATTCCTCGCCTACACCACCATTGATGAACTGAAGATCATTAATCTGATGAACATGAACGTCGATACTGTGAGGAAAACCGAAAGGGGAGCTAAGATAGTGACAATTGTTCCAAAACATGATAGAACAATTCTGCAAATGCCACGAGGGAATTTGGAAACAATCCAACCAAGAGCGCTGACTCTTAATATTGTTGGGGAATTATTAGATGGCAATGAGTACAGAAAGGCTTATGAAATACTGCGCAAACAGAGAATCAATCTCAACTTGATTGTGGACCACAATCCAAAGGAGTTTTTCTCTAATTTGGATGTTTTTCTGGAGGAAATTACAAACCCATCGTGGCTCAATCTCTTCCTCACTGATCTAAAGTGTGAAGATGTGACCACAACAATCTACGAAGGCTCCTACAGGATGAAGACAAAGGAATGTCCAGAAGACTACTCGATAGAGGAAAAAGTGGAGAAAATATGTGAAGAAATGTGTGAAAAGATGGAAAGTATGAATGAGAAGAGATTCACTCTCCCAATAATAACGAGTTTTGTGAAGAGAAACGACATTGAGAGTGCGCTGACGGTGATTTGGAACATCAGAACCAGAGAGAGTCAGTCCCTGTGCGATTTTTCTGAATCTGAAGATGCACTTAATTATCTTCTCTACCTCGTGGATGTCAATCAGTTGTATGATATCGCTTTGGGAATGTATGATTTCAAATTGGTTCTCTTTGTGGCGGAAAAGTCGCAGAAGGATCCGAAAGAGTATATTTCCTATCTCAAGGACTTGAATAAGTTGGAGGAGTTCTACAAACGTTACAAAATAGATTTGCATCTAAAGAAGTATGGCAAAGCTTTGGAGAATATCGCGAAGTGCGAAGGACACTTTGAGGAGTGCATGAAGCTGGTGAAGGAACAGCATCTTCACCCAAAGGCTATGCAGCTCTTTCCACAAGAATCGTCAGAATACAAGGAAATCGCTCAGGCTTATGCTGACAATTTACGCTTCAAGGGACTCCTCGAGGAGGCAAGCTTGATGTACGAACGGGCAGGGAACTTGGAGGAGGCTATTCAAACCGCCAAGAACACGCTCGACTTCAACAGGTGTTTGACACTAAAGAAGAAATCAGGGGCCACTGAGGAGGAGCTCACGAAGCTGGTGAGCAGTCTCATTCCCTCCATGAAGGAGAATTGCATGTTCCGAGAGGCGGCAGATCTCATGAAGCAGTACATGAGAAATTCGACTCAAGTGATTGAGACACTGCTAGAGGGGAAATTATACATGGCAGCCGTTTACGAGTGGCATGAAGTGCAGCCGAGTGATTACTCACTAGATTACATGCGAGCTCATTTGCAAAAGTATGCTGAGGTGCTAATGGATTGCATGAGGAACGATAAAAGTCAGTTTGTGAGTTACAAAATGCGTCTCGCAACCGTTCGTCAGAAGCGCCTGGAACAGCCAGATGATCCGGATCTCAATTACTTTGACGACTGTGACTTATATTCGGATGTCACGAGTGCCAACAGCAGCAGGATCACGGGGAGCTCTCGTGGATCCTCCAAGACGTTCAAGTCCGGCAAGAGCAGACGAAAGCACAAGAGAAAGCTGCTAAGTTTGAAGGAGGGAAATCCCTTCGAAGATGTTGCCCTCATCGATGCGCTGTTCAATTTGATTTCAAAGTGCTTCAGTCAGCAGCAACACGTGAAAGAGATTTGCAGAGCTTCTGTTCTACTGAATATTGATGAAACGGGAAAAACGCTGCAGGTAAGAAGTCTATTAACCCTTCCGTGCGTGTTACAAATTATTTTTTATGTGATGAACTTGTGATATGAGTACTTACCAATTTGCATTTACATCTTTTTGTAAAACTTAGAGATGATTATTTGACGGTCTCTGTAATCTCAGGCCGGAAAAAGACTCAAGAAACGAGTAAATGTTTATTAATATTCATAAAGTTGGGAATAATTACTTGCACTGAACTTGAAAATTTATTGTGTTTTTCATGAATTTTTGAAAAAAATCACATATGAAAAAAAATTAAATGCTTTTTTGAAATTTTATAAATTATTGAATAGAACAACGAAAAACTGTTTTATTACGTTGTTGTTTTTTTTAAGTTTCACTTTTATGGTATATATTTTTATCGCATTAGCAGACAGGGATGTTTTTTCTCTCGAAATTTTTGCATTTCAGCGCACTTTTGGGTTGAAAATGGTTTTAATCGAGAGGCAATTTGATTTGATTATTTATTTGTTTATCGGTTTATGTGTGCAAATAAAACTTGATCAATCAAAATGATTTGCATTCAGAGTGAAATTTACTGAAATTCGTTGAGGCTCTAAACATTTTATGTAATTGAGAAATAAATTGCCGAATGCAACGATTTCATTCACAGTACAATAAAAATTGATAGCGATCTACATATGAGCAGCGAAACGATGGGCTAACGAGCATTTTGCCTTCTGTTTCAATTACAGCACTGCTACAAGAACTTGCTCTACACCATTCAGCTATCATTGGATGAAATTTGGATTCCAAATGATACACGTTTGGAAATTGTGGGTATGTAATTGAGAAAAAGAAACACATTTTCACTTGAGAGCCTTTTAAATACCCTCGTGGTTCTTTTGGTCTGCCAATTATGCAGATCGAAAGTGTGCACATTGTTATTAGAAAGAAAAAAAAACTTGCCGCTCTATTTTTCCCCGCGAATATTGCATAATAACTCTTTCTTTTCGCTTTTTCTTTCCTCATTTCAGAACCTCACAAGCGACTTAAGCCGTATCTCTCCTTAATGAACTGGGAATTTGAGATTTTTAAGTGAGTTCATTTTACTTCTATCACCATTTCTACACTTGAATTGTAAGATAAATCTGTTTTATTACTGATTGTAATATACGAAGATGTATTTAAACGCGCATGTCGAGACGGTATTCTTGGAATGAGCATTCCATCAACCACATCAGGGGGTGCAGAAGAAGAATGCAAATATAATTGTACATTTTTTACTGCAATTCCACAATTATGTTTGAAGGCGGCAGCAGAGGAGTGCAGCTGTAAATGATAGCATTTCTTCTTGAATTCAACAATGAATTGTAATGTGAGGAGGAATTTAATCTTTCCTGCTGCTTGTCAATGATCGCTGGTGAGGTGATTTCTTTCTCAATGAATTGATTTTTCACGCATGTAAATGCTTCTGTACTATCTGCAAGTGATTGTTCCGCAATGCGCAATTATACTCTGGTTAACACACAATGCAAGAGCACTACACTTCACTCGGAAGCTGGAAAGAAAGTTGGCGGGCGTACAAGGAAAGATCATCTCAACTCAGAGCTGCGCACTGCCGATAAAATACCTCAAACCTGAATTTTCTCCACTGCCCACTGATCCACAGAATTGAGATGGTGAATTGCGAAAAAAGAGTTGAAACATTTTTAGTGCTGATTAGACCGTGAATTGAGGTGCAAATGCAATTAAATTTCGTACAATATTGATCAGAATGGTGCACAATGGCATGAATATCGAGGAAGTCTTGAGGTGTGAAATGTAATCGTGCGAAGGGGAGATTTTTATAAACGAAATGTTTCTTAATTCACCGTTAAAAATATGATATTGATCAATGATTGTGCCCATTGGTGTCTGTCGAGGAGAGCACGTGGAGAAATACGTTTGTTTTTTTTTATTCGAAATTAGCTCAAGTCATGCAACTTTGGGGCGTCATTTTGTGTATCACTGCCGAAGCAGTGCATCAGTCCTGCAATTGCATCACGCCGATGAAGACATTAAGTGTAGAATTTTTATCCTTCACATTTGCAAACTTAATAATGCACATCATTTAAATTGGATAAGCAATTTGTTACACTCTTCGAGATTCAATTCTATGCATATTTTCCGAAGCAATTACACTTTAATTGAGACAAAGAGGTTTAATGTTCTCGTGCATGCATTTTTGCTGTTTGTTTATTTTTTTGTAAGAATTTCCAATGAGAGATTTTGATTCATTTTCCAATTATGAAAACCAGCTCTGCATATTGTACACATTTAGAAATCGCTTTAAAAGATTATTAGTGTGTGCAGAATTAGGTTTTTAACTTTGTTCATAAGACTAATCAATGAAATTCTTATCCCAAATATAGGAAATGTCGGAAGTTCCACATAATTTGACTCAGTATTCCTATGGAATTGATCAGTTCATGAAACTGTGATCAATAAGTCACTGTTAGTCATTCTCTTATCAAAAACTCCATTTTATCCAGCAAAACGCCTCTTGAAATTCCAAAGCACGGCATTAGCACTCTGCAAAAAGGCAGGCGTATAGCATTTTTTTATTGATAAGACAGCAATTTATTGCACAAAAGTTAGACAATTTGGGTGAAGAGTGTGCAAAATCTCTCAGCACAATTTCTCACAACTCATGATTTATGATGTTGGAAATTGTCGGAGGACCGTTAATGAATTTGATAGATTGATATCGCTTTTGTTTGAAAAACTCCATCTCTAAATTGGCCATGCGGTACCTGACGAGGAAAATCTCTGTAAAGAGACATTGCAGTTACTTATGATGATTGTTTGGTGTCACCTAGAAACACCAAAAGCAGAATTTACCGGAGTTCAATTAAAAATCATCCACCATTGACCGATTCGCATAAATTTCACTAATTATTCTCATTTACTACTTTTTCCTACTCCTTTTATAGCCTTTCGAGAGCTTTTATGGGATTTCTCACAATTTTAGCTGGCTCTTGGCGAGCCTATCATTTGCCGCTCAATATAATTTTTCGTTTTGGTCTACTAAAGAACAATTTGGTTTTATGACAATTTAACACTGAGCTCTGGATAATGTTATTGAGGTTCTGCAGATCTTATGAAGTCTTGGCTTTCTTGAGAATTGCAAGATTCGTTCAGTTGCAGATTTGAAATCAAATGCTCTCTCTCTCTCTCTCTCTGCCATAAAACTGTGCCAATTCCTGCTCTCTCTGGCTCTCGCGCTCTGGAGTGGGAGATTGGAGAGACATGGAGCCTCTCTGGAGCTCCACTTGAGCTGCTTCAGTGACGAGAGAGCGAGAGAGAGTTAAGAGTATTCAACAGTTCATTTTCCAGCGAATCGCTCAATTGGATAGTGACTGGCACAGTGCTCGGTCGTACTTCTCTGCAAGAGCTCACCTTCCGAGCTAACAATAGACTCCACTTTTCCGTCGAAAAACGTGCCTTGTAGTATCCTCAACTGGACAGTGAAAGTGATAAGACAAAGTACAAGTGTGTGCTGTGAAAATTGATATTAATTGAGAGATATTTCCGTGGAATTGGTGCTGCACGTCATCACGTTCACTTTTGGATACCCAACCTTCGGCATAGGAAATTCCATAGTCGCAATGAAGTAGAATTGGCCGGATTTGGCGGAGTTCTGGATCTTGAGAAACCTCGTGGCGCTCCTTCAAGTAAATCCGCATCGTCTCTGGTGCACCTACATCAACTTAAGGTAGCTTATCTGACATAGTGACTCTAAATAGCCTTCTTTCTCCGCACATAACGAACAAGTCTTTACGTAAAAAACAGTTCAATCCACTACATATCGGCGTTGAGCGTGTGTGCGAGGCATTTCTCAAATCCCCCACACACGCGCCAGGTAGAGAAGGTAGATGATTGACCAACAAACATCCATCTCTGTGTATGTGCATCAGACATTTTATGTAAGCACCTTCGAGGTGTAATATTGAAACTTCCTGAATCGCACAAAATAAGACTTATATTTATTTATTTATCATTACCCGACTCGAGCATCAAACAATCTTGCATTGCAAAATTTTGCACACTATTTCCCGCCCGAAGTTGAGCAAGAAATCACACAATGCACAGCACTCTCGCCAGAGTTGCCAGAAAAAAGCACAAAACTGTTGTGCTGAAGAAAGAAAAGAACTTCTCGAATGGATTCATCGGAAAAATGAGGACTCATAAGCCAAAAATATTCCAGAGAGGAAGAGGTGGACGCTATGATTTGCATGAAGCACACGAGACCTTCACAAACTTGTTTCAAGTTTATCACTTCTTGCAATAAAGTTGATTGATTTGCATTTAAAAGTCAGAAAGTCGATAAAGTACGTTTTCAGTGAAGTTCAAAAAGCATCGAGATAAAAAGTGGAGAAAAACTGTGAGAAAAGTTTGTTTCATAGTAGGTTTATAATTCACAATATGCCTTGAATTTTGAATTTATGGGCAATTTTTCATCATCCTCATGATCACTTCCGAATTAGTCATTTTGAAGACATTACGGAATTATTCGAGAATTTCATGATGAGCTGTTGAAGTCTGGAAATTTAACACTAGACATATAGAATAAATAAACTCAGTCGATTTGTCTGTGCCTTACAAAAGTTGTGACGTTTTTGCTTTGTTTCAATACAACAATAATAAATTTTTAGGGAGAAATTTGCATATTTTGGTTAGCTTAAGGCTTCTTTTGCTAGCAATAATCTGCGCCATAGCTGAATTTCAATATACCAAAACTAACTATAGATTCTAGATACAAGTGATTACACTTTTATCAGCTTTAAACTATGAAAAACATCTTTAATCGAGTCATATAATTATTTGTTTAGACAAAAAGCTATTATCTCACCTTATAGCTCTTTCTCAAATGATGCAAAAAGCTTAATATCCCATAAAATACTCAATAATAATGTAAAGTTTTTAATTACCTTCGAAAAGTTTTTCTCGTAAAACCTGCTAAAAGTCACCACTAAATTTATTTGAAAATTATCACGGCAAATTTTTGCAGTGAGGAATAATGGAAATGACCTTCGATAACGATTGATTCATATAAAAAGCAATGAAGATATGTGTGATAAACAATCTTCGAAGTGCGCTATCTAGTAAATGAGAGTAGAATGAGCAATGTTTCATATTTTGTTTGGCTTGAGTTATTAATAGTCACCTGTTCGATGATGTATAGTGTGGCAGAAGCATGGAATAAAACTACCAGTCTTGTGGGCCTGAATTGGATATTTCTCCGCTTGATAGTGCTTATAGGCGAACAGTTAGAGAAATTCCGAATAACATTTTGATACAAAGTGGATCAGCGGGAGGTTAAGCATGTGACCCAAATATTGAGGGTGAGGAAATGAAATACTTACTCGCCCAATATTTATTCATATGGATGAAAGTTCTAAAGCTGTGAGTTTTATGAGAAGAGAAAAGGAGTGCAAATACACTAATTCTACCCACCTCCGTCAGTTATCAATTTGTTGTCTTATCAGCGAGCATTTGAGGTGATCTCAGTAGGTGAAAGAGTGCCTCGAAACGTGAATGTTCTGCGAGAGGTGAAACTTGATGAGTTTTTCGACACCTTAATTCGTCCAAAAGTGACAGAAAGCATTGTGAAACGACCTATGAGTCACTCTTTTGTGTCTATACTTCTACGCACTTTAACGGTGTGCAAATCACCAGCACTTTTCCAGATGATGGAGCGTGGGAATAATCGAAAGCGTACGCTTATCAGAAAGAGCATTTTCCTCACACAATTATGGGCAAATAAGTGCCACGAGTGCCACACTATTTGTTGTATAAATCACACAATTATTGTATTCTTTTCCGCAGAGCGTATCTCATACCGTCTAGGCTGCTCTCAAACAATTTGTCTGAATATCACACTTCCCTCTCTCCGCTAATTTACCATGTTCATAATACTACAAAGCCATACGGGTCTGTCTTCCCATGGCAGAATAATGCCTTGTGCTGTATGAGATTTATTTCTATTTTTACTTTTATTCGGAGTTTATGTGCAGACCTTTCTTCAACAGTGGAAAACTCTTTTCTTCACCGCATGTAATGCAATTAGAGGCAAGTCAATTATACGCAAAATTTCAATTACAATTAATTTCTCAATTACATGGAGTCATACCTCTCTCAAGGGAAGAGAAAATAACGTAACATTATTGTCTAATAATAGTGCTATATGAACAAAACATCACACCAACTGTGGTCATTAAACTTCTCTCTCTTCCACTAATTCTTGCAAATGTTTTTACTTAGGTCTCTAGACGTTCTAGCCAAATGAATCTTGTTCTCATGGTTTCACAAAGGCGCAGAAAATTGTCTGACATTCTTCGTTATTTTATATGTAAATTTCAATTGTGCCCAATAATCGATTATATTAGATCTAAAAGAATTCACAGTGTGCTTCCAAGTTCGTGTCCCACTTGCCTTGCCCGGAAATCTCCTTTCGATTTGCATATTGTTGGGCAAAACACCATGAATTCGTATATTGGCCACTTCCTGCGATTCGATCTTGCCTGCGAGACAATGGTGCTCTCGTGCGCCCCAAAGAAAAATCACACAATCCACCCTAATATCAGTACCACACTGTACATTTTGTGGGTTCTACTTGTGAATGTTTTGGCACGAAAATACGGTGATATTTCAGCAACACCTTAATTTGAATTTCTCCGTTGTTGTTTTGTTTGTTGGTGAAAGACACGAGAGAATTGCTTTAGAAAAGGTAACTCTTTCTACACTATTTCCTCTAATACCACATCTAATGGAAATTGAAGTACATATTTGCTGTGGGTCGAAAAACAGCCGGCACAATTGTTGATTTTGTATGTGGACAAAATTTCTCCACTGCCAAGCTATGCAAGCGATGATGGCATGAAATGGGTCACGAAATACAAGCTAAAGACATAAATTTTGTCAGCAAGAAATCCTTCTTGTTCTTGTCTTCCTCACCACGAGCGTCTCGAGAATGCAGGTCGCGCTCTAGAAACTCTCAACCATCATCCAAATCTTCATATACAGCGATCGTCATCAACTGTTAGGCAAGATAACTCGTTATTTACAGTTCTCCGCTCTATGCAGTTTGCATATAATGGTGTTCTGGAGCGTCTTCAGTGGAGAAGAAGAGAATATATATTGAGTGCAAGAGAACATATAGTATTTGTCATTATGCTCAGTGGATAATGGGGGAAATGTACATTTTCAGCTAATTACACAATAATTCTCAGACTATAACAATGCAATGCACCGAAACGGGCTTCTCGGTGTCTCTTTGAGAAGCAAAGGCAACAAATACCGAAATCAGTTCATTGCCATTCATGCCTATTTTAGTGGATGTATAGTTCAAAATACAGCACATTTCACCTTCATGCATGTGCCACTGCGCGACCTAGAGGGTGTATCGTTATCGGTGACTTTTTGAGGACGGCTCATGACTGTTATGGACTTGTGATTGAACCCCACGAGCAGGTTGACTCAGACACGCCAACATTTATTGTCGAAGATCCAACAACTTAATTTATTCGTGCAATGCGCATTAGGTAGTTTGTATTCAAGGAGCATCATTTGAATCCAAAGAACACTCCTAGAGAATTCGTGGAATAGTAGAAATTAATGCGCACTATTGAGGCAATATTGAAGATTGTTTCTGATACGTTATTACAAAGGATAACTTAATAGTTGAATATTTCAAATGGCCACTAATCTCGCAATTCCATCACGATATTTTAATCACAGAGTTTCTTTCGCATCTTGGAACCCTCAAAAGTTGAGAAATTCTCTAATAATTGCAAATATACGATTATTATTAGTCTGTTATGGAGTTTTATTCTATTTGTAACTGTTTACTGTATATCTTCTGACATCAAAAAGAGCATTTGCAAATTTCAAATGAAATTCTCGCGAAGAAGATTTGGGTCTTTCAATTATTACTTTATCAGAGAAAGGAAAGAATTTGCATGAATGCTCTACTACAATATAACTATGCTTATAACAATGTAGAGAGACCAAATGGAGTGAAAAGTATAAACTCAGCGATATTTCTGTAGATCCGACTTCTGATTGAAAATCAGCACTTTCTTGCAATGAGCAATACATATAATGCAATCTTGCAGAGTAGCAGTGCTGGTGAAACGAGTTTTTCGAGAAGCAGTTTTCAGAGTGTCGATTTTATGATCACACCAGAATAGAGAATTCAGCACAAGTATAATTTAAGTAGAATGCTTCTGTGCACAAATTTAGCAGTTTTGGCTTTACATGACCTTAAGTTATATCACGTTTTTGGGACTGAACTCCTTTTGACCACAGTTTCGTCCGGGGATTTCCTCGAAAGCTTGATCTCAATCTGGTAAAGTTGCCTAAAATGTTCAGCCTTGTTACTCTAAATTGTACTTGAATCACATTTCATCATATCAAGTTCCTAAATTGTCGTAAGTAGTGTGACAAAAGTGAGGTCAATGAAACTGCTTAACTATTAAAGTTTTTGAGAAAAACCCTGCACAGCGTAGCGTTTTAATTAAGCAAGAATGCAATTACTCTTGTTTCGAAAGAGCACATGTACACGTCAATACGAGCAAGGAACTTCTTTCAGGCACGAGTTGTCTCCTCAAATATCAATTCAAAGTATTTAAATATGGATCTGATTTTTATGTAAAGAGATGGAATGACGGTAATATTATTTTAACACACACCAGATATTGATTCAACAAGAAACGCCTCTTGAATTCGTCATTGAATTAAATTTCTCTCTGGATTTATCTATTGGTTTTTGTCTGTCGCACACAACAACAGTGCTGTATAAAGGAAAAAAAAATACTGTTGATGGAATTACTCATAGTCGTGAGATAAAACGGGGAGGATTTTCTATTGCACGCAATATGGGAATTATTAACAGTTGCACACATGAAGATTGTGCTTTTTTCTGCCTCTTTCTATTACATTCCTCGCTATTACATCAAATCAATGCTCGATCATCCAACAAGATTTCTAACTTACGCGTGTTTTTGGGTACATCTCCACATATATGAATTCCTCTCTTTGCATGTGAGGCAATTACATGTAACAGGGTTTCGTTTTGTTGTCCTCTAATCTTTGGAGCTTGAGATTAGAGCGATAAGAAACTGTTTTCTGATTAGAGAATAATAACGTCTCTAATGCTTGCTTTGCCATTTCTTACTAACTCTCATTTTCTCCTATTCGAAGTTACATTTCATTTATTAATCACGCAAGTGGGAAAAGACGCAACACAAAACGCCTTTATACTTTATGAATTTCCAAGGAGTTGGTATAAATAAAATTCTTTGTGTTCTGTGATGCAAAAATGAGGGTAAATTGTGCCTCAGCACAGTATTTGAGTGACATAATTTATTTTCAATTCATCTCCTTTTTCATATAAAGCCAGTCAATCAATTTAGTAGTGTGAATCACCATGAATTGACTTATTTACATATTCTGTGAGGCGGAATTACTAGAGTATACTGTAATCAATTTCAAGAGTAGTGTCCACGTATTGTAGAACCTTTCTGCCAACAGAGGTAACCTTCAGCGATACAGATAGACGTTAAATAGGAGATTCATTGCGTGCAGTGTTGGCAGTAATTTCCATGTGTACTCTTAATAAATTTTCCAACATGAAAATTCATATGCATAGACCAAATATGTCAGTTTCTCCTTTGCCCGTGAATAATGTATTCTTTTGGCGCACAAGTCGCCTATCGATATCGTTCAAAGTCACGGCAATCAAGGTGATTTTGCACGTAAAGTGACGCTCCATAGCTTACATTAACTGAAAAAATGAACCTTTCCCATAACGAAAAACATAACATATTTCAAGAAATCCCCCTTCTCTTTGTTTGCTATAATATTTGATTAAGAACTTAATACCATGTCTTTGTTTACCACCAAAATTTTCATGATCATCGTGTGAGCTCTGCTGTTTACAAATTCACTGTATATCACGGCTATTTAATGGAATTTACGAAGATCTTCTTTACTTTAACCCGAGAAATCCATTGTCATGCCGGAGGTAGAAGAAAAAAGTGGGGAATCTTCGCCAATAGTCGCCACAGAAACTCCTTTCCAACTCTTATTATGCCGTCTAATAATATAACTTTGTTAATTAAATTGAAATTGCGCCGCTTGAATGAAAATCCTTGGCTCATATTATTGCAAAACGACGTCTTTGGAAGATTACCCAGAAAGCCCGCGTGGAGAGTCTCTTCACTAAATGAATAAAGTGGTTCATTCAAAACAACACTATTGTAGTGTGTCACAACGAGAATTGATTTTAACGATATCATTTGTATTCCACCGGCACCTCTTTCAGATTTCGTTGGCATGCATAGACTCAGCACTGAATGATGGCCCATCGCAATCGACACAGAAGCAATTGTGATCCAGTATGGATCTCACTTTTAGCTGTGTTTCACTTGGCACTCCTCGCCAGTGCGGCCACTATCAAAAGAGAAATCACATCTCCAGAGCCATCGAGTGCAGTGGCCAGTGGCAGCTCAGGCGGCGGTGCAGTTTCACCTGGGAGCACCACGGACGCCCCAGCGAGCGTCGCTGACTCGGAAAAGGAGAAAATTGTCAATGGCAGTTCAACGGAAGCGTTACCTAACGCAACAGACGAGCCGTTTGTCTTTGACTTGAGCAGGTAATTAGAGAATCACGCTGACGGAAAAAAAGAAAGATCATTAAGTGCGAGCAGTGAAATTAAACCTAAGCTGCGATTAGCTTTTGCTAAATGCTCGGCTTTGGCGCACCAAATCAAGAAAATGATGAATTGGTACATTTTCACACTACGAAAGGAGGGAAAAATATAAATGTCTTGAAATGTGGGAAAATCATTGATTACAAATAAATCGATAAATCAAATTTCGGTTGAAAGCATGACAAAAAAGCCACTCAACTGACTCATATTTCCAATTGAAATAGTAAATTCATATTTTCCAGCCTGAAATAGTGTTTTTTTTTACTCAATTCCAACATAAATTAAATTATTCGGTGTAAATTTGCCAAATCAAATAAATCAGGAGAACAAGAGTTTCAAAATACGAGGAACATTTAAAATACTTTAAAATCGTGATATTCCAATTAATCTTTGCTCATTTCGTGTGAGAAAAAAGTTAATTCGCCCCTGCAGACTATTTTTATTACCTTGATACCACACATTCCGAATTAGAAATAATTCGCTCAGTAGACATGATAATTGCATGTAAGAGGAATTATTGCAAAAAAGACCCAATTTACATGAAATTCACGAACCATTGAAAGTCTCGCTAACTTGAATCTCTGGAGTAAAAACCGAGGAAAATCGCAAAGCAGATTTAATGCCCCAAATTCATGAAAATTTCGCTAGTAAAGCGACTTTCTTTCTCTTTTTTCCATCTTCTCACAAAGAAAATTTCACAACTTTTGTGTGAATTGACAAAGAATTTCGATCATGTGCTTTTACTTTTACAACTCCACGAGTTTGCACTGTGTGTAGAATATAATGTTTTAGTGCGACCAGTAAAACTTTGAAAAATGAATTAATTCATGAGCTGTATAATTTAATTGATAGGTACACATCACCTTACGGAGAAAATGCAATTAGCCCTGCAAAGAGAGAAACTGATGTCGACGATAAAAGTGAGAAGGCAGCCGATGAGAAGGACTACGAGAAGATGTTTGATGAAATGGACCTCACGACACCATCTTCGCCAGAGTTTGATGAACTACACAAGATGTATCGCTCGGACAAGGTGGTCAATGATGATGGGAGCGAAGAAGAAAGTGTGGCGACCACAACGGAAGGTAGTTATTTGACTAATCTGGTGTTGAGCGCCACTGAAGCGAATAACAATGGAAGTAGCGAAAAGAATTCATCTCTCTACTACAACAATGGCGAAATAGAGACCAAAAACTACGACATCAGCACCAATGAGTTGAGAAAAGTTGACGCCAATGCGACGAGTGAGAGTGCAGAGAAGAGGGCCAAGTATTTGAGGCCCACCGGCCAGCACCGGGCGGCGATCATCAGCGCTGAAGGGCACGATGTCGCCCCCACGGAAGAATCCGATATGAATCTCAACATACCCAACACAGCAGAAGTGTGGGCTCTGGCTGGGATGAAGAGTGTGGAGCACATGAAGAGCAAATTCAATCAGTTCTTCAACAAGACTTCCGAAAGTCTGACCGATGGGATTGGGGTGAACACCACGTCAGCCACGAAACTGCTGGCTGACTGGACGGAGATCATGAAAAACAACGAATTCAGCAACAGCTCAGTGGTGCCCAGTGGCGACCTGGAGGAGAAGATGACAGGGAATAAGAGTGAGGCGACCTCAGAGCAGCTGGCCGGGGAGAACAATGTAATCTCTGTGCTGATGACGACACAGCAGCCGGCCAAAGAGAGCTCTGAGAACTCAGTGAGCGCCACCAAAGAAAGTCCAAGTGAGACAATGAACGATTTAGAAAGAGCGCCGGTCTTGAATTATGATTTAGTGGCGCGGGATGAGGAGGAAAGTGAGAAGAGTGAAAGTGTCCAGCCAACAGAGACCACCATTGAGATGGAGATAACTACCCAAAGTGTCGCCACGACAGTGGCTGAAGATGAAGATTCAGCCACAAGCACAGCTCTCTATACCGGAGGCGGTACAGATGTAGAGTACACCACGAGTGATATTACTAATCCAATGACAATAGCTCCAGCCGGCAACACTGACGAGGGCAGCACGACTACAGAGGCTCCAGTATCGGAGAGTTCTAGTGAAGAACAGAAGACCTCAACAAAGACTGTCACGGTGACGAGTGAGGAGCCCACGACCATCTCCAATGCGATTCCAACGGTCACTCCAACTGAACAATCCGACATCAATCAATCCGCAACAATTGAGACAAAGGAGAATGAGGTGACCACTGACAAAGGCAGCACAACGGAAAGTTCAACGGAACGAAGTGATCAGCTCAAGTCAACTGAAGATTTCAATGAGGTGAAGTACCTGCCCTTCCCCACGTCCAATCGGAATCTCTGGAATGCGTCTGATGAGCCACTATTTGATTCCACGGCCCGCGACGAGCAGAAGTTGACTACAGTTGAGCCAGGCCAAGAGGATGGAGGTCAATCCATGCCAGAAGAAGGTGCCGATGTGAACACGATAATTGCGGCAACAGTTAGCGTAATTGTGGTGATTGGAGTAATCGTCTTGGTGGGATTTTTGGTAATGACAGTCTTATCTCTGCTCGTAATCTGTACACGTTGACTAAGAATGTGTTCTGTGTTTGTAGGTTGTTCTGAGGAAGAGGCAGAAGCAGCTCACTTATGGCCAGAGATGTAGGCCAGTGGGATTGGATGCGTACAGTCTGGATAATGTGTCTGTGTACAACAGTGTCCGTAGGAAGGGAAACAACCTTCGCCTGTCCAAAAGATCCTATGGAAATTCAGCTTTTGAAGATCCTGTAAGATCAACTAATATTCTTATTGGAATTGTTGTTATGCCTATAAATCTAATTAATTTTATTCATTTTGCAGGGATTACGCTGCAATCTTTTGACAGTATTAGCTCTTGACTCGTTTGCCCAGGACAAGGATAAGATTTACGAAGAATTCAAGGAAATTCCCCTTGTTACAGCCAGAGTGGATGAAGTTCCCCAAGGATGTGAGGACAAGAACAGGTAAATGTAATTCATTCTTGACTGTAAATCTATTTTAATACTCTATCCTCTAAATTCTAGGTACGCTAACGTAGTCCCACTCCCAGAGACCAGAGTCCACTTGAAACAGCTGAACGGGGACGAAAAAACCGAGTACATCAATGCGAACTTCGTGAAAGGACCAAAAGATCCAGACAATCATTACATTGCTTGTCAGGCCCCGATGGAGAACACAATCATCGACTTCTGGCGGATGATATGGGAGCAGAGCTCGCGAGTGATCATCATGGCGACGGATTTGACTGAGAACGGCATCGAGAAGTGCGCAGAGTATTTGCCTCCATCTTCAGTGCTGGACTGCAATAGGATTTTCGGAGATTTCCATGTGACACTGAAGAATCGAGAGGTGAAGGATAAGTACGCTGTATCGACCATCCACTTGAAGAACTCCGCCACCAAGACTTGGCGCGAGATCATGCATTTCTGGTATCAGTGGCCAGAGAGCGGAATACCCACGGATGAATCGAGTGCGATTGCTATGCTGCTGGAGGCGAGGACGTACTTGAAGACGCCGCTGCCGGAACAGAGCGAGGACGTTTCAAGCGATGCGGTTGATGAGACGAAGACCAACGGAGATGTCGCGGATAAGAGCAAATCTCTTCAACGAACTCAAGGGTGAGTAGAAGATTCAAGACATGAAGAGATTCAGAAAAACAGTTCAAAGAGTCAGTGATTAAATTTTTGAGATAGGGAATTTTTTCACCCAGTTGTTTTCTTATCAGACCTCTGGGATCATAAGAATCTTATCAGATAGCGCTCACAGGGAGCAGCAAATGAAGTGATAGAACATTCAATTAATCCCCCATTTCTCTTCCAGACCAATGACTGTTCACTGCTCTCCTGGCACTGGTCGGACAGGCACACTCATTGCCTGTGATATAGCTTTAAGGACACTTGAGGCGCCCGCGAGATCCGTCGATCTTCCCCAGATTGTGTACTACGTGCGTCGAGGTCGAGCCAGTGCTATTCGGACGCAGGATCAGTATGAATTTATCTACCGAGTGGCGAATGCCTACGCGACCAAACTCACGAGTCCTACCCAAGAGAATTGAGTCATTCCACAGCACACCTTCGAGGAAACCTTCATGTGATACTGATCAACTTTAGCGAACGGAAAGCATTCTGAATTATCTATAGAGATTATTGCAATGGATTCGCTGTGTAGAAAAATACTGATGAGGCCTTAGGTCATGTGTTACTACAGCATAAACGTTATATGTATCGCGTTCATTTACAACTTGTTAGATAAATGTTAAATTGTATGTACATAGTGTAAGTGTACAGCTGAGACGAGAAGCACTCATATGTAGCAAAATTATGTAAATATTGAGGACACTGATGTCCTGTTGGACACCTTCATTGGGATATATTGTTCAGAAATCTCTTCCACGCAGCATTGAGAGTGATTGTATCAAAAATACTACTTTCTGAATCACTATATTTGTTGCATAATGTAATTATTCCTACGTGGTAAAGACTTTGTATATGAGATAGAGTATAAAGAATAGACCAGAGAAACAAAGAAACTTTCTCAAGCCTACCTTATTCACATCTTTCACTGTTCTGATGATGCTGTTATTGTACTGGAAGACCTTCTCACTTTCCTCAATGAGGAGGCTCTTCGTCTCGTCACTGTAGCTCTGCGCCAGCTGGTCAATCAATCTCCTCATCCTTGTCTTCAGCTCATGAATTGGGACGCTTCCAAAGTCTGTCACTGCCATTCCATTCTCAGCCCCATCGACACCGGAGGTGAAGTTCTTGGCCAGTCGTCGCTTCTTTTGCAGAATCTGACCGCCGGACAGAAGACCCATGTACAGATGATAAACATAAGCCACCAACAGCATCGCGTTTCTCTCTTTGAGGCTCTGCAGATGCTCCACGTACTTGGCTACCTCCTTCCTCATCTGGTAGCTCTTCTCCCAATCTTTCCCAAGGTAAAACGACAAATCCTTTTCGAAAGCAGTCCGTCGATGAAAAGCCACCGGAAGGATCGTTTCTGGGACATTTCTCTCGAGAAACTTGAAGACTTCATAGAAAATCAGAAGTCCATCCGCCCAAACCCCATCGTCCGAAAGTGCTGAGAAACGTAACATCAAGATTTAGAGTCATTCGCTTAAGAAAAATCCTTGGAAAAATCGTAAACAAAGATAAGACTCACCGAAAGCCAGTTTCGCGTTAACAAGAGCATCGCTAATGCTGTGCACATTTCTAGTCGCTTTGCGCATATCTTTGGTGAACGATGACTCTTTATCACCCATTTTCATAAAGTACAAGACCCGAAAAACACACAAATATTCAGTAAAGTCTGGATTTAGTTGGGGAATGTCGTCTTTCTAAATAACAATGATCAGCTGATATTTAGCAGCTCTTTGTTGTTTATATTTTGGAACTTGCATGCCCTTTACAGATTTGACTATCATGCAAGTCTTGCGTTATAATCACTGTTATACTGTTGTTTTTGTATAGAGTTTGGAGCTCCTCGTGAGAAATTGAGAAATCATGGGAAAAACATCAAAAGACAAGCGAGATATTTACTACCGGCTGGCGAAGGAAGAAGGATGGCGTGCGAGAAGTGCTTTCAAACTCCTGCAAATTGATGAAACCTTCAAAATTTTCGATGGTAAGGAAGATAACCGAGCGTCTGCTTATAACCTAATTGTGAAACATTTTCAGGAGTCACTCGAGCAGTTGATCTCTGCGCTGCTCCCGGAAGCTGGAGTCAAGTCCTCTCTCGGAGACTTTACGAAGGTCGAGCGGAGAGTTCGGATGTCAATATCATAGCGGTGGATCTGCAGGCCATGGCAGCTCTTCCGGGAGTCACTCAAATACAGGGTGACATCACGAAGCTGAGCACTGCTCAGGCGATTATTAATCATTTTGGGGAGAAGAAGGCAGAGTTGGTCGTATGTGATGGAGCTCCGGATGTGACTGGTCTGCATGACATCGATGAGTACATTCAGTCTCAGTTACTTCTGGCCGCTCTCAGCATAACTACCCATGTTCTTATGCCAGGAGGGACTTTTGTGGCCAAGATATTTAGAGGGAAGGATACAACTCTTCTGTACTCACAATTGGACATCTTCTTTGACTCTGTGTCTATTACAAAGCCTCAGAGTTCAAGAAATTCCAGCCTCGGTAAGAAATTAATTGTGTTTTTGAGAAATTTTGCATTCATTGATATTTTCTGATTTATTCTATTCCAGAGGCTTTTGTGGTCTGCAAGCAGTACAATCCACCTGAGGGCTTTGTCCCTCAGATGATAAACCCCATGATCGACGATGTGAAGATCCTCATGGAGGAGACAGAGTCCGAAGTCAATAAGGAACTAATTCCATTCATCGTGTCCGGAGATTTGCGGTACAATTATGATTCCGATATGTCCTACTCATTGCCAGCGAATGAAGTGGGTCAGTATGAGTGGAAGGATGCGGTGCAAAAGCCAATTTGTCCACCTTATGAGGATATCATTGAAATGACCAAGACAATGTCGTTAAAGAATTCGGCAATTGTAAAGCAAAATAAGGAGTTGTAAGAAACTAGCATTTAATCTTCACTACGACTATTTCTTGCCATTTCTTAAGAAACGGTGCTTAAATTGCTGAAAGGTGTGGTCGGCGATAACTACGTGGAGTCTCATATATTGATTATCATCGGGATCAGCCTCTGTGTCCACAACAGTGGCATTCTTGTACAGCCACGACGCTTCTTCGCCACCCATTGAAGCCTTTATGATGATATGAGATCGCTGGGTTCGCTGCAGAATCATCGTCTCAATGTTGTCCAGCAAATCTCTCACTCCCTCCAAAGTGTGCGAAGAGATCATGTGCAGATCTGGGAATTTGGCTCTGATGTCTCCGTCTGCTGGCAGTTTATCCACTTTATTTCCAATATTTATGATATTGTCGAGCTCATGGTTCTCGCTAAATTTCCCTACGAGCTCACGGAGTGTGGTTTCCACATGTTTTCGCTGTTCCGCACAGTTTCCATGTGAAACATCTTGGATGTGGAGAATAACATCTGCTAGCATCACATCCTCGAGGGTAGAAATGAAGCATTCTAGCAATTCAGTTGGGATGTCAGACATAAAGCCTACAGTGTCCATAAAGATAACTTCCAGCTTACAGGGAAGCCTTCCAGCGTGAGCAGTGACGTCCAGAGTGGCGAAAAGCTGATCCCGTGGTTGAAGAGAAACTTCTCTCGTTAGAGCCTTAATCAGAGAAGTCTTTCCGGCGTTTGTGTACCCCACAACAGCTATAACCGGAAAGTTCCTGCTCTGCCTCTTCTTCCTCAAGAGCTTCCTCTGAGCTCTGACGTTTTCCAGCGCCTTCTTTAGCTTCCTTTCTCGAGTGCTCAGGAGAATTCTCTGGGCGTCCGACAACACCAAATCATCCAGCTTCCCTACAATCGCATCCTTGGGTCTTGTCTGGCCCCAAATGTAGGGAATCTCCGCCATGGCCACTTGTAATTTCGCCTCAGAAGACGTTGCATGAAGCCTCAAGATCTGAATGACCATGGAGTAGCGATCTAAAATGGGCAGATGGAAGGTTGTCTCGAGAAATCTTTTCTGAACACCATGGATTACTCCTTTACTGATGAAAATCCGCGTGACTGCGCGTCCAGAAGCCCTCAATTCATTAATAGTCGCTTTTATCTCTTCAATCTTGCCTTTGCCGAAGAGAGTCTTTTTGCTGAAAGTCTCCAGAGGCACCTTCATTGTCTTCCTCACATGCCATCTGGGCACAGATCTCACCAGAGCTTCTGCCTCATCTATCTTTAGTTCCGGCGATGTTGGAGACTTCTGGGGTCCCCACTTGATGTAGGGCTGAATGAGTAAAATGTACTGCTCATTGAGGATGTTCTGAGTGATGTGCAAAGCATTGCTGGCAATAAAGTTGTACTCTTCATCTTTATCAATCATGTTCTCATCAAAGTCTTCTATGATTTCGAACTCATCTTCCTCATCAGCAGACGACTGACGACCCTTCTTTTGTCCACCTTTAATTCCTGACAATATGTATTTGGATCTTACATCTACTCCAAAAAGCACTCCTTGTTTTGTCCATCTTCCCGGATTCTGGGAAAACCGTGGAAATCTAGTGATTCTAAGCGATCGCAGAACTATTGAACGTAGCATTGTATTAATCATCTGCGAATCCTTCAGAACTCTTAAGAGCGGTGTGTTTGTCTTCAAATGCTAACCAGGCTGCTTGGCAAGCCCGTGTTCTATCCTTAGTGGCCTTATAGGCAACTCCAGATCCCACGATGGAAGACGTGAGAATGAAGATTTTGGGCTTGTAAGGCAGGTGCTTCTGCAGAAGTTTTTGCAAAAAGTACGTCCCTGAGAATCCTGAAATTCACGGGATTCAGTGACGTTATACTTATTTGGGAATATTAACTACTTACCGAAAGCAAAAGCAGCCAATCCAGTAAATAAACTCCTTGTCATGCACTCTAAGTAGGAATCAAAACCCGGATGTTTGTCCCTCTGTTGATTCTTGAGGGTCTTTATGTCATTCATTTCAGCACTAAAACTTGGACCCCAGAACGGGAAAGCTCGGGGAATTAGGGTTTTATATAATCTGATAGGACCTTTGAAACCACAGGGAATAAACCTCTCAAGATTAACCTTAAAAAATCAGCTGTGAACTCGCCAGGGAACAACCGGTTCTCTAAGTGGAGACACACACCATCTTTTACATTGATTTAGGATGAACACATTAAAATAAATTCATTTAATATAATTCATTAATTCAAATACTCGAACTTATTAGATCCACGGATGAAAATACATGTAACACACGCCCAGAATAGCAGGATCTGTGGCCAAATCAATGAGGCAGGACACTTGATCCTCCACAGAAAGGTTAATGTCTGGAAGTTGAGTTCGCACATTCATGTCCTCATCTCCTTTGAGGATGTTTCTGTATCCCTCGAGGAATGTAGTGTTGGCGATCACAGACATCGACAGCTCCTCCGCCATCAGGGCTCTTGGATTAGATCCACAAAGTTTTTTCTTGGCAATCTCAATTCTGACGCGATAATTCCATGGGACGTTTTCTGCAAAATTAAAATACTTAATCAATTTTACTATAGATAAAAAAAATCTATTGCGTCCTCACCTTGTGATGAGACATCATCTCGATCATTTGTCGCTGTCATCCAGTCTAGTGTTGGTTCTTGAATGAAGACAGACATGCAAGCCATGATCATCTTGTGACATTGTCTGAAGGATCTCAAGGCGTGAATCATACACTTCTTCAATAGTCCGGACACTCCGAAGGGATTCATCACGTTCACCATTTTAGGTGTGAGTCGGAATGGGATCAGTTCTGGTATCGGTTGGTTGATTGTGGCTCCGCCGAACACCATGCCGAAATCTATGCCAACCAAATGGCCATTCTGTGTGTTAAACAGCAAGTTCCCCAAGTGTCTATCTCCAATGCCCAGAATCCAATGGGCGATATTCATCGTAGCGAGATTCTTAGCAAAGTTGTTTCGCAGCACGAAGAAACACTCCGGCGAAATACTGATGTCCCACAGCGCTTTTCGAACGAGATCCTTTGGGATCATTTTCTCCAGTTCACTAAACTTCTTCCTGATCTTCGATCGAGAGTTTCTCATCACCATATTTCCATAGTCAATAGAGAGTTTTCCATCAGATATGTTGAAATACTCCTTGAATTGTCCAACAACTCTCGTCAGGATGGAATCCAACGCATCATGCCGACTGAAGGATTTCTTTACAAAGTTTTTCATGATCACTGTGTCGTGGACCCAAGTTGTTATGCCACAATATTGAGACATTGGGATGATCTGGTAGGTCTGGATGAAGAGATTGTGATTCTTGCACTGCTCGTCGAGTTGCAAATTCGCGGACATGAGCTGAAGAAGTTGTTGGATTCTCTGATCTTGCCTCAAATCCTCACCGTACTTCACAAGATACTCATGAGATTTTCCATCAGTGCCAGTAATTGTCAGTTTCATGGGTTTTCGCAAGGACTGGAAGATGTAAAGATTTTGATGAAATCTGGCAATCTTAACGTGATGCTCCACAAATGGCTTTTGGTCTCCTTTATACTGTCCTGGCAATTCCATATTCACGCTCTCCTCCGTCGGTTTAAAGTTTATCATCCACGGGCAGAGCTTTCCTAGATCAATACTCTCTTGAATCTCCGCATTAGTTTCCTCCTTCAACGTCTTTATCATGCCATCAAGTGATGTCAGAAGATTCCTCACAGATGATTCATTGCAAAAATCCCTTACAGAAGCCTGATACTTCTCGATATGCTTAAATGCTGATCCCTGAAGATTTTCCACTCCTTCCCTGAATACATTTTTCAGGATATTTCGAATGTACTTCATCTTCTTCCCCTCTGGCATGTGTGTTTCACGGAAGAGATCATTGTAAAATCTCGTGAGATGCGAGGCAAGCATTAATTTGGGTAGACAAAGACACGAAAGTGCTGATATAAAGTGACTCACTCCAGGAATATTTGTCAATCCAATGATCTCTGTAACAAGCTTCCGATCTGGCACTGAAGAATTTTGCATGTCCAAGTGCTGATTGTAGGACAGTGTGAAGGGATAGACAATCGCTGCTGGATATGTTTGTGCCAATCGATGCAGGATTTTGTCTAGATAACAAGGCGAGGAGAAATTGAATGTTGACAGAATCTGAGGCACCCAATTGAGGAACATCCATTCAGGTACTTTCTTGCTCTCGCTGATAAACAACTTAGTGATGATTGAATTCGATTTCAAATTTGGCATCTCCAGTAAAGCTGGAAAGAGATTGCGCGCCTCCCTGGAATTGTATCGCATGCCACGCAATACCGAGAGAATGAAGTTCTGCTCCAGCGAAAGAGACTTATTGTTCTCTCCAATGCGATCGTAGCAGTAACTGGCCATCTTGTAGTAAGTATTGCCAAGTATTTTGCTGTCAATCTGAGATGATTCTGCAATTTCGCCCGCCACCTCCACACTCTTGATAAGCCAAGTAAGATTTTGCTGTTGTAGTCGAGCATTCAAATCAGTGGTAATTCCTTGTGGGGTTAAATTCAGGATAATATCTCTGTGGTTGTCGTCAATGTTGACCCTTGGAAGGTTATCTGACACCCTTTTAAGGACTTCTATGAGATCACTGTAGATTTGCAGTTGAAAATTGAGGCTGTAGTCCTTCATAGCAGCCGAAGTCACGATTTCATTGACTTTCGCAGAAGATTTGAGATACTCTTTAAAGGTTTCGGTCGCATGTTGATTCTCAATTTTCAAATTCCTTAGTTTGCACTTTGCCAATTCCAGCTTCACTGTATTCTCAACTTCTATATTCATGGCTGTGTTCTGGCTTTGTGAGTTCAGTAAAGATTGCAAAACACTGAAAGACAACTGGACATTCTTCTGCTGAATAGCTGCTTCGAAGAACTTAAACTTCATCTCTGTTATGCATTGATCGATATCTGCAGCATTTCCTTTTAACACGCCCCCAAAGTATGATCTGTAGGCGATTAGGAAATCCCACATTTTGAGCGAATCATTGAGACTAGGAGAGGCACTTTTCCACGTCTTCAGAAGTTTCTCGATCCTCTCACTTTTCTCATCATTTAGGATAATCTCAATGCAGCGATGAATCTCGGCCACGCGACGAAGATTGAAAATCTTTTCAGATCGCAACTTGTCCGACAAAATGCTTAGATGTCCCCATTCTGACAAGAAGTAGGACAAATTTTGCTCTGACTGGACCCTGGCTGATCGGAAGTCTCCGTTGGCAATTTGAAACATTATGATTTCCTCTGAGTAGTTTGTTCTGAGAGTGTTGGCTTTCTCCGGCACACGTAGCCATCCCTCCAAGATATCTATGAACTCCTTACTCTCCGTTTTCCCCTGCAACATGAGGCGCATATTGGCTTTTATGAGACATGGCAAAAGATTTTCATGATCCCACTCATTCGTCCACAACTCCTCCCAGCTGTCCACTTGATCTTTTCCAATCTTCGCCAATTCGGACCACTTTCCCATCTTTTCGTAGCAGTTATAGAGGGATTCGTAGCAAAAATCATACTCAATCTTCTGACCACCTGATGCGACTAGTCCTATGAAAATCTTCTGGGCCGCAATTAAGTCTCCTCGACTCTGACAATCAATAGCTCTGCTCAAATCCGGATTAGTCAAGAGTTTGTCGGAGAAAATGCTCGACACCATATCATTCTCCGAAATGCTCTGGTACAATTCCGCCAGCTTTAGCCACATGTTGGGCATTAAATTCTCTTGTGAGCCATGTGACGTTATGGAGGGATCACTCGACAGGATATTAAGGCAGGATTCGATGTAGAGTGTAGCACTGGGAACCATGTTGCTCGCAATTGAAGATATCGCCACGATGTCAGGTGAGAAATTGAAAAGCGTCGGATCACTCAGAGCCACTTCCATGAGCGTAGCAAAGATTATTGATTCGCAATTCTTTGACGTATTCAGGATTTCATTAATATGAAGACTGACAGATTGCCGGAAGGTTGTCGTGTTATTATTCACATTGGAAATTAAGCCATTGTAGAGAGCCATGAAAATATGTCTAGCCACTATTGCGTCCTTTTTCACGAGCGCTTGAAGGGGCAACAAGAGTGCCAAGCCGTTGATGAGCAAGTCAGGGAAATCACCAAATCTGTACCGACGGTACATGACAACTTCATTTTCCTTGGCACGTCTGATATTGGTGTACTTCTGAGTCTCACTGTGCTTCTTCTCTATCATCTTCAACGCATGTTCCTTGTGAGACTTCTCTTTATCCACGATGAAGCGCTTGCGAAGGTTTCCCAGTGGTGGTTTTGGTTTACTAGTCGTTGCCTCTGAGATATGCCGTGAATTCCTGTCCAACACTTGTGGCGGAAGAGTGAAAAGAAGAGAGTTTGGCGTCGAGAGAGCAAAGGTATCGGGGATTTTTGTTATAGTTGTTGGATCCTGAGTTGGTTGAAAACCTTCAGCACTCGCTGTTGCCCTCAGCATTCTTCCCATTTGCAGAGAACTGCCCACAATCACCTGACGTTGCTGTGATTCCACAAACAGAGGCACCAGAGAGTGGTTTGACTTCGATCTCCAGCTCACGTTGATTTCGTATTCCGTCAGTTTGTAATCATTCTCAATCTGGTTCAGCAACAGTTGATCTTTAGAATTGGGATTTTGAACTGGTAAGTCGAGGAGGAGTTGCGTGGCATATTCGAGAAAATGCTTTTCCGCCTTTGGATCATAGAGATTCTCTAGTATCGCCAAGAATCTGTCCCGAAGTTTCGGAGAGAGGATCTTCTCGTTGGACCAAAAGGTGAAAATGCGGTTTTGAATATCGGTGTCTATATCCGACAGTCCATTCAGCAGCGAACCGAGGATGGTCTTATAAATCTCGGTCTTGTGCTCTGATCTCTCCTTCAAGATTTGCACCATGTTGACGAGAATTTCGTACATTAGATCACGACATTCTGTGTTTTTGCTCTCCGCAAATGACAAAACATCATTGGAAATTTCAGCGATTTCTCCTTCAGTCATGTTCTTCACTGCTTTGTTAATCAAGTGGAGTCCCAATAGTTGATGTTGAGCCTGCTTTAAAATATCTCTTATGCCAAGTGTCATCAGCTCTCGAAAAATTGTGTCGCCGTATTTTTCCATTCCAGAAAGGAACATCTCCAAACAAACTTTCTTCTTCGCCCCGAAAGCATTTGGAATCACGTGGCTAATCACCAGCATGAAAGGTTCTAGAATCTTGGGATAGTTCTTCTGAACACCGTAAATCACGTTGATGAATTTGTCTTCACTTGAGCGCTTGATGGCTTCAATTTTCAATTTAAGATCCATTGAGCAGACATCATCCTCAATTTCTCCATCTGGATTAATATGTTTCAGGCACATGCCAAGAAGATGTGACGCTGTCTGATAGATCATCTTAAAGTCATTATCTAGACACCGAAAAAGGGCCTTCAAGTAGTTCACCTTAATGGCATCTACCCAAGGAATGATGCCAGTGGACAACACAATAGCATTCAACTGAAGACCACAAATGTTCTCCTTCGAATCATTGCTGCAATTTTGAGTCACAAGATCGTAAAGCACTTGCTTTTGGATTATTACGAAGTCTTTCCAGAGATGAATCAATCGATTTATGAGGTCCAAATTCAGCTTAAAAATCTCAGTTCGTGCATGATAGCAGTTCTTCATGAGAAAAGTCAACATCTGTGACGCCACGCTGGATTCATCGCAAGATTTGGGCTCATAAACCTCACTCCACTCGAGAATCAAAGCCACCAAGTCAGTTATGAAGGAGTTCAAGATGTTTCCGGCGCATTCATCTACAATAAATTGCATCAGAGGTGCCATCAGTGTGGAGCAGTAGAACTTGAACACATTTCGGCAATTATCCACCAATTTGCAGAGGAAGATCCGCACATTCTTGGGCTGTTGTCGACTGTAAATAGCATTTGCTATGGCTTCCACCCACTGCGGGGCTATTCTTCGAACATTGCTCGCATCTTCGATAACAGGAGTGATCTTATTCTCATACATGTGATTAATCAAGGCGCAAAGAGTTGCCATTAGCTCGTGTTTGTTGATATCATCATTCTCCAGCTGAACACAGGCAAATTCTTTATCTGTCTCTCTATTGGCAACATCTTCGGCAGTACGAATTGCGGCATGTGTGAAGTCGAATCGCGTAACTTCCTGGCTCAAAGATGACATGAAGACGTTGTTTGTGTGAGAAAACTTCATATAGTCTCCCTCACTTTTGCGCGCCAAACGCTTTATCGACACCATAAGATCTCTAACTTTAGGATAATCTGGGAATTCTTGTTCCAAATTGCTGTATAAATTGTTGTTCTTGCAATTAATGATCCTCTGCCAAATGTACTCATCTTTTGCGGGATCTTCCTTGAACAATAATCCTTCATAGAACTTCAACTGATCTTGCGTGTTGCTCACGATTGTGCATAGAGCTGAATAAGCGTGACACTGGTACTTTCTATAGAAGTCTGAAGCAGTCTCATCTGACGTGAGAAAAATTTCTGATCGCACTTTAAAAGCCTTCCTTGTGAGTTGCTTCACAATCTCCGTTCCAGGTGTGCCGAGTAAAGCAAAACTTATTGTTGTGAGGCACTCCTTATCCACCATACTGAAGAGGCACTCGATCAATTCATAGCCTCCAGCTCGGCTCACCAGAGCCTGCTCCACCGGCCATCCTCTGCCCTGCATACCGTAGCTCGAGTCCGTCAACTCCACCACTTTCTTTATGTTTCTCTCGAAGAACGTGATGATGGCTTTAGTACTGCATGATCTAATAATGGTTTTGAGAAACCTGCGACTCACAATCAGTCGAATGTTCGGCTCCAATTGAGTGTTGCAAAACACATCAAAACATAGCTAAGGCAAAAAAGTATTGCATTAAAATGATAAATAGCGTTAATTTTTGCTTTAGATATACAGTATAACATGAGAATTTGAAGAAAATATTTTCTTACCTGTATGCACTCCACTTGATGATCGTCTGACATTAAATGCATGCATTTCTGTAGCTGTTCTGCGATTTCGTGTTCCATGATGTGGTTCTCGTCCCCGGCAGTTGCATCGATGAGGAACTTGAGAAGAATGCGTGATTGAGATGCCACCAAAGCTTCCAGAATCGTTCTAAAAGTCACAACCAAGCTGGCACGTTCCATACTCTCCGCCTTGAATTCAGATGAAATCAGCGGCAAACGGTCGGCTTGAAAAGCACGGAGAGCAGCAGTAAGTTTATCGTTGAAATTGTCTTGAGGACCTGTGATAGTTGGCAAAAGTTCCAATGCATGATTCTTCACTTCCATTGACGTGTCTTTGCTGGAGATCAGGTCGAGGATCCATTGCTTAAGATCATTTAACTTTGTAGCTAATTCCCATAGAGGATATGGACTGATCATTGCTATGTTTGACACGAGTTCGATCAAATAAAGATCAGCCAATTTGGATGAACTGCTCCATTCGACAAAGAATGTCCGAATAGTTGGCCACAAACCAATAATTGTGTCCACCAAGATTTTCCCATTGCCTTTTTCTGACACTTTATCGAAAATGAACTTGCAGAGTTCAATGATCACCCGACTTGCCATTGGCAATCGTGCAATAGACACATTCTTGATGATAGTACGGATTGTCACATCAATCTTCCTTGTTAAATTAGCTAAAAGTTCATCTCGATACACATCCAGAAAGTATTCTCCGCGATTCATGCATCCTTTCTCTGAAGCATTGAGTGTCTTCACTGGCGTTTGATCATACAAACAATCAATCACACACACATGAGTGACTTCGTTATAGAAAGCGATATTCAAGAGCAAATTTAGGTAAGCTTTCACCTCATGAGACAGAGTTCTGATGTAAAGTTCATTTTGTCTCTTGTTCGTTATGGATAGGAAAAGATCGGTCAATAGTCTTTTTGTTGCTGAAGCGAAGAATGTTTTTGTAATGTCGGGAAATGTCGACACTTTGACATACTTGCAGATGACGAGAATGCCTCTTGCTTCCCGAAATATTGAGCTTTCCAGCGAGTTCTTCTCAACCATATTCTCTGTATTCATCGTGACAATATTCAATCGATAGGCAAACTCGTCCTTGATAGCCAGGAACAGTTTCTCATTAAACTCTTTGGGAGCGTCTCTCCTGATCCTCGTGAGAACTAGTTCCGTTTTGGTCGGCAATGACTCCTCAATAGAACCTTGCTGAAAACTTAGACCCAATTCTTGGGGTTGGAAAATCAGATCGAGTATAAACTTTATAATCTTGCTGTCCGGCCGCCAAAAAGACTTCGGAAAGTCTTGACCACAAAACTGTACGACTTTAGTTAGGAAGCTCATTAATTTTGCAGATAGAATCGCCTTGATATCACTTATTTGATGATAGATCTGCATACTCATTTCAATTTCTTTGCGATCTTCTTCAAAGGTGTCAATATTGAGGAGGACAATTATGTCAAAACCACTTTTCCAGCACACATTCTCCAAATAGTAGTCTATCGCATGGAAAATTTTGCTTTTGGTTATAGTTTCCGTAGGGTTTTGAACCAAATCTCCACCGAAGAGCCAAATTTGATTGTCAAGATCGGTCAGCAGACTCACCAAGAAGTCATGGATGAGCTTCATTGGCATATTATCCTCAGATGTGATATGAGTGAGATCTGGACGTTGACCGATGCCTTCATTTCCATCCTTTCCTTCACACAGTTGCAGAATCTCCTCATTGGAGATGCAAGAAGCAATGAACTTCTTTGGAGAGTCATACTCCTTCACGTGTGGAACAATCTTCATAAAAAGCTCGATGCACTTTCCTCGATAAACACGGCTGTGTGATCCACACTCGTGGAAAATCCATAACGCCAAGTGCTTCAGTGTGGCCTCTTCTAGTGGTTCTGGTTTCACCCTTTCGGCGGTTGTGGTGCTGAAGAAGTCACTTTTCTCACAGAGAACTCGAACAATGTGATCAAGAGCGAGACAGACTTGCTCAATAGCCATACTTTCATGTTGAGAGTCGAAATTCTTCATGCAGAGCTTGAGATTTGTACAGTACAAGTAAGCCAACATTATCCAGTATCGATTAAGAAGGCTTTCATCTTCCCTCAGAATTCTGTACAGGTTATTGAAGGCCAATGAGGCGCCCAGTCGGTGGTACACGTTGAAGTTCCAGCAGTAGAACTCCAACTGAGTGACTATTCTTGTGATATTCAGTATGGAAGCACTCACTTGATCACCCGTGCTTTGCCTCAACGTCCACGACACAAATTCCCGCAAACATCTCGCTGACAGATCTCTTACTGCAGCATTTGAGGGATGAGAAATATTTTCCATTAGAGCTGCCAATAATTCATTGATACCATCCTGATTTGGCTGCGCCTTGTAGTGCATTATTTGCATAAGCAGTGGCTCGAACATTTGTTGAACCGCCACATCGGCATCACAGCCCAGATGGATTATCTGATTCCACATTTCCATCCAGATTTTAGGACTCTTCACCGGGATTCCAATCATATACAGAACAATTCCATGTAATAACTCACAGGCATTGATTTTTACCTTTCTGTCACTGGACGACAGGGCGAGCTGGAAAACGCGTGGCAGTAGAGGATCGAGACAGATTATCGGCGAAACATCTGTACAGTGAATCTTCAATTTTATGCTGCTGTCGAAGTCGCCCTTGGTGAGATTTGTGGCAGTGTGCTTCCTGTTGTTCAACAAATAAAGACACATCTCGGGTTCTATTATTCCTAAAATAAGTACAGAAATTTGAGCATAATTGTATAAGCATGAGGATAAGTATCATTCTTACCAATAAAATCATAGATTCTCTTCTGAAATTTCAGCAATTCACTGTCAGTGTCCACTTGACGAAAGTTCCTTTGAATCTTCCGGCGATTTTGAACTCGTACAATCTCCACACTGAGAACCGATGGATCAGAAAATCCCTTGCTCTGCAAAAAGACGTCCAAGCACGGCAAAACTTTCTCCAGTATTTCCTTCACATCATCTGACGCTTGATCCCTGGTGACAATCCTGAAGAGAGCACTTAGGGCCTTATTGGCCAGCCACAAAATGCTCTTCCCAATCTCAAAGGCAATCTTGAAGACTTCAATGATATCCTGCAGAAATCGTATGACAATCTCTGTTGGAACACTGAAAATCGTCTGTATGTAGGAGATTTGTAATTCACCAGAAGTGAACTGTGTTCTTTGAATGAGGATTCTCAGCAAATATATCACGATATCGTGAGTCTCAGATCTCTCTTTTTGGTGCTCCTCATCGAAGAACTTGATCTTGTTAGCGACATTCAGCACCAAATCCAGAAGCTTAGGAAATCCACTAACAAGTGGATATTTCTGCATGTTGATGACGATTAGGTGGCAAAATTGAGGAATCCACGGTAGGAAATTCTTCTCATGATGATCAATGCTCTGATCATAGACTACATCTCTGAACAGATCGATCACATTGAAGAAAATGTTGAAATCATAAGGTTTGACTGGTTCGAGGTCGATGTTGGGATCACAGAAAGCAAACTCCTCATCTTTTCCATTTTCATCCTTGTACGTTCTCTTCTTCGTGTCAAGATTCAATTTCCCGATGATCATGTGGATTGAAGAGATAAATGATTCGTAGATCTTTTCTGAGACTGCAGTGAATTGTGGACGCTTTCCAGAGTTAAAAATTCCCTGCCAAAGTGGCAAGTAATTTTTGTACGTGATATTTTCCTTCCAATCCTGGGAATTTTCATCTCGAAACGCGTCGAAAGGCAGTTTGTGTCTACATGTCCAAATAATCCCTTGCTTGATCACTGCTTGAACGATATCTTGAAAAACTGTGCCCTCGAGGAGAGTGCAATTCAGGAAGGTGTTCATGAAAGCCTTTAACACGAATTCATGATGAGCTCTCGAGAGGTAGTGAAAGTCCTTGATGAATTCAATCATCATATTCTCCAGTGAAGTGATCTGAAACCTTGAGATCATCGGCATGTGAGCCATTATTTGACTGAGGGATTCCATAAAGTCAGCCAAATGCTCCATATGCTCCCTCTTGTTAATCTTCTCTTTGAAGTAGGCGTGATCAGTCGCCTGAATCACAAGATTCAGGAGGTTTTCCATTTGATCGGCTGGCACAATCGCTTTGCATGGCCCGGCCATCAATCCGAAACCTTGAATAGCGATGCGGATGTCATACGGCTGCGATGTAGAGCTCTGGAGGACATTCGTGAAGTATTTGAAAAAGAATTTCAGCACCTCTCCATCTTCTGGTTGTGATCTTTCAGTGAGAGTGATTGCCAGTTGCTTGTGAACAGCATATATCGCATTAATGGCTATCCTCTTGTCCTCATATGTCAATTGTAGCCACTTTTGCAGTGCCTCGTGCCAGAACTTGTGATCTCTGAGCAATTGTTCCGCAATCAAGGCCGTGTGTGACGTGAGGAGGAGCATAGCGCTCCTGAATAGGGCCTTCTCCCGAATGTCTCCGACATCTGAGAGCTCCTTGACGCAGTTATAGATGATATCACATTCCCGGGCACCCTCTTCGCCTTCAGGAGAAAAGTTGATCAGGTAGCTATTGAGGCCATCAAGGGCTCCAGCAATAGTGCCGAGGGAAATTTTATCCTTCTGAATTATCAGGCTGTCGAGATTGGTGAAGATTGCCTTGTGAAACTGCTGCCGATACGATTCCGACACATGTTGTGGGAAATCCTTGCAGATAAGCCCAACGACTTCGAAACTGATCTGAAGCACTGCAAAACGAGGCGAGATCATAAAAATTAAGGCAAACCATGATTGAGGACAATTCTTACATCTCGACGGAGGATCCTTGTCGTTAAACACCCTGAAGATCTTGCTCAGGACAGTGGGAAAGTCGATTGCATCGCACAGTTTGCGCAGAAACATCTCATGGATGATTTGCATGCACAACTCCTTCTCTTTGGCACTCACATTTAAGGCAACGATGTACTTTGTTGAATACTAGGAGATTTACAGTTATGTTAGTTACCTGCGGCACAGAATGAGAATCAAAAGTAAAGGCTTACCTTAATCACAGACGTGACATACTTGGGCATTTTTCCCGAGTATTCCCGGACAATCTTGAGGTGCAGCTTCAGAATCTCTTCGTTGCATTCTTTGAATAGTTTGTTGTACTGAAGGCTCTGAAAGAGTAGAGCTACTGTGCCATGGTTCATGTTGAAGATGATATCAACGGCCAAGTCTGCAGAGAGAAGTAGGATATTGTAGGATCAGCACTTTATTTCATGCCACATTGAGTTACCAATCTCCGAATTTGTAAGGGCTTCATCGAAGATACCGGACACCAGTTGCAAACAATTGAGCGCAGCTTTCGGGTGTTGACCGTCAATCTTCCTCTTCACTGAGGATATGGCGGAAGTGATCTTCTCATTCATCTCACCGCCGATCACAAAGGCACGTGATAAAACATTGAAAACTGTAAGTAATTCTTGCGGAGATACAAATGTTGTGAAATTTCGGCAAAAATATGTTTTCAACACTTGCGCCTCTCTCGGCCACTTTTGTAAATTCATTGGTTTTCTTGCCGCAATGTTGGCAACAGAAAGTTGCTCAGTTTTTGGTTGGCGATTATAATGCATATTTTCTGAGAAAAAAGTTGACGAAAAAGTGATAATTGTGGGTTGAAAAGGTGCATTATATATGTTAGAAAATCTCGCGCGAATAGGCTCATTTCTCGGACGATTGGCTCACAAGGGACACGTGCGAATATCACAGAGTTTCGTTGCAAAACAAAGCGACCGACATTGCCACAAAATGAATTTACCAAAGCCAAATGTTGTGTTTGTTTTGGGTGCTCCCGGATCCGGAAAGGGCACGCAGTGTGAGAAGATTATGAAGAAGTTTGACTACGTGCACTTATCTGCTGGGGATTTGTTACGAGAGGAGCGCAATAGAGAAGGCTCAGAGTACGGAGAGTTGATTGAGAATTACATTCGCAATGGGAAAATCGTTCCCGTGGACGTGACTTGTGCCCTCCTCGAGAATGCCATGAATCAAAATATGAAAGTATGAGAGCAAACTCCAGTTGAGGGCCTCATGCCCATCCTCTAATTACTATCTGTTCCCTTCAGGTGAGCGGGAAGGACTGCTTTCTGGTCGACGGATTCCCCCGGAATAAGGACAACGTCGATGGCTGGCAGCGCCGGATGTCTGACAAGGTCAACCTGAAGTTCGTCCTCGTGTTCAACTGTCCGGAAGACGCCTGCGTGGAGAGATGTATAAATCGTGGCAAGAGCGGAAGCAATCGCTCAGACGATAATATAGATAGTCTGAAGAAAAGATTCGACACCTTTGTCAACGATTCTATGCCCATCATCAATTACTACAAGGCGCAGAATTTAGTGCACGAACTGGACGCCACCAAATCACCAGACGAGGTGTTTGAAGATGTTAAAGCTTTCTTCGCTGACAACTAAACCGCGTAAGTTTAGTTTGCGCATCCTAGGTTTTTGTTGATATTATTTCTATATACTTACTATATACAAAAGACTAGAATTATTTTTCTAATGGCTTTGGGGGCTTTTGGGCAGGATACAGCAAGCTGCATAGCTAAAAAAAAACTCTTGAGAAGAGATGTTTTCCAAAGTGATTCTCAAGTATATCATTGAAAAAAATAGCTAAAAGTGAGCAGGTATTTTATAAGTGCTTTTGTGTTTCTTTTGTAAAGTATAAAATTACCTGAAGATCGAAAATGGTATCGAAAGTCTCAAATATTGTTCGAAAATCTAACACCATATTTTGTGAAAATTTTAAAATTCTACTTACCGTAATATCAACAAAATCCTGCGGACTGCACAGACACAATTATATGTATACACATAGAAATTATAGAAGAAAATACGTACTTCAAACAAGATGAAAATTCTTCATGTCGTTATCGTCATTCCGGAAATCCCAGATTGTATTTCTGTTCAAATAGTGGTCAGCAGTTTCTTCTTATTTATATAAAACAAGTAAATGGTTGCTCATGTATAGATAATAAATATATTACATGGAGTTTGAGAAATCATTCCATTGCTATCGCGAGTGCTGCGGCGGGAAGGTTGCAAAAGTGAGATAGCCGGTGTGACCAGGGAGGCTCTGTGGATGCGTGGCACTCACAATTTTCTTCGTCTCCAACGGATTTCCCTGTGGTTTTTCGCCATTTTCGCTCTCCGTCTTCTGCGAATGAAGAAATTCAAGTTAATAAATAAATAAACAAGCAGGAGATTTGCATATAATCGCCAATAGAGGTGGAATTAGTCTTCGAAGTAGCTGACACTACCAATATATTTTACAGATAAGCCCATGTATTTGTCCCATAGCACACACTTGGCTGCCTTCGCTGCGATTTTGATGTCATCATTGGCGAAAAAAAGACGAGTTCAATGGCAAAACCCCGTGGCCAGTGTGCTTTTAACGTGCCATTAACACGTCCATTAATTTTTCTGATATTAATTTTGTACATATTTTGTACAATTTATGCATGCAAAACGTCAACATTGATGAATTTTTGTACGCGATAGTGGATATTTTCACTTTTCTGCGTGTCAAAATGAAGAAAAAATATTCCACATTGATCCTCTGGATGGCCTGCAAATCCAATTACCGGTTACAAAGTGGTGCGCATGTCGCTCGAAATGTGCTCATCTTCGCGGTATTTCTTGCATTTCCCATAATATACGAAGAGACACTAAAATCTCAAACATCTCAGCGTGGTGCAAGATAAATCGTTTATTATTCTCGCAAGCAAATTTCACTTGCAATCACGTTCTATGACCTGCGAGAGAGAGAGCATCACAGATCATCTCGCAATATTCACACATAAATCTTCTGTCGCAGTGCCTGGCAAAACCGTCTCAGATGCTGAGATTGAGCGAAATAATATTTTCTGGTGCTATTGAATCCATCAATGCTGGACGCTAATTAGTTGGTGGTGTGATTAATGGATCAATGCGGAAGGGATCTTGCGTGGAGGTTGGAAAAAGCAGAGTTGGAACATATATTATTCCATTAGAATCAGAACCATTGACATTCCGTGTCTTAAAAGCTTAGATATGAGGGCAACACTCGAACTACTGGGGAGAATCTTATGCGTAGTTTCATAAAATGTGCGAATGTTCGTCAGTTATTCATAATCAAAATACTTGTTTGATCGTCAATCATGGAAATTTTCAAACAAAAGCACATTAAATTCATAGAGTATGGCTAAGAAGCAGCAAGTGAGGTGCGATTGTCGCTCCAAATCAGGGATCCCCTTCTGTGTTGCCCGGAGAGTGAATGAAGACAGCAATAAAATCCCTTACCTTATGTTTAACAAAGTCCAGCTCCAGCGTCGGAATATATCTTGGCTTGAGAATACTCTCCATATGTATGATCTCCATAGTTTGTATTTCAACAAATTTATGCGTGTCGAGTGCCTCGCAGCAGCGCTGTGATTGCTCAATGCATGGTGAGAACGAGCAAAATCTGCCACCTGAAATTCAATAAATAACCGCATCAAATTGACTTTTTGTGTCAACAAATCTATTCAATTGTAAGTGAATTGTGATTAAATGGCGCACAAACAACTGATTGGAATTTATCAATAAAATTACACCACATTAGAGGCCGGGATGTGTGGGAGAGGTTGAGATGTGGCAAAGGCGCTCTCTGACTATGCACATGCACACAACTGATGAGAGCCTGCGCGACATCAAAAGTTATTATGTGAAAACGCGCGCGCAGTGTGGAAATGCACAAACGAGGAGACGCGCTGCATAGATGCGACCGTCAATTCAGTGCCATTTCTCCTAATCAAATAAATTAGCATAATTGCACAGTAAAGTGGAAATGGACAGTAGACTGTAACACCTTTTTGCCCACTGCATCTTTCTACCCAATTTCATCTATTAAAGTGTGCACACAGTGGGGAATTTATCTCCTACCTGAGATTCACAACATTTGTATTAATGTTGTTATCTCTTCGGAAATTGCAAAGTGTTACAATGCAATGCGCTCGGGCGGGATGGGGCGGGCGGGCGGCCGAAAGGGAGAAGAGACGACTTGCGACTTGAGAAGTTGTGTATACAAAGTGATTTGAAAGATTTACCAGCTACCAATCGATTCCACTTCAATTCGTTTGTTCTTCGACATCGGAACTGTGGGCCGTGAGAAAAATCTCTGGCGATTGTAAATCAAGATAACTTGATATCCAAAGGAAAATTATGGAAACATTAATTTTCGACATTAGGAGAGATAATTAAAATTTTGTAAAACTAACCATCAATTTGCAATTTCTGCATTTTAACTGAATATTCACATTAAATAAGAAGTTTTCATTCCATAGTGACTTTTTAATACTCTCATCTTTCCCGACTTACGACTCACAATTCACCTTTATTCACATTAAGCGCAATTCCAGTAAAATGCATTTATTGAATAAATGCATCGAGCGCGGCAACACCGGCAGCTGGAAGAGCTGCCCAAAACAAGCGTACCTCATTCTACCATCACTCTTCCTGCAATTGAAGAGTGTGTACGACAAGACACAAAACCCCACCAACTTATTAGTATAGATGCAGTGTTGAGCACTATCAATAGAGTGGAGAGGAAGAAAGAGACTCGCGAGCCACTTCCTAACCCTCTTGTTGTGTCCCAAGGCAAAAGTGCCGAGCGAGTCTTCGCCGCAATTGCAAGTCAATTCTGTGCCGACAGACAGTCTGCAGAGAGCTCAACATTTTCGCATTAGTTAACAGTATCCCGAATATGGACAGAGTTGTTGAGCAAATTAGCGTAAACGGAAATTTACAGCCGCTGAGAACTATCTTTATGCGGTGCGACTTTTCTTTTGGAATCCCACCACGTCTCTCACCGCTAATCAAAAAGATTCCATACGAAAGTAATTTCAATTACGTGGCAATTGGATGACTTCTTGCAAGAGAGAGCGCAGAGAGTTTATCAAAATTGTCAGAGTTTGTTTATCCACATTCTGCTAGCAATAAATTGGTGAAATTTACAATAATGTTTTGTAGGCATCAATATTTTTCGCTTTGTCTTGCTAATATTGAGTTGAATTGATACAATTCCCTGCAATATTATGAGTTTCATGTCCAAAAATGTATTTTTCTCACGTGAACCAGAATCGATTGCGAATGAAATATCACGATCGGTGTGCTGTTAAGACGAAATAATATGCAGATTAAAGGTGTAAATTGCATTTGTATAGGCTCTCGTTGCAACGTTGTAACATACAATTGAAATGAGGAATAATAGCAGCACGATTAACAATTAATTGTGAGTAAACAGCACAAATATCAATGAGGTGACAAGATGAGTTTGTTCACACATATAATGAGTGAATGAATGAATTGTGAAGTGAACTTATGTGGGCAAAGGAAGACAAGTATGGGCACAGCAACTAGTCAAGTGATGCTGTCTGCCGTATTCTTCGGATGGTGAAAAGGAGAAAAGTTGAGAGATACACAGCAAATAGAGGTGAAAAAAGTGCAATAAATTTTCAATCAAGCGAAGAGCGCGCACTTTGAGAAACCGCCTCAATCCAACGTGTGTGACATGATGCATTTACAAGCCTAATAATGTGCACCTTTTCTCTCTGCCCATGTAGAATAATGAGGCATCACAGTCTCTCCCTGCTTTTCATCCAGGAGAGTGTTTTGCTAAGGAAATCCAGAGAGTCCGTGGGATCCTTTCTCCGCAATATTACTCCATATATGAAACCGTTAATAGTATGTCAACATAACTCCCGCTCAAGTGATAATAAATTATTTCCCGACAACTCTGGCACATGAGAGCAAATATGCAAGAATTAAATGTCGCTTTCTGTGTTACACACAAATGCTGGTGCTCAATTTATGATCCATCTGCAGATTGATTCTGCAATCACTTTTCAATAGCGTGGCGAATTATTAATGCCCCACCGCGAGGCAATGTTGCGCATAGCGAATGCGAGGCATGCAAAGAAGCAAAATCCTTTGGGAGGAGTTGACAAAGAAATTGTCTCTCTTGACATTATTTCAAATCTTATTTATCTGCCGTCGAGTGTGTTCCACTGCATTGCTACTGAAATGCACCAAATCGATCGCAGTAAATTCGTATTAGACTTCTTGTCAAACTGTCGCCGAGAAATTGTGTGCTTCCGATGTGTAGTAAAGTATTCTGAATAGTTTTGTTGGTCTAATCTTCTAGCATAGCACTCGTACAGCGAGATAAACTTAATTACAAGCACTGTGTAAAAGTGTGATCATGTTGAGTTCAACTCGACATCGCGAAGATCTAATATTTTATATCTGTCCGTAGTAAAATCAAATGCACTGTGCTTCGGAGTGGCTTGTAGGAGGGATGAAAAGCGGAGAAATGGCACAGAAACTAATTGCAATTGATTGGCCTGATGATCAGAATAATTTTTCATTCCATTGGCAATGTTTAATTAATTGGCGCATCTCACCTGAGGACTTGAAGGCTTTGACAGCGTGAGGAACGGCGAGCCAGGGTGCCGGCAGATCGAGAAAGACAGCATCGACAGACCCATTCAGCGCTTCCGTGAATCCATTACTGCACACATCTCTGTGGTACACTGTCACAAAGTCGCCTATTCCGTGCTGCTGGAATTCCTCCCGTGCCATCTGCGCTCGCACCTCATGGAAGTCGAAGGTGTGCAAATGTCCGGTGCTCTTGATGGCGCGAATGAGGGCGTGCGACAGGGAGCCGCTCCCAGTGCCTTTGGAGAAAATGCCAAAGAGTTACTATGCTCGTTATGCCGCAATTCCTATGTCGGTCCCACCTGATTCAATTACAACACTTCCTGGCTTGATTTCCAGCTGGTAGAGAATCATGCTGATGTCAGGCGTGTAGATGATCTGGGTTCTGTGGGGCAGGGTAAGGGTCCACAGTTCCGGGCTGGGCTGCAAAACATACGCCCACCCTTTCGTGAGTTTTACCTGTAGAATCAATCACAAACATAAGAATACTTCATGCAGGCATGGAGAAAAGGTAATATAACTCCTCCACCTTTGATCCATATTCCGTACCGACGAGACTAATCACTCTTAGAGCACCAAATTGCGTCTGAAAAACATTGTCCACCATCTTCCCATCCTTGTTTGTCAACTTGGGAGTCACCTGAATGGCGTGCATGTTGTTTATCGATAAATACAGTATCACCGTATCATTCTCTTCCACAAAACTTTTCGCACCCGCGAAGCTCATCTTCTCATACGTACTCTCGCACTAGCACTGTAAAAATTACCAGGAAATTCAAGGGAACACGGATCAAAACAATCCAGCCCGGTAAACGCGTGGTCAACAAACACAATAACCTCACTTCACTGACACACTTTTTCCGCCCCGCGCGCCCTCTCAAAATGTTGCTCAGTAATTGCTCAAAATTTGCCGCTCAAATTCAAAAGAGACAAACGGTTGGGGAAATTTTTCAAAATACTAATGATTTTGTTTTTCGCATAAATTATATTTCTTAATAAAATTCATGTACAAAAATTGCATTATATAAAGCATGTTCCAAGTTACTAATTTATATATAAATATTTTTCAATAAAAAAGATAACTCGTGTCACGAAAATACAATAAAAGATAAGTATAGAAATTGCACTACGGAATGAAACAGAATTATATGCACTTCTGCAAGGGATACAAAAACAATTGCTATTTTAGATTTATTTTTTCAGAAATACATTAAAACAGACTTATTGGAGTGTCCTTAGGAACATGGAAACCACAAAAATGCATAAAATATACAAATTTTATTGCTGTCTTCACTTCTTCACGCACAGAGTCAGTTGTTTTTGGAGAAAAATGGTAGCACGCGAACGTAATAAATAAATTATTGCAATAGCCAATTGCACACGAACCAGCCATTTTCTCAGAGTTTCCACTTTTCGAAAAATAGACTACCTACTTAAATGTATTTTTTTCTTTCATAATTTTAAAGTCATTGAAAGACTGTTGCTATGTACAAAATATGTTATACTGGACAAAAATAGTTCTCTCCGCTGAAGAGTCATCACGTTGATCTCCGAGATTTTCTGGAATCTATAAGAAAAGCATATGTGGATATAACTGCGCAGCATCGCTAATGTGTGACTTAGAGTTTTTGGGGAAATTCTCTAATTTGATAAACTCAAATCTACGCACAGAATTTTAGGAATGCACATCTTCGAAATTTTGTTCATGAAACCATTATTTCTCGATCTTAGTTTCGATTTAATTTTAACTCAACACTAAAATCATTCAATTTAGGGGATTCAGAAGAGTTTATTCTGAAAATATCGAGAATTATTACCTGTGTCGCTGTCCTCCCGCCGTTCTGGAGGCTGCATGGGTAGCAAGTGAGAATGATCCGAGGGCCAGTGCGCGATTTGCAAGGGAACGGCCAGGGGCACTGGTACGGCAATGCCACAGTCCACTGGCACGAACTGCTCTGGGACCCAGTCGAAGCTGAACGTGTGGCTGTGCGGTGGCGCCGTGGCGCTCGTCGGGGTTGGGGGCGTCGTGGTGAGATAAGGACTGAGCTCTTGGTGAGCAATATCGGGTACCTTCTGAGCCGTTTCCGACCACGGTGGGCTGGGATTCCACTGTTCCATGAAGTCAGGCGAATCCACGGGTGGGGCCTTGGTGAACAGCCTCGGCCTGGGAGCTGCCACTGTGCTGAGGATCACTGTCTGACCACCGTTCTCCAAGCCACCATGGAGCTCCATCATCGTGCTCTCTGGTGATTCCTCGTCGGGTATATATAGGGGCTCCAGACGACCGATGGCCCTCCGTTTGCTGGGAGGAGTGCCAGAGCGGTGGTTGGGACTGCCGCGACTGCTGCAGCGGATCTCCGCGGGTGGTGTGCCTTGGCTGTAGTCCACAGGCTGGGTGTCGTAGCGATGGTAGGAATAGGTCTTGTAGTAGTCTCCAGGCAGGCCGGGAGGTGTCTGGTGGTGCGTCGGTGGGGCGCCATTGTGGTGGCTGATGATGGAGGGCGAGCCCTGGTGTGGCCCCACGCCGATCGGCGAGTGATAGCCGTAGGGCACGTGGTGCGGCGAGGAGTGGTGCGAGAGGGTGGGCTGAATGGGTGGCGGGTGGTGATAATATGGCGTGGCCGAGGCCACTCTTGGGGGTCCCTCGAATGGCAGTCCAAACTGAATCTTCGACTGGACAGAGTAGTAGTGATAGAGCCAGGAATTCGCCAGCATCACCGAAGCCTCATGATCGCTATTTGAGTTGGGGGCGAGAGAGAGGAGAGATTTATGAATTTAATATCGCACTCCGCTCATATTGAGATGCTCTATAATTGATGTTTACACAAGCATTATCGACAGCGGCGGCAGCGGCTGCAATCTCATCGGCGCTTTTCTTCATCTGCCCGATGGAAGAGAGAGAGCATGAACGATCGCACCAGATACATATGTAAACATGATCTATGAATTGAAATATCAGTGCATGGACACGCGGAGGGTTTCTCACTCAGAGTCCCTCTAGAGAAGCGGCAGAACGCACTCATCGTGCAGACCTCAATCAAAATTAGTTGCGGACCACGATCAATAATTGCAAATGTGCGCGATCGGAAATGCAAGAGAGCGCCAGCATGAGAGGCGCTCCAAAAAAAGCACACACTGATCGATTGCCCATATATCAGAGAATAATCAAGGTATTTCTATGATTATATTTCTCACTCTGCATCCCAGCAAAGGCCTCGCGATCGCTACATCCGCCATGTGCGAGTTGACTCATGACTTTCAGACTCCGGGTAAATCGATTGCACATAGAAGATCTCCCCCGTGATCTCTCGTCTCAACCACGCGTTCTCACATAAATAATATGGACCACCAATACTGGGGAAACTCCACTTTGATATGCAATCTTTAATTGATAACCTCCCATCTCCGTCCACCTTCCTCGCCATGCGCAATAGGAACGCCGAGACGTTGCAAATCAACATTGAATATTCAGGATTATTTAATGAGACACTAACAGCTCTTCGCACGATTATGCATGTTAAATGTACAGTGAAGTTGTATGCTTTAGCATTGATCTTTCAGCTTAAGTACGTTTCAACGGCCGTGCAGTGAACATCAATAATACCAGTTGTGAGATATAATAAAGACTGTGCGACAAGAGTGGTCTTATCTAGGGAAAGCAGATAGAAATATTAAATTTGAAAAATATATAATTATATTAATTATTGAATTTTTTGAAAACAACATTCCAAAAGGGTATTTGCTTCTGCTTCGGAGCGTCTTCGGGGATTATTCCGGGCTCTCCCTTCGCATCCCATCATAATCTCATATGGCGCATAACTCCAGTTGGTTCTTCGATGCGGAGGTGTTTTGTCTCGAAAAAGGCGAGAGGAGGAATTTGCTTGAATTTAAATGTGGCATACGGTCTTTCGGCCTTTGACCCACTGTTTGGGCTTTGGGCAAAAATTATGCAAATATTTCGCGCAGCACACGCTACGGACACGGCGAGCCCTGCACAAACACAGGGCAGAAGCAGACGCGGGGCCTCCCTGGCGGATGAAAGGTCCACAGCGCGACCCGCGAGAACGGAGGTGGAAGGAGCCCCCAGAGAATGATCCCCAAAGTCAAGGCGAAAAAGTGTGATGGCGCAGGGAGAGAAGGGGAACGGGAGGAATTCCACACGAGAGGCATCTTCGCGAGCATTTCTGTGATCCGATGAATTGCTGTGCGGGGAGGAAAATGAGCATTTTGTCCGTTTAACTGCTCACTTGCATGCGCGCATCCACTTCTTCGCGGCAATCATACCTCAAACACACCTTCCGCTTGGCGCGAGCATCACAGAGATTGAGTGTACATGCATACATGTGCAATTCCACGGCTATGTAAATAATTTTCTCACGTTTAACACATGAACTCGCGCTGGAAAATGCTTTTGAAAGCTCCTATATGAGCACAAAAGCGGCTCACAATGTGCCTAATGCTGAAGTTATTAATTACCTCAATTTAAATGATGCTGAATTGGTCTGCAATGCGATGCAGACAGGAGAAGAAGAAACAGGCGGCTGGTGCATTGTTACATAAAGTTGCAGAGTGAGAAATTCTCTGTATCATTGCGAACAGAAATACTTAGAAAGTCAACAGAGCAATTCGTCACATTTCAGCCAAATAATTCTTCTGGCTCATTAAATGGGAAATAAGAGGAAATGGCAAAGTGTCACATAATACTTTTGATTAGAAACTTTCATTCACATTGAAATTGACTCTTTTAGTTAATAAAGAACTTTGGGAAAAAAACGATTAAGATGTTCATCAGAGGCAAATTATCATTTCGCAAACAGAGTAATTTTTCTGGGAAAAATGATAAATTGTACAATCTCCTCCCTCGCCTTTTGAGCGATGCGAAACGCGTTACATTTTTAATTCCTCCTGTGAATCTTCCATCCTTGGAAGTGGCCGGATGATATACCAGAACAGTGCGCAGCATATAACAAAATTCCAATGAAATTACATGCAATAAGATTCAAAACGAAATGAGAAAATTACGCACTTAACCCAATCAGATGGTTGAATTCTTATTCGCTAGTATGTTTTATATCCACCTTTTTTCCAATTCCTTGTTGGCGGATCGGAATGTCGGGGAGATCCTCTTGATCGTGGGTCTCACCAACACCACTGAGCACTCAAAAGAGGTCTCTAAATGGACAATTATAGAAATTAGCTATGGACAGCTATTAGATTTATTGCATTTAAAATGTTTTCTCTTAATCGACATTTTTCCTCCACTCTCTTGTGGTATTTCTCCAGCAAGGCGATTTGTTGGGGAATTTGTTAAGATCGCCAAACATCGGACGCTATGCGGATGGAGGTTGTCGCGGAGAAAAAGACTTGCTCTTGATCGCCAATTTCCTTGCATGTGCAAAATTAACAATATGCTCAACTGTCAGAGGGAATGGGCGCGGGCAGAAGGCAGTGCTAATGGAGATTGAGCAGGAGAATATCTCGTTCTCATTTTCCCCCATTTCCGATATTTCACAGTGATACCCCAGCAGTATTCCGTGTGGCTGTGCACCGGAGTGACGTTGAGAATGCAAGAAAATGAAGCATGTGGCCGAGGGAATCTTAAGTAATAATAAAATTGTAAAATGTAAACAGCCGGACGATTCGCGAGCGCGTTCATTTGATGTTGCAAAATGTGCTAAATAGGCGGTGAGAAGAAAAAATTGATTGCATCTAACCAATCCATAATTCTTCTAGTCGAATTAGTGGGACATACCATCAGATTATAACAATAAATAAAGAGTTATTAATATATTTGAGATGCATGTGGCGTGCTCGGCAGAAATTGTTTGGATGCTGGAGATCCATGCAAGAACAAGTGGAAGGAGAAATATAATAACCCGCAGACGACGAGACGAGGATGGACTCGCGAAATCTTCACGGCATATTATGAGAATTTCATATGTATATGTACATATGATTTCGCTGGAAACTCCAGTCCTCCTTCTACACAGTCATCATCCAATATAATCATCAACGGTTAGGCGGTAAGGTGTAATTCTTATCATATGACCATCATCTCTCTCTCTCTTCCAGTGTATACATTATGTCTCCCCCTGCCTCCCAAATGCGCCCATCAAGTGATGAGGAATCGTGGGGTATTTCTTGTTTGTATTGCAATGGAAAATATTCACATCTTGCACAATTTTCGCGGCTTATCGCGATGGAAAAGGTGGCATGAGGAATTTTCCAGCATTCCATTCATACACCGCCATACAAGTGCAAGAGTCAATAGCGAAAATGTCCATTTACACTTACCTTAAAACCTGATTAGTACAAACTATGACTGGTTGCTGATTAGAATCTTGTCCATCGCGCACCTGAAGTACACAGTGGACCCATATAAAGTCCCCAGATCGTCTCTGCATTTGCACTAGGAGAATTCCAGAACGATCTTGCTCTGATTGTGTTACTGTGCACCGATGAAAAGTTCGTGAAATGAAAAGAAAAGATCACGAGGGAATATGAGAAAATGAATTCACTCAAAAGCATTCTGGCTACGAGATAAATTATCCATCTCTATGCAATGGGAATATTTACACTGAAAACACGAGAAAAACTAATTTTATTTGTCCGCCAGGCGTAAATTGTTATTAAAAGATGAAATAGAGAATGATTGAGTTAAATTATTTCACTCCCTGTCTGCTCAATAATCCCTTCCTTGTGCCCTCCTAGCCACTTATACGTATACGTCTCGTTAAGTAATTTTACTGATAGAATGCACTTTACACATTGAGGGTTGATGATTACTGGCTAAATATGATTGAATGAGGAACAGAATTTCAACTGCAGACAATCATTGTACAGGAAAAGACAGCCAGACAGTCAAATGACATTTACATCAATGCAAACTGCATAAGTGATCGAAATTAAAATTGATTGTAGCTAGAGAGAAGTTATCAGCCCTTGGCTCTACCATAATACCACCATTCCTGTGTTTTTGTACCACGAACATTTATGTCTGAAATCTCTGGTATAATGTAGAGTGGAAACGATGGGAACCAAAACATAAATACCCCTATTACTCACGCTTTTATATCAAAAGCCCGTTGGGGGCTACCGAATTAAGTGTGTTGCGGTTTGAGAGGAGGCTATGGGAGAAAAAAGAAAGCTCTTCTTTTGCCCATTGCCTCGTAAATTCTTCGAAAAATTCTTTGTGCGAAATCCATTCACAAAGTTGCAATTTCAATCAAGACATTATAACATCCTCATCTATTGCACATTCGGAAGCCTTTGTAGGCTATATGCTGTATTATTATATAATTGCATTGATTAACAAGATATTTAGTACAAGATCATTACTCAGATTGGAAGGATGAGCCAGAATCAGCAAAAAATTACATTTCTCAGTTGATCTACACAGAGCATAAAGAGAGACGCGGCGGAGCAAGTCAGTTTAAGCGCCTTACTAATTAAAACATGATCCTTTTGATGTTTCAATCATGTCTTGATGAAAATTGTTTGAAAAGCCGCTAATTTACCTCCTTTTTTCATCATAGCTCTCCCCCCTCCACCTCCATCTTCACTGTACAATGCAATGTTTATAATGTGAAGTTATACCTTTCTCATAGATCTGTCGAGGGCGGAGAACACTTCGATCATATGAACGTGAAGATCATATGAAAATTCGTATGGTTAAATAAGTACACTTAATGGTGTTGGAGCATAGAAATCTACTTTTTTCGATATCAATCTAAATGGCAGAAAGAGTTAAAGTGTTTCAACTTACTTAGTCTATGCTTGGCCTGTGCCTCTCTCGTGCTATCCCAGTGGAGAAGATGATACCACGATATACCCTGAAGTTCCGATCTATTGTATCCTAAATGGAATTCACCGCTGAAATGGAGAGAAATTAAGTCATTAATTAATTCATTTTGATCACTTAATGGATGTGTGTGACAGACATAATAATATTGATCAATAGGAGTCATTCGGTATGCCATGCTGCATGCCACCTAAAGTCACGCGCTCTCTTACATATTCACAAAGCGGATTCCCTCTCATACTCATCCCTCGGCAGTCACTGTATTCGATTCACTTCTTGTCCATACGAATTTAGGAAGAACATCAAAGTCGTGATAAATAAATTTGACGGAATCTCGCTACTCCGTACACTATTGATTTGACTTTATTGACAACAATGATGATACATCTCGCGGGACATGCCACACTGCTCGTCCGGAATATGAAAGCAACCGTCACAACTTTGGTGACTTCATAAGAGAGGCTCACTCCATTTTTCAAGCCTTGCTGACAGCTATTTGCGCCAAAAGTGTATGAATATCGTGTGGCGAACGACTCGAATTTATCCCTCCAACACGGCTCAGCAATGCATAAATCCATAAATATCTACATTCTCTGCCTTGTGATATATTCCTTTGGGAGTGAAGCTCTTCGAGCAGTCAAGGAGACACACAGAACATGCTGGGCATTTCATTGTATGCAAAATTGGACACCGTTTATTCCCGTGGATAACACAGAAAAAAACGAAAAATTTGTGAACATGAGAAAGAAGCATTTTCAAGGAGTCTCGCTCACATGTTCTTATACCACCATGTTATCTCCTATGTGCCATGCACTTTTTTCCTCTAAAAACATAAAATAAGCTCTGAGGTATTTACTTTGGTATGCTGCCCTACATACAAAATACCAGCTTAAAGTGCCTTAGCTTCAGCATCTTTTCTCTTAGATCCGAAATAATTCAGAAAGATTCAGTATCCATTTGAGATAGAGATTCTTTTGATCTATTTCCGATTGACGGCTTCCTTAATCAATCTTATTACAAATCCACTATGCGGGCGATCTTTGATTCTCTGACTAGTTGAAGGACAATATCTGCATACTCTAAATAACTGCCGTTGTGAAATAAAATTCTTCTTCGCTGAGAGTTGATTTTATGTAACACAAAAGGAATTTTTGTATACCCAACACAATACTTAGGGGTGAACTTTTCACAATCAATGTAATTTAAATCAACAAACTTTCAACAACAATTTTAATTAAATGACTAGTTGAAGAGCACTCTTACCCTAAAAGCCAAATCTATCGAATCTGAAGTGCTTTAGTTAAACGAAATAAAACAAATGTGTACAGTGTATTTGATAAAATGTTAATTTCTGAGGAAATTTCTCCTGACATTTCACTTTCATCGGTTGGTATTTGAAAGATATTCTCTGCTTTTGTGCGCTCTTGCGCTTGTGAGAAAATGTCTCAAGTGCTGAAAGAGTTCCTTATTGCATTGCCATTTTCCCCGCGAGACCTTATGACTGTATTATCTTGGGCAATTTATTTATTTCCACCACTGCATTTCTACGGGAAGGACCATTGAGCTTAAAAATAAAATATTTGCACTGTTGTCTTTAAGGTGGCTGCCTGTACTTAGCACAATGTATTCCCCCTCGCGATATAGATGGCAAAATTGTGAGAGTCAGGAGGAATCTTTTGTGAAAATTTACATAATCCACTCCTGAGATCACAGAAAATATAAATGCTGAGGTGCAGAGGCAAATGCAACACATTTCACATCATTTCCCTCCTCGTCTCACTCGAGTTCTGCTCTTCGCTGCTCTTCCTTCCTCTTCCACGCGATTGTGATATTGGTCGTTGCTGCTGAAACGGCGCCTCTTCATTGATACCCAGTGAATCCCTGCACTTCCCAAGTGTGCCTCACAAATGTATCACCAAACGTATACAAGGCAGCATTTATACGTTTGCACATTTATTGCATTAAAGAGTACTGTGCATATGCCAGTGGAGGGATACTGTGCGAGCTCCAAGGAGAACTTTATATCGCATTTTAAATTCGCACATTTGCATACATGTACTCGTGTATATATTTATTTAAATGTCCTCTGGCTCGTGTGCTTTTATGGCAAATAGTTCGAACTCTTCAATATATTCAAATATATTGTATAAAATTCTATAAAGTCATATCATTGTTGTGTCGGAGGTGAGGGTGCATCGGAGGCAGCTGAGGAGCAAAAAAGACTATGACGTTACGTAAGTATAAATGCAGAGCTCTCTCGGTTTTACACTGTAGAAAGAAGGACAGAGAACATAGTTTGGGGATCGCGTCGCTGAGCGACCCAACGAGAAGTGTATATGGTGTAGGTGTTTCTCCTATTTAATAGAATCGCCGTGTGTAGAAAGAATCACAGTGTAAAGAGGAGAAGACAGAGAGGAGAATAAGAAAAACAGTAAAGTACGCCAAACAATAGAAGTGAATCTCTGATGACATAGTGTATTTATATAAAATATATTATAGCCATACAGGCGATACATTTGGATGCAAGTATAAAGAAGCATGAGAATCAGAAATGGAGTACTATTTCTTGTGGGAACGTTTTCTCCCCCCACTTCCTATTGCTTAAGGTCCTATCTTACTTAGCGGCGGAGGTCCTATTGCACCTCAAGTGTGCAATTATTTCATTTTTCACCCACCACCCAATAGATACGGCATCTGGAGAGTCAAATGCTTTCAGTGCGACTTGTGTAACTTTGTCAGAGGTGTAAAGGCGAGATCAAGAAGCAAAAAATCAACACTTTGCACGCCGCAGTCTAATTAGTAATTTCTGGTATTAAAACAAATATACGAATTAATGTGTTTAAACACGAAAGACATTTTTTTGCCTCGAGTCCACCTTAAATCAGATACCACAGAGAAGGTATCTGCACATACATATAGAGCTATGTACATACATATATAGTGGAGGCTTGAGCATTCGGAGAATTCCAAATCCAGATGAGTCACACAAACGCGGATTTCTCAGCACTTATTGGACACTTTGGTGTGTGCTCACGATTAGGCGCCACGTAAATTTATTTCTCGGCGGATCCTATGTCGAGATTTTTACCTCGCCTGCCTGAATTTACGCACGAAAAGGAGGAAAGGCGAACTCTATACAGTATAGCTATTAAAACACAAGTAAATTGAGCGCTTCAGTGTTTAAGTGTTACAATGAATATTTTGCAATACTCTCCATAAATTTCTTTGACCAACCAAAAGTATTATTTAGCCATAATTTATAGATTTAATCCACAAATTCACAATGATTGTCAACAAATACTTTGCATTACTTCCTTAATCCTTCTTAAGCTTGATTACTCTCTCGATCTAAATCTGTCGCTGATGAGTAATTCCAAGGTTACATGAGCATTATAATTAAGTTTGTCATGTTTATTCCCACTTCTGGAAGCACTTGAATTAATTGAAATATCCACAGTGATTTGAGTGTGGATCTGCGAAAAAGGCCAGATTGAAATTTCTGAATTTGTAAAATATGGTGTCACATCAGCGGATTGTGGGTGGTGGCTGCTTTTCGCTCAAACGGCACGCTCGTGTGGCACAAAGAAACAATTAAATATCTGGGTATAATGTGTGGTAATTTATTTTCCTTCGAGTGGTAAGGATGGAAGGAGGAAAACCGCACCATGGCAGGAAACACCCTTTCGGAGGGTGCGCCACATAAATTACATGTTTGTGTTATACATATCAAAAATGCTCCCGGGCATTATCATAATGTATAATGTCCTCCTCGAGAGGTTCCCGCCAATATCCATGGTTGGATACACAACTTAATTTACTGCCTATTGGAATCTCAAATATTTCAGGGCAGACAAAAGGTCCTCCTGAGCATTTAAGCTCTTCGCCCAACAGAGATTGCATTTGAGATCATCAATTGCGATTTTTCTTCCACTATGCCATAGAGAGAGATATGAAATTGGCTAGTGAAAATATTCCGCGATGAATTGTGCTCAATGATAGCAACTTTGTAAATTCTGCTTAACTTATGCGATGACCCCTCACCAATTAGTTTGAACAAGATGGGCATCGCGGTATGTGTGTCAGGGCGAGTTTCCTATTGTGGGCATGGTAAGATGACAATTAATTTTGGAGGAATATCTTGCATTCCCGTCCGTCTTTGTCTAGTGCAAATGGGCAGCGGAAAATATAGGTACGTCTTCATATTAGATGATTCTTTCCTTCAGATAACTTCCTCCAGAAATTAATTCATATTTTACATTGTATAACATGGATGAATTGAGCGGATGATATCAAAGACTTTCAACATAGAACGAATCGATTGGATAAAGTGAACCAATATCGTTCAATATCATCCCACCTACCCCGTAGGGCATCAAGCCAAACCATATAAGAATACCTGCCGATGTACAGATCACCACACCGTGGCAGAAATTCAATTTTGTATGTACTTTAATCTTGGGCGAGCCGATCGACGCGATTAGGAGTTTCGATTTTAATCTGATCGCGATCGATTCATCAGCGTTTGGCATGATCTGTCCGCACTCTTCACCACACAAACGGTCAACGATCACAACGTTTTTCCACAACTGCCGGCTTTGTATTGTTTTTTTTTTCCTTCAATTCAAATAAAATGCAGAAACGTATCGGACATTGAGTGTTTGATATTTGAAGTATTTCACGTTGAGACCTTTCCTGATGGATGGCAGAAAAGTGAAATTTGTCTCTCCTGATAAAGAGCCTCTTGACTCTGCAGGTTCTTGTCAGTGAATAATGAGACATTCAGCATGCCCCTATATTTCATTGCACATTTTCAATGCAAATAGAATGATAGAGAGATGTCTGTGTACTTAGCCTCTGTTATTCTCTGCGATGCAAGAAAAGCGTTCAAAATCTGTTTTCACTTACTTCTTATCTATCAGGACAATTTTCATGTCCATGGAGTGGACGGTGGTGAAGACATTTGTGGCTCCCTGAACGACGCACTCTCTGGTCTCCGGCATGGCAATGGGTGTGCATGTGGCCAAAAAGACTGGCTCATTGCGACTACAGAGCGGCAGGAAAGACAAATAATGGCCCTGAACTAAAACCACCTGGAACGATTGTGAAACAGACAAATTTTAGATTTACAATTGCTCAGAGATGGTCAACGTGGAGTTTCATTTATTTCATTGGAATTAATTTATCTGAGAGGGCATTAATGGCAAAAATTATGTTTTATAGTGATTACATGCAATGTGGAAAAACAAATTATAGATTTATTTTCTGTACACTGCATTTTTACTACATGCATCTCTCACATGTGCTACAAGGCATTGTGAAATATTATTTAGCAGAAATAGAGAGACAGATCGACGAATATTTAAATAGTATTGAATATGCTGCGGAGAGAACAATCTGCAATTATCTCGCGATCAACTCATCAAGGACAATATTAATGCTTATTTATCCAATAAATGTAGCCTTTTGGATTTGAGACACAAGTGGCGTAATTCCCGAGTTTAATTGTGGGCATCATCGTGGCAAAAATAGTATTTGTTAGAAATGAATATTCATGCGGTGTGGCCAGGAATAAGAAAACCGCTCAATTAGCATTGCCAATTGAAGGGGTGTGATTTTCGTCGGTACCACAGGTGAGAGACTGAATTAGAGGAAGAGGCCCATGTGGCTGGGTGAATAGCAGGTAATTTACTCATCACTTTGACGAGGCAGAAGAAGGGTGAATAGCGAAGGAGTAAAAAGAAGTGAAATAAATTGCATAGCGAAGGAGCGCGACATCACCGTCGACGTTTCTGTTGTCTCTTTGCTTTTATTCTCATTTAATCAGTCATTTATTTTGCATTCGCTTCACCGTATTTCACCGTCGAGTGCCATATATCTTTATTGACACTGTGACTTTAGTGTGCTTATCTGATTTGACGAACATTTCATATATACATCCGTATAATATAGACGAGTATTATATTGGATAATGAACACTTGAATCGTTTATATGCACATATTTTAATGAAATTTAGAGACAATCTATGTGAAATGTGAACCAAGTGTGGACGCCAGCGACTGACTAATTGAAATAAATTCATCACTATATCAGGATGCCAAATCCCCTTCATATTATGCATAATTTGGACTCTGTTGAGCTCTCTCTCTCGTTTCTGTAACATTACTTTTTTGTCTTACGGCTCATCTACAACCGCAAGAGTGAACGGATTATAGGGACTGTTTTGGCCTTCTTCCCTCCTTCTTGTCTTCTTTTCCACCTTCCATCGGCTGCACTTCTTAGTGGCTAATCAAGACTCAAAATCAGTGGAAAAAAGAGAATGAAAAAACTACACGTGTGTGTCAAAGTGGGAGTGGAAATAATTGAAGAAAATGTAATAGTGTTTTTTAAAGACCGTATCTCTCAGCCGGTGACGAAGTCGAAATGTACAGGGAGAGGGTGAACTTGGCCATGAATACTGATAACACACAAACAACACCCAAAATAAGTGTTATTTATTAAAATCATTAATTTGCCTTGCAGGAACTTTTCGCATTCGAATCTGATTGAGCGATTATATAGCAAGGAAAAGATTTAATGACGTTACATGGTCAATTTAAAGCAAAAACTACGAGAAAGAACAAAAAGCATTGGGAACTGCGAATATGATCTTTTCAGTTTTCGATCAATATTTCCCGCGGTGTTACAATACTTAGAGCTCAAGGAAAATGTCGGATACCTTCTGGTGAATCCAATATTATATCGAATTCAATGTGGCAAATTTGCATGATCGCACACAACATTGTCGCAGAAATTCATTGATCGCAAGATTGCTACTCGGGAAAGATGATGAAATAGACGAAAACAATGTGCACGAACCTTTTGGTCACCAAATCGCATTTGGCGTCTGGCATTGCGACTAACATTCATACGACATAGGAACATACGTTGCTCACCCTCGAGATGCGAGGGCGATGCTGGGTGATGAGATCCAGTCTGCTGCGCCGGCACGCTGCGCCCCAACTCGGCCTGAATAGATCCATGATCTTGTTTATCGATTATGTCATAGACAGAATCGCCGTGAATGAGAAGATCTTCCTGAAAATAATAGTGAGATAAATTTAGCTGCAAATATTGCGCCAGACGTGATTTATAATTTAACGTTGGGGCTTCTGCGCCGCATGGGATTTTCCCTTTTTTCGCACTCCAGCCATATAGCATACGAGAAAATTCATCGCCATCGCGAGGTAGGGCAGCGGCAGCAATAAGACAATGATGATTCTGGTAGCGCACCACGGAGAGACGCTATCGCTTTGACCATTTGCTAATAACCTCCCAGTTTTCTTTGTGTAGTTGCTGTTATTATGCCCTTATCTAAATCGCTCATTTTTTGCGACTTATGCAGAGTCTTAAGGAATAATGTGTTTGGGGTTACACGGGGAGAAGAACGAGAGAGTGCGAGATAAAAAACGACACAAAATAAACCACAAGACTATATCTTTTTTCTGCACTCTCTCCTTCACGGTTTTAAGGTTGTACACACAGCAGTGCTAAAGCCACTTCAAAAAGTCGCTTGAGAGACTATCTCTGCTCTCTGGCCTCTATCATAAGCTGCTTGTGCGCATTTTATCAATTTGTGCCTTCATTGTCTCTCACGGGATTATTTGGACTTGTGCAATTTTACAACTTCTCAGCGATAAATGCATATTTTACTCCAACTATTCTTTCTCTGGCTTATCTTCCACCCGAAGGTGCGATATAGGGCGCTCTTGCACTGCGAAAAAACATCTCGAATTTGCACATTTCCTTCCTTGGTAAGTTGAGTGCATTCATCTGAATTTTCCGTGTGTACAAAACAAATAATATCTCTCATAATCCCCTATACACGCTGTTACTGTGACATTGTTCTCTCCTTACACATTGCACTAACCATTTATGGGCTAATGTTAGCGCCTCTGAGTCAAATACCCATGATGCCCATTTGCTCATTGTTCTTGCCCAACCACCAACATATTTTGCGGCAGCACCATCCATAGGAAATACTTGCGATGAGCCACAGATCATAAAGTAGCAAAACTAGGTAAATCAGATAATAAAATCTAATCACATTGTTATACACCGTGCGGACTCGCTGGAAATTTTATACACTTGATTGTCACTGAGCATTAAATCTACATAAATATCATGATGGCAGCAAGGAAATTTTTGATTTATCTCCACAAGCACATAAGCAAGCTAGGAGTATAAACGGTATGAGATTTTTTCGCCTTTCTTGAGGCAAAGTTTTATTGGATGTCACCAAGGTTTTGTTTGATTCTTCAAAATATTTCTCAGAGAGATTCAAATCTCAATGCTTTGAGAGACATGATGATATTAAAATGCACTGACTGGGTAATTTATCGTTGTTTGGAAAATGATGTTGCACCTCAATATGAATGTTTGGCATAGTGCGGTGCATTGATAAAATGAATGTATGTAAATAGTACGAGGAAAAAGGGAGATTTATTGGCAAAATCATATTTCGTGAGTGGGTAGCTTTTAGTGGAATTGAGTGAAACATGACGCTGACAAATGTTTTGTGTACATGAAGACTGTTGTCTTAGACTATGGGTGTCACTGGAAGAGAACAATAATTGAACTAAAAAGTCCGTTTACATGCTCCACCACGCCACTTTCCGAGGCAATTAATTTTCCTGGCACCTAGTTTCCCACTCTCCCGCAAGCTGCAGTTGACCATTTCACACTCCTCTTAAATACTCCATGAATCACGCGTGCTAAAGAATTGACGGAGAGCATTAGAAGTCTCTAACGATTTTCTGCACAACACTCTCAAGCCGGCCACTTAAACTATAGCGATATTGGGTGGTCTCCTCGCAAGCGATTGTAATTAAACGTAGAAGTTTTACATTGAACCTTGTCAACAAATTGACCTCGACCTGCACCACAGAGGAGTGAATTAGATAGAAGTTCTCACTAGTATAAATGAATCGCTTTTTATCCTTTCCCGTGCGACCGAACAAACACTCCTCGCGAGTGAGATATCAATAAATATCTTCGCCACACTCTCGGCCTATTCACACAGCAAAAATATACCAATCGGAACTGAATATTTTCGTTGATTTATTTTTCTCAACTTTAAATTTTTACTGTCCATCTCCCATGGAGAACAAATAAAGAACTCAAATTATGAGTGTCTAATATGCTAATGGAATTAATATAGTGCCAAAATATTCCTAAAATGTTTTCTTAATTCATTCAAAATTCCAAGCAATATTTTGTGCCATAATCTATGAGCCTACAGAATGGCCGGAAAAATTAAATTTTCTATCGCTAAGCGTCTCTAATTGCTCTAATGGACCAAATTGTCATCTCAATATCTTCTATAACTGTATATTTCATATCACCTTTGAATATGGATACAGCATATTCATGTTAGGCGGACAAATTTCCAACAGGCCCACAGAGTGTCTCAAGAAGCAATACTCCCATCTTGTCTCTCTTTCGGCTTTATTCATTCCTTCATGAGCAATCTGGGTGAGTGTCGTATGTCAATTTGGACACTCTTTACAAGAGCCTCCATCCACATTATTATTAATATATCACTGAAGTAGATTAGAATCTCGAGAAGTCCCGTGAAATTGGAGGGAAATAAAGGCACCATTAACTGTATCGTGATGAGTTTTTAGAGAACATATTGGGATAACAATTATCTATTCTCAGGGCGAAAACTATATTTATTATTATTTAAATAAGCAACAAAAGAAGTACCAATTCATGTGTGCATAAAAGATTTTTGTCCCCTGCAGAGTGATTTGGAAGAAATCATTGGGGAATTTCGTATTTAACATCTTTTGATATGACAATCAAAATTGAAATGAATATACTCTGAGAAATATTTCGGATTGCTCGATAGAGAACTCTCTCTCTCACCTATTGAATTGCATAACAACAATTTGTGGTGATATTCACCTCTTCATCTATTGCCTCTTTGATGAGTTAAGCAGAAAATGTACTCCTGTGAGAATCGAAATTAGGAGGATACACTCAGCAGAGAAGACTCTCATTGTGCTGCGGACAATGATATGAATGCGGAGAGGAATTTTCAAGAAAGGCACACACATGACATGATCTCTCACCATCGCAATAATTACATATTTACACCGTCCAGATCAAGACGAGTCTGAACGGTGGGAATTGGCCAAACATCGTTTCTGCAAGCACTTCTCTTTTTCTGGCTTTTGGTGGAAATATCTGACTCGCGCACATGCATCCGCGGTAATCGTGTGGTTAATAGAGTGCAAGGCGAATTGCTATTTGTCTGACCAATTGTCAAAATTCCATCATATTAGATCAGCGCTGTTACAACCCCCTTTCGGGTGGTCTTCAGCGATGCAAAGAGTAATGTAATTATAGCTCTTTGATGTCATAATAAAGATACGTTTATTGTAATTGCTCAACTTGTGGGTGGATGGAGATTGATGACGTTTGCAATCTTGTAATCATACTTATCGTCGTGTTACCTGCCTTTACCATATTTAATAACACGTATATAAGATCTGAATACACTTTATATATTTCACTTTGGCCAAACTTTCAGCTGTATTTTAAAATACAGATGTTACCGTTTTCACAAAATTTCTTCATTTATCCCTATACTGTTAAAATTATGTAGATAAGAAATATATCTGCAGTTTAAATGGCCATCAAGCAAATTGCTCATCAGCGGGAAGCAGTCTGCAGGTCTGAAGCTCATGGATGAGGCCGTGACATGTATGTTTTGAAGGAGTTCCACATACATATCATCCCTTGAGACAATTACCTCCTCGCGGTGGAAACAAATGAGGGATAAATCTAATAAAAGAGCCGAGGAGACCACATACGGCTCAGGCGAAGAGGCCGAAAGTTGAATGAATCGCCGAGAACATAACCATGATGGACGCAAAGGAGATATTAATATGCAAATTGATCAACACCTGGGAGATATTTTGTGATATGAGAGCTTTACGCACGGCAAGGAAATGGCGTGGAGTATGCCGCGAGTAAATTTGCCTATATACACACTCCTCTCGCAAGATCCGCGTACGCGATGCGAAAGTCAGGGTGAGGCAGATCCATTTAACATTTTAGCACTTTATTGCACAGCAAGACACTGGACAGAGATGGACACAGATATGTCATGCAGACAGATACCATGGATATGGTGTTAAAAGACTGATCCCATAAGGCATGTATATACGCATTGGAACAATGCCTGTGCATCTGTTGGACGAGAATGCTATATTAACAAGCATGTCTAACCACATTAGGGCCCCATCGCGGGAGAGTTGCCTGGAAAAAAATGTGTACACTCGCGGAGTCTCGTTAATATCTCGCTGTGATGATACATTATTTATTTAATTCAGCCGCATTGATAATAGTGGCAATTAAATGACCATAGCGCTTTTTTCTGCTTCATCTGCCTCAGAAATTGTTGGCAACATGCTTGCTGATATTAAGTGAGGCCTCAGTCAGGCATACTTGCATGATGATCAATCACATGGTATGTGTGGTGAAGCATTAGAATTGTAAACTGCTGAACACTTTATTCACTCATGCAATATGAAATGTGACTGTGCTGCCGAATGTTCAGCAGAGATTTATGGCTGAGCACGTCCCATAAATAAATAGTGAGCACCAATGAATTGCCCATATAGTCCAAGGGTACGTTTGCAGAGCTTTCCAAACTCCGGCCACAGCGCCTGTACTGCTGACTTGACAATGATTCCAATTAATCGATTGAATCCGGTATGCCATCGTCACGTCTCATTAGGCTTTCGCACCCTGGCGATATACTTGTGATAACACTTCTAATCATGAGGATTTTTTCAGCATGTGTGCATATAAAGTAGAATTACGGCGCAGCATGACAATAGAGCGGACAAAAATTGTCACTCGGCAGCATTACTAATGCGAGTGCCCTTGAAGAAAAGCTCATATTATCAATATCACCAATCGCGATAAGTGATTTATGGTAATATTTCATCTTGAGTGGCTTTTTTGCATAAAATCAATTGTTCACCAGCATTATTTATTGGCACTAAGTGAATTAAGTGCATGGCTCGACGTAGAAAGAAAATTAGCTGGCGAGGATACTAAATAATGTTGCGTGTTGAAAAATGGATTTTAAATGGTCGTAAATTGTATTCACGGTTATGGATCAATCTCTTTCTCTCCAACACAGTGTAGCCTGAGTCTGGTCAACTAATGATGAAAGGGGGTTTGGAAGTCCATTAATTAAATGCATATTTCATACTTTTTCAACACACGTATACTATTTGTCTGTTATATAAGATTCATTATTGGGCACAATTTATCTCACAGAAGTCATCAGCCGACGAAAATCCGAGGCTACCCGCCTCCTGTCAGTCTTGGCGAGTTTCAGCTAACAAATTTAATACATCATATCAACAGAATACTTTCCTATTTGTTACTTTATCAAGTCAAGCAACCTTACGCACCTGAAAGTGCTTTTACTAACATTTCACCAATTACTATTTTGACTTGGTGAGGAAAGTGTAACACTCACGATTCAATTAGCCAAGTAATTTCAGAAATCTTCCCTCGAATTCCCGGTATTTCCGCTACAAGAATCTTTGGCAATATATAAAATACTCCGACAGTTTTTTATCAGCCATAATACTTTAAGTGATTTCTCCGTCTAAAAATATACCTTCTTCCAATGGTTGACATTGAAAGATAGTTGGTGCCCAAAAAGCTTCTGCTAAAAGTTTCGTCGAGACGAGAAAAACAATATTGCTTATTAAGTGGTGCCTCTCTTTAATTTATCATTTTTCTCGTCTGCTAGAAAAAGAGCTTGATGTATGTATTTCACAATATATTAATGCCTTACACTCCTCAAATATTTTTCACATTTATTTTTACTCGAGGCACTATGTACAAGATTAAAATAATCGCGTCAATTATTTACATCACTTACTGAATTTGAAGATTAAGATGAAGATTGTAAATCTCTTTTAAATATAATATATTCATGCTATTTCGTCCCCTTATCCCAGCTAAGATGCTATGGAATTTCAGCATAAATCCTCGAGACAAATTTGCCTTATAGTGAAGTAGAGTGTCTCTTGCTAAATTGGGTATGAAAACTCTTCATGTGTCACTTCCATAGACTGTTTTAAGTCATAATCTTACTATACAATAGAAGTAGTCATCAAATTCCATTATTGCTACTCCATCAAATGTTTTCAGCAAATAATGACAAAGAGCCGAGGTGGCAAGTAAATCTATAGTCTAGTATAAGAGGCTTAAGAGAGGTTCCATTTTGGCAAAAAGTTGCTAATGTAGTAAAATTATTGCCAAAGGGAAGACAGTATTTATAATTTTCGCGTTGTATTTATTTGAAATTTCTCATTTTTTAGCAGATTTATTCGCATAAAAACTTGGTTCGATGTGAATTTGCATAGTATGAACAAAAGACTTCAAAGAAAATAGACGACGAACCCAATTTCAACTCTCCGTATAGAATCATTGAAATTTCGCTGAAATCAAGTCACAGAATAATAAGAAATGTTTAAACTCACCATGGAATGTCCTAAATACTCCGCGGCATTGTCAGATATGTACAACAATTTACCATTCTGCGTTAGCATCATTAAAAAACCAGATAAAGCCTGGAAAGGAGGAAAGAAAAGCATGAGTCAAGGTAAGATGATGGTGAAAATATTTTCACACGAACTCTTACTGCATTAACAGTGGCGAGAGAGGAGCAAAAAATATTTCAATTCGTCAAATCTCATGATTGGATTAGCGTATAACGCTTGCCTGACTTTTTAGATGTATGTAAATATATCGTATATAGTGCAAACTATGTAAGTCAGATAAAACATGCCCTCACACACTCTCTTTCTCTCTAAAATGTTGGGCTTTCTTGATGGTGGATGGGCACAATGGACGTGAGAAAATGTCATCCAACGTCGCAAAATATCCACCTTCAGCGATGTAATTTGGCTGGAAATTAAAGTCAGTGTCAGCAGAATCGCTACATGGGTGTCTTGGTCAGGTATCATCTCAATTTCAATCCGCCTCTCTTCGCATGCACCACCATAAATATTGCCACATCCATCGTTTGACCCATAATTGACTAGTGACGCGCTCCAGATGTCTAATGTTCAGCATTCGTGCGTCTATCTGTCTGTCGATGTGACGTGGTCTGGGCAGGGCGAACATATGGAATTGATGTATTTTATGGTATAATTGGGAGAACATTAAATGCGCTCTGCGATCATGGCACAAGAGTAAATAAATAAATATCAAAATTGCAAAGGGAACACTGTAATAATAACCCACCACATGCACAATACGCCCGTGTGTAAAGCACAATATAACACACTGAATTTGATTTATGTTGTTAATTTGTGCGTGATATATTGGCACAAAACACTAATCCATATATTTCGCGTGGCGATCGCTTCACTTCCAGGGCCCGAGATCGACAATCATAAAAGGAGACTTCAACTTGAAAATTTCATACACATGCCCCATAACACAAATATTACAAAGTGTAAGACGAGTATAATCATGAATTATGACTATTACTTCACAGTCAATGCACCAGCAATTTCACGTTACTCCACACCGGGGAAAAGCATCGTGGACTCGGGCATCAGGATGCCCAGTGGAAAAGTTATCACTTCGATTTCACTGGAAGATGATCTAGCATGCAATCTTCTCCATTCCATAAATTACTCCCGTCCCATCGCATCAATAAAAGTGATTTCTTATCACTATCGAATCCCGGTAATTATCGCAAAATTGTGTGGGAACACTCCAAGTTCGATCGGATGATTTACATGCCTTCACAGTGACTGATTACCGAAGCCTTAATTGTGTGCAATTATTCTGTATTATTAATTTGTTTTATTTGCCTCCTCCATACCACGAGGCAGCCTTCCTCCGCCAAACCATCTTATTTGCTTTTTTACTCCGACCAACGTGAAATAATTCTCGTCAAGTTGCATCGAAAAGATGACTAAAAAAGATTCTTCAGCACATGGAAAACGGTGTGAAAGATGCTATTCAGTTCGTATGAGGAGTATAATAAGAGTTCAGAACTGGAGGAAAAAACTACTAGTCTTATCGCTTTCTGTATGAAATTCTGGGATGTTTTAGGTTAAGTGCCGCATATCATGCAACATTTAGTGCCATGAGACTCGCTCCTCAAACACATTATCGAGAAACATTCGAAATGCATCATGCTCATAAACTATTAATATTAAGCGGTGCAAAAAGGTAATCCGATCGAATGAAGAAAAAAATGCAGCTTACTGATAAATCCTCTATTAAACCACTGAGCTTTGAAATTCCAATGACGCGTCTAAAAACGTATTTTGCTCTATCTTTTCTTTCACTAAGCCAATGACGGACAAATAAGGTCCAATAAAAAATGACGTACTTACTTTCGCATTTCATTTATTGCTTTTCGAAAAAGTTAAATAAACAGTTAATGGTAAAATGAAAACTGTCAAATTAAATATGTACTAAATGGCAAGAAATTAAATGGTTACGAAATTGCGTTTTACGAAGGTGAATATTGAATTTTTAAAATTTCTCTTATTGCGTTACTAACTAGGTTACTAATTAAAGTCTTGTTAGTAGGGTATTAATAAACATTTGAAAAATTACTTTTCATCAAATTCGCAGTTTCTCAAGTGATTAACATTCATTAATTTTTGGCTAGTAAAATTGTCTAACATATATTCTTAAAATGTATCATGTCCAAAAATGTTTTGCATTAACTGTGAGTGATAGGAGCTTCTCTTTCGCCCATACAGCGAAAGACGAAAGACATCAACAAAATCAAGCGACGAACCTGATTTTCACACACAAAATCTCAGCTTTGGAAGAATCCACATTGCGTGCAGTGATCATTCACTTGGTGGAATGGTTGGGTTTTTGCATGGCTCTTCAGATTCTTTTCCTATGCATAATTGGCCCTTATTGTCTCTAAACCTCTAATTGCATTGAGTGAAATTACATTAAAACTATCATTGTACCATCCTGATAGACACTCTTGTGTAGCTCCAGACGAATTTGCAGTGAGATAGAATTAAAGCTCAACGCAATTGAAAAGGGAAAATCTTCTGCATTGTGCTTCGCTACGCAGACTCTTAATTCTTCCCCCAGTATACTTTGATTGTTAAATTGTCCAATTAACTATGCGTGTAGTGTTTATCGAACTAACGCTGTGCACCTTTGGAGGTGGATAAGTCCCTATTGAGTCTCTACTTTAGCCCGGTTCTCCCATGTGATAAATAATTTACTTTGTGGCTCTCATTCTTTGGCCCAGAGAGTGAGTTCATCCGATAGGCAAGGAAGTGTCTGTTGGATGCATTTGCCAAGCGAGAAAAAGGAAGGCACAAAATGAAGAAAATTGCATGATGTATATGAACTGTATTGGGTATAACAATAGGAATAGAAGCAACCCAACGACAGAGTGGAGCTAATTCGCCTTCGATGGCTCCAAGACAACATCGAATGAGATCTCCTCTCTTTAAAAGCGTGGAAACTGGGTCAAACTCCACTGGCAAAAGCCAGACAACGCGAGACTATTTGGTGTTTCTTATATACATACTCTTCCTTCGCTATATTCACTCTCAGTCACGAATATAGTTCGATCTGTTTTCAATCATTGTAATAGAGTTGTTCGTTCGCCGGACAGAATAAAAATCTTTATTGATTCTTAATATTAATTATACCCTGAGCTGCCTTGAATCTATCCTTTTCACCGGACAGTGTGCCCACCGCAATAGAGCCATATGATTCAGAAAGAGCACCAAAAAACTCATTGTCCGCAAATTGAAGAGGTGAAAAGCCGCAGAAAAAATCTCACTGTAGTGATTGCTGTATAAATACGGGTACTTAAATGAACAGAGTGGCCTTTAAAAACCTACAAGAACGTCCATAAAAGGATCGAGGTTCAGTACTTTATATTTTTGCCTCTATATAGATATTCATTTTTTAGCACATAAAGCGCAGACATTAGATTTTGAAATGATAAATCATAATGTTTCTTGTTTGAAGTCAACCATTATTTATTGCTTGTAATATTAGCCTCACAAAACTCGAACGCCTATATTTTGCTCAATGGAAAAGTGCCGGTGAACTCTTTTAGTCAGAGCATCTAACATCATTGGAACACTTCGTACTATGTAAAGCGTTACATCTATGCAATATAATTTGAGTAAGAAGTGTTTTTATGGCGGCTCTGATACACATATACACGCTTTTTGTCGCTTCACATCGCTACATGGTACAATATTATTAATTTCACCCTCCTCTCATGTGAAATTCTTTCTTCGCTCCAACAAAATGTACATCACCTCAGGACAAAATTTGTCTTCCATAGAAAATATTGGTGAGGTCTCAGCCATTGTGTCACCCATTATTGCTCCACCTCATTTTCCCATACCGGGAAGTAAAGCCCAAAAACATATACTCGACCTAAAGGTTTACTCGAAGGAAATGTCGATTTTAAAGTTCAGAGGGAAACGACGAAACTTCTGAAGCAACTTTTTATGATAATATTACAGCTCTATTAATGGCAAAACCTTGTCATTTCCTAAAAGGAAATGCTGACAGACAATAATAATAATAAACATTCGCTCTAAATATAAGTCTGAGTCGCTGAATCCAAAAAAAAACAAGTCATACTCTTCAAAATGCAATTGAGGCGAAACACTTTCACTCACCAATGAAGGGATTTCCTAATTAATCACCCCATGGGTCAGGGCTTCTCATAATTTCTCTGCAATTCATCACTATTCGATATGAAATCCAGCACAATTCGCGAGATTTAATTGAGTTCAATCGTTGCCATTCGGAACCTATTGGTCATATCGAATGAGCAGAAATGACTGTGAGTAGCATTGGTGGATACGTAAAAGTGTTACAATATATCAATGTGAATTTAAAATAAAAACATATATCATATGTGGGTGATTTTGCACATTGCGAAATTGAAATATGGAAGCCAGGCAGAGTGACTCGATGACTAAGACCCACGTTAACAAATATCGAAAGTTGATCGCGATCAATTATATACTCTAAATGGTCTCTGAATTGAAAGCATATCGTGCCGTGATGTATTTATGTATTTTTCCCGTGAAAACACATAAAAAGTTGTATTGTTGAGAAGTACTCTGCAGATGGAGAGATGGGAACAAATGTTGCAGTGCTGTGAAATATGACATCTCTCAAATGCATTTTGTACTGCACTATTTGTGACTATGTGAGCAAAATTAATTGGAAGCTACTCTATCTCTGCAATTCTCCAAATCACTTCCCGATGGCTTTAGCGCTGCAGATGCGACGGGTGGAAGTTGAGAGTGTACTTCTAGTTTGCGATAAATGTGCGACTCTCCTCCGCGACTATGGCCTGGCGCAGAACGCATAAGTCAGCACCACATAACTCGCAGGGAAGTGCAGTGGGCATGCCTGATAACTTTGTCTACATATATTACGCACACTCGAAATATTAAACAAATTATCACACCGAGATCACCGACGATGATATATGCGAAGACGTGGCTTGCATACGCCAGTTCGTGAGAACTCAGCTTTATCTTTTGCGCGCGCCACTCTGTTGGATCAAATCTTGACCTTATATACAACACACTTCTTCCACTGAGGTGCCTCATGAGGGAGGCAATCGTCGCTGAGCACATGGAGTAGCTTAGCCGAATCCCACATCACGCCAATTCGTTCTGCGTAGACGCCCTCCCGCACATCCGCGAAACCGAATATGCAGCAGTGCATATTCGCTGCTTTTTGCACTATAACCTACTTTTCCGAACCATATAGATAGAATGATTAATTTCAGACGAAAATCGCATGAATTTGTGGTTAGAAAATGAGAAAAATCAATATACTACATCTCAGTCTATCTGCCTTTAATGCCAAACGGGCGAAATTATTATGGGCAAAATTGGTATACAAAATAAAACTCCAAATGCACTACAACCGCAGTCAATTCACTGGGTGATTGTTCCTTTCTTCGTCTGTATTGAACAAATTGATTTTAAGTTTATTAGTCGGATAGAGCAATTTGAAGACACACAACCTCTCCTCTCGATATGTCATTATGCAAATATACAGTTATGCTCATTATAAGTTTTCATATAATCTTAATTCTGCGGCATTAACAAATTATGGTATTGCGGGTGGGCTTCGACATAATATCGACAAAGGAAATTATTGAAAGTTTATGCAATAAGGAAAACTCGCCCAGTAAATTCCAACAGTGGGAATTTTATAGGGTCCTCATATTCCTTGATCAATTCTCAGTATTACATAAACATATGGGATTTTGTCTTACCTTTGAAAATCCTATATTTGGCGTCGGAGCTTGATGATGTGAAATGTCGTGTCTTTTGAATACTGCAAAAGAAAGGGAAAATTATGACATAACATTATGTAAATATTGGATATGACTATCTCTCAGAATGCTCAGAATATTTAATAATGTTGAATTCTATCACGAGTGAACGAAATTCCGACCAAAGGAGAAAATCTACCAAGCGCTAATATGAGACATAAGACGTCTACCGGCATTTACAATAAATAAAACTTCTTCCTCCAGAGAAAACTATGTGGAGAATTCAGTCAGATCAGAGAGTAATATTATGATTCACACATCTTTGTGTACCATTTTGTCATCTTTCAGCTGTTTAACCAAATCATTTGGAAGAGCAATGATTCCGTGAACATTGACTTCCTGTTGAATAAATGTCTCATGTGATTAACTGTCTCACATCGTTCCTCTTGTGGGCCAGTTCCATATTCATTGTTCAGCACAAACAGCGCCGTGTGATATTTTTTTCCTCCTCCAATAAGTACCAAAAAGCAACATACAAAGGTAAATGTTTGAAAATCGAATGTACGTGGCGCCTAACGTTAAATAAATGCGTCTCTATTCGATTCCTGGACAACCAGCTTGGATGGACATTTAAATGTAATGCAAGCTCATTATCAAAATTTTCACACAGAAAAACTCTCCGCCGAGAAGAGTTGTTGAAATAAACAATTGATGAATGTCACAAGAGAGACTTCACCTTCTACTCTGTCTTGTTGTCTTTGTCTCTATCGGCACATCACTTTTGTCTATCGATAGGTGACATTTGATTTAATTAACAATACATGCCTAATGATCAAGTGTATTTTGATTGTTTGTTCTTCCAATTTCGTCCATGTGCTTAAAATACCCGTAATTCAATAGATAAAATTGTCTTTCTAAATTGTTTAATTACAAAAGTAAATGGAAAACTAAGTGATTGAATAGATATTCTTGCTTTTATAGAGTTTTTCAAGGTAATTTTGTCACATTCACCACAACTCTCTAACACTGAAGATTTTATATCATAACATTTATGCAATATTGTCTGCCATTGCCAAAAGATAACATTGAGCATGGACTTGGCCAAATACGGCTTCCTCTCTGGATTCCTCAGACGTTCACACAATAAAATTTAATTATATTGACAACTTCCTTATTCCCAACAGGCAACACCCGTTCCCAATAACGAGAGATGGTAGTTAATCTCGATGATCAAATGAAACAGGGCGGGGCCCATATTTTCTTCCACTCCACAAAAATATTCCTCTATTGATCTCGAAAAGCCAAATGGGGACGCTATCGCGGATGATGTGTGTGCTTTTAGTAGTACATCCTCTATCTGTACATTTAATTTCTCCATTTGTCGGCCATTCAGCCGCGTTGCCATACAAATTCACGGAGCTGAGGGCTTGTCGTAAAACGCGCCGTTCATTCATTATATAATTGTTTCTCACGCTTAATGCGCAAACAGTTTAGTGGGTGTTTAGTAACAAAATCCCATTTATCATGTAGCCATCATTCATCTTGTGGGTCCAGTTGCTCTCGCCGAGAGATGCCACGGTGATACATTTTAAGTTGCATAAGTCTAATGAAGAAATTAAAAGACTGTCTCATTGATTGGTATATGTATACCCCCATTTCAATTTACGATCTACACCATTGTTCGCTCGCTCGCCGATAATCTGCACACCATGGGGCATTTTATGTGTCTCATGCGATTTGAATATTATCTTGAGCGAAATTTTCGATACAACATCACCTAAAAAACTTAGTTTCTCAATAAAACTACATGAATAGTTGATAGAGCCGCGCACATGTTGCGCGCAATAAATATGAAATACTATCTGTCTGCGGACGCCGAGTACACACTGCCAAAGTGTATGTTTGAGTGTATTTAAATAAATCGTCCCTGAACCTCTAAATATAGCAATTTGTTCGACTCTATCCGACACTGAGATGCTTGGATTCGTTATCACAGTCATATCCTAACCCACATTTTGAAGTTTCTTGTCAAGTGATAAAGGGATATTTTCAAAATTAGTGTAATTTGAATGGTTTTCTGTGCATAAAAAAATTAATAACTACGAAGCCATGGGGTGCAAAAGAACTCGTATTCAATTGTTCGCAATAACTAGATTATTCAAACAAGTGAACTCGACAAACTTGAAGTCCTTATTTTGAAGGTCAATACCAGTTTTATGTCGAAGCTGAATATGAGTTATTAAATCCAGTTAATTTTTGGATTCACCAAAGTCTAAACCACTTTCTGATCTCAAGAACTTTTCACTAAAGAGGTGCAATTTGTGTAATGTATTGAATTCACACATTCAATCATCAAATTGACTCCACATGATGTACCTTCAATCCTGGAGGAGAGAATAAAAGTGGGTGTGCTAGATTAATTGAAAATGACTTGTTATATTTCTTGTGTTCACTTCAAAATTAATACCTTCGCTAGTGGCAGACATTATTTCTTGTTATGCTTTACTTGTAAGATTTTTCTTTTCTCTACTGATAACATCAATCCTAGCCTATAAATTCATCTTTATTTATGTACTAAAATATATAATTGTATTCTTTTGTATTAATAGATGGTTTCTTCACATTATTATAGCTTCTCTCTCGTCTCTCGCTCCTCTTTTTTTCTCGCCTCTAGAAAGACTTCTTTCTGCTATTACGAAATCATCGAAGGTGCGAATGGAACATATCATCGAAAATATTGGAGAGGCGCAGACACTCAAGTGGGAAATCATTGTTGTTCTAGTGCTTAACATAAATCAAGATTCAATCATCATTTTCCACATTCTTGTGCCTAAGCTTTGAATTCCCCCGAGTAAATACGAAACAAGATTGGCTCCATCAGATCACATTCGAAATCCAATCAAATTGGAAGGCTATCCTTGTAATTATTGACAAGTAAAATTGATTTGTATGTGTGTAGTAATTACCAATAATTGTGGTATGTCAGATAACATTTTGCAATTATTCGCGTGTACATTTTCCCTCTCTAGTGCAGAACACACCTCTCCATCAACGGATTTATAGTGATCTCTCGACTTGCGTTGAGCATCACTGATTCATACAAGACAAGGTCGTTTCCTCTTTAACTTGGCATCAAAGTCCCCAAAACACTCATCGCAATTTGCGCTTGCGAGAATCTACGAGCCGGGAAAAAACTTGAAATATGCATTTGCAAATCAATTTTCCTCACACACAGCCACCCCCCTCCTCCCCTCCCTGAGACGCAAAGAAACTCCCATTTCCATTCTAATGTAGCAGAGCGGTGAAAATTATTGCAAGAGTGATGAAGACGAATTATGTTACTCTCATGTGTATCGCGAATTTGTCCATATTTTCTTACATTTCTGAGCTGGCCATTTCGCAACTGATTCACCTCTGTGATCATGAAAAACTCGCAGCATTACCATGTGCTCTGTTGTGTCTTGAAATCATCATCACGTGGCGTACGAATATTCCAGCGCACGAGATCGGCACAGCCTTTGTAATGAATGGCCATAAACTGCAGCAACTATGACTAATTTCCACATTTCTTGTGCCACACTCTCAAACAAATGATCATTACCTTTCAGCCCTTGAGTGGTTAGACAAGAAGTGTGTAATTTATAGTTTCACACATAAGTTCCCAATTCTAATTGATAATTCCACTCCTTTTCATTCAATTTGCCTCTAATGAGACTTTTCTTGCTCTAAACTCGACAATTGCGGATTTTTATTCGACGCAGCGGTAAATTAATTCACACTGAAAGTTATCAACATAATAATTTGCATGAATTTGCATTACTTCATAAAAATCATTTACTTGTTCTATAGTATATTATTGTGAATACGATGACTTATCATCTGTTCACCAAAGTGAAAATTTCTCTGCTCTGAAAATATGATCCATTTTCATACACTTTTCATTAGAGCGATGTTTTGTCGATATACCACTGCTTCTGTATACCCTTTCCATTATGCACTTTCAAGTCAACACCAGTAGCTTTTACATCTTACAATTGCATGGGGAGATTGAAAAGATTTCAGTGTATTTTAGAGTTATATCAATATTGATTCGAATGAAAAAGAATGACAAATAGTGGAGTAAAGGGAAACATGATGTTGCTCCTTCATTATATATTTGGGGACTCTTGCTATGTATGATTTTTCATTGAGTAAAATGAAATGGAAAAATAAACATGAAATATCAATGCGAAGCATATAATTGCCCGTACGCCGTTCTCTTCCCCCAGTGTCGATTCAATGCTACACCAAAATCAATTTGAACTGTGAAACAGATTCCGGTTCATATACGAAGCGTTAACAGAATGTTTGTCCAAAGCCGAAAAACCTAATACATAGCGCACACATTCTCTAAATTGGACCACACAATCTGTATCTCGCCACAAATCCACACCACCTCTAAACTTTCATCGTGTTATACATATTATATGTACAACTCAGGTAGGACACTGTTTTCAATCTAATCTACATAAGATGTGTAGGGTCTCTTTTACGCCTTTTTTCCCCCAATGCTTGAGCACACACAGGCCAAGAGTTAAATAAATAAAACGCATGTACGGTTCTTGAAATGAGTTACCAATCAAATTAGAGTCTCCTCGCTAATCGAAGAAATTTATGTAGCGCACAGTGTGTTCATTTCTGATCTAGAACAAGTTTTAATTGCCGCTCGCTTAGTGTGTTTTACAGACGCTTTTCGTCGTTAGGTCCATAGGTTAGAACTATATAAAATAATTAGATCGCGATGTAAGTGGCGATTGTGCAAATAAACGCCAAGGCGCGATCTTGCAATCTCACTTCCCCGCTCCCCGCCATACAATTTGTCCAATATTGGGTGCCTCGCACTCGAAAACTCCGACAATGAATGGCTGGTGAAACCCGACACCCATTTGTTTCATTTGTATTCAGCAGCATCTTCAGAACGCGTGCACGATTCATTAATTTACCTCTGATACATTTTACGGAAGATAAACATGAAACGTGGGTGTGATAGTGTCGTGTCAGTGACCCCGATGCCGATCTTGCAGATAATTCCCGATGAAAATTGCCCTCCATATTCGCACATCCAAATATATTGCTCGAAAGCACGCTTCAATATTACCCAAAAGTCACTAATATTGTGCCATTGTGATAATTAATAACGATGCATCGTGTTCAGATATGAAAACATGTCCCATTTCTTACAATGGAGCACTCTGCAAAGCCTCCAATGCCCTCCTCATTGTACATCCTCTTCGTGTGTTACACATATTGACGTGTATACTGTTCGAAAAAAAACCAGTGAATTCATAACATCTCAATATATGAACAATATTTTGACTTGCGATAGCAGATAAGCGTGAGGCTGGAATTGATGAGAGTCGCGATGCGAGAACAATGTGCCAAAGAGGGTGTAATCTTTTGAATTGTGGCTCAATAAATTTATCATTATGAAGAGGATCCGCTCACAAAGGCACTTGGGGAAAATTTAATTGTTTGAATTACTTTTTTTTCTCTCCCTTCAACCTTGCATTTACCGCACCTGCACTATTGTTCTTCAGCCAGCCTTTAACCTGAGGTCTCAATTCTAGCGCGCTCAGCCTGAAGAGGAAAATATACAGAAATCTAAATATAGCGCAAAGAAATAAGAGAAAGACAAGAGGCTTAGAATTGATGGTTGGCTGCTGAAATGTGTGAAAATCCTCCTTTCCGTAAAAAGACGCAAAATGTGCGAATTTTAACCGCAACCATCTAACCATCAAATTGACCCAGGTATAATTAATAGTTTACATTGATGGAGGCTGTAAAAGGCGCACAATGCTGGTCTATATTGGAAACATATTACCATGTGATAAGTATAAATATTCTAACGATATTGTTCTAAAAATACCATACACAGTTATCTGTTGGCAAGTACTCTCACACCTCAAACCCCTTTCGCACCCGCGCCAGAACTCACCTTGTTGGAAATAATTGGCTTTTCGGACATAAACGCAGACCAGCGCCATGAGTTGCAGCTGCGACAATCTTTGTCTCGTGGACTGAGGTAATGGGAGGAGATCCCGCAAGTTGGCAATCTCTGCATTGATGAGATCCCTACGGAGCTTGGAGGCACCTTTCGTTGATTTGTTGGCGTCAAATCTGAAAATTGGAAAATGACCAACAAAAAAACAAAAGATTAATGGGACTCCACTGGGATGTAAGATAAAGAACTATTAATCACAATTAGAAATTCCCACAATGTTTCATACAGTCAGTAGGAATGGTAGATATAGAAAAGAATTAAAACATATTCATTGCGTCGATTAATCATAGGAGGGCCATATTGTACTGGGAGAGCCAAGGAGACACCGCGGAAGCTAATTCATGTCGTAAAAACTATCTAATTCCCAAGCTTAAACTCCTCCTCAGCTCTTCAAATGTCCATATCAGCAAATTGAAAATACAATCGATCACCAGCAATTGCTCCTCCATGCATGACAAGGGAGGCAGGCTCGCGAGTATCGAAATGTGATCATATACTTGGGAGTAGTTCGAGAGACACAAGAAGAACAAGCAATAATATCCCCATTTCCACACACACACACAATTCGATTTCGATCGTATTTGTCTCGCTACTGAAATACTAGATCACCAATTCGATCCATCTATTGCACATGGGGCACTGCTAATGGTCAAAATAATTAACCCAATTTTCAGGCACAACAAGAATCGCATACCTCCCAGTCAGTCTTGTGATTATCTATTTCCGAGAAGAGCTGCAACTTTCTGTTTTTGGGCGATGAGAGATAGGCCAGAGCATCTCTCTTCATGGGTGAGCTTGCTCTCAACTCCACTTAATTCATGTTAATTCAAACTAAATACCCATATACACATTATTGGATATCCCGTGAGATTGTACAATGCAGATTAATGCTGAGCGAAAATATAGTTCCAATGTATATGTATGCAAAGTTAAACACGCCATCTTGATCATGACCTGCACCATTATCGATCGTGATTGCCGTACACCACAAATGCAGTGAATCCCATCGCGTTGCTACACATGAACCCACACCTCGTGCTGATGACTCCTCCACTGACACCTCGGATGCGTTTTTGTATAAATCATTTACTTATTTGCAAATCCACACATTTTCTTTGTGCCCACAATGGACTGTGTTCGCTGCATTGGCCATCATTATGCCATCATTGATTATTGATTTCGCATTCAGGAATTGACTACCTGTGAAATTCCCCCTCTGATTAGTATTATTCACACTTGCCAAGATATTGCCCAGCGAAATTGCTTCCAGAAGCTCCTTGGCTGCACCAACTGATAGTGCTTCCGATAAATTGTTCTCAGAAATTTTCTCTTTGCCACATTCTCCAGCGCAGGGAAATTATGAGAACCGATGAAAATTGTATAAATGGAAGGTCAATTCTGGCGAGATTCCACATAGTGATATTTTTGTGTGACAGAATATTTAAATTGAGGAATATTTCCGTGTGAATTTTGCAGACTGTGCTGCATCCGTGCACACATATTGAATATTGAATACCTAAATTGAATCCATGTCCCAATCCGCTCTTTGCATATGTAGAAAGGAAGAAAATGTAGGGTAATAATTCACTTTGAATCATGGTAATTGTTTGATGAAGAGACACAATTAGGGAAATTCCTCCGCAACAGCACGTGTTCATAACAGAAGAGACCGCGCCGAAGAAAATTGAACCTAGAAGTGCGATTTCTTCCACCCCCGAGGAATTGAAATAATTCCACGTTCCAGAAAGGTAAATGAATAATAAATATGACCATTTCACGGATAAAATCATATAATAGTGCCAAGTTTGAGAGACGGATCACAGTGCAAGTGATGATGGTCCGTGATTGCGGGCAATATTCGCCTTGATAATGGGCCCTGATCGTTGGCATCAAGGCGCAGACACATCCTCTATGTTAGTTGTGAAATGATTGCGATGGTGGTCTCAAATTCGCCCACGCTTTCCCCCCGCGGTGTGGATATGTGTGATGTCTGGAGCGCTCCACCGACTGTCTGAGGCTAATGCAAGCCGATGGAGTGTGTTGAGAGTTGAGGGTAATGATTAAATAGGGCGTCAATTAAGTGAAAACATGGACATTAAGGTTAAGTATGAGCAAAAATAAAAGTCTGCTTGCGTCATTAATGTTATATGTATTGCTCATATATAAATTCTCGAGATATATGTTCTTGTCGAGAATGCTGCATCAGCTACAAGAAGTGTTAACTGCAATGCCATGTGAACATGCTTTTTTTTATTATTATTATTATTATTATTATTATTATTATTTAATTCTTTACAATTTTGTAGGGTCTGCCCCTCTGATTAAAATTGCAAGTGAGTTTGATAGAGAAAAAAAAAGAAAGAGAAAGAAATTAAAGATAAATGAAGCCAATTTAAAGTTAATGAATGACTATGCAGTATTGTCAACTAGGAAGTGAAAAGTAAGTGTTTCATACTGAACAGTCAATGTTTCGCAAAATTGCCCACAACTTTGCGCTCGTTGACGATGATCATCAAAATTTAATTTGTGCAAATGTGAGTGCGAATGAGTCTGTACAACAGGAGGAATTACCTCAAATACCGTGTAAATTGCGAAATGAACAAGTATTGCTGAGATATTTTAAAGATGAAGTTAGACATATTTCATCATACCCCTCCATTATCATGACATCACATCATCTTATTCAATTTTAACCAATTTATCTCTTGGCTTTCCGACCACATATATTTCCTCTGCAGACCTCGCGATATCGATTCGCGTTAAGGCATTATCTTAGTGAGAAAGCAGTGCATCAGAATGTGAGTACAAGAGTCGTAATTCACAAAATAGAGCATTTTCTTCTCCCCATTGAAATTATGTCTATTTGTATGTAAGAAGATATCAATCGGGATCTCCGTCAATAGAAATATATTCATACACTCAACTTATGTATGCGATTTGAGATATATTTTTCTTATTCTACTTTCTGCAAACGCCCATCATCATTTCATCTCGCATTTCGCTCGTTTGGCGGTGAGGCACAATCCAAATTCACTCTGTTCCCACGATACTGACAGAAGAGTAACAGTGCAACAGCTAAAACCATCAAACATTCTACACATATGTACATCACACACAAGATTGCTCTGGCAACCTCAGGTGAAAATACACAGCCAGATGAAATGCCATCTTTTCAATTGCATTTGAGGAAAGGGGGGCTTGCCCATAATCACTGGCTAATTTGTTTAAGTTATCATATACAAGGAATATGTTATTAAAATAGAGCAAGGTTTAACAAGCATTGAAAATTACCCTATCGTTGTGTAATTATTCCATATCATTCTTTCATATGTGCCGTTTACAAGTGCTCAAGATTAACCTTATCGACGCCATTTATTCAGGTGATTGGATAAGTGATCTGAATTTCTAAATTTGCCTCAATTGCATATTTGGGAGAGGGAAAAGCCATGGCTGATTCCTTTCGGAAAGAGGGAACAAAAGAGAGGATCAAAGTGTAATTTTATGTGAGTAAAAGGAACGACCTCTCTCCCGTGCAGGAGCATAAAAATGCATGCACAGCGACTTCCAGCAATGATACATTTGATGGACGCTAGAATTACACCTACTGATTGGCAATGTAATTATGTGGTATGAAATACATAAGTCAGAATTGCCAAATAGTAGCCCAGAGCAAATAAATTAAAAGCCTCATACACAGGTAGCTGGATGAGAAAATTGTTATTCTTGGTGTCTGTGAAGTATTTAGTGGCTGCGTTTAATTTCAATTCTTGGGATTCGATGTGCTTCTCAGCATCTCCACCCCAACCCAGTCTTCGACATGGTTTTTGTCGGGTGGAGTTGTCTTTTTGCCTCAGCCATCGATGCAATGTGAGATGTCGGCAAAATTGCCATTACATTGATTCATAGGGGAGATGAATTTAATCCATCTTTAGCAATTTTAACGTGTAGTACGATCATATGCAGTGTCGAGGAATCTCACAAGGAGATTGAAGTGCTGTACCATCTTCCCTCTCATGAGGGGCAATGCAATGCGTAATTATATATTCATAGCCCTCCTGCAACGGTCAATTATTTGCATACCTATAACGAAAATTGCATGTGCATTAACGCAAATTTTCACACACACAGCTCATGCCTGAAATCTTGGTCAAGAATGCTGGTGATCGGCGTTTAGCGCGGCCTGTATGTGTGTGTGGACGAGCGCAAATATTGATGAAGGTGGGAAAAAAGAATATACTCAGTTCATCTACCCACAAAATTGTCGAAAATGCCCTAAAACCGTTTGCCGCAATTGCCCACAAGAGGAATCTCTTTCTCCCTCCTCAATTCTTGAGGTGATGGGCTGAGTGTCTACACGGCCGAGTATGGATACTGTGTGTGGCGGTTAAATTTGCTCAATGGTATTTCGAGAGAGTGAAAGAGAGCCGTCGAGCGATCGAGCCTCTAATCCTGATTAAATACGGCTGCATCACATGATATGAGGCCGAGGGAACGGCCAGAACAACATAATGGTTGCGTTGATGACTAAGGATTGACGAAACATACCATCTCATACTCATCGTGGGCTAAGTCCGCTACCCGTGTTACCCGCCGTTCGACAAGCCCACTGGTAACAAAAGATCATCAGCCAGAGTCAGTGTGTAATTTGATGCAATCGGTATATAGCAGCAATTTCCATATCTTCGATAATGCTCTTCGAGTCTCCCATACCATCATGCACTTTCGCATATGTGTGCCTCCGACGCCAGTGTAGTTGCCATTACTTTAGGCACCACCGGCAACTGATGCAACTAATTGTCTACGGAGATGTTCAATTTTCAATAAATGGAAAAGTAATACAGCGATTTGTCTACTTTTTTCCTCGCTTTCGGCCAAGTTATCAAACTGTGAGTAAATAGATTAGACCTCATTCCCATGGTACTCTGTACCACCGTTCCCAATGCCAGCCTATAATTTCACCCATGATCTTTCGCCTGCTACAAAGTCTGCTCAATCGCGAAAGGACATGCACATGATAGAAGTTCCCAGAATTTAGCGTAAGTGCATCGCGCAACAATGTCTATTTGCATTCCAGAAGCGCCTATTAGAGACCCTCGAGAGCATTTCTTCTCGAATGGTGGGCGGATTAGCGAGAGAGAGAGAGCTTTCCTAGTTCAGTTCCTCCTTGTGCGTGAGAACGAAATCCACTGCAGTAGTTTTATACCTGCTAAACTAGATCTCCAAAAGTCACACCAATATTTTTCTAAATACTGCGATTGGCATTGATGCTAATGAAGTCGTTTTCAATTACAATTCACCATCTGGTCAGGAGGACTCATCTCATATTCAAACGCCTTTTTCATCGGCGTTCTTGTCATAACGACTTTGTTCATTCGGCAAAATGCTATTAGTATTCATGAATGACTCTACTATTGGTAGCACGCGGCAGCGTACGATAGCTATTCTTCATTGTTTGAAGCACGCGCTGATTGTTTACTTCTTGTAGAAAAAAAACAACTATTTGCTGGGCTAAAACCAACATCACGCATAGAGGATGAATAAAAAATCTTTATCCAATATTTTCTGTTTGATTTACTCTAAAGGTAAAACTATGAACCGTGATAAGCCCTAGAGATGCCCATGTGATTACAGTGGATGCACTTTTGGTGAAGATCTTCAAATTCCACTGAAAATTTTAATGCTGGCCCGTAATATTGCAAGAATTCACTGATGAAGACGAAAATTATTATATTGTTGAGTGAAAATCATGAGATCTGAGAGCTGTTATGATCGATATGCAAACAATTAGAAGAATTCCATGTATGAAAAATAAGATAGATAGAAATGAGTGATCATATTTGACTCTATAGAGCAGAGGCGAAGATTCCCACGTGGCCTCTGATGCTTTTTATTCTGTGAATTTCAAGAACAACAAACAAAACAATTCGATGATTTGCTTTTGAGTCGACATACATTGTATAAGTTTCCAAGTCGGTAATGTTCAGATCTTTTTCTACTCGAGCAACACAATTTTTTTTATCAATCATCTCCATCTTTAATATCTTTACTGTCAATCTATATGGCCAATAGTTATTTGTTATTGTCAAATTCGTTCATATCGCCGCATTTACCGAAAAAGAATTCACCGACTATAGCGGCTGCCCCGTGCTTCAAACACTTTGTCCGGGCAGCTCTCACTCTTTCTCCGTCTTAGGACCAGCTGACTAGTCTTTAGAATACCGAAAAGGGTTGCCGAGGAGCAAAATATCACGAAACATTTCAATTATTTCAGATTCATTGAAAATTATTTCCATTTTGTATTGTGGTAGCCCAAAATTATAGTTAAAAAAAGTGCAATTAAAAAAAAGTATTATTCAGTACGGTCGCATCGTAAGTTCTAAGTTAACTTATTGAGATAGAAGAGCTTAGTTATAGTTCAGAATAAATCTGAAAATATTCCCAAATAGTAACTTGGAAGGAAATGTACTTTTGGCAAGGATTAACAAAACAACATCTCAATGGATTGGCTTCAGAATTCGTAAAGTCTTGAAAATTTCACAAATGTGGTCATTCTGGAGACCTTAGCTGACCGTCTCCCTCATGGCACACGGTACGCACTCAATCGGACATCACATGGTGGCGCGTACAACTCAGCTGCGCGCCCCGCAACCAGAGATTCTCATACCTCTCCGCAGCTTCACGGTGTGTGAAATACAAGAAAACGGCAAAATGATTGGTGAGCAATAGAGAATGAAGACATCTCTCAACTCTTTGAATTACCACGAATTATGACGGCTCACATAGCGATCGGGATATTTATACAACATACAATGCGAGTATCGAAGTATTCCAATCCCCCTGTACAACTGGGTGATAAATGGCCAAATGAGCGCGTCAATTCTCTGCTCTGTGACGTCATGTGTCATACGTCGAAAATCAATTAGCTTGTATATTAATAGGTAACAATTTATAAGACATATCAATCTCAGCGGCATACACAATGCCCCCTTCTTGCCAGAGATGGTGTTCATAGTTTCACTCTATTAAACTTATCCATCATTCTCGAGCTACATACATTTTAATCAATATGTGTCTTTTCACTAACTTCACTCATGCTGACCTGCGGATCGGATGTGTGCTTTTGAGAAATATAAGAAGCCACTGAGAAGACAAATGAAAAGTATACAATGTGGATGTGAAACAATGAGGAATCTTCGTAATTCAGCTCCACATGCTGAAGAATGCAGTTTCTAAAAATCTTTTTAACACAATTTTCAATTTGTTGACACTGAAAATTAGACGACTCCGCAGTCATTTTTCTGCTCCCGGAATAATTAACACTCACGTGTGAATACAAATGTAGTCGTAAAAACTATTTAAAAGAAAAACATTTCCTCAACATCGTCCTCAGTTCAACTCAAAGGAATTTGTCCCATTTACACTGCTTTTATTGCTTTGTCTCTGACTTAACGGTCAATGAGATAATTAACAAAAAAAGAACTAATTTTAGAGTTCACGATAAAATTAGAATTAATCACAAAAGAATTATTTATAAATATTTATATATGAAAGGAGACAAATTTGACATTTCATCCGACAATCTCAAGATTGCATCCATACGATTCGACAGAAATCCTAATTATTCCACGAGATTGACTCTCACTTTTACCGGGAATTGTGCAATAGAGCCTTTATCGTACAATATTGCGTACAGTATGAAAATTAATTAAAATAATCGACACGTTGTATCACACATTGTGTTAGCTACTTTTGTACAATAAAACGAAAGCTCGATCGATCTGAGACTCGGGGACTCGGCCTGAGGAGCCTTCTCACACTGTGGCTTTACATTGAAAGACATATTTACGGTCTCATTAATATTCTTCTCTAATTAATTAATTACCTTCGACGAGAAGGATACGATGAATGTGTGGTAAACAAGAGTTTACATTTAGCTCCACCTTATGTGAAAAGGCATTTATTGGCACATGTGTGTGCCTTGTACATGGAGGAATGGAAATATCTCTTCATCTTCTCCTCTTCAAGACACACTGAAGCCCTCCGTGGATATTCTAGTGAAGACTTAGACTGCAAGTCTTGTCGCTTTTGCTTGTCTTTTTGAGGATGTCCTCGCGAGAGAAACCTGAGTTTGATGTTTTCCTAAGATGACAATCGACTGAACAAGGACATGTTCCTAAGCCAAACTAAATGTTATAATTAAAAATATCAGGACAAATATGAGAAGGATAGACTTATATAAAATCCCATCTTGTGCCAACGACCACACATTGGTCAAGACACTATGTTGGGAAAAAGAAGAAGCACGGTCACAGTGCCTCTAAAGTGCATAAGATTTTGCCTCCGAGATTCATCTTGTTCAATAATTTCGCAGAAAATAAGGCGAGAGATTGAGGCAAAAAGACAAGTAAATGAGGCAAGAGCCACAGTATATGATCATCTGATAGCAGTGTGCTATTAATTTGGTGCAATATTGGACATCGGGGGTAAAAGCAAAGAGGAAAACACTTTTATTTTCACATAAATCCCTAAACGTTCTCTTCTCAATACGGGAAAAAAGAGTATCACTGCATGAGAAACTAGGAACTGCTAATTAAAAAGATGTAGTGAAATAATTGAGAAATTGATCCAGCAGAAAGATAGGCTATATGAAGCAAGGTTATTTATGAACTCACACAATTTTCTTGCTTTCTTCCACATTACACTATATATACCCCCATAGTATTTGCCTTACATATATATATATTTCGAGATTTTTTGCCTCCCTTCTCACGTCTCCAAGACTGGGAGGGAATATGCTTTTAAAATACCATAATTTTTGCATTATCAACTGTGAATGACTCTGGCGCGAGACACCATATAAATCAAGAATGGGCAACTCTTAAAGTGCCCAACCATATCATTCATTTGCATACAATTTAAACTCATCATTAATGGATTGTATCCCGTCAACGTCCACTGATATGTCTTTGTTTCATTTGACTTACAATGCGGAAAGCTTCACGTGTATTTTGTCAAGAAGTTGTCCAATTCTTCTCCATTCTCTGTCCACTTCTCAATATATTTACCTTTTAGACTTATCAACTTTAATGATGCATTTCGTCAAAATATGAAGCAAGAGAAAATAAATGGATCTTAGATTGAGAGGATCAGAATTTCACCGTTTTTCTGTGTTATATGTGAAATGTTAATTCGCCAAAGTGGCTCAAGAATTCAAATATTCTAAATCACTTTCCCATTTGACCTTGGAATCCGTTAGAATTGTTGGGATTCTTCGACTTTCTTCGCTTTATTTATATAATTTTGTCTCATTTTTTATAATTCGCCTAGAAATATATAATGATACTAAGGATAATGCTATTTTCCAAATAGTCTGATGTTCAGTATAAGTTTTCACACATAAATTTAGCAAATGATCAGATAAAAATGCATTATTTAAAATCCGTCATGGGGAAAAAGACATAAATTGATCCATGAGCAGTAAAATCAATCATTCAGACGTGGTTGCATAGATATAAAGATCAGCTTGTAAACAGTGTCTTTAGGAAAGATTAACAAAATTAAATCAGCTTTTATAGTGATTTTATGTTCTCTCGAAGTGAACGTATCTCCCCTGAAGAAATGAGTGGCTGAAAATTTATTGCAGTGACTAATTACCGCCTAGATGACGGTAAATTCTGATCTTTTCAGCACACATATTTCGAGCAGTTTCGCGGGAAAATTAACTACATTCTGCTGAAATGTGGTGTCTCACTTTGGGTGCTCTATGCTGAGTAATATCTCTTACCTGGTAAACATCTTGATGGCTCACAATCGGTGTTACAGATATGGTTGCTGAAGGAAGATTTTGATTGAAAGTTCAACACAAGTCGCTCTCACGTGAATAACTTGGATAAATATTGATCATATTCGGAGTTGAGTTAATTTTCCCCTATATGGTAATCCAGAGCGTGGAAGGAGTCTGAAAAGGAGGAGAGAAGAGAACTTGTTGATTTCGCCTGTAAAATTTTTATACCGACTAGCAGTGAGGGAGGCCACACTGCAGAGGAAAGGCATTCGATTCGGGAATTTTTATAGTCTGTGGTGAATGTCTTCTGACTCTGGACGCGGTGGATGTTCACGTAAGATGACTAGAGAGTGAAGAAGCCTTTTTGTGGGGAACAATACACTTTGGGAATTGTCATTGATTGTTAAATGTGCGGGAGGCTCAAGTTCCTCGCATATACCACTGGTATGCTCAAGCGACGGGGGGTCTCTCGACAATAATTCGACCTGCTTCCCAGTTTCTGTGTTTATCGTGTTTCCCCCCAACAACTATTCCAATTTCAATTGATTGTTTCACTTCGTGTTCGATTCTTTGTTGGTGAATTATTTATGCAATGGAAAATGAAATAAGAAATGCATTCAGACGCTGAACAGTACCGTATATTGTGGCCTCTTTCCACTTGATCCTTTTTCATATCCTTCCCTCTTTTTAGCGATCGCAAAATTGCCCTCACTTTACATTGAGAATGAGCCTAAAATACTATCTTTTTGCTCATGTTTTGCTGCAAAAAAAATACATATTCTATACAATATCTTTATGATAATTTTTGTCTTCTTCATATTTGCCTTGATATTTGCTTTGCTATTCTCAATATACACAATATTTTCCAACAAACAATGCTGTTGTAAAACAGACGATTCCTCGTTTATTTTTCACCAAGATCTCAACAGCAAGAAATAGTCCGCAAAAAAGGATATTCTGCTTCCCATCCAGAGCATTTAATGGGAATACAATTCAAGGTTGAAAGATCCTAAAAGTCTGGGAAAATTCACTGGCATAGAATTTGTCAAAGAGTCCCTCCTGCATCGCCATATCCCACAAATTGCGAGGATAGAGAGACATTATTTATGCACATATATTTACAATATTGCACATAATGCACCACAATCTCCCGGTGAAATTGCTGGTGGAAACAGAAGAACATTCTTGGTACAGTTCTACGCGGGAGGTACAGTGTTTTATGAAATATTACCGATTGTCCAGAACAAAAGAGAGTATTATGATATGGCAAAAAAGACGAACTAAATAAAAGCTCTTGCAGAATATTCTCAGTCATATTGTTCCTTATTTTCACTTTTTACCCAACATCCTCAGCTTATATTCAATGTGAAAACAATCAGTGAAACTATTGTTAATTGTTGCCAACAACCTAATTGCGCACCCCCATTTTTCGTTTCAACAATTCAACATTCAAGAAAACCATTGAAGATGCTAAATTATGAGCTTTTCCCCCATCACAAAATACTGAATTGAATTCAAATGTGGAATTCTGCAATTTAGTGTTTCGATTACTTTCATACAAACAGAGTTAAAAGGAATAATATACACAAACTAGGGAATGTAACATTAATTTATCAATTGAGACAATTGACTTAGGGAAAATCACACAAAAGCCACAGAAAGCTCTCAAATTCCACTGCAGACTTACAACGTGATTATATTCTCGAGGAGGGAAAGCACCTAATTGAGCAATTTTCATACTTTGTGCAATAATAGATGCTAATGCGGAGTAATATAAAAATTCCACTTCTTTTTCTATCTCGTGTAAAAAAGAACATTCGTATAAATTGCTTAAAGTTGATAATTTGCAAACACCATTTCGAATTTTTTGTTGCGCAATTTTACGGTGCGATATTCAAGAGAGATTTTACATCCTTGTCAATATTTTTGTGGAAATTTCGCAGTATTCAAATAATAAGACTTATCCTAACCTTATGATTAATCCAATAGTAATCATAAATGCACTGAGTTTTTTTTTCTTTGCGAAAATTAAAATATTTTTAGCACGAGCACTAGTTTTACTTCGGCGCACTGATCTTGTTCTTTGCCAAACTTATCTGCTTCTCTGAGACTGTATCTGTACACAAAAACAATTCATGCAAACACTCCTGAATCTCTGAATGAATCCCACACGATCACTTTCATTGGACACTGATGGAAAATACCACTGATTAACTTAATATTGTCTGTTTATCAATAAATTGTGCCGCTAAAAACGGAAGAAGTTCGAATAGCTGCGCATGTTGAACTCAAGAAGATCACGTAATACTATTGGTGATCTTTCACTCGTGAAGCACTTCTCACCGCTACTGCTGCTCTTGGCCGACTGGCGCGAAGCACTTGATCGTCTCATGCCCAATAGTACGGAGAGACAAGCGTAAGAAGAAGGCATGGACAGAGACTCGAGAGAGGTGGAATTTTAACCATACACATTATAGCAATTGTATGGGAAGCTTTTGAATAATAGTGGGGCTCTTGGCAGTAAATAGTCGTCTCACTCCAACCAATTCCTCTCTTTAGCCGCCTCAAGTCCCGAACTGTCTCGCACAATTGTGTTTTTCAGAGGATTTATCAGGAAAATGATAGGAAAATAGAGTATGAATTGCGTGAAATCAGATCATTTTTCTTCATTTACAGTATTTTGATGTCTCAATCCCGTGATAAATCGTCTCATTGCCAAATGTATGAATCCACTTTCCAAGAATACAAACAAATCGTGAGATCACTTGAGGTATAAATCGCATTTAAAATTAATCCAACAATTTCCTCTAATTGCTCGCGCTATTCTACTCTTCCCACGATCTTCAGTCTCTGAAGATCGCCCCAAATTCCATTGGTGAATCGCTGAAAGCTCCTCAAATCACCCACATTTCCCTACACACAGCATTTTCTACTCCTTTATTTGTCATTTCTCCGCGCACACCGACGACCTAATGTGACCATTTTCGGAATGAGACAACACGATTATGGGCGGATCGCGTGTGTTCCAATAGCCTAACGTCGTCTCGTTTATTGGTGGCTTGCGCTAAGTAAAGATATTATTTCAATCCACCGGGCTCTAAGTGCTTTATGACTTTAGCAAATTATTGAACGTCGTTAAAGAATATTTAACCCAGCAATTTTTATCAATTATTAATGCATTTATGGATGCTCTGGTGAGTTGCTGAGGTGCATCAAAGTCAATTTAAAATCCATATTTATTTGGAGGATTTCTAGGGCGCCAGTGAGAGGATAGTAAAACGCATTTGACTATCTTGTGAAATAAACTGAAATGCACTCTATAATTATTAACTTGATCATCGCGATTTATGAGAAAATGTTTGTGAGGAAAATTAAGTTATTAGCACAGAATTTCAAACCTACATTTCAAATTGAAATACTAATACAATTTTACATGTTTTCATAATAATTTTAATCTGAAAATGATGCCCGAAATAACGAAGACATTCATGAACAGTTTTGCTAAATGTCGATCAACATTTCTGTTGGTCTGAAAGTTTTATTCTTCTAAATGAGAATAAAATAGAGACATTGATTTGGTGTGAGACAAAGTAAAAGAATCTCTTAAATTTCTTATTAAATCGAATAAAATAAATATAATGATTTCTAAACAACCAATTCTCACTGTAATATTTTTATTCAGATAGCAAAGTCTAGAGGAAAACATCGCTACTGTAAATAATAAATGATTAAAATGAAAAGTTTGAAATGTAATGAAAAAAAATCTTTTTAAACAACCATCACTGTTTCTTGAGACAACAAATCGTTGCCTCGTGCGCATTTTTCATACGTGCCAAAAGACATCAACACAAGAAACATTCAATTAGAAAACTTTTTAATATCTATCTACTTACAAATTAAAAAAAAACTATACATTTGGATACAACCAAAATTCTTCGCATTTTCATTAATAGAAAATTTATTCAGAAACTTAACGAACATTTCAACAAGTACTCAAACCATGAAGTCGATAATGAAGATCATTCATGAAATCGCAATACGAGTCATGAATCAAAGAAATATTTGAATAAGAATGTGATAAAGCTAGAGATTACGAAGGTCCCAAGAGATCACTTACCGCATTATCAAGGCATTGTAGAACTTCAAAGCTCACAACAAACAATTGATCTTTATAGTGAAATAGCTTCGCGGCCAGTAAAATATTCCGATCATCCAACAATGCGAACAGCAATGGAAATCACTCATTATTTTATTATTTTACGCAAATAGTTTATTATCAAGTATACACAAAATCTAATGTAAAGTATAGTCCTCACTATTTCAAAACGAAGCATCTCTGTTTGATATAACAAGAAGGAGTAATTAACTTACCGGAGGGCGAGAACAACTAAGATCACGTTCAATTGCGAGAGAAAGAATAACTTCTACATAATTTCGGAAACATCTTACAAATCGAGTCATCGAATTGCGATCGCTAAAGTTCAATATTCTATGCGCTTGATTAAGTGTTACTGTGAAAATTTGCTGAAATCGTATTCAAAATATGTCCGAATGACTTCGGGATATTATCTCTCATTTAAAATGCTAAAATGTACAATGCTACCCACTTCGAGACAAATTATCTTCCTCCCAATATCGTCTACGGCATCTGAAAGATAAGGCAACTCTCTGTGACTCGACACGGTATTTCGACATTCAGTTATTATTACTTATTTCTGGGGCAATAAATAGCATTTCCGTGCAATTTCTCCATGTGGATTTTCTCTCTCGATTTCTCGTGCTTAGAAGAAAGTACTGAGAACGGGGGTGGCTCAACATTTTGTCATGATCTTCAAGCTTTCAGTTTACTGATATAAACCTTATATGTAATGTTGCACTTTAACACAGGGGACGAGGCGAAAAGTGACTGGTGCACTTTTACGTGATAAATTTATCTCCATCGCCAATTTCCTCAAAATTTCATATCCTACAATCTCCTTCCATTTATGCGAACGAAATGCCAAGCGTTCTGGTGAAGATGTTCATCCTGGAACTTTCACCGATTCTCCTCACTCGTCGTCCTTCCGGACTACGGAGTTTATATGTACAAAAATATCATATTTTTCTCTCTTCAATATCAAAAATTCAATCGCCTCCGCAGACACACACGATGCGCCGTTAACACGCGCTCGAGTGCGTCAAGCATCTTAATTTTAGCTACCCTGTTCGTCTGATTGAGACACACAAATCACTTTTCACCCGGAGAGAAGGAGGAAATTAACGGAGGAGTCTCCAATATAAAATTGTAAAAGAAGTAATGCCTACAGATGTACCTTAAATAGGGGGGTTATGAATGAAAGCTCCTACATCTGCCGCCCGGTGCCATCCTTGGCCGTTAGCTTGTCGATCAGCTCCTGCAGGGGTGCCAGCTCGCGCCTGTCGATCAGATTGAACTCCTGCACGAAGAATATAAAGTGCTTGAAGGATGTGTTGAGGTGGGCCTCCTCTCCCAGCCGCACCACTTCCGAGAAGTGCTGGTGGTAGATGTGGGCGTACACGCGGAACAATCGCTTAAGTATCGTCTTGGCGATGGTCAGGAAGTTCTTTGGGAAGGGCACGCCGATCTTCGATGGGAACAACGTCTCGTCATCCAGCTGATCCTGCACCCACGTCATTAGGTAGTCTATGTATTTGGGGGCGCTGCACTTGATCGGCTTCTTCACCGTCTGCCCGTCCGCCCAGTGATACTCGTACTTTGGCCCCGCTGACATCACTCCGCAGTTCTCCTCCGTGCAGAACTCCGTCACCGTGCCGTACAGCATGTTTATCTGATTAAAGAAGTCCACAGCTGCGGAACACACAAGGCACACATTAGACTCTGTCGCGCTCCATCAGGCCGAGGCACTCACTGTTAACAGCCACCCACTCGTTGAGGTCCTCGCCATCGGGCAGAGCCACGGCATTCCGCAGGTTCCCGGATCCTAGCGTCGCCGCGGCATGCTTCATAAGATCATACTGATGCGTCCCTTCGGGAATGTTCTTTTTTGGCTTGAAAGTCTTACTGGATCTGCTTCCGCTGCAAATAGAAACCACAAATCCATCACACTTCAACCACTTTCCTAGGTTACCTTTGCCAGTCTTGTCAGACCAAACAAATGATTTTCCACCTGCATGAAAACACCCTTATCATCCCCATATAATCCCAAAAACTGCCTCCCTTAAACCCGGAGGGGTTCCGTTTTAGCCTCTCACGTCCCCATGGTGCTCAAGAGACCGGAAAATTAAGGAAATGACCAGAAAATGTTAGCATGCAGATGCTTTGTCGGGGCAGTACTTACAACAAGAAGCTCATTTCAATGGACTTTCCTCCACCAGCACTTGAGATCCTGTATCACACTGTCTACGAGGAGGCCCCAGAGATCCCTTAAATCCTATAAAAATCCTAGAAATCCACAATATTTTACAACAATGTAATTTACGTGAAGAACAAAAAATTCCAGGTGACAGTTTGACGGTAGTGTTGCCAGCGCGGATAATCACTCAACGAAAACGATATATCGAAAAGTCATATCGTTAACAACCCGGTGGCGCGCGTCTTACGACAGTCAAACCGTCTGGCGGCCGGCGGTCGGGTGAGTCGCACGACTGTCGGAAATCTTCTATGGAATATCTTCAATTTGTATTCCCACAATATGAGAAATACAGTTGCAACGGTTTTTGTACATAATTCGTATTTTAAAAGAATATTTGGATAGTTAAATCAACAAGGAATTTGTAAATTATACACAATACTTGACAAGAATAGCTAAAAACTGTCGATTTCTCATTTTCTCAAAAAAAATCTTTTTTCTAAAGAGAATGAACTCTAAAACTGCAAAAGTATAATTTTTATCTTGGGTAAAGTGTAAAAAGCATTGAAGAAAAGCGAAAAACTCTGACATCATCATTAAATATTCATGAGACCAGAAGTTCAACAAACCTCAAATTTGGCCATTTGCTCATGACGATTGCTTCTCGCTCTGAACATAAATAAAATCAATAAAGCATTCATGAATGTTCTCAGAAGAATTATTGTTGGTATCGCACTTTCACCTTCTGACTTTAAAACAGTGCAAACAATCCAGTGAATAAATAAATCCCTTCACAAGGGAAATCTTGCTGATCATAAAGACTCCAGTGTTTCACAATAAATTTCTTTATGCACCACAGCAGAAGCTTTCGGCGAATGTCCGCATTATCTGTAAAACAATTGGTGTGTCACCAGAGATCGATAGAGTGATTTATAAAGTGCGGTGTATTGCCGAAAAGTGCCACATTCACAGATAGAGCGGAATGGAGAGCACAAATTTCGCATGATGGTCTCTATCGAGTTCCAGTGTTGCTCAACACTTAATTTCAAAGCTCATAGCGGTGCAAAATGCTTCACCTTGTACTTCATTCCGCCAAATAGTGTCGCGCGATATCAATTATCTCGCAAAACGTGTTTCTCACACTAGAAACGTGCCTCTCTTCTGACGCCAAGTAAAAATGCAGAAAATTCATCTATGGAAATTTCAAGATATACTCTCAATATATATTTAGAATACAGAAAAAATACACCTAACATAATATCTCTCCCTTTTCTTTGGCTCTACAGCGAAAAAGTAAATACATAAATTGAGACATCAACTTCCAGCATCTCGTGGCTTCTAGCCACACGCTTTTGTCGCGTTACACATTGAAACGCATATTTAGAGTTGAATTATAAATTTAGATCAATAATAATTGAACAGATGACAACAATTCAACTACTCTCAGATAAGACGTTGCGTGTGTTGGAAAACATAATGAGAAAATGGTACATGTGTTTCGTGCAATTCTTATGTAAAATACGTGTTAATTTTCTTCTCGTAAAAAAAATAGATTAATAAATTTAATTTCGGAATGTGCAATGATAATTTCAGAGAAATTGACTCCTTAAGAGACATCCTAATTTTTCTTTTAAGTAAATTATGGCAACTATCTTTGTTTTTCTTTCCATACAAATGCAGAAATATACTTTGTTTCGTCCACAATTATTCGTAGTTCACTTGCAATTGCTTTTACTACAGTAAATATTCCATTAATATTAATCAACATGTTGTTGTGGCAAAGAGTAAGGGCGCATATCTTCAGGAAGCAACTGTTCTCTTTTCAGCATGTCAAGTGCACTGTCGAGACAACACATTCTCAGCTCCCAATTGATTTGTAATAAAGCCAGTCGGTCGATATGCAAAAATATGTACATTTCATAGAGAGGAAGAAAATGGGAATGTTTCTTATCAAGTGAAAAGAGATCATTGATTTTTTGTTCTGAGTATATATGAAAATTTACAAGAGGTTTTTGGATTGAAAAATTCCCACAATCTCAATAGTTTTACTAACTTAATTACGTAGACCTCATTTGGCGGAGACACAAATACCGATTACAGTTAAATCAATAAGTAATTGATTGATATGTTTTCCAATCCTCATTCCAATTGTCTCGCTTTCCCTCTCATATGCAAATTAAATAATAAATTTAATTTCACTTCCCAGCCATGATGTTGAAAGAGAACAATTTCAACCAGATTTATCACCATAAATTTCACTGGTAATTACTATCGAGGTAAAATGCATAATCATTCAATTGGATGCCTTTTCGTCCTTCTTCTCAATGCTCGAGATCTTGGTCTTCATAAACTTTGCGTTCATTTCGGCCGTCGATTCGAGATAAACGCTCTTCATCAAACCCTTGGTTTTCTCCATGAGGGCATCGATGTCCTTCGTTGTCATGCCCGCCGTGGAGATTGGAGGTAGTGTCGTTATGATGATCTCCCCGTTGTCGAATATCTTTCTCTTGCTGTCGAGGAACAGGGAGTATGAGCTGAAGACCACCGGCAGGATGGGCAGCTGCTCGGAAATTGCAATGTGGAATGCGCCCTTCTTGAAGGCGTGAATATCATTGCTGTTGCGCCTTGTGCCTTCGGGGAAGACCCACAATTTCACCCTGTCCCCCTTCAGGTAGTCACCCATGTTGTTGAGCGTCGACCGAGACTTGTCCGCGCTCTTACGATCTATGAAGATTATATTGCACAGCCACGCCGCCAGGCCGAAGGGCCACGCATAGAAGAGCTCCCGCTTGGCCACCACCGTGCACTTGTCCATGATATGCCAGATGTCCAGCATCCCCAGAATGTCCAGCGATGACTGATGGTTCGCCACAATCACGTACGGCTTGTCTTGGCTGATGTACTCCTCGCCGCGCAGAGTCCACTTGATGCCGATTATCTTGGAGATTGGCCGACACCACAGACCTCCGATCCTGCAAAGCCAAGAGAAGAACACCCAATTAAAGAGCGCATTACACCGTGATGATAATAACAGTTCGCATAGAAGAGATGGGAGAAAGTAAAGAAGTCAAGGGTACAGCAATTATTATTATCGGCACGTGTGAGCTTAAGCAGTATTATATGATTACCTCTTTACCTAATGGATAAGATTGCATTATAAAACGTGAAAAAAGCAACAATTGATAAACGAAGAGCAAGACTAATGAGAAAGTACATTGGAAGTAAGAATTAAAATCACTCGAAAAAAACATCCAATGGAAATTCTACATTTCATTGCAAAATATTATTGTACTTTGTCCAGTTTTTGTGTGTGTGAAATGATACCTTTATTCTTTGAGAATATGACATGCAAATGTGCATCAGATTTGATACAATTATTCACTGAAGTATTTAATCTAGATCTCTGATATTATTCTTTGGTTCAATAACATTGCAAAGTTATTGTGTCAACGGCACGACTAATTATTGGTATAAAACTGAAAATGAAAATTACAGTTAAGTACATAAAAAGCAAGACACTTGAATCTTGAGAAGACCACTTACGCGTCTATTGCAACATGTAATGTGACTCTAAATACGACCTTGGCACACAGAGCAACGAGTACTCCATATATGAGAATTGCGAATATCGATCAAATTGAAAAGTCCAATAAAATTTTGCAGTTGCAAAACCTGTGGAGAATTTTGGTCAACATTCACTCAGTCAATTTTATTCAATCAATATTTATTATTAGAACGCGCCAATAAAGCCGCTTATGGGCACTCAATTATAAAGTTAATGCAATTAGAGCACAATAAAAAGAGTTCACACAAGAGAACGCAGAAGCGAAAACTCTTATCAAAAGCTTGTAAATATTTTGAGGCAAAAAATCATAAATATTGATAAGTTTGCCTTTGTTGTGAAAATCCATGTAGAAAAAAATACTTAATTCTACTCAAGTGCTCCTCTCCACGCCATTATCATCATCCCTAGTCACTATACGTAAGAGGTACAGAGTACAATGTTTCGGCGATAAAGTGGGGAAAATTTGGAGACAGAGTTCAGACTGACCAAGAAGGTCAAGATAATCCGCACCCGAAAGTCTTTGATATCGACGTGATTTCGCACATCTTTTATCAGAAGGGCAAAGAAAAATAACAAATCGCTTCTTCCTCTCCCGGTTTTTTCTATCGAAAGTCTCGCGAATGGAGGAGAGATTTTGATAAGAGGATTTTACCGAAAACACAATTGATGAGATATTGATTGAAGTCATGTTGCCATGCAGTGTTGCTCAAGAAGAACCAGTGAAATTACTTGAAAATTAATTAGAAGAGGATCAAAAATTTACCCCCCGTGATTAGGATATCAAAACAATGAATGTTGGGAAAAATCACTGTTGTTTGCATGCCTTACTTCGCCAAGCAAGTGTATGTTTGAGTGCCGAAATATGACAAGTATTTTCCAAATATTGAACAACAAAAGCCGCGCTTCTTATCAGTCGCTTCCCACCAAACAACAACTACCCATGGTGAATCCTAAGCTAAGTTGTGTTGTCATGTTTACTTTATAGTGTCTAATATGAGAGGATTTTCCTAAGAATCACAGAACTTTTCGCACTTGAAAATTAATCCAAAATCAACGACAAATTCACAACATTGCAATTGACATTGCATTCAACGGTGTTCCATCTTAGGAATGTCCAAGAGAAATACAAATCACACTTGCTGAGACGTTGATTTCAGTGCGTCTCTTCGATAGCATTGACTGCTACGCGAGCACGTATGCAATTCATTAATTTATGCCCCCATAATCGCATAATTCATGGTAACAATGGTAACAATAAGAGACGCAAAGCGCGACAAAGAGTTGCATAATCAAAGCATGTGTGCATTTATCAAACACACCCAGACTGATATAGCTCTCAAATCTAATCAGTCGAGGCTTTTTGGGCTTCTATTCGACCCAGACAAACGCGTCTTTTTTCATTATCACTGCATTTTGATTATGTGTCTTGATTTTTCTAATCCAAACATCCGCATAAGTGTTATGTGGCTCAGCTGATCATGAATGCACAGCTAATGCGTGGAGGCGAGATAAGGAATTTTGGTGTGTGTGAATGTCAGTGGATAAATAAATTATGAATAATACGATAATGAAGAAAGGCGTCTAAATTTATACAAGCCACCGGACGTGGACAATTGAGTTTTAATTTCACTTAAGATGAACAATTGCAGCGCAAAGTGAATTTAGAAGGCTACCATATAGGACTCGCAGATGCTTTACACAACTGACTGCATTATGTACGTTCTGGAGAGTAAATAGGGTAAATAGTACGGCTCCAGACACATGTACAGACTTTTAATTGCGCGTTTTTCACTCAGGCTCACATTCTTTTTGTTGTTGCAAAAAAACACAGGGAAAGAAACAGTGCAGGAAATGCCTACGCGTTGGCAATCGGGTCCCTTTATGGATCCTCGGTCATCCGGGGGGTATTTTCAAGGGGTGCTGCTGATGTAATGATTCTGTCACAGCGGAACTCACTTTTCGCCCCTAAAACCCACATTTTTCCCGGGACTTACTTCAAGTTCCGCACATTCCACGGCCGAAACATGAATATTGGCCAGAGGATTGTGGCATTTATTGTGATTCCAAGGCAGTAAACTGTGAACTTTGTATAATAACGAAAAACTGCACTGCTCTCGTAGAGAATCGGCAGCAGAAGCAGGAGAGCCAGGATAATCAATTGAAAATATGAGGTCATCTTCACGTTTTTTCACCCAGTCACAACCGCAATGGACACATAAATAGATCCTCCCGTGCTTTCTTCCACCAAATACTTCACTTCGATTTGCTAGGAAAATAGAAAAATGAAGCACTGCGCCGGGCGGTCGAATTTTATATATTTGATTCGCAAAGTGAGATTCTCGTACTCGCGAACAACCCCGGCTGTGTGACTCCTATTGAATATCAGTACTGCACTACTGACGAATAAGAGGATTTCTGCTTACACTGCAAAACGTCGTCTCTCTCTTTCCATGAAGTAAAAGAGATGAAAGAACAAAATCCTTCCCTGTGACACACATTTTTTTTATCGCCGCGATGCGAAAAAACTGGTCACAGAGCGAGTATCAGTGTTATGACATATTTTATTAGCGAGATACAGATGGACTACATATGTATTGTCAGCTGGGAAATATATTTTCCTCGCAATTTTCAGTCTAACTTCAACACACTATCAAATTGAAATCTCTTACTCACTGAGGAAAAAGGGAATTCAAATTTTTATTACGCAGAAAATATGTAGTCAGGAGAATCTGAAAGGAATATTCCTTCAATCAAAGGAGTTGGCATTACGGTGTTACAACCGCGATTTCAAAAAGGTCAGAAAAGTGTCACTTGTCTTTGGATGTAACTTCAGTGTGGTGAAAATATGGCTCTTTTTCGGGGTGCAAAAGTGGCTTTAAATCTCGCCAGGGCGAATTCTGCTGCCCTTGTGGTTCCAGTGAGAAACCGTGAGTATCTCTAGAACCCTTCCCCCGTTGAAATTTTAGATATTCCCCAGGATTTTTCACTTTCCTACGACGAATTATTTTGACGCGCTGGTTTACGTAATTTGTTGTCATTTGACGTGCTCATTCGCAGACTGGAACAAGGATTTCAAGCCCGGAAAGTATCCGGAGACAGAGGAGGAGAGGCTGGCAGCTGCTAAGAAGTATAATATGCACCCTGACGAGTATGAGCCTTACCCGGACGATGGAGAGGGCTATGGCGACTACCCGAAACTGTCGGATGAGCCTGTAGAAATGAAAGATCCTCACTATCCCTACGATATGCCAGCCCTCAAGAGGAACTTCAACGAACCGGTGAGAAAGGACACACCAACTGTGAATCTGTTGAATCTCATTGCATTCTTTTCATTAGATGCACGTGGAATACGTGCTTAGAAGTGAAGATCGCTGGGGTTACGATAGGCCGCCCAAGATATCACTTCGGAACCAATTTCTCACGTTCGTCGGAGTCATGAGTGCACTCCTCGGGAGTTTCTTCTTCTTCGAAGATTACAAGATCTTTCGCCCAGCGCTCCCGAAGCAATTTCCAGGTGACGGAAAGGTTCATTACACCTTTGAGAGCAAATAGTCAATGCGAGATTTGTGCATAGACCCTGTTAATAAATAATCTTTAATTTTTCCATAAATATCGGGATAGAAGACAATTTTACTGGGTGACTATAATAGTTATGATTCAAAGATTAGCCAACAATTTTAAAGTCCGACACAGACTTGAGGTTTATCACAGAAGACTAACCCAAAGACCTCAAAGGTCTTTGATTGCACTGATCGGAAGACGTTTTTAGGCAAATTTTCAAGGTTCATGTAAAATGACGATTTGAGAAATGTTAATCAATATAATTTCTAATCAAATTGCAAAGTTTTTGAATAGTTCTTGATGTAATGATTGAAAAAATTGACAAAGATCCGAAAATACTTTCTGCTCTGCATTTGTTAGTCTTCTTAAATCTAATCCTCAAGTGTGTATTTCCAATCTAACTCTTGACTCTCTGCTGGACATACTCAAGTGCATCTCGCAAGATTTGCTTCTCGCCAATGCGAAATTGAAGCAAAATGCTACGAATGTGGCCCAGTTTAGGGCCACTTTGGAGTGCCACATCCTCCTCTAGTGTCGTCGGGAAAGACCTGAGAAGCAGAGTGAGGCGAGTCTCAAGGAATTTCCAAGTCTTCACTTCGAGGGCAGTGTCCAAGGCACAATCGGCGTGGAGGAGATCAGTTGCACGATCATTGGTCAGCCAATGTTCAAGGTGTTCCTTGCTCATGTTAAACACGCGCACGAAGCCCAATAACTCGGGTGAGATGAATTGAGGCGCCGGCAGAAGACTCAGCTCTCCGGATACAACAATGTTGAGCGCTTTCAGTAGCTCCGTTCTCTCACTCACGAGCTGATCCATCGAACTCAGGCCTAGACGAATAGGTACGCTATCGTGTTCGTTCTTACCATAGACAAATCTGCAAAGAAATAGGGAATTAGTTAAGCAATTGAACTCATTGGAGGTAAAGAAAAGTCTACCCATTGTGAATGAGGAAGTCTGCATTTGATCTGGGCCCGTAAAATATGAAGATTTGCTCTCCACGCTGACACTTTGCCTGCACGGAACTCTCGATGCAGTCAGACTCGGCATTGTAGATGGTCGTGATTTTGCCATGGGCGTGATTTGCCATATCCCAAAGTGGAATCAGTGCCGGACTCATGTGAGTCTGAGGCTCATCCTTGTCCGTGACGTGCATGGGGACGAGATTTTGGCGAGTCATGACAGTGGAGACTGCCCAGCTGTGGAGAAGACAGAAAAGAAAAGAAATGTGAACTCAGGCATCTCTTCCGCCACTGACCAACTCATAAAAAAATGCACAATATATTGTGGGAAAACATGTTGAGGAAATGGATAATTAATTGTTGCATTTAATTTTCGTCTTAATTAGCGACAAACATCGTGGCCACGCAGAAAAGTTAAGCGCATAAATCAAACACCAATTAGCTCTTGGGTGTTATCAATCACCATCAAAAAGTTGCACATTTGCGCTTTCGATGGTCTCCTAACACGGTGTGAATACACAATATTTGCCCACATTGTGAAGAGTCGATCATTTATTATACAAACATTCTGAGTTGACTGATTTTCCATCGTTAACTCCCTCTCCACCTCAGTGACTTACCCAACCATTTAGCCATGCAGCTGGAAAAAAGCTTTGTGCATGGAAATATACATACAATATTCAGAGAGAAATATAAAAGAAGACACCGCAACTTCTCACGATGCTCAATTTCAGACAGACCTATCCTAGATAATACCATAGCTCATAATTCACCAGGAATGAGAAAGAAGAAATGTTTCCATGTACTCAAATTGAAAAGATATCTTTGAAAGACCTGCGTAGTCTTTGGGCTTTTCAGCATGAAATTTTAGCAATATACTTTGCTCCAGAAAATCAATTTTTATTGCAAAATGCTGAGACTTTACAAAGAAAAGTTTCACAATAAAGGAGTAGAATGGAATCATTGATTTTTTGTGCTTTCAAATCAATTTAAATGAGAAACTTTGGTCACAGTATTTTTCACAAATAGACTGATATCAATGTTTCTTACACTCTTCATACATTTGTAGTTAAAAGAAGGCTTTTTGAAACCATTTATCTTTTTTTCTTGTAAACTTTGCTGTTTCAAAATTTGATTACCATTTTTTTTAATTCTTTATTTACGATTTTTGCACATTGTTTGAGAAGTCATAAAATTCCAATGACAATCCTCATAAGGCAAATCCATTAATATAAATGCTTGACTCTTTGTAATCAACTTTCTTCGAACCACCAAATCAAAGTGTAGAAGAAACCAAAAGTGATTCGCCAATCAGTTTGAAAGTGACAATCATGAAAAACCGGGCAATTTCCTAAATGACTCTATATTGGTGTTTTGACGAGGTTTTGTGGCGAGATTGGAGCACAGAAGATGAATGAGAGAGAGAAAAAATCTCGATCACATGCACACGCTATACAGCATTTCTTGATATTTTGTGGTAAAATTACAATAATTTTCAGCGAGATTATCGTACAATCGATGAGTATCTGGAGTGAAAGAAAATTTCACTTTCTTAAAATGTACACTTCTTTTAACGCATTCAAATTTATGCATAAGCAGATAATTTAATATGCTTAAATACATTATATGGAAATGCTCGCGCGACGGTTACATTAAATTGACTACGTATATACCATCAATGCAGGAAAAAAGGGTACACAATCACACACCGACCATGACCATGAATTTCAAGCATTATCGCACATCTCTCAACTGTTTCACTCGCGTCACATGAAAAAGGAAATGCATGAGTAAATGAAAATCCAATTTACGTCTCTCTCTCTTTCTCGGTGAGATCTCTTCATGATCGAATTGCCGTCTTTCGCACAATAATTGCATTTTTGCCCCATATTTTTGCAAAAACCACGAGGAGCGCCGCTGAGCCAATAACCACGCATTGAGTCTCAAATGTCACGATAAATCTTGAGATCTCACTGAAAATGGGCAATTTCATGTGGTCTTTTCCTCTCAAATTCATTTAGAAATTTTCATTTTCTATACGAATAACCGCTGAAATTTCACACTTCGAGACAATCGACTTCTTGATTTTACCATGAATCATAATTTCATTCGATGATGTGTATCATTTCAGTAAATCACTTTTTGTTCACGAAACTATGCATTAATATAAGAAAATTAGCTCTCGAGGGGATTTCGATGCTCGCCAGATATGAGTGTCGCTCTTTTCTATCGGAATTTAATGTGCATTGTGCCCCCCTTTCACTTTTCCGCGATAGCAAATTTTCATTTCATAAAATAATAGTTTTCTAATTTATTCTCCAGTCTCTGATAATTTGCAATCCAATTGATGAAAATTAGAGAAAAAAAAATGATCTTCTGCTCTACACTGAACATCATCTCAATTGCAACATTGCGTACAGGTTGCAACGCAATCGCGCATATTTTTGTACACTCGCTCAACAATTAGTCTGAAGATGAAAACTCTGATTTTCTGCATCAAACACTGTGGAGGAAAATAAAAATGTTGCATATTTACGAAGAACAAATACAATTTTATAGTGACTGCGCGACCCAATACTATAGAGAAATCATGTGAAAATACGCTGTGGAAATTTCATTGCACGATGGTCAGTGTATCGAGTTCTCCCCTCCTGCTTTCTTCATTCGCTGAAGAAATTGCCACCGAGAGCTCATCTCTCTCTCCATCGAGTTGTTTTCAGTCCATTCACAGCCTCGTTGGATATCGCACACTCGCAGTGGAGTTTCTTGCCAAGTTTAAAGGCCTGTTCCGCTTGCCTCCGCCTGCCGTGCAACTCCTCTCCAGCAACGCATGTGAGTGGTACAAGAGTGTCTCTTCAAAGTGACTGTTTTTCTCCATCCTGTCGGAGGAAAGGACGCGCTCTGTCTCCTCTCTATCTCTCTCTTTCTCTCTCTCAACCCGGGAAAATGATGAGAATTTTCAGTGAAAAGATGAAAGTGATTCACTGCTTAGTGATAGTAGCAATTATTTCAATTAAGTGCAAAATCTCTGTGGCATCTCATCAAAATGAGCACTTTTTCGAAAATTCCCCTCTGAGAAGTGAGGACTACAGAAATCCCGCGATTCACAGCTCATACGATAGGAGCTTTGAGCCCATCATCATCTCCAATGAGAGACTTTCGGATGCACAGCATCAAGTAAGTAGCATAATTTTAATTGCACGGCATACATTGTGGCAAAATAATAAAAAAAAGTAATATAGTTTACTTTAAAAGATCATTGTTATGAAATTGTAGACATTTTCCAACGTCGCTTCTTTCACGCTTTATCTCTCACCATTTACAATTTCTTAAATGCTAAAGAAAAATTATGGCTACCAAGAAAAGAGAAAAAAAAACTTGCACGAAATTCGTTTAACATTTGAAAGTGTGGAAAATGCCTTTTCTTCTCTCGAACTCTCTTCCCAACTCTCTTGTTCAGGCCATTATTCTTCAACTTGAAGATGATTAATTGAATAACCTCTTCATGATATTTCTGTGTTACTCGAATCTGAACTATAAGCAAAGTTAACAATTTTTATTTAGACCTATTTTTCCACGACATGTTGACATTTTAACCACAATTCATGAACTTTACTCGTAATTAATGTTATTAGGCCATATTTTGGTGTGATAGAAAGGTCCATTAACTCCGCAATTATTTAGAAATCAACATAAACAAATTATTACGATGATTTTGCAAATTAATTAAATACGCACAGACTCTATGAAAACATACTCCTACAATATTAACCCAAATATTATACAAAAAACACTGTCTGAATATGTATTTACCTATTTTTTCACTGTCAAATTGAACATATATATGAAAATGTCCCTCACTTAGCATTTTAAATAATGCTGCACCAAAATAGAAATTTTCACGTTAATTAGAATAAAAGAAACAAAACATTTTCACTCGCTAATCATTTCACAAAAATGTTTCTGAATCAAAAATGATCTGTAAGCAAAGAGAGAAACCCGTAAAAAATTATCATACAATTGCGGAATGAATTGTAGAAGAAAAAAACTCCACACACATGTTTTTCCTGTACAGCATCTTTGGACAATTTTTTTCCGCCACAATTAATCACTCCTCGTGCTTCCAAAGAAGCCCAAGTTTGGGGGGAGAAGAGAAGAAATTTCTCACTTTTCGTTCGCATATTTTGACTATTTATCTCAGTGGTGGATAAAAAGTGAAAATGTGAATCCAAAACATGTTTGCCAGCACAAGACAAAGTAGAATAAATCAATGCTTAATCATTGTTGTATTATACTTTTTTTCGAATGGGAATGTTTGGATATATTTTGCTGCTTTTTCCTTCTTTTCGCACAAATCCGCACTGCTGGAATACATTTAAGCATGATGATGTTAAAAGAAATATAACTTTCTGTGCGCAATTTCAATTAATTGAAGGTATTCAATGCAAGAAAATTTCTCTTTGCATGATGGAAACCTAGTTTTTATCTCAGACATTACCTGACTTTGACTTGAGCAGTGAAGAAAATACTCGTAATACTTCCATGCCATTTTCAATCACCGCAGTGCGAATGGCTGATGGTGATAAGCCAATCTGGTTTTTCCTATGCATTGACTCTATTTCATCAACATTGACCCAGCTTCTCGTGTTCCTTCCCCTCTAGCGTCGCACTGAACACCTTTTCCTCATTCTCTCCCACCACAGGCATGGAGACTGGTGACCACCACGCAGAGTCCTGATGAGGAATACCTCACCACGAGTCCGGGAGAAATCGATGAATCCAAGAAGCGCCGAAGACGCCCCGGAAGGAGGAGAAAAAAGCGACCAAACAACTTCCTGTACACTACAACGTCAACAGAGATTCCCGAGACATTCGATGAGCCAGATCCCAGTGAAGAGACCTTTCAGTACGCCCACGGAAGTGCTCCTCCAGAATTTGACAGTGTTCGCGACAAATCCTACCGCAAGCCATACTCAGTTGCGAAGAAGGAGGAGCAAAACAACGATAAAGCGGCAGATTTAAAGCACATCTTGAAGCAGGCTGGAGAAAGTTTGAGCCTCAGTGAAATTCTTCAACAGAAAAATCTATCTCTCTCGGACTTTCTTAACAGGAAACCCACAGCATTAGCAATTCTTGCTCAACCAACATTGCCAGTGCAGCCGCAACAATTTTCACGGAGGCTTCCTCACGCCGACTTGAAGAGTCGACGCGTTGCCTCATCACCATCACCATCTACATCAGCCGACAATCCAACAGACACCTCAATGGAAACCATGATCACGGGTGATGATGATGAGAAGGCAAACAAGAGGTATCCAATGTATATGCTGGCCATGCCAAAGCACGATGGGGGATTCAATTTGACACGTGAAACGGCAAAGCCGCAAATACCAACCATTTCGACACTTCCCGAAGGACTCAAGCATAACCGGCTGCCCACGCGTGAGGAGAGAATCAAACCCATCAAAGAGGTGGTTTCTGGCATTCGACCCGATTTCGCCAATTCCAACATCAGACCACTCAACAGCAAGCATCACGCGAAAACCACGCAAAGCCCTCCGGAAGTGCCCAGCAGCACAACACCCAGGCCTCAACGGTGAGTGGCAATATTGATCCAAATTGGCGTGACAATATTTCCCTATTGAATAAATTACTAGACTAACCATATTTTTTGCATTGGCAAAGAAATGGGTTGCATTTTTAACTGATGTGATCAAAAATGAAATGGCAATATAAATTGCACGCATTAACACGTTCGAAATATGTAAAAAGCATTCCGTAAATTTTTCATCAGCTTCTCATCATAAATATTGGAGCGCTATTTTAATGATTAATGAATAAAAGTGTATCAATTTCCACATGAGAAGAAAAATATTTTAACATTATGCTCCCATCATAAATTTATTAATTCCAATGTTTATAGAACATTGTATACATACTTTCTCATTGGCAAAACAGAAAGTCAAGTCAGTTTCAAGAGGATCAAGTACAAAATGTCATAAATGCTGTCTTTATACGCTCTTTTAACACCTTTATACCATTTTACGACAAGAGTGTCTCGGAATTAATTTCTTCACCCATAAAGACTGCTCTAAATGGGATATCTTAATCATCAAAATACAAGTGCTCCGTCAAGAGTCTCAAGTATTCGACCGTAACAATAAATTACATCTTGCGAAAGATTCATCTTGTACAAAGTGAATCCTGCTCAGGTGCTCAACTGTAAATTGTAACATTAAATTTCCCAATCGAAAGTCCACACATGATGCATCAGTCAAAATAACTGGGAATATAAACCCAGATCTTCCCTTCACTTTTACTTTTACTTTTTACCATTTTCTGAAATAATGCACAGAATATCACATGGGGAATTGCAATTTATATTGCCTGCCATTTATTCTCTTGCGTAGTCCAATTAAGTCGGAAGTTTGGAGAAGAATGGAATTTTCAGGCCTAATGATTTTTCTCTCTCTCTAAATTTGCGTACAGCTCACGCAAATATTTAAATATGCATAATTTTGTTTATATAATTTCCAGATGGAAACCACCGTCGTATGATGGGAAAGTAATCTCGAAATTCAATGAGCGCAGAACATCGACGGCACAGCCGGAAGTTGCCACTGAAGAAGCTTCCATTGAGCACGTGAATCTCACAGAAGTTCTCTCAACGGCTTCCACAACGACAACAACCTCGAATTACATCACACCGGGAAGGAAGCAAATAGCCATGCGGGACTATCGCAATCGCATGAATCTTAGGCCGAAACTTCGCATCTCCGTGAAAACCACCCCCAAAGTGCTGACGGAAGAGTCGCCGAAGGAAATCCTCGAGGAGGAAGTGCACACGACAGAAATGTTCAGTGACATCGTGACCACTTCCGCACCAGAGGTTGAAATCAGTGGAAAATTGCTAGCAGTGAATCACACAGAACCAGAAACACTGAATATTATTGAAGAGAGTGTCCAGGATGAGAAAAAGCCCAAAGAGGATGATGAGAGAATAGCAGTGCCTCCTGAGGACTTTATCCAATCGAACACAGCCCGATCTGACAGCATCTTCGAAGCTGACATCATCGAGAGGGTGATCCAGAACACCCAAAGAGCCCTCGTAGGATCCGCCCAGACGCGAGACTCCATTAAAATGGACGTGACCGAGAGTAATCCTTCACTGTTTGCCGATCTCTCATCCGAAACGGCAGTGGATGAGAAAACAGAATTGATGGAGTTACTCGGTGATCGCAGAAATGGAGCCCGTCTGGCCAAGATCCTCGCCCAGCGCAATATGACTCTCAACGAATTGATTGACCACAGAGAGCGTGGCTCGAGTCAAGTTCATCTCGCTGAAATATTCCACAATCGCACTCTGGCACGCAATCTGCACCATCCTCGCCTGCGCACAGAGAAAATGGAGATCGTGACGGCTTTCGAGAACTTTCCTCACTTCAGTTTTGCCAATTTACGCAGTGTTAAGCCAGATGATATCAAGACAGACTCACAGGGCTCCAGTTATTTCGCCTCCATTATCAATGTGAAGCCCACAGATGACACACGGACAGTCAAGGCAAGCCCTCGAGGCAGTGGATACCCAACAAACTTCAATCCCTACGACACAAACGTCACCCCGGAAGAGAAATTTGTGGCTCCATCATCCAGAGTGTCGCCAGCAAATGAGAACTTTGCCGACGATGGGGATATTATTGAGAAGGAGATCGCCAGGATAAACAATCAGCTAGATATGGAGCTTGAGCAGCAGCAATCGGTGAACAGGAAGGCCGCCATCAATGCCTACCTCACGTCCGGCGTGCGATCAGCCATTGTGGCAAGCTCGTGCATTGTTGCGGGATCCGTGATGATCTTCATCATCATCTTCGCGACCTGCCGTTGGCGACAGAGGCGCAACAGGAAGCTCCACTACTCCGACAGTTTCAGCGGCACCCGAGGACGCTTGCCCATTCTGAAGAGGCAGACATCCAGGCGCATCTCCAACCCCCCAGATTACCTGCACACAGAGGCCAGGCTCAGCAAACTCAACACCATGGATTCCACACATGGAGATCCACATGATTATCTCTATGATGCTATGAGGAAGGGGTATCCTTAAGTAAGACTTTTGGGTGTGAGATTTGGAATTAGTGAAATCAATGATGAGCAAATTACGTTTCATGTTATCGAGGACAGTTTATCAAAGTTCCTAAAACACCCTCTTCAGGCATATCTAATTGATTTTCAAGAAATTATCCAAAGACTTGCAATCTTTGCACATAACATGTCCACTATGATTTATCCTCATTTTCTGTCCAGACGAAAATGTAAATGCTCATCATTGGGGTCAATCGCGCGAGATGAATGCTAATATAGAAATCCAGTGCAATATCTTAACAAAGAGTCGAGATAAGCCGGAGAGTGGGAGGGAGAGAAGTCATGGAGAGACTGCAACAACATGAGTATTTGTGGAATCTTTGTCCCTTGCCTTTTTGCTAATAAATTATTATCTTTTTGTACAAAATCCTCTGCATTTCACTCACCAGTAGAGATCGAACGAGAAGCGCTCCTTGAGCGTGAGCAGCGTGGCATCGAATCCCTCCTCCTTGATATTGTCGATGTATTTCCGGATGAAGGCGTACTGGCGAGCGATGTTCTTGCACTGCACAAGGGCGGATGACAGCGCACTGCTGCCCTTCAACTCCTGCATCTCATTGGTGGAGAAGTTCATCACCGTGGAATACTTCTCGGGCAGCGTGTCGATGTAAGGCTTCCAGAAGCTGTTGGGATTGAGTCTCTCCACGAGGAGAGAGAAGGCGAGCTTGATATTGCTCATGGTCTGAACCATGGGCATCTCGGACATCATCGGAGCGATAGCATTGCTCACGTTGTGCAACCCCATCAGCATCTTCTTCGGGATGCTGATGAAGACGGCGTCCTCGTGGAACTCCTTCGTGGCCTCCAATCCCATCCCATAGCCGGGAAATTCAGAGATCTTCACACCATCAAATTGAGCCCCATTCTCACGTGCCCAGGCACAGAACGCTTCAATGCATGCGACACGATTCTTGCTGCTTGCACTCTTCACCTTGAGCTCCGCCTCAATGGCCTGGACACGGTCCAATAGCGATCGAATTTCCAGGTATTGTGTCCACTGTTCCGACAAATTTGTCGTTGTTTTGAAGCCGTGGCTGATGAGTGTGTCAATGAGCCCATTCAATTCATTCCGTTTGTTTGCCGGCAGCTTCTTGGCTCCGCTTCGCTTTTGGCCCTTGCCCATTTTCACGCCCTGCACGTTTTTCTCACAGCACTCCTTTCCCCAGATCACTAGATGTTGCTCTGAAAACCTTAAGTTTATTTATAGAATGAAAATCATACCATTTTTAATTATGGTATTTTGGTTTTCCATGTGACGACCGCACACTCTACCGATTCCGGGATTTTTTCCACCCGCTTCGCTAGGTTCCGCTGTCAATTAGGTTCGCTGTCAGTGAATGACACAACCTCACAAAGTGTCCAAACTGTGCGGTGAGATTGTTTTGGTTCTCATCTGGCCACAATTTTTCCCGTAAAATGGTAAGAAATCAATCTAATATCACCTGAAATCATGTGGTAATGATCATTTGGCATCTCAGCAGCAAGCCGTAAGGAAATGTTTGCCTGTCTTCTATCCGAATCTGCGAAATATCAGACAATTGTCCAGCTTCCATGCGGCACCGAATCCCGAACAGAAGAACACAGAAATCCTTGGAGAAAGTCCTCCTGAACTGGATAAGCTATTCTCGAAGCTAGAGATTGAGCTGAGAGGAATTGACCCAGCCGTTCTTCAGAGCTACTCGTGGTTTGCCATGACTGCTGCCAAGCATCTGGACATCAAAGTAGGGAAATGGTAAGAAGTCCACTTCATTCACTCCTAACCAAGATTCTGATATCATTTACCTTCCTTTTCAGTTGGGCTCCAAAGAAAGCGCAGCACGATAGACTGACTCTGCTGCGATGCGTGCACATTTTCAAAAAGCATAGAGTGCAATACGAGATGCGCACCTATTTTCGTCACATGACCTTCCACAAACTCACCGGATCCACACTGGACACATTTCTGGAGTACATTGAGAGGAATATTCCCGAAGGTGTGGCTCTAAAAGCCACGAAGATAGAAGTTCAACAACTCCCGGATCACTTGGGAAATCCACCAACAGCGAAAGAATGACGAGAGTGAATTATGAGCATTTATTCAATATTTGAATTGTAGAAAATAGATAAAAGCAGTGCAGAAGAAATCCGCTGTCTAAATTTTGTGCTGCACTGTCAGGAGAATGTCGTTGAGAAGCTTCCGGCTGGAGTGGAGCATCTCCCTGATGAAGGAGACATATGGTTGCTGATTGAATGTGAGAACACGATACTCAGACTGTTCACGATACAGTCTCATAATCCATGTCTCAACGAGAAGGGCTCTGCTGGCTAATCTGTACCATTGCCTGATGGCCCTTTCAGTGAGTGGAGCTTGTGGCAAATTGTATGTATCCTGAAACCGCTTCAGATTTCTGATGAGCCGCTGAGAAATTCTCTCGATTCTTTTGACTTCCTGCGTGAATCTCTGCACGAGTCTCGTATCAGCGCCAGCAGGAGCCTCAATAGTTTGAATCAAGTCCAGAAACCTCACATTCACTGTTGTCACTGTTGTCTGTCCATTGCAGAGACATATTGAATAACTCACTATCAGAATCACGAAAATTTTCTCAATCATATCTCCTTTTTCTCTATAGCAAAAGAACTTGCGGTGATGAAAATAACAATGCAATTGCAGATGAAAAATTCTCTTCGGCGCTTTATATGCGAAACTCAAAGTATGTCAGTTGCAACAAGATGAGATTCTTGCAAAGAATACTTTATTCGCATTGAAGAAAAATTTATGCTGAATTCTTCACCTTGGGAATCAAGGTTTAATTAAGTTGTTATTGAATCAAAGATTTGGTATTATCTTTGAAATTCGCACGTAAAAATGTGCAGTTATTCATCGTTATCATCTCTGAATGCTGATCACTTGTTGGCACATGAAGTCTCAAATCTCCTCAATGCAAGCTCAAGTGCTTTATTTCAATTTATCGTCACATTCAACGAGCTCAATTTAATTCTTATAATCAGATAAAAATCTGTTCATTCGAAGCTGTGCTTTAATTTCCCACGATAAATTATTTGATTGCATAAGTTTTACTCATTTGGCACTAATTTGTGAAATTATCAAGATTTCAATGAACTCTGATCGTTAAACATGTCTATAAAACATGATATAAATTAAAGAATGGTTCTTGTATACTTGAGTAAATAGAACATGTTGCCAATGTAAATGCAATTATTCACATTTTTTGAACTTTTGCGCTTGATGATTATGATGAGGGTTCCTTGATGCTTTCTTTCTTCAATTGCAAACCGCGTATCTTTGTCTGGAGATAGTCTATCTTACCTTGATACTTGACTTATCATCCCAGAAGCAAATGTTCCAATCTTGTATAGTGATAGAAATTGGCTGAAAGTGTTTGGACGAGTGATTTTCTCCGGTGAAATGAATGTGTCTAAAGTCCTTATAATATTCTCAGCACTTCTCACTATTTTCCTTGCTGAAGCTGCTGAAAATGTCGAGGAATTCTCTCGCTCGCGTGCGATGCTGAGGCAGGAGGAGAAGACAATGGAGGAGGCTCTGTTGATATTCTTCGAGGAGTTGCGATGTCGCCTGGGCATGGCGATGGAAGATTTAGGTCTGCCCGCGATGGATCCCTTCACGGAGGAATTTATGGAATTTGAATTGGATCACGAGCTGGGGAGCATCACTGGGTCGCTTGCCAATCTCAGAGTTGATGGATTATCGGATTTTACGGTGAATGATTTGGCCTTTAACATGGACAATCTTGATTTCTGGTTGGACGTGAGCCTGCCCAGACTTTCGCTATCAGGCGCATACGATATCGATGGTGTACTGGGTGGATTATTGCCAGTGTATGGAAATGGAAATTTTTCTATTGTCCTGACGGAAATGCACACAGTGATAAATGCGACAATAGACTATGATGGAATCGATGTGACGTGGGCAATGCCGGAATTTGGCATGGACTTTCGTCTGGGAAATTTAACCACGACCATTGAAAATTTATTCAATGATGACGAATTGTCGGACTTCTTCAATTTGGCATTCACAACGCTGGGCAGTGAAATTGTTGATGTGATGTTTCCGGAAATTGAACCACAAATTGCAGACGTGGCCAAACAAATGACACCAGATTTGTTCAATGGAATGACAATCAATGAATTTTTGGACATTATTTTCCTTATTGAACCCTTTCTGCCCGAGATGCCGGAAGGTGAGGTTTGCGAGTACGAGATAAACTACCCGTGAGAATTCCAGTGAAATTCAGTTTAATGATAAGTTTTTACTTGTTTTCTTACAACCATTATTATTATTTTGTCATACTTTATGTTTTTTTTTTCTTTGAATAAGATCAATTCCAAAAAGAAATGAAATTTTTAATATGCTCACTGTATCTACAAAGATATCCTTTATTTCATTATAATTGAAAAACTAACACATTAGGTACCCAGTCTAGAAGAAATGAGTTGAAAATTTAAGAAGATCTTATAAAAATTGGACTAGTTGAGGAAATAGTAATAAAATAACTCTACTCTAAAACACTTGATTCGTACGATTTTTCGAAAAAAAAATTAAAGTTTAGTCTAAAGCATACTTTCATCAAGAAGTTTTCTTCTCAAAATTTCGTTTCATAGTTCACGTCAATTTTTTTTAATCTTCATAAATAGATTTTCTAGCAATTGAATTTCTTGTTAATTGATTAATAAGTAAATAATTTCTCTTCATATTCTCTCTTCTCCATAAATATAAATATTCTTCCATTATTAAATTGTGTTAACCAGATTACTTTTCTCTTTACCATGTTACATTTGGTGGACGTTGTTGCAAAAAATTTCTTACGCTTTTCGAGCTGGATTAAGGACATTTGGGTATTTAAAATGCTGTGGTACACTTTTTTTCTTTTCATTTTCAATATACAGTGGTTGGTTTGTCTGGACAAATGTATAGTATTGAATTTTTATCTCTTGGTGGGGATTAAATTGTGTTTTTTTTCTTCATATCTCTCACTAATTTCCGTCTGTTTTGATAGTTATCATGGCAAAGCTTTCTACCGTTATACAGGTACATTTAAAAATTCATATTGAAAAACAATTTTATAGGTGAATGTTTTCTTTATGTTTCTATGCAATGGTAATTTCTCTAATTCTCTTCAAAATTGTTTCAATAAATGTTTCTGTTTTTCTTGTATCCAAAGCCTGTATTAGAGTTTCTTTCAGAAAGTTCTTCATATCTTCTGTGGGACATTACGCGAGTATTGTAAAAAGTTGCTCCAATGTTACACACTCATGAAAGATCAATTTAGAGGTAATACTTGAATGATTGTTACTATTAACCACTAAAATTTCTTTAATAAATGTAATCTATGATATGCGAAACTCAAATTGATAAGAATTTCTCAATGAGTTTCTTCGTCATCACTAAAACAATAAATTTATTGCACATTTTTTATATCACTCACGAGAAAAGTTTCATTTAAAGGAAATATTTTTTTTTATATCATTCACTAAAATGCCCTGTGGAAGCTTTTCTTTTGTTGTTTGTTGCTCCTTATTATGTATGTAAAATATAGTATAATACATACAATCATTACATTGAACATTTCATTAATTTTTACTCTTTTTGTCTAAATCTTACTTTTAAGTTAGAAGTTTCTGATCTCCATGATTTATCTATACACTAATAAGGTTATTCTGTATAATGTTGGCTGTGTTGAGTTGAAGGTAATCTTTGCTATATTCCTCTGCACCACCCATATAAAAGACTCCAAGTAATCTTTATTCTTTTAAATAATGCCGAAATTTCTATTTAAAAAATATGTCATCAATTATAATTTTCCTTTCAAGACTTCATCATAAAATGTGTGAATAAAAGTCGGTGAAGCTAAAACAATACTCGAAAATATATGTCAGAGTAATACGTAAGAAGTTGAATTTGAAATTTCAAATTGTCTTTTCATCTCTACAATTCATGCATATAAGCAAGGAGATTTCCTGTGATATAAAATTGCACTTTGGCTTTGATTAGATTCTCCTTTCTCATGATTAAAATCAATACCTTTTGCCACAGAAACTGCACCATAGCAGAAGTTTTGATTGAATTTCCATTGATTATATATTTTCCAATTACTCAAATGCAAACAAATCAATTAAACTCAATAAACAAGAATTTTTTTTCTCTCATTCGCAAATGTTATGTTTCCATTTATCACGTAGACCATTTTGGATAAATTTTATATAAGGATTAAATATATGGCAATTAATATTCCAAGAGCACATGGAACATCCCTTTTATTTTGTTGTTAAATTTATTAAATAGTTTATCTCTGCAATAAAAAAATGACCACATTAGTAATTTATACACATGTTCCAAATTGGAACAATTTTAGCCATCGACAATTTTTTTTTTCATTTAAATTTTAAGCCTAAATTATTGAGTAGGTTGTGTTGTTGATGAAACATTAATGGTATAATTTTAATGCCCGTTCCTTCGGATTTGTGACACTTTATGCAAAATTTTGAAGTTATGACTTACATTTTATACATGTCATCTCATTTTGTAACATATAAAGTTATTGCTGAACATTTAATGTCCGAATATTTTTCTTTTTGTTAATCATTTGGGGTTTTGTAAGTGTTACAATTTTCTCACTTTTCTTTATAAGACTTCAAGATTCCGGGAGGGACACGAATGATAGTGTGAAAAGTTCAAGTAGTTATTTAGTCAAATTGGTATAATTATTTAAAATAAAATTCAACATGTGAGGAACCACTCTTTCTCTCGCTGTCACTCTCTCTCTTTCAATTAAGCGTATCTAAAGTATATCCTTTGCCCACCACCAACCTTTTCACCCTTTACACTTCTTGGTAATTAGAAAATTGTCCAATAGTCACAGTTTTGATTATAATTATAACATTCTTAATTGAAAGGTATGAAATGAAGACTAAACCTTATATTCACAAAGAAAATTACAAATCAATTAAAGAGACGGAATCTTTGAGTTTATTGCTGACGAGATGCTCAGGCAGTCGTCAAAGTCCTGTATCGAACATTTGCAGTGATTTCGTAACAAGATCGTCCTTTAAGCAGGCTTCTAGAAATTCCTCAATCGTTATCACTCCGTCCTGATTCAGGTCCAACTTCCGAAAAACTCTGTCAACCTGTGTGATTTTCGATGGAGGGAAATAACAAGTATTATATATTGCTTGAAGTTTCGAAAAACTTTACATGCTTCATTTCTAATCTTTAGTTGAGGTTAAAACTTTCAAATGTGGAATTTATGTGCAAAGCTGGAGAAGTTATTCCTCACCAAATAATATATTTCAGCTATAAGTGAATTTCTCGGAAAATATTTATGTTTTCCCTAACGTTCCTAAAATGATGATTTTCTAAATTGCTCTGTTTTTCTATGAATAAATGTAAATTCGGGACAAAGTTTCCAAATCTTTTCCGCGCACATTGCGCTCCTTCGGAAAGAGGGAGGATAAACTGGTGTGTACATTCACCTGGTCTCTGGCTTTCCTGTCGTCCTCTGGCTGATGTGCTCTCCTACCCATTAGCTCATGCACCGCTTGTACCACTTCACCCAATTCATTTCGACTAATACAGCCATCTCCATTTAAATCATAAAGTTTAAAAGTCCATCTCAATCGCTCATAAACTGAACCGCGCAGTAATGTTGATAATGTTACTAACAAATCCTGCATGGGTGAAAAAAAGAGAGAAAGCGTGGCAATAATCTCTGCAATATATATTATTCATCAGTGGAAAATATGGTGGAGCATGCCTCATAATGTCACTAATAATTCATCATTTAATAATATCATGTTAAAGCGAAATTGAAATATTTTGAGAAAAATGGCGCTATATTGAATGTGGTTATTTTTGTGAGAATAACGCCCATTGTATGGAGGATAAAAGGTTTTAAATGCGCTGTTGCGAGGGAGAATTATTTCATTATTGTGTATTAAACAGGAGCTCTTTCCTTTTCGTTGTCCTAATATCGATTTCATGGTCTCTTCCCTCTCTCTTTGGAAGAATTCGACAATTTTTCTGCAAATTCATTCCACTACTATTAGTCTTCTTTCACTTAAATATTTGTGAGATTTTGCTCATCAATTTATCTACTGTTTCACACGAAAGCCCGCTACTTAATCTATCTATACAAGAGTTTATGGCTTAAACTTTCTTCTATCAATTTGTATTGTAACTATAACAAAAGAACATTATATACTTCATAAGAAAAAGTGTGTAGCACTCTATGTTTAAATTTGAATTATATTCGTGTAAGGACAAAAATCTACAAAGTATTAATAAAACATATGGGCGCAAATTACAGAGTATTTCAGTCAATCGAGGAAATGATTATTTGATCAATTCATCGCTACTAATCTTCGCAGTTCACATTTTCTCTTTCACGAATATTTGTACACTTCTCGATTATCTGCACGACTCTGTATTCTAGAAATCAATCTAAACTAAGGCATTGAACAGATGCAATATAAAATGGCTATTGTAATTAAGTGAATGATTTCGTATGGTAAATCGTACTGGGTTATATTTGTAACGTTGAAGAATTGCGAGTAATGTCAAATAATCCTACCCACTATTTATTTATAAAACACTTCAATTAGTGGAGTCCTACTGTTAAGAATAATACTATTTTACGATACCAGTTTCTCATTTTGTGACTCGCGAGGAGAATCGCCCGTGATGTTTAATTTATTAGGCACACATACACAAGTTATTCTATAAGTTAAATGATTGTTTGGCTTTTGAAACATGATTACAGCAAATGGGGTGCTTTACTGCTCAACTTACCCGAAAGCTAATTGCTCCGTTGCAGTTAACATCGAATGCTTTGAACACGTAATGGGCATAAAGGCTGGAATCTGAAATATGTAATTGATATTTTAGAGGCAGGCTGGGTGTAAAATTATAACTTGGACTGCGGCTTCAATTATTCCATCGTTTAGCGCATTAGGGACTTTTACAAGAAAATGAGTAATTCGGGGCGTTTAAAGCTCAAATCACTTTTAATGTGCCTTAATTACGGAATGAGGGGACGATTGAAAAACATGGAGAACTCAAATGGGAGACTTGTTGATGATGAGGCGTTCATAGTTGCTGAAAATGCCTGCATTCAGCGGGAAAACTTTTCATTAAATTTAAATTCTCATGTGTGTTTATTGCCTTGAACAATTGCAGTTATCACGCGTCCATATCAGTCACAGAAAATCGATAAAGGTTGAGCCAAAAAAAATTAATAATACAAACATTTCAACTCGATGGGTGGCAATTGTGAATATTTAATCGAATAACAAGATTAAAAACCACCAGCAATGTGATTGTAATTGCGCTGGTGTGGAAATTCTGGTGTTTGCGTCAATATTTGAAAATCGCAGCAGCACAAAAAGGTGATGAGTGATACTTACTGCCATGTGGAAAAAATTTTGCGTAAATGTCTTTGAAACAGTCTTCATGTACAACACCTTCTGGACATTCCTGGTGAGAGGAGAGAAAAATAGAGAGCGAGAGAGAGATGAGAGATTAAAAGAAATGCTCAAAGTAATCTAAATATAGAGCGAAGGAAAATTATATTGCCAAAGGTCTCTAAATATGTAAATAACGAAATTTTGTTATTGATATAATTGAACTGCTTTTGTGACTATTCTGTTTAATAAACTATCAATTTGGGCTATTTTTGAGCCACCAACAGGAGATATTAATAATTTTCACTGCGGTTTACGATTGAACGCGACGGTGGGAATCAGTTGTAGAGTGTATAGTGTGATTTTGGGAGAAATTTCTGTTTTCACCGCCTGCTATCGGCTGAATCGGAGCTGTGTGATTGTGTCGTTAAAAACGCAACGCAATTCGCTGAGTAGGCCACGAAATGTATGCAATACAGTGTTACAATTGTCTGAGTTCAGAATGTTTGAACAAATTACATTCATACTTTGCCTAACCAAGAAAACTTTTCCTCCATCTCCATCTTTAATAATATACTTTAAAGGATTTAGAGAAGGAGGAAACTTTGAGTTTCTCAGACAATACAGTCTTGCTTCTTCCGCCATGAATGCAAAATCAAGTATTTTTTTTCGTTAGTCCTTGCACCAAGAACTGCAAAGGAAATATGTGTGATGGTGTTCCTTCCTTCCTCAATTTCCCACTATCTCCTTCCTCTTAATTTAATGGTTTGCTCTGGTGGTCTTAACGATACTCACCGTCTTAAATCCTCTGTACATCACTCGGATTTCTTGTCTAGTGAATTTAGTCTGCCGACAGAGATCCTCGAGAGCAACGGGAATTGGCTTTGGAACACGTGTTGGCTCAAGTTCGTACACAACTTCTTCGAGAGGACTGTCAGGTGGTGTGGCCATGACTTAATTGTGCAAAAAACACAACCCTGAAGTGGTCTCAGCCACGCGAGATGTTCCAGATTGACAGAGATTCTCAAGTGCAGTCAATTTTGATCCTTAGTACACTAATATGAAGAACATACTCTCTCCGGGATGTCTCGGCAGCTTTACCGAATCATGATTGGCTGTTGTGACTGGTGCTGGAAATTGAGAGGAAAAACTTTCATCATATGCCAAGCACTTTCCTGGAAAGCATCCAACACTGACCACAAAAACACCCAATCTTCCTCCTAATACAAATGTTCAAGTCTCTAGCACGCTTGAAATTTCATTTGCACCACGCTCAGGCCAAATGCAATCCAACATTGAATCTTAACCTTTATATTGAATTATATATGTCTTATTTGTCCAATTTCTTTCTTTGCGTTTTTTTATTGCATGCGTGAGAATATTGCCCGAATGTTCATTGTGATAAATAATAAATATATTATTGCTGTCGAATATACTCCAAATGCCCACGAAGTTTTTAGGATGCTTACGCTTTTGTTAATTTTCATATTTCGCATTGCAAAAGTCTCAAAAGCAACTTATCCAAAGAAATTGGACTCATTAATTCGAGAGTGGAATTCTACGTTTATTCCAAAAAGTGTTCTTGGATGGATAAAGTTTTGGTATGCAAATATGAGTGAAACAACATAGAGATAAGTTATGCAAGTATCCTGAAGAAGGCTTTTAATGAGGTCTCTACAGCTTTTATTCACATCATAATGCATGCGGAAGCAGAACTAGTTTAATCTGTCCTAACTGGCGTCATCATTTATGAGAAGCAGAGTGGAAATAATTCATGGTAAGTCTATCAAAAAGACACGAAAGCTTTTAATTGAATTTACAATGCACTTTAACTTCATAATAGTATATATATTCCAAATTACCGCGAGCATAAAAAAATTTATTCACTCCCTTTACATTTTACATGCTTTTGTGACTTGAACTTTTTTTTTGGTGAAAATGTTCGAAAATTTATGGCGACTTTTGCTCTTTAACACGTCTATTATGGTTACTGTGGTTTTCTACTGCTCCACTGCGAGAATAAATGGGGCTAACATGGAGAAATTTTCACCAACATCTAAATACAAGACTCGACAATCGCACTGGGGGCAAATGGAAGAGGGCAGAATGAAAGTTTCTTTCAGCCTAAATCGATTCATCAATCAAAAATAAATAAAATTATTATCTTAGCAGAGAAATCTTAACGATTCACGTAATCAATGGCATTTCTGGGGCTAAAAATACAATTCTTAGTTTTGCAAGAGCCAAATAATGTTGAACCGAGGGAATACAACCCATGGGCCCGATACCAATCTTCCAAGTGTCAACTTTTCCTCACAATCATTTACAGTATACAACCGGATATAATATGGTGTGCTATATATGTGAATGTATGGGGAACCCGGAAATACTGCAAAGTACATTTTCTTACAACATAATCATGCAATAGCAATAAATATAGTGGGAAATGTGACCTCTGTTCTGTGGCAACGCAATTTCTTTTGGAAAATCCAACCACCACGTGTGTGGGGGGCTTTTTTGGGCGACGTTAGGGGGACAAGGGGGGACTTAGGGACCACCAACGCCGAGCATTTAAAGAGATTTTCACTCAACGCGGAGGTGTCGTGAAGAAGCCAGTGTTACAAGTTCTGCTAAAATAAAATCAATACTCTGCTCCCTGTTTTAGCACACAAAGACGACTACTTTCACTACTTTAATCATTGTGCTCCCTTCCCCCCCCCCCCAAATACATTACAATGCACAGTGGCCGTTTGCTCTTTTCAGGAAACTTCACAGCTAAAGGAATGATACAAAAGTTTAATGAATATTTTAGATGGAGTTAGAATTCTGAATTATGTTGCTCAAGCGGAAAACTATATAATTTCCAATCCTTAGATTGTTTCATGTGCTAACCTATTTATTAATAGTATATGAGAGTCAGTTTGACCAGAAATATAATCAGATGCTGAGACACCTTCAACATTGTCTGAAAACATATATTTTAAAATATGTGTGACGAAATTAAAGTTATTGTTTCAATACACATCAATAATCACTCTTCCGAATATCAAGTGCCCAAGACGTTATCTCTAATCGTGGCTACTATAAGAATCTCAGATGCTAGAAGTCTGCTATTTCTGGCACAGTTCTTTTATTGATCAGATAAGGTAATTTAGCACTCTCGTAAAAACATGGAGTTTAATGTGTCGCCAATGTTGCGATATTTTGTGATTTCGTCATTAATGAGGCGCAATAGAAGTTTTGTTCCTCTGTCGATGACGGTGTAGTTTCTAAATTTTCCGTAATAGTTTAGGCTTGGCACGAATTTTATATTTATCTTTCATGCAATGTAAATGTTATTTGTGCGAGAATCACCTAATAGAAAATAGTCATTGGGAAGTAAATCAATACAACAGCCATCCTGATTAGAGTTTAGAGAAAATTGTAACCGTGTTGGAAAAAAAATTCACTACAAGCATGAATGTTATTTTTTTAGGCTTGATGTCTATTTTTGTGATTTCGAGGCATGAAAAACCACTAGTTCCCAATACTTTTTCCACCCTAAACACTGACCGTATTGTTTTTTCGTTCCTTTTTTTTCTCTCTTTGTTATCAAACGGACAAATCTTTCTCTGCAAACCAACACGTCATCGCTTCCAAGCTGGGATTTTGCTGCCATTGGAATTTAAATTGAATGATATCACGAAAGACTTTTCCTTGATTTTCACCCCATTTCGCCACCACACATTTACATGTATTTTCGCTTGTTAAATTTGTGCTCACCAGTCTCTTCACACTATCATTATTTCTTACTGAAAATAATTTTACGAGAATTCTCCCACTGTGCAATTATATTTTGTTACAACTCTCTCATGATATCTGGAATATTTTTCACCAAATTCCACTTCGCGGCTTGAAGTGGTTTGAAGGATTTCCGCGATTTACGTGAATAACAGTCAGGAGATATTGATTACAATTTTCTTCCTATACAATATATTGTTAAGTGTTTCTCACAACTTTTATTTTTCTTTACTTCACAAAATTTCGCTTTCATGGACCATTACGCATGATGATTTTGCGTTAAAATAATGACTTCTTCTGCTCACATGAGTCTTCCTGCACATTTATATGCGTGCTACCTATCAAATAATATTGGATGTTCTTGGTGATAATTATATAAACTTTCCGTCTCAATTAATTCAAACATCTCAATGTTTTGGCACTTTTCACAATCCAAATAAGATATCTGCAATGAGATGTGAAGGAAAATGTTGTACAATTTGTGTAAATATTAAGTTTGTATTTCATAAACCTATCATGATTCACCCAGTTTGTTTATCTTCATTAAATAAATCAACTGATTTCATTCGTGTGAAGAGGAAAAAACTGACTTTGTATATTTGATGAAGAACAGATATCACGAGTGCAATATCGTGAGACTAAATCGCCGTATCACAGCAATTGTCCATTGATAAAATTGACCATGAAGCTTTCGTCATTCGACCTTCGTCATTCATGCTGTTTAGTAGCCAATTTTGACAACATAATTTCGCATCAGGTCATGTCTCATTAAGTATATTATTATGCCTTTTGGCCATTGCACTGTCGCTATTATCGAAATTTTTCGAGTCCATTCAATCGCTCGTTCGTGCCAATATTGCGGCAAAATAATTTTCCACTGGGGAAAATTGGTACAATCTGTTGAATTTAAGAAAATGTATACATATATACCACGCCTGAACTGCACCACAAGTTACTTTCTGCCAAGAGCAGCCTTTAGCGAACTATCTATTATATTGTTATTGTCACTCTTTAAACAAATAACACTTTTCTGCCGTTTCCTAAGACGATACTGCTCATACATATCTCGTATATCGCAACTGTTTCTCGCACTAGTTGGACTTTTCTTCGCAATCCAATTGTTCGACTATCTTCACTATAATTCCTCTTCTTCCAATATCCACCCCTGAAGGGTAGTTCACTGAACACAATTATACTTGAAATTGATGATCATGGTGGAAACGAAGCAATAAAACACTGTAGGGGAATGTGGGCAATTTACGCAGATGCAATTTAAATTATAAAATCACATCACAAAAACAATTTCGAGTGTTTGTGTGTCGCCAACGACAAAGTCGCCATTGAAAGTGAGCTTTTAGAAGTGAGCACTTTGCAATTTCCAAAATGGCATAAAAAGTATTTTCAACAATGTAACAAATAACCTTTTCACTCGTGGAAGCCATAATAAACAACAAAGCATTAATTAGCCGCGATGCAGTGAACTTCTTCTGTGGTTGAGCTTTCTCGAGAAAGTTGGAGAGCTTTTAACTTATGATGGCAAAACATGCAAAATCCTTTTATTTGTTTACAACTCTATATAGACAGCAATTTGGACAATCATTTATTTAGTGAGCGCTTCTCCCAATTGTTCGTTGACTTTTTCTGCTTTCCTCGTACTGCAATTTGAGAGATTCGGGCAATTTGCGGTGGAATTTACTTCTGCTTATGCCACGAATTGCGGTTGTCCTCGTACATAAGAGAGTGTCTCTCACTTTCTCTACAGTACGATTTGAGCAATTGAGTGAATTGCATTGCTGAAATTGAGGGATTATTTTATGAGACAGAAGATGAGAACATTCCCAGACTGTCAGAAGGATAGAGAATCTCAGAAATTGCGGTCCACAGATCCTTCCAGGAAGTTTCACGGACTTTGTGCGGATGATGGCAAATATTTCACGAAAAATTTTTATGGTGTTTGTGCCTCTATTTTAGATGAGGCCCAACTCGAGCCAACACATGGCCGGGGAAATATTCAACAGGAATTTGTATAAATCTTCACACAGAAGGACTTTCTGTAACTCTTGGGAGTATTTTGGTGTATGTGACATGAAATTTAAGGCGTTCTTAAGCACTATATGGCTTCTTCAGGAAATGTGCAAAGAATTTTTTCTCACGCTAACTCAATAAGATTTATGATAAATTCTTTATACCACCTAAAATACTAAATAAAGAATTAGATTTATTTTCCCACATATCTTGCGGATATATTTCTACTGGGAATTGGAATAAATTTCCAGGACACACGAAGCCAAATGATACTACTTCTCCACTTGACTCGAAAGTGAAATCATTGAGAGTATCTTGGCAAATCCAGTGGAAGAAGAGCACTTTTATATACATTTGTGATGAAGTGAAAAGTTTATTTCATGAATCACTCATCTCTCTGGCATTTGCCAATCACGCAGGTGATTGAAAATCAATATTGCTTACCATTCACTTGATTTAAAGTTTCTCCATTCTATTTCGCTCATTCAGCAAATGTCTTTCAAGTGCCTAACTGTGTTAAGAATATCTGGGAGGGACCTTTGCTCAAAAAGTTAAGGGTGGACTTTAATGAATGCAAAGTTCCGCACATAATTGAATATATTTTCTAGAAATTATAAGTGATTAAAGTCACGTTTTTCTCATTAAACTTTCTCCACTTTGTAATGTGGCAATTTCAAATCTCTTTTTTTACACTAAAACTTCGTAAAGGAATTACTATGAGATTATTTAGTGTATAAAAAATACACATATATTTACTTTATGCCCACATTCAGTACTTCTGTTTACAGAATAATTTTTATTACTAATACTAATGAATAGCAGCGAATTGGGCCAATGGCTACAGAAACAGGTAAACAATGAATACCTACATTTTATTGCCTTTTAGTCAACTCGGGAGACCACATAAAATGTCTATTGAAAGACGTGCTGTGACTTCTGCCAAATTATCCACACCATCATTTAATAACCCATGCAAATTTGAGCTTTGGGCAATCGCCAAAAATTGTCCTTTCACCCAAGGAGTCTCTCTTCTTCAATCAATAAAATTTACAATTACTTTTTCTGCATATTTCTTGGCACTAAATCGACATGGTGTACGGATAGTCGTGGGAATCCTCCTCCCTTGTGTCTCATTCCTTTGAGCATTTTAATTTGCCAGAGTTGTTTGCTCTTCTGCGATTGTGGTGACTGAATAATAATCCTCAGGCGATAATTGTTCGTCCGTTCCGCCAATTTTCCACCCGATATCGAACAAGTGTGTGAAACTGGTGAATTAATTGTGCGGACGTTCACTGGGCGGTATTGACACCATAAAATTATGATATATGTGTCTCTTTCTTGGCAGAAATTGGACAAATAGAGACATTATGCTGAGGAGGGCTTTTCCCAGCGTTTCGCTGGGATTGATCGGAACTTGAGTATGATTTTTATATCACTCATTAATATCACAGAATCGAAAATTGAACATGAGACACGGAAGCACCTGTTGGAAAATTATTCCCCTGCGATATTGTGTCTACGGCTGCTGATATGTATATGGGGATATTGTATGAATATGTAATACCCAGTGTGAGATGGCTTTTGTATCTAGTTTGGTGTATAGTTGAGATTTGGGCGGGTCGCGGGTGAGGGTGGGTGTTGGGCGATAAAACAGTAGGTATATAAATTCACATGGGTGGGGAAAAAAAGGGATTTGCGCTGACACAATTTCATTATCACATTTTTTGACATCAACACGCTTTTAGTGGGCATGAGAGTAACAGAGAAATATAGGAGGAATAATTGTGAGAAAACTGTGGGATATATTATGTCTTTTTTTCCTCTGCTTCGGCTAATAATAGGCACTCCCATCGATTAAAGAAGTGGCCTTGTACACCAGGATGAAAATGTTGCAAAAGGTGGGACACCCGTGAAGATCGCGCGCCCGAACCGGGTGGCGATGTGTGTGACATTGAATTTTTCAGCTCTTGCATTTGCCACTGCAAATCAATTAATTTTCAAGCATGTTCCTCACGCCCGTGCATTTTCGCGCGCGCAGCAGATCCACCATAGATATTGCGGAAAATTAAAATAGGTGTGCAGGAAGAGGAGAGAGTGGAAATTGATTAAGGTCGAGGGTGGGTGAAAATTTCTTCCACCCAGACAGATAACGCTGCATAGCGCGGCTCAGGTGGGCTCAGAGGCCCTCCCCGCACACCCTCCGGCGGGGAGAGTGCATGATAAATTTCCTCCCGGGGCCTCGGCTTGTACACCATTTCTAGATACGATCGCGGAGATTCAGGCACTGGGATTTCTAATCAATACTCCGTCACTTTTAGCGAGATTCGCTCGCATTTTTATGCGTGTCTCCGCGGAGGGGCGGCCAACCCACTTCTGGGGTGGGCACGACGCCTCAGCAGAAGGGTGGTCAGCCGGAGACAAGATATAAGAGCGCGCCCTAATGCCGAAGATGATGGGTGTGGAGGCACAACAAATTACTACACAACAGAGTTGTAAAAATTCACTATACACCGAAAAGCACAATCGAAATAGTATAAAGGCGAGAAGAAAATGTATATACTCTTGGTGTGACTCTTGTGGGCGAGGAGGGCCAGATTCGCGATGAGACGCACGAGAGAGAGCGCAGAGATGAGGAAATCAGGCAGATCTTTCTTGGTGAACGGCGTGCTGAAGGAGAAACTGGCTCTTTTTTACCCCAACTTAAACACACACTCTCTGTGACGGTCTGGACAAATGAAAATGAAAAAGGAGGAGGAAGAAAAAAACTTATTCACAGTGACACGCACACGGAATGTTGTAATGATTTGTCTCGTATGTCCCGGACGATAGGAAAATCCAACACTGACTAACTTTGCTGGGAAAGCCGAGAAAATTTTCCCCGGACGACTCACGGACTCCGGCGAGAATTTGCACGGCAGCTGCGCAAATAAATCCGCTCCCAACATCTACACTCGTGGGCCTCGCTACAGGAAAAACTGCCCGAAAATCTGCACCGCATCAGTCTCGGGCGTGGAGGGAAATTTTGCAGTTTCAAATACACCCACTCGGTCGTTTGCAATTCACTCAATTACCACCTTTCACTCGTGACAGGTGCAAATTATTCAATTTCTCCCCACGGAGCATCTCCCGAATTCACTGTGACGTCGAACACTGTGGGAATGCAATGTGAGAATTTTTCATCAATCCCGCTCAACGCTTGATGATATGTATGTGATGACTACTATATGAAAGCATCAACCGACAGTTTAGTTATTCATTATACATTTTTAATGTCTCGTGTTGGTGCATAAAAAATTCTCTTTTCCACTCCAGAGTCGAGCAGATTTGAGGGAACCGTTAAATACTGCTGAACTTACATAAAAATGTGTTCCTGTCTAGCTGTTCCTGTCGCTGTTCCACTTCTCATCAATTTCCTCAAAATATCAATGTTGCATTTTTCATATGTGTCATTCTGTCTCTTTATGTAAATGCATATCCGGCGAAGTTGGCGAGAACACATCGTTTCAGCGGGTTCAGCTGATAGAGCCAAAAAAAAAAACGATTTTCTTCTATTGCTGAATTTCGAGCATCAATACTTCCCAGTTTTCCAGAGATGCAGAGAGCATTGCTAGATGAAAAAAGACATTCACTCTCTCTCTCCTGCATTCCACCCTGTCGAGCAGCAATCCATAAATCAAGCAGTAAAAAACACGATTTAATGCATAATTCAATATGTTTTATTCCATTTCATCTCGAGAAAGATTTATTTCGCTATTTTTCAACACTAACGGAAGATTGAATCAATATAAAATCGATGAAATTACGACATCCATAGGAAAGAAAGATGATTGAAAATTCAACTTTACTGGCCATGAGAATATCAGTAGGAGATTTTTATTTGGCAGAAGTGTATCTCTATGGGTTAATCTTTCCTTCAATAGTAATTGTATTAAAATTTGGCATGTTAATCTCTTAACGCTATTTTCCATCTTCTCACACACTAAATGCATTTGTCCTCTGGCTCAATAACTTTGCTTCCTTGCAGAACATAATGCTAAAAGATAATGTACTTTGGTCAAGTAGAACGGTTTTATATCAAAATATCGGGGGCAAACATAACACATTTGTCAGATTCTTATCGTGTGGAATTTTGAGAGGGAATAAGAGAGCGTTTTCATCGCGAATGTGCAAATAAATAAAAATAATACATTTTCTCGTTATATAAACTATATGTACAGATCAGTCAGTTACAATTTATCTCTTTTTTATGCTCATTTCTCGCTCCTTGTCAACACTGGGAGGCCGCAAGTCCTTCCAATGATAGCTACAAATTGTCACTTCATGAAAACTAATAAAGATACAGTCATGATTATTGGATAATTCGTATGTGTCGCTATGAACATCATTGAAAATTGTCGTGCATGTGCCTTTATCATTTCTCTACCGCCTAATTTGTCTCGTAGCGGTCGCATAGAGCGACCCATAAGTGAATTATCGCCCCCTCGTCGCACTCCACGCCAAGAGGGGCCCCCTAATTGTGACGGAATTGCTCACGTGGCTCCCTCACACGACCCCATATCATGACTTGTACGTCCTGATCACGTCGTGAATGACCGCCCGGCAGAGCGGGCAGTGTCCGCCGCCGATTCCTCGCCACTGCTGCACGGCGCACTCGTAGCACATGCACATGTGGCCGCACATGTAGAGCACCGAGTCAATCGAGTTCTCATAGCAAATCGTGCACTCTGTCCCAGCTCCTCCAGGTCCAGCCGCTCCCTCCTGCCAGTTGGCGGCAATGGAATTGACATGGTTCGCCGACGACACGGAATAGGGCTGCAAAAAGGATACACACACATTTAGTCACGCGCTCGTCACCACCCAAGAAATACATCATCGATTGTGGGTGATAAATTCAATTCTACCCTACCACGCCACATTAACTAGAAACTGGGTTAATTCAGATGGACACACAATTAATTTCCCAGCGAGAAAGTGCGCTCAGTCTTGAGGAAGACCATTTAATTTCCCCTCTCCCCAAACCACTCTCTCCGCCCCATCGGCGACATCACAGTTCGAGGCAATTCATTTTAGTGCAAAATTGTAATGGGCATCAGTCTGGAAATCACTCACGAGAGAATTACATTTCGTGGAAATTGAAAAGTAACGGAGTGTCCACAAAGTTAATAGGGGTGCTCAACATGTTTACAGTTGAATTGCCTGTTAATGACACAACTCTCGAGATAGAAAATCACTCAAGCGATATTTTCATCGAAATTTAACAAATAGGGCGAATTTAAGGAAATCCATAAGGAAAAACTTACTGGTCACACAAGGATATTCACAAGGTGTTTTGATTTGCTGTTTTACATTGTCCTTTGCGTGCTTTGGTGGTCTATTAATTGTCACTTTCCAAACTGCTCTCTAGCATGTTCGGTTAATAGCCCCAATATATCATCCTGGCGTAATTAAATCTGACTATTTTCTGGTCTCTCTTTGGTTCAATTATACCCGGAATTAAGTGCGCTTTGTTCCACAAATACACATCTCAACAGAGATTTATCACTCAATGCAATATTTTCGTTGAAAAATCGAATTTTACAAAGAGTGATTTATTTCCAGGAAATAATTCAAACTCCCAAGACTGAGTGTCGTTTTCTAGGCACGTGACTATCGTATTTCCCAACTTCAAGACAGTGCGAGATGGCTCGCATCCAAGGAATATCTTGACTTTCTCGCCCATGACTGAGAATACACAATTACGGTATGCAATTACGCGTGGAATTTCGGGATGAAATGCCAGATTTATCATCACATACAAATAACACACTCACCTCAATATACGTGGCATTGCTTTGCGTAGACAAGAGAGTTGAGCTGGGGATGCGGGGTGACATTTGCTGATTGTTCAGCACATCGGGCGGAAGATTAACCACCAAGACAGCTCCCCGTGGCTGAAACTGGATCATATCCCTCGTCGGTGGGACATTGATGACTCGACTGGCCGATGTGCAAGCCACAGGCATGAGTTTCCGCTGCTCCACCTGACTTCCGTGGCTGCTGATGCTGCTCATAGACTCAGAGCCTGGCAACTGCACCTGAAGGCGTCTCGGTGATGCGTTTGGATGGTTTTGCGGCAGGACTGAGGGCGTGGGCACGGCAATGGGCGGCGTAGGCGGGGGCAGACTCATCACCCGGACACTCTGTGTGGAGCCGTACACGTCGAGAAAAGCGTAGAGCTCGAGGCTCTGGTCCACATGCATCACGACCGTGGCAGGTCCGCCATTCTTGCTTATCGTCACCTCCCCCTTGACAGTCACGCAAAAGGTGATTTCGTCGCCGCGATTTGGCGTAGATGCGATGTCCTTGCTCACCACCCAGTACTCGGGGCGGTCGAGCAGCAGATCCGAATCATCGGGCAGATCTGTGGGCATCAGTGTTGCGGGGTCGCACGATGTCAGCCCCAACGCGAGAGCACCAACATACATTGATTCAGTCCGCAGGACCTGCACAATGAGAATTTCGCCAATCCTCAGCGGACGGGCTGTGAACACGTAACCCTGACAAAACTCCGTGTCCATTCGCGAGGCGATTAATCGATCTGCAGACAGGCGAATATTGCGGCCCTTCGTGCGGTGAAAGGGTACCGGGACGAGAGCTGTGTTCGGTGGCGGAGTGAACCGAATGGGTGGCAAAATCTCCTCGGTGCTGCCCTGCACAGACAGCGCCTGAATATTTGGCATCAATCTCTCCACCTCGCCATCGGGCACTGAGTGGCGAGGCTGCTGGTAGCGGTGATTGACGTAGTTCCTCGAATCCAGAAATTCAATCGCCGTGCAATTCCCATAAATATCAATGATGGTCCACAACGGATTCCTCGTCTCGATGCCCGTGATGAAGATCCCTTTCTCCTCCCCATTGATGCCAAAGTGTACATCTCCCGACGCCGTGACGTAGTAGAAGAGGATGTTGTCGCGCTCGCAGTAGCTCTCATTGAGTGCCTTCACCCAGTATCCCGGCTTGTTGGTCAGATCCGGGCACGCGTACTTGGGCAGACCGTATCGCAGACTCACCGGGTCATTGTATGTGAACCCGAAGCGAATTACGCCACTCCAATTGTTGGAGATTTCATTGAATTTGATGCACACCCGCTCATTTATCCGCACCGGACGTGAGCTGAACGATATACCCTTGCAGAAGCTCTCATGGCGACGCGCTACACGACGCTCACTCGAGATCCTGATGTTCTCCCCATGAACCTGATGAAAGGTCAGCGGTGGCAAATTGTTGGGACTTGGACACGGAACCCCACTTCGTGTTGCTGAAATGATACAAAAAGAAGAGATGGAAAAGTGAGACTCTATTGCTAGTCATTAGATGCGAGTGCTCGCCCTCCCTCTATCTTTTACGCCTCACGTACTATCGCAATCTCATCCTCAATAGCTTCAAGCTCCCAGAGCAATTTGAGGTACAGCTATAGTGAAACATCTGCTCACCACATGCTTCTCTCCCTCCTGGCCACCACCAGACGGAATATGTACTCAAAATAGCATTCAAAAGGCCCTCAAGATGCCTCAAAAATTCTCACACAATCTCCTCTGCAGCCCAAGTTCACCAATTTCTTTCTACCCTCCCTCCATATAAGGTTCCAGCAGTCGGCAGATGAGCCAGATGTTCACATAATGCACCCATAGGTAGAAGTATACGGCAAGGGACAGAACGGAGGGTCAACAAATAGAGGTGCATTCTCCGAAGGAAATCTCTCTGTCTTTCAAGATAAATTTTTTAGACTTTTTCTTGCTTTTCCAACACAGAATAGCCAAAGAGAATCAATTTTATCTATATATTGTCACCAGCAGCTGTCTCAAATTTCCAACAACACGTCATAAAAATACATGATGAGTCTCTCTTTTCTAGAAAATGTACATTCAATTATATCTTGAAAGTTTCAACTACTTCGTGGAAGAAGGGTAATTTACATTTTAGGTATGTGTGCCTCTAAATTTGCCATAAATGTTCTGAGAAAAGGAAAATCTCTTGCAATGGGGCGCCATATACAATGAGTATTCAAAATAGACTCATGCAGAGAAAATGTCTCTCTCTTTGACTCTGTATATAAATGCGATTTATTCTTACTTCTGACAAATTCAGCTACTTAAATAAATGCAGAGTTGATTCTGTATCTTCTCCAACACATACTTTTTGTTACACATCTCATTCATCTGAGATCAACTTTAGGCAAATTAGCGTGAACGAAGAAATGCTTAATAGAAAGTAGAAAGTACATTGAGTTTTTGAATGAAGCCAGGAACCAAAAAATAAATTAAAATACCTATAAATTGACAACTTGAGTGAAATTAAGAAACACGCTTCTCATTTCCCAGAAAATGTCTGTAAGGATTTACAGTCTTTCTCACTCACTTTGACATTGCAGCTCACATGAAACTTTTCCCATACGTGACGAAGCATTTTCGGGTGTATAAAATCATTGTGGGAGACTTAATCGCATTTGACTTGGGCAAAGAGTCTTCGAAATGGCGAGAGAATTGCACATCTGTATATAATTTTCAAGATAATGCCAACAGGGAGTTGTGGCTTGCAATACCCTTGGGTAATTCTACACTTTATCGCATTCTATATTAATAGGAAAATCCACCCTCGGTTGAATTTTCATCAAGTGGGGGAGTGTGTATTTTATTCATCGCACTGTTTATACGCTCCAGGAGAGTAATGGTGGTGTCACTCCAAGGACAATCAACCACAAAATCATCCGCCTTGAGATTAATCCTAGCTGAAGCGAGGATATTTAGCCATAAAAGCGGTGAATTTATGAGGAATTCATCGTCTTTTACATGGCGATTCCCACCCAATCATAGGGTTCAAAATCGTGCGCAGCGGAGACTCTCGAAATGAAATTCAATTGCTGGTCTGGGGAATTACTTCTCTTCTTATACCCAACGAGACCTGGTCGATGTATCCATGCCTTACAAGTTATTATTTATTATGGTTGAGAGAACAAAGAATATATTATCTTCATTTTGAATAATTATTTACGCTCATATACTACGTGTTAAAGTTTTCCTCTTACCACCACACTTGAGATATCAAATTCATGCTCAAGTGATGAGTATAACTCTTTTTTTCCTGCTCAGACCACAAAAATATTATATAAAAGATCCATGGCTTTATGGAAGCATTTTTTTCGCCTCTCTCACTCTCTCAGTGCCTAAAATACTGGTGGTTCATGACGCTTTTATCAGGGGGAAAAGCGACATTCAGACCAACAGCTGCAACTTCCCTCAGCATTTGTTCGCCCAATATCCTGTTTTCGAGACGAGGGGATCGAAAACTACACTCGCACACAGCGAATGGAGTTTTAAAATAAAAACGAGGGGTGAAAAAGCATTTTCAGTATTAATTTCCTTCTGGATAAGCTTGCAGAATTTTCAATTGCAGCAAGAGAATAATCTCCACATGAATGATACATCCAATAATGATTTCCCCGAAGACCACGTCCAACCCCCTCGGGAGGAGTGCAGAAAAGTGTAATCTCATGCTGCGAAATGAGGACAGGGAAGCAAAGGGTGACGGTGCGTTCAGAGTGGCCGCCATGAGCAACGAAAAAAAGTAAGTATAATGTGAATTAAGGAGTTATACTATACTTCCACCCGTGTACGAAGTACATGAAGCAGAACTTTGAATTTCCTGCAATTCTTCTCTTCAATTTCTCTCCGACATTCTTCATGCAACAGTGAATTTCTGCAGCTTTTTTCTGTCTCGAGTCTCCACGAAACCTTCTAGGATGACGCGGATGAAATGTTTTCCCCGGGACGTACAATCAAGAGTGTATTAAATTGCATATTGAATGTGCGGATGTGATTGAGCACGATGAGAACCCGCGCACACCGGAGGAAGATATATGTATATTGTGGAGTTGGACACGAATTTCAGCAAATTCCCACGGTTCAGATTTCATCACGACCAATATTAGAGAATGCAAGAAGCGAAGACGGAAAAGGTCAAAAAGTGAACGCTCAACTCCACGATGGAACTCCAGCCGTGGTGGGAAATGCGTCAATTTTCTCTTCTCTCTCGTAGTACAGGCCAGCAACACTTGCAAAATTGTTGCCTCTTTAGTGTCTCACAACATGTTTTTATGTGGATTAGAAATGGTGATGTCTTATATCCATTATTATTGCATATTATGAATGAAGTATCTTTGCTCATGGGGCATTCACGGCATTCCTCGGCCGCTAGTATCTCACATTGGTCAGATTGCTGAAGAGATCGAAGGTAGGGGAAAAAATCCACGTCAAACAATTGAATAATGGAACTATTCAATTACAGTCGTGACTTGGATGGATATGAGATTGTCCTGTGCACTTTCCACACCACTGCAATAAATGCACCCAGAGACATCAATTGCAGAGTCATAATGAATATTTAATATTTTGCCCAAAAAATGCCGCCACCACTCATTAATTATCTCAAGAACTAATCTGACAGGCATTCTGTGAATGAGACTTCTTTTCCTGTTACCCACACGGGAGAGATCAAGAAGCTCAAAAGCCAGAGACGTCCATTCTCGTGACTAACCAGGTGTAATTGTTCAAATTTCAAGAAAATTTTACCACGCTCTGAATGGCAGCTTGTGAAAAACATCACCCAGTTGATATTTTGTAACATATACACTCCAATAATCTTCTCTTTCCACTCCATCCGCGGCGACGGCCTCCCATTTCGCGTCACCCACTTCTTTCCCCTAACCCACTCTTCTCTTGTCGTGTCTCTGCCATGAAAAACTATCTATAGACCAATTAACTATACGCGAGAGATTCCCACGGCAGCAAAACGGTTAACATCAAAAGAAATTGTCTCTCTGTTTGCCTATGCAGTTTCCGAGGTAGGAGAAAGAGATGAGATATGAGAATATACGCAATATATCTCTAGGTTTCTATGCCGATATTTGCCTCTAACCATTCATTTGGACACCAAATTTTATAAATATTTGCTTGTATTTCATGTATTTTTGTCTACTAACCTAATCCCATGCGCAATTTAATTTTTTTCAGCAGTTTTATCTTTCGCTGCGGTGGTACAAATAGATCCACATTTTTGCATGAGCACGATGCTGGACCACTCCTGCACGCCTGCTCATTCAACTCGTTCTTATTCTTCTGAGCATTTGACAAACCCATTTTTTTCAAGTGTGCACTGATTATAGCAATAATACACATACTATACAGAAACTCCTCTATCCAGAATTATTCTGGGAGCACCACAATTTTTTTTGAGGAGCAACAAATCTAATCCCGCGAATACACAACTTCCGATGTATAATTATCAAGTCCTCGCGCTCCCCCCGCGATTGCAAACTTCCTCCACGGACAAAAGGCGCACACGATAACCCAGCGAGACCACAACCGCTCGCGACAGAGTCTCTCAACAAACTGATGCCTCAGCCATGTGAACTGAGTGTGATTTGTATAAGCAACACAGCGCTGAGCTCCCTCCTCCTCATTCTTCGCCGTTCGTACTCTTCACTCTTTTCGATCACCCAAGACATGTGAACCGTACAACACAACATATACACGCAATTTCAGTTCCCCAAAAACCCGATGAATTATTTCTTCTCATCACTCTATCGCAATTTCCACAGAAAATATAATTGGAATGAATTGCCTCCCAGACCGACAATTGAACCCTCCTTATTGGACACCTAATTGAAAGGTATGCGCACAAGGGCTAGATTCCCCCTCATCATGAGACACTCTATTCATGAAGATTATCATTCCTTATCATGCAAGCCAAACATCGACCAAATATACAGACTTGAGGCTGTGTGAGTGGCCTGATAAAGCCACCGGCAGCTGGTACTGCAAAACAATTAATACCCTCTTGGCTGACACGCGCCCGTAGCCAATGGCAGGCCAGAATTTTGGGGTCTGTTTCCATCATCATCCAGCCGGCAGCAGCTTGCATGACTCTTTTTGTCTCTCATTCTCGATCGCATTGGCAAGGAAATGTACACTCCAACTAGAGAGCGTTCCATTCAGCAGATGTATGCCCACATTAATGCGTCAAGGGGAGCACGACTGCGATGGGGAGAAAAAGCGCATACTTAATGCGCCCGACCTCTTAATTGGATCAATTCATTTCACATCTCCACACAGCACACTCAGGGCAATGCATTCTGAAAGATGTTCTCTCGAGAAAGTGGACAAATTGCATTTTTGCGAGGTTGAAATCGCCAAAGCTGGTCATAATTATCACAGATGCTCAACATCATTAAAATCTTCAAAAGGTGTCCCCACGTCAAACACCACACCGACTTTGTTCTTCTTCCCTTCTTGCAATGATCACTTCCTGGTAAGAAACACCTTGAGAGATCAGATTCCTTTGAAATCTCATCATGAAATCCTTTCGTACAACCTCAACTTTGGGATTTCATTAATTTTCTGTCACTGACACTATTGAGGATCGTCTTAAGAAGTTTGAGGAGAAGAGTTCGTTAATTTTCTCATAGATCCACACAATTGCAGTGAAGATCTCTTAAATGTGCTAAAATAGGCAGATTAAAAGTAATCCGGATTTCAAATATAACCCCTTGAAGAAAACATTTTCGCAGAAAAGTATTTTCCTAATTAAAATAAATCCACACAAAAAGGAATTTGGAAAAAAATTAATAAGTTCCTTCCAACTGTTCACACGATATTCACACTTATAATAAACTCAATCCTAACTAATTAGTTTTTACTAAGATTTTATCATCTTTCTTTACAGAAAATAAATTTTAGAAAGAAGGTTTACAGCCTCAAATCGACCAGAAGCCATTGTACTGATTCAATGCGATAGATGAAATAATTGATTATGATTTTACCATCGTAATTCCTCTATTAGCCAACCATCAGCTACTGTTTATTAGAGCACGACAAGCAGTTCAAACAAATTCAAAATTTACTTTTATGAACTCCCATTGAAACAATATTGAGTCACGTGCCGGGATATAAAAGTGCATTCATACGAGTGCGGTCTGGATTGGAGGAGTTTTCCAACAACCCCATTTCAAGCCCTATAAATTTCATTGTTTCAAATTTGTCTGCACGACGAAGACAAATTGAACAATGCCTCATTATTGAGATGTTGTCGGTTTTCTCTTAAGTGATTTCAATTAAACACACCCACGCGTGAGATGACTTGAAATTTAAATATGGGTTTTGGGCTTTTTTCGATTTTGAACTCTTAACACCTCTCGTTTCGCAGTGGGTGTTTCTGGCAAAAACTCAAAATTCTCACGTACATGAAGTGAAAAGAATTTTTTTTACACGCTTTCAATGCCTCTGTGACATCTGTCCTGTGACCGGATGGGAAAATATCCATGCACTATGTATCGAAAGTATGTATTTCTCTACGATCTGCTTTTCTCTTTCGTTCGCTCCCTCATTGCATCTGCTCGTGGTCTATCGGCAAAAAAGCACTACTGTGAATTGATCTTGCTTAGGTAAAAAGACCCGTCGTAGGTATAGTGGGAGAAAGAGAGACTGTGTAGAGGAGGCAAGAAAACCAAAACACAAAATGCCTATGTAAATAGAAAGCACAAAGGAGAGATAGTGAACCAAAGTTCCTCAACAGTGCATTGCCTCAGAAATCTCTCGTACCTTCACTATTAAATTGGTCCCCTCTTCTCTCCAAATTGAGACTCAAGATTCTCCGTCTTTCAACAAGAGATATAATATACTTTTAGGGACTACACGGTGGAAGAAGGTGGTTTTGTATTTGTGGAATGTGACTGTATGACGAACATCACATCTATTCGGACTGAAGACGATACACATCATCAAAATTTCTCCTCATCTCCTATTGTTTATGACCCAAATGATTCTTTTCTTGCACATTACTTTCAATCAAAACTTCCGTACAATTGCATCGCAAGCATCTTGCTCGATAAATGTGTCTAACAGGGCATTATACTTCTAAGCGGACGTACATAAAATAATTATATAAATAAATATTTATATGCTTGAGAGGATGTTGCTAAAACTTACTCTTCTTCTTCGCTCGTCGTCTTTGACACACTGTGTGATTTCGCCTACGATAAATTTTCACTTGAATATGAATGGAGCTCATTTTGGGTGACCAGTTTTTTTTAGGCAAAATACCACGAATTTGTCATTCAACTGGAAAACTTGTTGATTCCCGATGAGATTAATACTTAATTCTTTCCCATTCAATTAGCTACTATTTCCGGTCACATTGATCTCACCGTTCCTCTCCCTGTCGCCCAAATGAATCAAATTGGAATCTTATAGTCTCACGGGATGTATCAAACGTGTATAGATTCCCCCTCGGAGCCCTCGCAACGCGATTTGGGAGGGAAAAAGTGTGCTTGTTTGAAATCAAAAATGAAAATCACGTCTATTTTACAGCAACGTTCCAGCAATACTGGAACTGTGGTGGCATGAGTGAGAAGACAGGCCACATGATTTCATTCTTTGTTCACTCCAATATAAACTCCACACTACCACTGCCTTTCCTTCGAGGCACTCTGGCGTGTCCGCTCTTCGTGTGATCAACAAATGCTCCCAACATTTCAGAGAATATAAAGCCACCAAGAAAATTATGTGTATACCATAATCATATGATACTTTACATCAGCAGCAAACTCTCAGTGTTGCTCATAATTTTGCATCAATTCCCATGTGCTTATTCAATGGGAAATACATAACAATTTACCTCCCTATACCATCTCCCTTCTCTTTCGTGGAAAAGAACACCAAATATTTGCAAAAACTCAACACTATATTTGTTGATCAAACATTTTTAGATGACACTCGCACTCTTTTTCTGCTCTATCCACACTACTTTTTGGCACTTCTTGCCCACACGCCGAGCAATGGGGAGATACATTAATTCATTAGCATTGCCCCTGTGCCGACAGACTCCTCAATTGAACATCAAACATGAATCATAGCAGTAAAATTTAATGGGAATGTCCTTCATTCGGCATTTCAATTTTTCAACACTCAAGCTCGCTTCGGCGCTGGTCTTGAGGAGCCGTATTGCTCGCCATGAATTAGTAAATTGATACAGAATTAATATCACAACTGCCTTCAATCGCACTTCAGGCCGAGAGAGTCTCACATTCGACCCCAACGTCAGGATAAATGCAGTGGAATTTCGAGGGCTGGGCACCTGCCGCGATGGCTCTGCATCTGTTTCTGTTCGAATCACTCAAGGAACCAGAGTTAATTCGATGGAATCCAATCTAAATTCTCCATAATTATGCCCAAGAGATGAACAATCGGAGAATTAGAGAAAAAATTACGATCATACACCCAGAAGTTTCGCCTTCCTTACATTCGTATCAGCTCTATCAACAGTTCATGAGCAATAAAAGCATTTATCAAGAATTTATATGAGACCTTTCCAAAAACAAGCAATCAACTTCTTTCTGCTAATTTTCCTCATCGCTGAAAATCCATGAGAACTGAGTAAAAGTTCTCAACAACAGCAGAATTATGATTGGGAAAGTTTGAATTTGCTGAAAGCAATTTTCATATTTTAATTGTGCTGCCTTTTTCCACCACCCAAAATGTGGGCAAAGAGAATTTGTCTCGAAAGCAACTGACAGTGACGACTGTGGTATTTTATGCATGCAACTTTGGTGCATCAGCCACATAAAGTATCATCTGCTCACTTGCACCTTTTCTTGGCAAATGGTTAAGTTTTGTAATTTAGCGATGGTCGTCACCTGCTTTGGCCTCGGCACTGCTCCAAGAAGTGGCTCACCAAAATATTCTCTACAACATATATATTGATTTATGCCGCCTCAAAGAAATGAGCCCCGAACACCGTCTGCCGTTGCTTTCCCTCCAGCATCTGCTCACTTCCTAAGCCCGCGTTTGGGGAGGGCCGCCATTTGGGCGCAAATTTATTAAGTGCATCCCCTATATTCTGGCCGATCTCTTGCAGAGACACTCAATCGCGCGAGAGGAAAGGGCAGAGGTTCTGCGACTTGCAATTTTCAATGGATCGCTCTCGTTTGGATTCCCATCATGCTCCAAGTTCCGGTGGGAGATGCACAGCAAAAATAAACAATCTCGTACGCTTCGAGACTACACCCAATCATTTCTTGTCATTCATAGAAGTGTCTTGTCGCTCTCTCCAGTAGGACGCAAAACTGGGAACGTTCCATGTGTCCAAAAGACTTAATAAAAGTCATTTCACTGGAACCCAATGAATCGATACTACGATTATGTCTATATTTTAAAGGAAACTTGAGGAACACATAAAATATGAAGACAAACCTTCAATTTAGGTTTCCAATAAAATTCTTTTTTGCATGAACAGACTAATTATGCATTGGAAAGATCGCTAAAAAGTCCTTTTCATGACTTTATTGCTTTGTTAGCAGCCAAAACAAAGGGGAAAAATATCAAAGTTTCTCTTTCTGCCAAACAATTCTCCAGACTATTCATGGTTGAAGAGACACCCAGACCTTCCCGTTCTGTACTATGAGTTACCGTATTCGCATCGCGTTTCCGTCGCTCAGAACTAGTAGAGCGGCGCCAAGGCTCTCTCAAGATCTCTGGCTCCGCTGAGGTTTGAGCCAGGAGAGAAAAAATCACCCTTCCCGCCGCAACTTATTCCCACAAATTACTTGACGAAAGCAATAATTGCTCTTGAGAATGTTAGATAACAAATAGTTTCTTCCTCCATCGCCATGCAGTTATGCCGTGATAATGTCCATCAGCACCCAGTCGCTGCCGGGAGAATTAATTGCGTTGCATAGCGATACATCATGAGATTTGGAGATTGGATCTGGGGAGGCACGTGGGCTCTGGGGGTCCAGAAGAATGAAATTTTATGTTAGCTGGCCAGAACTTCAGTGAGATTCACGGAAATAATTCTGCGGCACAGCGAACAGCTCATAAAACGCATCGAGTGCAGAAATATCTCCGCGATTTATTTACTTGCGGAGCCCCTGAGTCGTAAAAGAGCAGTAGGAGAGCTTACTTGTTTTATTGGTTGATATCCGAGTGCCCATTTTTCCAAAATAATGTTTGTGCAAAATGCAGTATCGAGCTCTCTTGGGCTGAGAGCAAACTTCTGCTGATCCGCTCCTTCACATCGCCGTCAACTGTTGTGGACGCTTGAGGCCGACTTCGGATAAAGTGTATCACATTCCAGAACAATTACTCTACTTAATTAGACACTATGCAGTTTGTTTTCTTCGGCCCTAAATCTATTTTACAACATTTTTACAATTTTACTTCTTCTCAGAGAAACTCCTTGACAGCCCGGCTGTCATTGAAATCGCTGAATTCCGCTGAATTGCCAGCGATATTGATTACGATTACGATTTTATCGCTTCAGCAAAGATGCAAACCAAAACAGTAATAAATCATTCTTCTGCATATTATGCCATTGATTTCGCGAAAAGCTTATAAATTCAAGTATAAATTGCAGTTATGAACTGGATTAGAGCAGTATTTCACACTCTTGAAATTGCGCAATTGTTGTTGACGTTGAAATTGCAATTCAGCAAGTGTGTCTGTGCTAGAAGTTCTACAAGTTTTGGGACACATGTGAAGTCCACATAATATCACAGATATTGTAATGGACTCGACAAATGTTTGCCGAGATGTGCAATTGTGCAATTATTACCAATCAGATTTGTTGGAAAGCCTCAAAATGACGAAATTGTTGTGTTACTTTTGTCAAAAATGAATAAAATTCATATTTCCTCCTGTTTATTCTATCAAACATATTTATTTTAACTCGTCGTAATGTTGACATGCACTTAAGAATCTGCCAAATAAGGAAGCCTGCCAAGTTTAATTTGGGTCCGTGAGTTGGAAGCTTGGTTGGAAGCGGTGATTTAACCAAATATTGCGTGCTTTGGTAAATAAATTGTAATATCGCTACGAAAGTGTCGTGAAAAACAAGTTTGTCGCTCGATTTTCCGTTCTTGGTGGGAAAATAGTCACATCAAGGAATCTCTTAGCGCTTTCCTCCTACGCATCTTTATGAAACTATCGGCGAAGATAATGGAGCAGGGAATATTGACGACGAAATTTCGCGGGGCGCTACAAGGGGCTCTGATCGGTGACTGCTGCGGAGCTCCGTACGAGGGAGAGCCCATGGAGGTGGGCACGAAAGTGGTGCTGAAGAAGTTCCTGCAGAAGCTGTCGGGACCCTATTTCTCGTCCCCAGTGAAGCCCTACACGGACGACACGGCGATGACAATTGCGCTGACCGAGGAGTTGATCGAGAACCGAGGAGTGGATCAAACGAAGCTTGCCAAGCGCTTCGTGCAGCGTTACTTCCTGGCCCCGAACCGGGGCTATGGAGGTGGCGTCATGGAGCTGTTCAGCAAGATGAGGAGCTCAAAGTTCGAGAACGTCCTGCAACTGGCGAGAAATCAGTTCTCGGGCAGGGGCTCCTTTGGGAACGGGGCCGCCATGCGGGTGGCTCCGGTAGCTCTGTTCTATGCGGGAAGTGAATCTGACATGGTTGAGGCGGTGAGAAAACAGGCAGAAGTCACACACAGTCACAAGCTGGGCATCAACGGTGCTATCCTGCAGGCACTGGCAATCCACCAGAGCCTCCACCTCAACCCCATGAAGCCCGTGGATACGCAGCACTTCGTGGAGGAACTCATCCGAAAGATGAAGCCCATAGAGAAGGACGAAGATGAGTGAGTTTGCTAATCTAAAATCTAGCATTTCCCGTGCTAATGTTTGTCCACGCCTCTCAGCATTGACGACGGCAACGCGGAGCCTTATCACAATCAGCTGAAGGAGATCATCAGCCTGCTGGCCAAGTCAGAGCCGTCAGATGACGTTGTACTCAATGGATTGGGCCACAGCGTGGCCGCACCCTATTCAGTTCCAACTGCCATCTACTGCTTCCTGCGCAGCCTCTCAGAAATCGAGACCATCGCCGTTGAGAATCCCTTCATGCGATGTCTAGAGTACTCAATTTCGCTGGGCGGTGACACGGACACCATCGCGAGCATGGCCTGCACCATCAGTGGCGCCTACTATGGCGAGTCAATCATCCCTCCGTCGCTCCTCAGGCACTGCGAGGCAGCGGAGCAGATCACGGCACTCGCGGATAGTCTCAACAAAGCCGTCCAAGAGTAGGCAGCGCTTCCAAAGTGCCTTCGCAATGACATCAGGTGCCACAGAGTGGATAATCGTGATCAATGGGTAAGTTTATGAAGATGCTCGTGTTGCTCCAGAGAATGGCAAATAAAAGGATTGTTTGAAAAGGATTGCGATAAGAAAATGTCTCAGATTTTTTTTCTCTATTGCTGTAGTGTTTTTATTTCTACGTCTCTTACAAGAAATCTATTACATGTATAATATTCTGTTTTGTTTTCTCACTTTTGGCAATTTATGCAAACACGATAACTCTAAAAATATCAAGAATTCAAACAATACGACGCAGTATGAAAAAAAAGAAACAAGAAGTAAATCCTGATTTTTTTTCCTTTATTACTGTTTTTTCATACACCCAGATTCGTTTTTTTTGCTTCTTTTCTTGTTCGAATATAAGACTGAAAGATGTGTTTTATATTGCTTCTTTTTGATTCTCTATAGTTGTTTGTCATCTTTAGTATTAAATATAATGTTATTCTTCCACTCTTTCTCTACTTGTTTACATGCATTATGTTTTTTTTTTTTGTTACTTTAAATGACTATTTAGGAAAAAGGACATTGATTTTCATCGCTTTGAAAAAATGAGCAAAATGTTTGTGCATATCTTTGCTTCGTCAATTTGATTGTTGGTTTCCACTTTTGGTTGCCTTGTTCTTCTTTTTTGCCTTAGTTAATTTGACAATTTAGTAAAAGCTAAACACACATTTTTTGTCTTTTTCGCAAATATATTGGCGCCTATGATTAAATTGCTTTTAAAACCTTTTAAGGGAGTTTGAAAGGAAGTGGTCCTATCTCGTGATGGGCAAGGATGCATTAATAGATTTTGGCGGAAATAAGGGGACGTTATGTGACACATTCACAAATATCTACTTCACTCGACTAGAGCTGCACAAAATTACACTATTTATACGGAGATGTTATTGTTGAGGTACAAAAGCGGTTTTTGAGGCTATGATAAAATGTTAATGCTAATACAGTGGTGATTTTTTTGCAGATCTTTCTTCTTGTCACACTTTTATCATATCTTCTGCTCTCTCTCTCTCTCTTTTTCTCTCTCTCGCATATTCTTCGCTAACAAAATGTGGCCACATGAAATTGTACAATGTATAAAAGGCACATCTCACACACGTTTCTATTTATTGAAAGGAAATCTCAAGCCGAAAACATTGTTAAAACAATATTGTACTGCATTCCTCAGAGGGCGGCGCGCCAAGAGTTTACTCGAAGACTGGGCATCCTGTGTAAAGGAAAATGATTTTGCCACTTGACCAGCCGCGCTCCCCGTCAGAAAAACTCGTCACCGTCTTTTTTTTGTTACTTTTATGTATAAGAAGAGGAAGAAGTTCTTTATCAGTTACACAATCGTACTCCTAAGGTATTATAGTAAATACAAGTGCTACACTTGCAAAACACTCCTATTGATGTTGTCTCTCTTTTTTTTTGTTTTTAGTCTGTGAATAACATACAGTGAGTAGAAATACCAGAGAATAGCCCAGAGAAAACAAGATAGAAGACAAACAAGTAGAATAAAAGGAAAAAATAACACAAAGGGTTAATGTTGTCTATATAAAAAAAAAACAATGCTGCAAGTTTTATTTCCACATTCTCGCTCTCATTCGCCTAAAAATATAATAATAATAATAATAAATTTGGAAGTAACACAAAATCTATGAAATAAATTGCAATAACTAATTCTCATTCGCAATAATGCTAGAAATACCACAATAGCAAAAAGATGGTATTTTTCTTTTGTATATTGAAACATGTAACTAAAAGTGACATAACATTAGATTAAAGCTATTAAATGAGATTACCAATGAAATTTGATAATTATTTTCCCACTTGATTTGTTAATTCTTCCCAAAATCTTTGTTTAACAAATATACATTGTTAAGAATTACCAAATTACACGAAAAAAGAATTAAAGAACCTAACATAAAAGCTAAAATCGTCTCAATAACCAAAAAAAAGCTTCATACCATTGTATTTTATTCACATGAAATGATGTCATTTTTAGAGAATTTTTATGAAAGAAAAACTAACTTACAAAACTACCTCCTCCCAGTGTTAGAAAAAGCGTTTTTTTTTGGGAAAAAACGTACAGTTACTAAAAAAGATTTTATCACCCAGAGTTACATTTCTTCAAAGTTATGTATATATTCTATCGTCTCTTGGAGCTACTTTACTCTCAAAATACGAGGTGGCCTAGTAGTTTATCATCATTGCGCTTAATAAACTGAAATTCACACGTGAGAAAGTGATTTAAAGTATAGGAAAGATCATTCTAGTGGTAGTTTCTCTTGAGGAAATTGCAAATTCTGTATAATCTACGTAATATATATGTCTAGTTTAACCTTAGATACTCATATAGAAAATGGCACATTTATACTTCAACTTAATTATCGGGTAGGATTCTTCTTCTCTATCATTTCACATTATATCTCAAGCACGGTTGTTAGAAAAAAGAAGACATTTTTTTCATGAAAAAAAAGAGGATGGCACTGGAAAACTACACCCTTGGTAAGAAACAAACAAATTCACTTTCCCGAAAGAAAACAGCTCAATGAAGGAAGGTTCTTTGAAGAGTTACTTTTTTGGTTTTTTTCTTCTTGTCACTTTAATGTCGTTCTCTTTGCGTTAAGTGTAAAATTGCAAAAATACTGAAGCCCTATGTTTAACCATTACTCCTCTAGTTAATGCCTAATTTAAGTTGTTCCTCTTCCCTCTCACTCACATAGATTTTAATTACCTTTTATGGAAAACACATAAAACAACAAATTTTACACATTTCTGACATTTACGAGATTACATGATTTTTTTTCACCACCTTCAACTTATGACTCATCATACTTTTGCATTTTAAATTGCATTCTCTTCCGCTCTTTTTCTCTTTATAAATGGAAATCAAGCGAATTTTTGAGACGCCAGCCAACACAGTTACTCTTGTTCTCAAAAAACCTTATCTTCCCTCTTCCATCGCCCAAATTTTACAAATACATCACCTATCATGCAACACACTGTAGTGAAAATTATACTCATACATATTCTTTTTACCATGATTTGCTTCTCAGAGACTTCATGCAAGAAATTTAGACGATTTTTATTTTTATACATTTAGTAGATTATAAGAATAATTTGATGGCAGGAGAAGAAAACAGACTTTGCATTGTTGTTCTTAGGTAATTTGCAAGTGTTCTTTTTTTCATTTTTTTTTCGGACAAACTTTTCTAGAGCTCCAACAGCATTACAATTTCTATATTCTGATTCTCTCTCTTTCTTTTTTTCGTTACTCTTCAAGTGTATGAAATATATATATATTTATATTGTTATTTCCTTTCTCTCTATTTCTTTTTCATTTGAAAATTTATTGCTCTTCACTGCTCTCAAAGTAATCTGAAGCATTACCACGACAAATGGGGCACGTTCGATTTGACTGGAGAAGAGAATTCAATTAGAATCAATTTCTGCTGCAATCAAGAGATGCGAAAATACTTACTCTCAGCCATTTGTCAACACATTTAGCATGGAATTCATGGGAACATGGCAGAACTCGGAGCATTTGACGTGCCTCAAAGTCACACATGCACACAACACACGATGTTTGGTCACCTATTCGAGGAAAGAGAGTAGAAAATAAAAGTCAATGAATTGCGCGCGTATATTACTTTACAGCGACACTTTAAGTCACTCTTTCGAGGAAGGAATTATTGCCCAAAACCGTTACGATGAGGGTACATTTTTAGATATTTCACGAAATCTTTTCCACAAACATACTTCTAAGGAATCTATAAACAAAATTTTAACTACAATACAACACACCACATGTTCAGTGTGCAGAGAAATTATTTTCCTATCAAAGTTTGAATGGCAAATATGAAAATGTTTTATCGAGAATTCGCTGTAATTTTCCTTCCTTCAGTATCTCTAAATGCAAATAATAATAAAGGCGATAGTAAAATTCCTCCACATGCCAATGTAATAAAATTCCACTTCACTGGGCATTAACTGAATGTGTTACGCTGAAAAATCCACACTCTTTTGATCGGTTTTGATAACGCCAAGTGCATTAGAAACTCCCCATAAAGCGCCCTCCAAACACCGCCCTTACCTGTGTGTGTCTCTGCATTGAATTTGTAACTGGGAAGTTGATCTATCTCTGGCCGCGCTAGGCCGCGTGGTTTCGCCTCGCCCAGGCGCTCTGCCAGACTAAGGAGCGCCTCGTAATTCTCCGTCTCGGGCGAATCCGGGGAATTCAACTCCGGCTGTCCATACGACGAGAGCGGGAACATGGCGAGGAAGTTGAGCAGAATGCCCGAATAGGCGGACGTGGCCTGCAGTGGCATGGCCGTCTGGTGGGAACCCAACGCCTGGTGCTGGATGGTGTGTCGATGAGCATGCGGATGCGACAGTGGCTGCGGTTGCCAGTGGAGGCGCGTATAGTTGCGCCGCGGTGGTGCTATTGAGCGCCTGGCAGTCCGATGGAGCAGCTCAATCTGCTGGTGTGACCGGTTCTCTGTGGAGATGAAAATTGGCGGCGGCGGCGACACCTGAGCCATCTGCGACGAGGAATGTATGTGGTGGGCCGCAGCCAAGGGAGTCACATGCATCTGAGTCTGATGATCCATCGGATCCAAAGTGATTCCATCCGGTCGCTTATGTAACAAGAGAAAAGCAAACAATTGATATCAGGCCGAGAGGCGAATTCGAGTGCTTTTTCAGGTCGTGTTCATTGTGTGCAGAAAACTGATTCTTTGACGGCATTTCAAAAGCATTTTTGTTCTCTTTCCAATGATTATATGTTGTTAAGAACACCTGATTGACCCATCCTGTGTGGAATTCGGTAAAAAAAAGAGGCACAATGAATACGAACCAGAAACGCGCAATATCGCCCAAAAATTAAAGAGGCGAGAAGTGATAAACAGAGATTTGATAATATTTGAAGAAGATAGAGGCGTTACACAATAATGTAGTAATAATTTGAGATGTCTATAGTTAATTTTACGAGCGCGATAAAACGCGCTGGAATCGTAAAACCACGGAATTATCTCAGTGAGATACGAACAACTATTTGTGGTCAATTGAAAAGTAATAGCGACCAAAGCGAACGATTACGTTATCTAATATGAAACTCTCCCACAGACTCTCTTGAGTCTTTGGGTGGTATTTTCGCACTCACTTGCTGTGGAATATGCGGATGCTGATAGTGAGGCTGCTGAGGCACGGCCATGGGAGCCGCGGTGGAGGCGAAGCCGCCGAAATGGTGATGGTGATGATGATGATGGTTGCCGATCCCGCAGGACTGGGCGAAGGGCGGCGGCGGTGGAGAGTACATGCATTGGGGAATGTGAGGCGGCGGTGAGCACACAGAGATGTGGGGCGTCGTCGAGTAGGTCCACAGCGGCTCATGGCGCAGCGGCAAGCTCACGGGCACTTGATTGATGTCCACCATGAGGGGCGGTGGCTGATGTTGGGGTGACGGTGCCTGTTGAAAGATCGATGGCAGAGAATCCCAAGCACGCTGCTGATCCCGCATGCGTGCCCTCCGAATCGGCGGTGAACCCTGCTGGCCCATTTGTGACTGCTGCTGACTCCTCGGCGACCGGTGGTGTTCCCACACCGCCGGCGGCGACTGCGATGGCATCCGAGAGACGCGCCTCCGCTTCCTCGACGGACTGTCAGACTTGATGTTGTTGTCCGGACAGTAGGAGTTCTGATGCTGGTTTTGGTAGTGATGATGAGGACTTATGCGATCACGATTTGGATTTCTGGACATCGCTCCGCCGCCTCCACCGGCCCCACCGTCCGACCGAGCATCGATATGTAGGTCTCCACTTCGGGAACTCTGCTGATCATAGTGATTCTGCAAAAGACATCGCAGAAATGGGAATACCGTAAAGCCCAGCATAAAGTCATTAATTTCCAGTCACTCCTTACCGAATGCCGCTGGTGATCCAGTGACGCGGCTCCCATTGTATGCCGTCGATCAGACATTCCCATGCGTCTATCCGATTGACTAGGTCCAGCACTGCACAAGCAATAATGATAAAACATGTGTACATTATTACTATTTCAATCTCCTCGGTAATTTTCAATTCTTTCTCACTATGCACATAATTCTCTCGTGCTTTATAAGACCCTTCTTGTGCCATTTGTTACTTTTTAATGTCGTTAATAGCCATCCAAGCTCCGCAGAAATCATTAAGACAAAGAGAACGCATCAGCGATAACTTACATTTCCAATTCACTACTGTTGCTCATATTAAACATTAAAATTACTTTAACCACCAATCAAATTTGTTGAGAAACTATCAAATAATCCCAGTGAAAATGCTCTCGGTAGAGCATTTGGATGAAAACCAAGCCAAACTACGCTGCACAATGCACATTTTTCACAGGGGTTGAGACTTGAGAAAGAGCCGCACAGTTTGAGAAATGCACCCAGGGAACTAAGTGAGGCCGATGTGAAGAAAACTTTTGTGAGACCTCTTGAGGACTAAGGAGTCACTCACACACAGTCATCGAGGAATTCAACACCGACGTGTAGAATGAAGTGGAGGATCGAATTTTTTCGAGGGTGAAAAGGTGCCTTTTCCAAAGGCAAATCGCAAAGAGAGCTGAACATTAATGTGCAGACATGTGTAGATTTTTCTCAACTCCGTCATCTTTCTCTCTTCCTCCTATGTAATCTCGAAAATGTATTGCAATAAATAACTAAAATTGAAAATGGTCGCCGATGCCGAGAGCAGGTACATTTAGTCCTTTTTATAATGTGGATATTTCAGACTTTCCACAGGGTGAGCCGAAAAAGTAATGCCGCAATATAAGTTTGTAGTTAATTTCTTTCCTTGAGAATAAAATCTTGAATATACAAAATTTAAGTGCATCTTTCTTTCCAACAGTTTAACAAATAAATGGGAAAATAGAAGAAGTTATGGAAATAGGCAAGGCATGTTGGTGGGCGGAATTTCATAACTCCTCTTCATAAAGTCATGGTTTCCTCCTAACACAAAAAAAACCATCGAGTGCGCAAAAATAATTATATTTTGCTTGACTATAGTTATAACAGTTCAGTTTATGGGGGATTTTTTTTTGCAAAATTATTTCCGTAAAATGGCATTAAATGAAATATCTCGTATTTCGTCCGTTTCAATCACAATAAAATATTAAATATTTTCCTGTACATTTAATTGCTGAATTTTGGCAAAGTGCATACTTTTAAAGGAGATATACTATCAAAGGCCCAACAGCTTTAATTCAATGCATTTCCACAACGTATTTCCTACGCAGAGTCAGTGAGAATTCTTCTGTCGACTGCCATTGGAAGTCCTCTCACGAAATCCTACACGATTTCACTTTGACTGCCGCTGAGCAGCGAACAAAGAACGGGGAAAATGATCCAGTGTGGCCAGTGGCGAGCCACTCGGCATAAATATCTCACCCGTGATTGTAGCACGGCTCCATGTCTTTGTACCACTGGCCATGACTATGGTTGCGTTGCGAGTGGGGGTGGGAAGAGAATGGTATTCTGGAGCGATTTCGAGGAGCAGCTCCGCGCGAGTACGGGCGCCTGGACGATCCTGTGTGGTTGGAATTCATCTTAAGCTCCCTGTTCGCCAACGTCTTGTTGTTCGTCTGTTAAACCCGCCGCTTAGATGGCTAGACAGAGAGAGAAAGAGAAAGAGGTAAAAAAAAATTGCGTAAGTCAATTGTTAGGACAGGTTGCAAAAATTCAATCTATTCTGCTCTTGATAGGTGCACATTAACATCAAAATACACAAATGATACACTCCGTTGTTACTCATTCAGCACGCAATTCAGTGTTTTGCCCCAAGTGAAAGTATATCTCTCACTGATTTGGCGCCACGACCAATACAACTGACTTTTTTCCCCTTGGATTTCACATTTTGCACATTAATATTACGGAGATGTTGCAGAAATTTCATGGGACACATCAGCTCCTCATTCGGGGAAATATCACTACACATTTTCATATATAAAATAGATCACAATCATCCTTCCTCAGCGCTGCTCTCTCACATGACGAAAAGAGTCTCACCATGGGGCTAAACAGATCAACTCCACGGTCTGTTGTCTGCACTCGAAAAAAATACAGTATATACTTCTCTCCTTGGGAAATCACGATAGTGGCTGTATTTTACCAACGGATCGCATAATTCCAACTTTTTGCCCGTCTCTCTCACATCCAATTCGCCTCTCTCTGTGTTCTTTGACTCGTGTCTTAAGGTTGTCTCGCATTTTTTCGTCTTCATTTTGCGTCATTAAAGTATCACAAGACAAAAAAGCCACACAACAACACACAATTCAAGACCTGATGAATATTTTCCACTGAATTTTCAATGCGAAAAAATATCATATAAATTTAACAATGCTCTCTTGGCACTGTGGCAAAATTGAGGATTTTTATAGCACATTTGCCGCAGTTTTTCGTCGTTCACTCCAAACACCTAAGGTAGGATCTTTTGTTATGCTCTGGGAACACATATTAGAAGGTAAGGCGATGGGTATTTGCACAAAACATCACGAAAGTGAATTACCCGCTCGCAATGAACAATAAATATTTGGTGAATTTAGCGAGAAGTTAAATAGCAAACTAGACTCAAAAAGTAGAGGAAAATATCCGCAAAATTAAGAGTAATAAAAATATGTGGCAAATATTGTGCTTCTGCGAAGTAGAGAAAATTGAGTAATATATTTTTACGAAATATGTATAAAGTTCTTGGAAGTATAACATTATACAATATATACAATAGAGCAGAAATTGCACTGAAACTTCGTGGAGTAATATTTGGGGAAGTTTTTTTTTTCTCTTCACTTTAGACTCCATTGAGGCCCACATAAGTTGATCATTTCATCATTAACAATTACTTCTCTATCTGAGCTTCGCCGAGAGTGAGATTTCAAGGTTGTTATGTGGAAGTCGCTTTCATCTACGATTGCAAACATTGCTGGGGAATTCAGCAAACTAAGCATAGCTGTTAGTACAGTTATTCTAACAGATCATCCTTCTTTCCAGTACGATCGTAAGCAAGGTTTTCTTAATTCAAAATATTAAATAAATTACAAAATTCAACGTAGACGCTTTTCAACTCTTCCAATGAAATTGTATGTGATTTTTGAATTCATAATCACGTTTTATGTTAATCATTACTTAGAGTAAAGAATAAGAAACGTACTGGTTTAGGCAAGTTTTACAAAAAAAAATCTTTTAATCAAATTATGAATCATAATTGAAGGGTTTTTTTTTCATTGATTTCTCGTAGATCAATCTTGATGAAAGGCGTAATTATGAACTCGATCAAAGTTATTATAATCACTCTGATGTACCCTTGGAAGCTCAATTTTCCGACAAAACTTCCACGTGATTCCCCAAATCCGCAGCAGTTGTCGGAAAACAAACAAATGTATTGATTTGCAATAATACTGAAATGCTACAGAGAAAGGATCGCAATCAGTAGATAAACATGTCAGATATCCTGACCCTGGACTCCCCTTCAGACTTTCGTGAAACTCTTGAAATACCCAACATCTCGAACCATTGTTTACATATTGCTGTAAATTCGTGCTCCTCGCCAAGTTCCGTGCCAATTGCTTTCTCGCGAAATGGCCAGAGCCAAAAAGCACCCAAATCGAGTGTCTCGGCGAGAAATTTCTCGAAAATAAGTGGGCTGCTGGTACTTTCTCGCCACGCAGGTGGGCATTGGGGAGCAGCGAGGCTGGAAAGGCAGAGTCTCCCGGAAGTCCACTCCACTTTTGGGTGGGTTTTCTCGCGCGGGGAAGTGGGCTTCGGCGATCGATAGCGAGGCAGCTCTGACTCGTCAGACTGTGGAGTCATCGGGCAAAAACAGCTGAGATTTCTGTGGGGAATTTTTTCGCCTCTCTGCCCCAACCAGGGTCGCCATTTTCTCACAGCTCTCAGCGGATGAGCTGGGTTTTCGTCATCCGCTGGCTTGTGTGGGTGCGCGGCGAGGGGCAGGGCAGCTCGTGCCCATGCATGGCAGAAGAGTAAAATCGAAATTGTCGCTATATTGATCCATTTTCGCTGTACCGATGTGAAATCACTTTCTTTGGACGCCTCGCTTGAAATAAACATCAAACCCCACCCCATTTTTTGCACACAGCGCCATTGCTCGTGGGCCTCCGGGGGCGCTTCCGGGCCAGGGCGGCGCCTCTGCGAGGCCCCTGTCCCGCGTGGCACTCCCACGGGGGCCACGGCATTGTTTTATGGGTGATTCTGCGAGAAACAGAGGCAGTTTTCCCGTGGCAGCTGGTGAGACTCTGGCCACTCGAGCCCACACAATCACTCACACATTCTCGCCGCCACACTACTTACGTATCGCAACACACACGCTTTATGCAATACGACTCGCACACACTCGTATTTGCACTTTTATTGATCGCTGATGAGATGTGTACTAATTTCCAATCAATTTTCACGCATTTCACTACCGTTCAACATCAAATCAGTACCACAAACCTCTCTAGAAATCACTCTCGAACATTTTTCCACACTTTTCAGCGCGCACTACGACAGTTTATCAAGTGAAAAGGCCCTCAGTTGTGAACCACCTCAGCCTTTGTGTTTTTCTTCAAGAGCGCCAGGGGGACATTGTAGCACTTCCCCATACAATCCGTAGTGAAACCCTCCAATTGTCGTCGCTCTGACAATCACTTGGACGAAAGTGGGCAAAATTTCGTGAAATTTCCCCTGTTATGAAATATAATGCGAAATGCGAAAGGCATGAGAAAAGAGGCAAAAAGTTTTCGTGGAAAACTTGGCTTTGGCCATTGCAGACCGCTCACAATAATAGGAATTTAGCTGAGACTTCTGTCGAGACTTATGGTCCCATTAAATTCTTGTCTTTTTAGCAGAATTATTTCTGATACTTAGGCAATTTGGGCATGAGCACAGCTTAAATGGTCACTTCTGGGGTTCTTAATCTGTGTCATTATATTCAATTCTCAACATGATTTGGAAATGACAAGACATTGATTGGGAGATAAGTGGAATTTTGGAAATTCCAACATGCAAAATTTCGAGAAATTCAAGAAATTTCTGAACTCACCACTTCAGGGGTCGCTGCGGTCAACTGGACGAAGACTGAGCGTACTTGTCGAAAGTCGCTCAATTTGCTGCGGAGAAAAAGACCGAGGACGGCCGCTTGTTCGTCAGTCAAACGGAAATAGCCGCAAGAGAAGGTTGACGTGGAGTGCAGAAGCGAAGAAGTTTGTTGGAAGTTGGAGCAGAGAGAAAAGAGGATAAAAAGTGGCTATAATTGGAGAACACCTAGCATAAGTCGTAGTGTGTGGAAGAAGTTATCTTTGCAATAGAAGCAGGCAAAGAGAAATTCTTTGCAAACGGGCAGCCATTGGCGAGAATTTGATGGTTACTAATTGTGATTCTATAATTAATAATTGATCGAGTTTTCCGTCTTGTGCTAAAATTCAGTGATCAGAGGACATTAATTGGCGAACATACGGCAGAGAGGGTAGCTGAAAATCCATTTGTGCAGAAGTAAAACGCAATTTATTGATTGTTCTTTGTTTGCGACGGAGCGGCCATCTTGTTTTCATCTGTGAGAAATTTAGTTTTTTGTTACAAACCACTGTGACGTAGTGTGATACGCAAAAGACTTCAGCCATCGCGTCAAGTCTTTTCGCTCGCAAGTAGCGTTTCAGTGAAGTTAGTGATTTTTCCTGGACTTGGACAATAGTGAAAATCGGCAGCATTTTCTTCATATACTCAAAATTTCTCTTTTACCCCCACCCGTGACGACACAGAATCGTAGTAGAGTTTCCCGCCGCTGCGTTGCGCTGTTCGATGCAGAAAATCTCAAACGAGAGAGAGAGTGCGTATGAAAGAGACATTAGATGTGGTGCTGTTTTATATAAGCACAGGTCAGAGCGAGAGAGCAACAGTGTCGATGGTGGAAGGAGACAACACTCACCACTAGCCGAGAGGAGTTGCTTGATGTCGAGAAGAGAGACAAGGACACCCAGAACAGTAGCGTGCATTATGCTAAGATGGTGTTTTGATAGTGAAACGAGTATTCACAAAGGTACGCAATGTTTAAAATATTTCCCTCATTCCTCGTGCAGTTCCCTTGGGAGGTCAACGTTTTAATTAAAAAAGTTTTTTGCCAAGCTCTGAGAGTCCCTTCCTTTTCTTAGCCGTCGCGTATGTAATCAGAAGACTATCATTTCTTATACAAATGACTAATTTGTGTGAGTCAGCAGTAATTTCAATACATTCAGCAACAGCGAATAGTGTGTAAATTCAAGTATAAAATAGAACAAGCCTATAAATAGTTTTGTTTTCACATGTGCCTTCCGGGAATTTGTGGATGTTCCAAAAACACCGAAAATTCGTGTATTTTTCAGGATTTGTTCTCTTAATTTTTTTCAGACCTGTGTCACCGATTGAAGTATACTGTGAACAATATCTTCAATAATCAACGGAGGTGTTTTGTTCTGTGATAAATCATTTGGTAACGTAGCACTGTCACGAGGACAGTGACAGCACTTATCACAAAAAGTCATTGCATAAGGATAAAATTGTGTGATTGCGGCAGAGCAAAGGACATCACCACAGCAAACGTACACATATTGCATTTTTACTCGTGTAACCACATATTTACTACCCAAGAGGAGAGAGGATAGTGATTAAGGGAGCTACGCAAACATTTACATGTTCACGTGCGGCAATTCCAATTATTCATTGAGCGAATTGCCGTGTTGACATTGCCTCGAGAAGGAAAGACTACAGACAAGAAGAGTACAAAGCGCAGACAAGAGATTCAGGATGACAAATTCGCAGAACAGGCCCAGCAGTGGTGGCAATCGCTACAGTGGCGGCGGTCAGTTCAGTCCGTCGCAGCAGCATCAGCACACGAAGGCGCCCCAGGGTCACGGGGGCAGTGCCTCCGCGATGACGCCTGGCCAGAGCAAGGGTGGCGCGAGCGGGCGGAAGCCCAGGAGCCAGAGATCACCGAGCGGAACCACCTACTTTGCGAGTCAGTCCACGCTCTTCTTCACGCCCGTGAAGCCCAAGAATCCGAGCAGTCAGCCAGTGACACCGATGGGGGCGCAGATGAGCTCGTCGCCGCCAAACTTGTCGCATTTTGCCGGCAGCAAGTGCTACGAGGCGCCGGCCCCGACGGCTCTTCCCCGGCCCCCAGACCACTGGAAGGTGCCCCCGGCCAAGGGGTTGCCGCGCAAGGTGACCACGATCGCGACGTCGCCCAGCAAGAGCTGCGGCGGCGTGTTGAGCGACGCCAAGAGCGACATTTTCTCGCACAACCTAAAGATGCTGCTCAATATAAAGGCCTAAAGGACAAATTCATCAAGCTGTGGACATGGATAGTTGTAAGACGTGAGCTTAGATTGTAAGAATGGACTGGTGAGATAGAGAGAGAAAGAGAGAAAAGAGCCAAGATACGACAAGTGCAGCCGTTTGACAAAGTAATTCTTCTTTTATTTCTGTTCCATACAACATACAAAATATTTCTATCTTATATAAAATGTAAATGATATAATTTTTAATTTTTAGTAAGTGTTTACCATTCAAGCGACGCATGGAGATGTGTTTTTAAATTTTTCACGATGGTATTTCGAGGAATGATTGGACTCTGTGCTCAGTGAGACTTGGACCAATTAGTTGTGTCAATGCCGCAGGGAATACTATTGTAAATAAATTTGAAGGGCATATCCAGTAAGGGTTAAATTTCACAACAGAGAAGTATTGGAGAGTAGATGAATTGGAGGCAATTTTTATCCATACTGATTTGAGTGCTTTTTTTACATACACACATTATGCAAAATTCGAGAGAAAAAAAAATCATGTTTGTAAATCACTGAAGTAACTCAATAAGTTTATATTATCTTTTTGACTTTTTCTCTATTGTAGATCATTTTATTTGTTTAACACAAATTGTGTCATCTTCATAGAGGGCAAATTTCTGGAGTAAAAAAATGATACAACTTTGTAATTGAAATGATGTTAGACGATTTTTATAAATGTAGAATGAAGAAAAGATTGCAAAATAACAACACAAACACTATTTTTCTTGTCATTTTAAGAGAAATACTTCACACCAGTGTGCTTTTTAAACAATGGAACATCTTCGACAAACCATATTAGTGTTTCGTGCAGACTTTACTCAATGATTGTTTCTGATCCACCTCATTTGACGATAAAGAAAAAAATAATGTCAGTATTTGAAGATATGAACTTTTATAGTGATGGGAGTGTCTGATATAATACAACTGGTTGATCCTGTGATAACTGTATTACTTAATAAGGACGACTTGTAACTTTACACACATAAAGTTTGGCTGATGGTATTGATAGCAAAAAGGAAAGGAAAAAAAAACCTGACAAAGATCAATGAGGAAGTCTGAGCCTCTATTTGGTGCATATGAAATCAAATGGACTAATTCCTCTTATGACCATTTAAGTTTCCCACTCTGTGAAGTTTTAGGCCATTTTTCATAGTTGTAAAGCGAAAATATGAAATCCGTAGGTAAACTAAAACCAACAAGGACGTTTTGTAGCATCACGCGCTTGATGGATTGCCTGCAAAAAGAGGGCAATTTGGATATTTGGCGTGTTGTTGCAAAATATCCTTGCAGAGGTGCATAAATAATTGCATTTATAATGATATGCATGAATGTAGATTTTCACACAATTGGACAATTTCTCAATCATCACTGCGCGTGAGTAGCAGTTTAACACTTCTTTTCAACATTCCAATGCCTAAAAATGTATCTTCTTATAGTATTTGTACAATGATTTTCAACCATTTACTGAATTCTGTTGTCCTGAAACTATGAAACACTAATACGCATTCTCGAAGGAGTTAATCTCTGTAATATTTTACTTTAAAATCAAAATTTCTCGTGTTTTTCTTTTTTCAATAGATTTTATAGGCAAATAGAAATTGAATGTCATTTATAGGTAAAAATAAAAGTATCACACAACCGCCCAGAATTAAAGTCATGGTGTGACCAATTCTATTGGATAAAAATTTGTGAATTCGAAGAAAGTCAAACTTTAAAAAGAATCCTTGGAGGAGAAGGCATGACGTGTAATGGTTAAAAAAAATTATTTTAAAGAAGTAAAAATAAAACCAAGTACAAAGATAGAAAAATAAAATGATGGTAAGTGAAAAAATTGAGGATGAATTTAAGGAAAAATAAAAGAATTGGAGGTGTGAAGCCCACTCGATTTCAATAAATGTAATTAAATGGATTAAGAAGTGAAAAATTACAAAATAGTGAAGTAGGGGACAAAATAATGTTGCCATCGAGAAACTACTGACATTCTTCGCCAAAAAATTCAATTTAAACGTATTAAGGGTGAACAAGATGAATACACAGAAGTGGAAAATTTAATGTTTGCTTCAAATACCATTTTTTGATGAGAATATTAAATCTGAAAGGTAAACAAATTGGCTTGTTAAGAATATAAGGTTTTATTTTTGATGAATTATGATTTCAGAGAGCCACAGGTAAATTCAAATTTCAATATAATCGCGTATTTTTTCAGCTGAGTTTTGTCTTCTAAATAAATTGTAGAGTAAATATTTCTTTTTATTTTTTAAATCAAAAATTAGTCTTTTTCAAATATAGAACGTGTTTCAATACAACGTAGAGAATTTTGTGGAGAAATGATGAGGAAATTTGATGATAAGTTTGAATTTACTTCTGGCCTTAACAGTGACGAGTATAAGAGGTGTAAAAACCCTTAGTAAACCCTAAAGATAGTTTTACAAGAGTGAAGGATAATTTCAAAATAGTTTTTAAGGATAATAAGGTGATATGAAAAGAAATTACAATGTAAAAGGAAGAATTTTTATTTTATATGTCTTCCACGAGAACATTTTGTCAACTTTTCTAATGAAATGAGGAAGACAGATAAAGAAAGAAAGAGACAAGATAGGAAATAATGTTGAATGGATGACATCAATCAGAGAGAGATGAAATTTGGAGGAGAAAATAACTTGTGCAACATCGAATTATGATGAATTTACGATACTTTTTGCTACAGAGATAACAGTAGAATAAGTGATGAAAATAAGGAGAGGCAGATAATTGAAAATTATTCAATTACACTTTCCAACATTTTCGTAAATTCACGCAATTGTAGAAGTGATTGATGGATAAAAAGAAATAACTGTAGAAGAAGAAAGAAGAGCATAATGCGGCGAAGAAGATGAAGGAGAGAAGAAAGTAAAGAGAAGATTTTACTATGAACATAAAATACATTTCAAATGGTGTTTTAAATGTGATTTGAAATCCGTGTAAAATTTAATAATATGCAAAAACAGAAAAATGGTAATGTAAGAAAAATCCGTGTATATCTCTAAAAATAGAAATTCTCAACCAAAAATTACTGTAGAAACTGTACATTTACTAAAAAGTGAAAAAGAGGAACATAACCGAAAAATTGCAATAGTTCAAATTTACTTTCTTCATCGATGTAGAAAAAAAAAACATGACTTTTTCTTAAATGATATGCAATGTATTTTTGTTTATTTTGTTGTGCTCATCAAGTTGTTTCCCATTTTTATTTTCAAGAGATATTTTTTATTATATACTTATGTATAATCAAAGATTGAATTTTGCAGTATGACGAAGAAAATGATGCCAATGAGTTAATCATATACGGTCTCTAAATATTAATCCACACCAATAGTATTTTCTTTAAATTATATTTTCCACTGACAAAAAATGTAAACGATGAGCGTCAATTATGGTTGAATTTTTCTGGACTATCATAACATATAATGGAAATTTTACATCAATTCACAAGAAGCAGATTAAGAAAAAAAACTATAGAGATTAAATAAATGTGAAGCAACAAGCATAAATGATTGAGAAATGTGATTTCAAAAAAATTGAAAAAGAGATGATTTTCAATGAGAAAACAAAAGATTACAGAAATAAGTTTAAGAAAAGATGCATATTTACTTTCATAAAAGACAAGAAAAAATGGAACAAAAAAAAAAGAAAAAACACCCTCAACAATCACACCCCTTCCCTTATCCCGACAATCCCTTCCATTCCCACGGGATCTGAACGATCCCCACAAGACTAGTTAAAGAATTGACAATGAAACCTTACCAAAGAATGTCCCTTCGGGGACGGACAACGCGTGACGAGGATCGGCGGCTATTCCGGCCAAGAAGTGCCACGAGAAGAGAGCATCAAAAGAGCAGCAATGGCGTTGAAATAAATGAGAAATCATCATCTTTCCACCAATGGAGAGATTTCGTGTAGTGTTTATTGGTTCTTTTTCTCTCTTCAGCTTTCATCGCGAAGTTTTCTGCTCTTCTTTTGAAAAGATGCGACGAAATAGGAAGAGCAATAAGAAGCCAGTGGAAAGTCGACTTCTCTTCATATTTGCGAGATAAAAGGTGCGGCGGAATTCAGCTATTCCAATGAATTTCGGTGATTGAATAAAGAGATTTCTTCTTGTTTTCTTCTGATCGTTTCTTTATCAACCAAAGAACTCAAACCTGCTTCAGTTTAAAGACTATACAATCAAGTGAAATAAAGACAGATCAAATTAATAAGAAATGGCATTTTTCATCGGATTGATTTCATCACTTTTATTGTTCCATAATTTGAACTTTCTCATTTAAACTTTTTTGCACCTTCTTGTCTATGGAATTGGAGTTTAGCTGCGAATATTAAATACAAGCCTCTGTTTAATCTCGATCTTTGCAAATAGAGCATTTCACTTTGCGAGTCCGTTTGGCTTCTGCCGAGCAGCGTTTGGAATGGATCAATATTTGTTGTTTTCTATTTTCAACGGGTATTTTTCCAAGCGAACAGGTTATTCACACATAAGCGATTGACTCGAATGACCTGCAGACAGAATAGCTAAGTTTTCTTTGTGTCATTTGAAAATCAAGTGTGATTTGATGACCTTTGCAAGAACCACCAGTAAAAGTGGCCCAGAATGAACAGCAAATATTTTGACATCTCTTATTCAAAACCTTAGCTGTGGAATTGCGTCTGAAAATTAATCAGGATTTTCCATTGAGGCACATTGGAAATGCAAATGCCGCTGTATTCAATACTCACTTCTTTGGCTCTCCATTACCATCCAAATGGCTGAATCAAGTCGATAAATATTCAAGCGGCGGCTCTGAGTCACGTGCCCAAAAGTAATGACTGGCGAAATGCCCCCAACATTGGCGAAAGAGTGGATCGAAAGCCAATCGGCCCACAAATGAAGCATAAGTCTATTGGGGAGCTTCTTGCATAACAATCCATCATTTGCATCACTCTCGCGTATGATTGTGATCGGATTTCACTGAGAATTGTTCTGTTTTCATGTGAAGTCAAACGAGTCTCCGCTTGTCACTCACCCGGAAGCATTTATTGTGGGTTTCAGCGCATGAAACTCAACGAAATTCCTGTTAATTGTTTTATTCTGTGTAAAACGCAAGACAAGATGTTACTTTTCCAAGAGACAATTATAAGTGGTGTGGATCTATGCGAAGAAATGGTGTGTATTCACGTGGAAAGAAGCGCATGAGAAGCTATTCTGCGGATGAGTTACATCATGGGTCGCCCCATTCCTCTGCCCATCGGCATTCCGCCCGCCTGAGGCGCCTCCGCCTGAGATTTGGGACTCTTGATCGTCTCGTCCACGGACAGGATCATCGTGGCAGCCTCGCAGGCCGCCGTCAGGGCGTTCACCTTCACAATCGACGGCTCCCACACGCAAGCCTCGAAATTGTCCGCAATGTGTTCCTTCATGATGTCCACGCCATACCAGCAATGACCTGCAATAGTGGAAAAAAAGGAGTCACGACGAATCTCAGCGATTTCTCTTAATCTACAACTGTATCAAATTTATGCATATTCCGTGTGGTTTGTTTATTTATTCCTACACAGAATGGAGAATATCAATTGAAACCATTTTGCAGATTAACTATAAATTCCACACTATCTGTGGAGATTAAATTGCAACTATTCATTGTTTATTGATGAGAATAGGATTTTGCTAACGAATGAAAAATAAATAATAATAATTTATTTCTCACTCATGCACTCCGTCAACTACAAAGTTCATAACTTACAATTTCAGTTTGTGGGTATAAATATAAACAGTTTTGTACAATTTTTGGTTATGAATACAATAATTGTCTGAGAGAGCTCAGGTCTCATAGAGTTTGTCCACAGCTTGTTGACGGAGGAAGGGGATTACCCGATCTTGGTTCACAGAGGAACGCGTATCGATCGTGGGGGCTCAAAAACTAATATTTTCATAGGAGATTATAAACGGGAGAACAAGTAAACTAATTTATTATATTATATATAAGTCCAGGGCTCACAGAGCACCTGAATGGGGAGGACACAAAAACCAGAGATTAGGCGAGTGATTGGAAAAACGAATCAGTGGGCTGAATCATTTCACACTACACTTTGGATAACAATATAGGCCAAAATTGGGGGTGATTTAAAATAAATAGCACTAAAAATTTTAATAATTGAATTAAATTTGATATTTCTTTGATGTCCTGTTTTTTCATACCTTGAGCGTGTTTCTGGCGCAACTTGTTAAGAATGTTCGTGGCATCAAAGCCAGCATTGTCGCACAATTGCCTGGGAATCACTTCCAATGCCTTCGCAATAGCTCCGATAAGGAGCTGCTCCTTTCCAGCGATGGTGCGCGAATAGTCTCTCAGCATCTTCGACAGCTCCATCTCAATAGCACCTCCGCCTGTCGAAAAACCGAGAATAGTTTCCTTCCTTTCCTGCAGATAATCATTGATTAGTGTTTTCTAACTCACCAGCCACGACAGCGTCATTCTTGATGGTACGCCTGACGATCATAATAGCGTCATGGAGGGATCTCTCGGTTTCCTCCAGAAACTGCTCAGCTCCTCCTCTGAGAATCAACGTGCAAGTCCTTGCGTTGGGACAACCCTGGAACAGATTGAAGCGCTCACCACCAATCTGACGCTCCTCAAAGTGATCGCACGTGCCCAGATTGGCTCCAGTCAAGTCCTGGACTGTAGACAAGACAGCTCCACCGCATGCCTTCATCGTACGACGAAGATCCTCGTCGGGAACGCGTCCTGCACAGAACATATCCCGATCTGCGAAATACTGCGTGGCCACGTCGCCAATAGGTAACTTTGAGAGCACCACATTGGCTCCGGAGGCGTGAATTTTAGCCAGTTTGTCGTACAGGATCTGCCACTCGGCATCCACGATCTTCTGGTACTCCTGGACGTTATCCACGCGAATCTCAGCATTTGTGCGCTCTGCCTTCAGCTCGAGCTCAATGTTCAGCAGAGCTATCTTGCAGTTCTTGTACGATTTGGGCTGCATCTCGAAGCCGGCGTACGAGAAAGTCTTTTTGAAGGCCACACCAGCCACCAGCAGTGAATCCTCTAGCGCCCCTCCAGACACCTTTTTGATGCCAATCATGTCCAACGGGAGTAGCTCATCCAGCTGCAGGACAGCGTCCACCACCATGTTGGAGAAGAAATCCTTCTGCTGGTGGATCAACTTGGAGCTCATCGCTGTGGCGGCGCACTTGGTCAACAAGGCGCGATGCTCAACTTCGTTGCTCTTCTCAATCTTCACTGCCAACTCCCCGATCTTGTCCACGCACAGCTGCAATGCCTTCCTCACCGCCTTGATGATGATGCGCGGGTGGACGCCCTCCTCCACGAAGGGCTTCACCTGCTTCAGGAACTCTCCCGCCAGGAGAACCACACTCGTGGTTCCGTCTCCCACCTCGGCATCCTGAGACTTGGCGATGTCCACTAGCGTGCGTGCGGCCGGGTGCACAATGTCCAGGAGCTTCATGATGGTGGCTCCATCATTGGAAATGGTCGCTTTTCCCCCGTTCACGATCAGCTTGTCCATCCCACGAGGACCCAGTGTCGTGCGGACGGCGTCCACGACTGCCTGGCAGGCATTGATGTTGGAGATCAGTTGAGGCTTTCCCTGAGACGTATCAGTGCCCTCCTTCAGCAGAACAATCTGAGGTTGCTGAAAGATGAAGGAAGTGCTTTGAGTACATGAAGGTCCAGAATGTTCCACCAAATGAGGTTATGTTAGTCCGGATCTCTCCAGTCAGACAAAAACACGATATTCATTCAATTATCTACTTCAAATATAAATTTTCGCAATAAATATTGAGCTGAAATGCCCATTTTCATGTTAATTCCTCCAGGAATTGGAAGAATTTGGAGAAAAACAGAGAGCACATGATTTCCGCTCAATCGGCATTTTATTACACCGTGTTTCGAGGCAAAAACACTATTTTCCCGACAAATTCTACCCTCACAGGTTTCCTTGCTCATGGATCTTACCATGTTGTATGAAAATACTCTGTTAATTACTGGGAAAAAGGAGTAATTCGTGAAAAACTACACAGGAGGTCTCGTGAAGAAAAGCGAACTGCACTTTGTTTTACAAGCACGCCCCTCTCCTCTTTTTTTGACGAAAGAGCGATTTTTCGCTATTTCAACTGGGCGACTTTTTGAACGCAGACAGATTTTCAACAGACACACTTTTCGTTTTATTGACTTCTTTTCTCAAAAAGAATAATGCAGTACAATAAATTATTATAAAATAAGCAATATTGAGATGTAATGATTCGAAACTTGCACAATCTAGGGATCTTCTTCAGAATTATTCGTCTTGTTGGCCACATTTTCGTCTTCCCATTTTTGCTGACGAGGTCTAATAAGCATCTTTGAAGACTTCAGAGAGTAATTTCCCAACCAATGTTCCCAGAGGATGCCCGTAAACTTTCCAATCCTCGGATCCTTAAAGTACTTTCCATTGAGATTAGATTCTCCGCAGCCACGAAACCACCAACCGCTTCCAAATGACAGAGCGCAGGGAATAAGATTTGCATTGCTCTTGTCATTATCCCTGTCGTAAGTGCTGAAATACTGAAGATTGTGATATAGAAGGGAGTCTGGGACAATTCCACGGTAAGCATTGATCTCCAAGCGATAGAGTGAATCCTCAGGGCCCACGTAAAATGTTTGATATTCTGCCCAAACGAAATTACCGTCGAAATCTTCAAGTTCCACACGAAGTTCCTGATCCTCTTCATTGGTCAGTTGATGGATAAAATCATTGCCAAACCAGAATTCACCTTCCAAGCTACCAAATCCGTATTTGTAGTCTGTCCAGGATCTGTTGAAGTTTTCATTGATAGGAAAATTTTCTCGCCTCTGAATAACAGTCCAAGATGGTCCAGTTGTCGCAAATTCACACAATCTTCGGTTGAACAACTTTCCATTATCATTTGGCTGATCATAGAGACCGAAATGATAAACGCCATTTTTTCTCACTTCCAATTCATGGCATGAAGCCTTAAAGGCTTGCCGAAATTCATTATTAACTGCCTTATCGTTTTCCGACACTGTAATGTTCTTATCTTTGCACGAATTTTTCAAATCCGCATGATTATCTTCAATTATTTTTTGGATCTTGTACAGAATCTCTTCGAATCTATCAAAACCAGACTGAATACTGCTGATTTGATCTTCCAATTTCTCATCTAATTGCTTCAAACTCTGGTTTCTTTCCTCATTAGTCAATTTTTCATCATTTATCTCATTCGAAATGCTTCTGGACAATGTGCCAAGAGCGTTTGCGATGTTGTCCACCTTCTTCATGAGATTTTTCAAATGCTGCAGGATTTGTTTCATTTCTTTTATATCTACATTTTCAGGTGGTTCTTGTGGGAAATGAGAAACGTTTTTGTTAGGATTGTACGCCACGTTTTGCTTCACAAGCCTCTCAAGAGTTCTTATCTGATTCTCCACTCTTGATAGATTTTTTATTATACTTTCCAAATTTGGATCACTCTTCATACTTGGATTTTTGAAATGATACAAAATTGAGAGCATTTCATGCATTTTCTCATTTAGAATGTCCACTTTTTCAAAGATATGATTAACTTTGAAGTCAAATTCTGCAATAATTTTCTCAAATGAGGGAACATTATCTTGGCTTCTGAAATGTGCACAAAATTTAACATATAATTACAAGAGATTCAAGAAAAAGTTTACTCACTGCTTCAGCAAATCAATTTTCTTATCCATCGCCTTCATATGATCTGACCATGCGTCAATGTGATGCTGCAAAATGTGCCAATTCTGAGTCTTTTCCTGTAATGTTTTAATGTTGGAATCCAAATTGTTTCCTTGGGTGAAGATCGCCATGAGTTTCGGCTCAAGGTTGTGCATGAAAATTCCATTAAGATTGTCGATTGTATTCTGCATTGATTGAATTGTAATTCTAATCAGTGCCAAATCTTCACTTTCTCTCGCAAGATCATTTTCGGTGGGTTTCTCGATCTCTTGATGCCCCAGAAGGAATTTGACGGAGAGAACAAGTGCGAAAAGAACAATGTACTGATGAAGACAAGACAAGAAAAGATTGGTTCAGAGAATGTGTAAATATTTACGTGAGAAAATATGTATTAATAGGTGAATCGGAGAAAATATTGATTGAATGGGAATATTTTTGGAACATAATTATTATCAAATTAAATCACTTTCACTTCTTCATCAGAGGATTGATTTATCAATTATTTATTTACCTTCTTCGACATTGCACCGAGCGAAGTGTGGAGAAATTTGGTGTTCTCAAAATTATCACAACTGGGGATCAATTACGACAACCATCCGTATCCATGAGATGATCATTTCACACTGGCTAAAAATAAACTTTCATGTGTTATAAGAACTTTTCTTTTCGGATGAGTGTAATTTTGAATTGATTTATCAGTTAAGGATCATTGAATATTCACCAGAAATGCGCTTGTAAAGTGTTGAATGGTTTTACTGGATAGAAATCCTGAAGGATAGCGATTATAAGTATGTGACTGCACAAATATCCTTAAATTTCTAGAGGAAAATTATGTTTTTTCCTCATGTTAAATATTATTCTCTACGCCACCATACACGGGTAATAAATTGTGCACGATTGAACGAAAGTCTTGCGCAACCCTGCCGAAACGTCGCGAAAGTAAAAGTGACGTTTCGATAAGTGGAAAAGTTTCGTCGGATTCGTCATTCTCTCATTTGTGTTTGAGTTTTTGTCTTCCTTTTTTCTGCGCCTGAAATAAAGGGCCGATTATGAGCCACTCCTGTCTCCAGACAAGCGGAAAAGCCCTTCCTTTGCATCTGCTGTAGGCCAGTGAGAGGTGAACATGTGCCTGGCGTAGGTGAGACAGTGCAAAGTGCGTGAGAAAAGTGAGAAAAGACTTTTGAGTGAGGGACGAAGAGGCGACTGGGCGGAAAACTTTATCATATTCGCTGAGCTGTGGGAATTTCTGCTGTGTGACGGTGTGGAGAAGTGGTATTTTCGGGTGTTGAAGAGCGTGGAGTCATGTCGCTGTTCAATATATTCGGGAGCAACAAGCGCGGCCAGTCGAAGGATGGCGACCGGAACAAGGGTGGCGCCCTCAACATCGGCACCCCCACGAACGTGGTTCACGGGGTGCACGTGAGCAAGAACCACCTCACGGGGGACCTGGAGGGTCTGCCGAGGCAGTGGCAGAAAGTCCTGAACGCGCTCATCACTCAGGATGAGCAACAGGAGAACCCGGATGCCGTGTATCAGGCGCTCAAATTCTACAATTACTCCATCAAGAAGAAGGATCAGACGGAGCCGTTCAAGCCATTCATCACAGAGGAGGCGATCGTGGAGGAATCTGCCGAGATTGACAAGTACATGAACAAGAATGTCCATCCCAGCGCCGACTCCTTGGGCGGCAAGAGCAGCAGCGACGAGAGCTACTCGTCAGACACTCCCCCTCCGCTGCCTGAGAAGCGCCCCATAACGTCGCTGCCGAAGCCCAAACTCCTCCCGAAGCCAAAAGTGAAGCCTCCAGTGCCGGCAAAGCTGCACAGCAACTTCGACCACGTCCAGGATCTCTCGCAGATCAGCCATATAGAGCAACCCGAGGCGGTGGACGATCTCATCCTGCGTCCCAAGGACAAAGATCCTGGCAAGCGCATCCCCAAGACGGACGAGCAAGTGTACAGTGAACTGCGGAGCATTTGCAATCTGGATGATCCCACACAGAGATATGAAACGAAATTAGAGGTAAATGGGAGTTATCGCGGGAGAAAACTTGCATTGCGTGACTGTAATTGCCCCGAGAGATGCTCTTATGTTGCACTTGCACTCGAAAAATGGGGGAATTTATTTGACATATTGTTGTATTTTTAGCATAAGAGCCACACCACTCTGGCATTCACACAGAGATTCATGGAAGAGTGCAGCTAGAAGCACAGAAAAAAGACAACCAGTTAGAATCTCTGTCTCGTTAGCGAGAATAGTCATTTTTCCCACCAAGGGAATTTCTCTGTTCATTTCGGCGCGCCGTGTCTTGTGGAAGTTTTTGGCGAAACCTTGCTCGCTGTAGAGTTATCTTATCACACTTATCGTATTGACGGACACATTTTTTATTATTGAATTGCAGAACCCGCGGGAGTGACGTGGCTTTTCCTATCTACCTGTCGAGCAATTTCTCTCCTAATTTTCACGATTGACATCATAACACTTGTTCATCGCCACTCCAATAAATCCTACAATAGCTTCACCTTATCAAAAACAATGGACCGCCTCTATGTTCTTCCGTTTGAGTGTCTTCCGGGAATACTTTCAGTACATCACAACTCTAGGCGCATTCTCAACTCTGAGTAGACACTTAATTAATCAATTACACTACTAAATGACTGGGAATGAATCTCCCCGGAGGAGAGAAGTTTCACGGTTCATCTTCTCTCTCAAAGCGTCAATCAATTTTCTGTGATAAACTCCCTATCGTAAAATTGAAAATACTTCTCCAAAAGATATTCTATTTTGAGGCGAAGTCACTGAGGTCAGACAAAGTGTGTCTTTGACTATATCAAAGTGCGTCCTACTGCTCATTGAAAGCCTCCAATTGAAATTCAGGGTTGATGATTTCGGAAAAATGGAGATTTGTAGTCAACGCGTTCCATAAACCGTGCTAGTCGTGCGAATGATTTTTATAGATTTGAGAGAAGCCATATAAGCTCGTGAATCACTCTATCTTTATTTTGGGGACAGAGAGAGCCACACTTGTAATCATTCTCGGAACCACACTTTATATTTCCGGAAGTGAATCACACATACAGTGATTGATCTGAAATGCCGAGATTGTCAGGAGAAAGTAGAAAAAGTAATTAGAATCAGAGAATATTCACAAATATTAGTTATTCAAGAGTTTATTGTTACGAAATGAAAGTAACTTATTTCCAAGGACAATTGCTTAAATACTCCTTATAAAAATAATTGGAAAACTTTTTTCATATCAGTATTTTTCAATTCAAAATTGCACGTTATATACGGTATCTAAAAATGTATTAATAATTAATGAGTCATCTCATGTGCTTTTACTACTATGAAACCGATGAAAACCTTGTGGAAGTGAAGAGAGGTGAAACCTGATTGAGGCTTCGTGTTTCACAGGCCACAATGGTTGAATGTTTTGCGCAAAAAAGCAACTCAACACATGTATTTCAATAATTTATTTGAAATGCCCAAATGAATTCACTTCAAAACAAATAAATAAATGCAATTTATTAGGTAAATAATACGCAGCATGAGAATAATTTATGGTTATCAGTACTCTCAATTCTCCGTATGTTGATTGTAATTGAATTTGCAGTGATATGTGTGCTTCAATATTAATCTTGTTGCTTTTTGCAGGTTGGAAAGGGTGCTTCTGGCGTGGTGTTCATTGCTCTGGACTTGGAGACGGAGCAGAAAGTGGCGATAAAGACGATTGATTTGAAGAGTCAAACGTCGAAGGAGCTCATCCTCAACGAGATTCGCGTGCTTAAGGACTTCAATCATAAGAACTTGGTGAACTTCCTCGATGCCTATTTCCTGGAGCCAGAGAATCAGCTGTGGGTGGTGCTGGAGTACATGGATGGAGGTCCGCTCACGGACGTGGTCACGGAGACGGTGATGAAGGAACGCCAAATAGCCGCCGTTTGCCGGGAGGTGCTCAATGCGATCACTTTCCTGCACTCACGAGGCATCATTCACCGTGACATCAAGTCGGACAACATCCTGTTGGGCATGGATGGGAGCGTGAAGGTGACAGACTTTGGATTTTGTGCCAATATCGAGGGCGATGAGAAGCGCCAGACAATGGTGGGCACGCCGTACTGGATGGCTCCGGAGGTGGTGACGCGAAAGCAGTACGGTAAGAAAGTGGACATCTGGTCCATCGGCATTATGGCAATTGAGATGATCGAGGGACAGCCGCCGTACTTGAATTCAGCCCCCCTGCGAGCTCTCTATCTCATAGCGGCCAACGGGCGGCCGGAGATCAAGAGTTGGGACAAGTTGTCGGCGAATTTGCAGGACTTTTTGGATCGTTGTCTCCAGGTGGAGGTCGATCGACGCGCTTCGGCGGAGGAACTTTTGCGTCATCCCTTCCTGGACGACTGTATGGAGTTGCGAACACTCACACCACTCATCAAAGCCGCCCGGAGAATCCTGAAGCGAGACTAAGTGGATTCCCAAAAGCATTTCTACCCTCCTTAATGTTGGATTTACGCATTGAGTGCCTTTGGAACGAATCATTCTTTGTGAATTTGATAAATTCGAGAGTATTTTTGAGCAAAATATCTCCACATTCCGCACTCAGCAATTGCTCTACCGCCACAATATCACACCCAAAGGTGAGCATCTTCCGACAAATTGTCCGATAAGCCCTTATCTTATTACATCTTTAATCTATTATTCAATTTTGCACAAATGCAGTATTTGATAAACATTTTTCAAGAGATGAATTTCCGTGCTTATAGAGAAGAATGAGGGGCAGAAAATTATACAATTTAATAATACAATCAAATTCATGATAGATTTTATAGGTGAAAATGATTTTCATTAAGATATTGTAAGATGACTTATTGAGAAATGAATTGAAAATGTGTCTAGATTAAGAGAGTAAAGAGAAACAGAGAGAGAGAGAGCGAGAGCTAAGAGCTTCACTATACAAATGAATTTATATACCCGGACAAACGATTTTCTTTCCCACTTTATGAAACTCTTTTTCCGCCGGCAAAAAAGACCTCTGCATTCAAATTGTGAATTTTCATCAACAAACGCTTCATTTAAATGGTTCTTCTGTTCGATTTTTTTTATTATTCAAAGGTCAGCAAAGTGAGAATGAGAGAGAAAATATGCAATTATTCAAGCAGACACAAAAAAAATTGGGGGGAAAACAGAGAAGAGAAAATCTAAAAGTCTGATAAAGGAGTGTTTTTACATGCAATTTTTTGCTCTAAGAAATTAACATTTCCAATGGATATATTTTGATATATAAGGAATACCTTCATCTTTATACAATTTGCGAGCACAAGATAAAATTGTTCGAGATGAGAACAATTGAGGACAGTTTTTTTGTACATAGATATTCGATGTGTTATTTGTAAATTTTTAAAATTACTTTTCAAATAAATATAAATACAATGAAGAAATACTTGGGAGACGAATCGTTTTCTTCCCAGAGCGATGGCACTTGAGTGGGGCGAGTGTAATTGTATTGGGGCCTTCTTGCAGCTGTTTTCTTTCACTTACCCATTGTTTCTGCAGGCACTTTGCCCATTAGCGAGCTTCCATAAATTACCCACAAATCATTTGTAATCAATGTAGCGTACGTGACAGAGAAAATATCTTTTTTTCTTGCGATCGCGGCTGCTCGACGGTGATGATTGCGCGCGTGCCCGAAGATGGAGCACAAAGAAAATAGATTTGATGGTCAAGATCGACAATTTGATGATCTTCACCTCACAACGGTGGCCGAAAGATTGTCATAAGAAGCGCAAAAAAATGAAACAGGAATTGAAAGCTTTACGAAAGCATGCAAATTTGTTGTCTCTTACCAATTAATGACACTATATTCAATTGTCTACGAAAAAACTATTGCAATTCTCCATTAAGAGTATAAGATTTGGAGTGCATTGATCACTTTCACTTGATATTTTTACCAATAATTCTCGTTTTTCATTCGATTCGCCATTGAAGAGTCGCTTTGTGATGATCGCAACATTGCAAAAGTGATCGTTATAAATAATTGTGATAAGTTAGTGAAGTGAAAATGTATTATATTCCTTTTTCTACTCAATTGTCTTTTTGCAACAAAATGTGTGATGTAATTGTGGAAAATTACCTCTGGTATCCGTAGTTGTGAGTGAATGATAAAATCCCGATAGTCCAGAGAGAAGATTGGTAATTTATTTCCTCAATTTCACTATGGGTGAAAAAGAGATCACTCAACATCATAACATGGTGTATTGCGATGAGCGCAAATTGCTCTGTTTAGATGATTTAGATTTGATTTAAGGCAAGTGAAACAGACACCTAATGAATCTACCAAATATTCGTGAAGCTCCATGAACACGAGGAGGCGGAATTACTTAAATGAAAGAGAGAGAGACTCCATTTGGATAATGGAAAATGATTTTCTTCTACACTGCAGTTACCGTGTATGAGCGCTAATTCACTAGAAGGTGCACGAGGTATCATAATCTGCCGAAACTTTCTCGATTCTCCCATTTTCATGAAATTATTCACGCAGGTGTTTTACGATTGCATCCAAATTCTCTGCTAGCTCGTCATTCATGAAAGGTTTTACGAGCACTTGAATTGGCCAATTTGAATGCTGAAGTGCCCTTGTTTGCGGAAATTTCGAAGAAACGCATATTTCAAAAGACTCTTCAATTTCATTTTCAACAAAATTATTCCCTAAAATATTTTTAAATAAAGTTTAAAATTCAATTGGCATGAATTTTGTTGTTCTCTGATGCATTGATAGAAATTTCTCAGGTCATTTCAGAAGTTTTTCCATTTCTGCAGTCAATGGAGATTAGTCGATCTTAGTTTTCATCATAGATTCACACTTAAAAAAAAACTATTTATACTTGAGAGAGTTTCTATATATGCAGAAAGATTGTATTAAGATTGGGAGGATCATTTTTCTTGCACAGCATTTCCCCACACTTTTGTCACAAGAAAGCTATTTTGATTAATGATTTATATATATTGATTTAAATTTTTAAAGCAAATAACAGAAGTATGAGAAGCAATGTATGGAGTATTTTTGCGATTCGCGGAAAAATTATCAAAAGTTTGGTCTTTTATCACCTCTTCCTGTAATTAAATTATATAGCGAGATGAAATGTTGAATGCGATATTAGTGCGTATCGAATAAATGATGATTGATAACGTGCGCAAGAGTGAGTGATCTTTCGCACGATACGATCGGTGCGATGTGTCAGGAAATTCTGCAGAAAACTTCCGCACTTTTCGCTGAAATTTTTCACGCTTGTTGGTGTCTCAACGCTTTTTTCTCCCTCGTCAGCATATCAACAATGGAAATTAGAAGGTACATTTGTACATGTGTATCTAAATTGTCTGGCCGATTGATCTGCGATTAGTGGCATGGGCCCCAGTGTACCCCCATGCAGAGCTGCGGCATATAAAAGTCAATGTGATCTCAGTGTTGAGCATCAGTGTTTTGCAGATTGTGGCTCGCACAAGAGGTGGAAAACGCACTGGTGAGTAGCCATAATTTTCACAAACGAAAGTGATATTTCGCATAAAACTTGGGATTATGCATAATTTCCCTTCTTGACCCGCTGAGTGAGATCGTTTGAAATAAGTGAGTGTGGTCGAGTGTCTTGTGCGAGAAAGTGATCTTGTCGATTTCACCTGTGTCTGTGGCGCAGCTGGAGAAATCCTTTAACACTCTTTGTATTCTCTGATCTTTGTGGTATAGATTGTGATATCGACTTGAGGATTAATCTCGGAACAGAAACAACACAATGAGGATCACAATTCTGGGTATTGCACTGTGCCTGATCTGCGCCGTGTCCGCCCGATCGCACCACAAGGCATCAAAGAAGAAGGATTACGAGTACGACTACGGTGGAGAGGTTCAATATCAGACTGTGGGCGGGAATACTGGTGGCCACGTGTCCTACTCCTCAGTAGCTGACAATCATGGAGCGTCCAGCAAATCGGGATACAGTGCAGGCAGCGGACTGAGATCAATTGCCCAGGGATCAGCAGATCAGGCCAACTCGGCTGTGGCGAATCAACATGCTGCAGCGAAGCAGGCAGCTTTTGTGGCCAAGAACACTTTGGCTCAGCAGGCAGTTCAGGCGTCTGCCACAGCGCAGGCCGCTTTGGCGGGAAAGCAGGTTTTGCTACAGGGACTGGAGCAGCAGAGCCTGGAGGCTCATCAGGCGCTGGACAGTGAGATTCAACAGTTGCAGCAGGCGAAGAGATCAGCAAAGGCAGCGCAGCAGGCGGCGCAGCAAGCCCTGAATCACGTTGCTGTGCTCACGGCTGCGCTTAACAATGCCCAAACTACCTCTGATCACACCCAGCAATCTGCCAGTGAGGCTGCGGCTGAATTGGCCTCGCAAACGGCAATGGTGGGAGCCGCCAAGCAGCGCCTAGAGACTATTGAGGAGCAGCTTCACGCCGCCAGGATTGACTTCGAGGCGACTCAAGCCGCAGCCTCGAAGGCTGCCGCGTCCGCTCAAGAGGCTCAGAATAACGCTGCCGAAGCAGCTATCCACGCTCAAGTACACGCCCACGATTCCATCGGACACGGTTCCGAGACGGAGGATCACATCGAAGATGTGGCCACAAATCACAACTATGGCGAGTTCACACCGTCTCATCCGAGTAAGGAGGCCACGTCTTATCAGCAACAGCAGCAGTACTTGGCCGGCTACTGATGCCCTCCAGCGCCCACTCTAGCATTAATATTTATTTGTTAGGACAAAGGAGAAATACTCTCGAGAGTTTGTTGAACTGCGTAGGGCTTAGTTTTCTCACTCTCTGTGCAATATTCCGTCGTGATCGCAATGAAAGCTCTCTTGCAAATGATATTTGTCTACAGAAGCCAAAAGAAATCACCCAGTTAGTTTCTTCATCCCTCCCACCTCATCCTCTCGCATCGCCATTTCTCTTTGCGCCATTCCTCTGGCTCTCAACGTCTTCGCTGGCACTCATGGCCGTGATCTTCATCTCGGAGATCTAGAGGAAAACTGGTATTAAGTACTTTCGACTTATTCATCATCACTCATTGCATATCGCCTCACAAACACTTTTACTTTCGCACTCATACAAAACATCTAGCTTTTCAGTGGGAATCATTAGTAAAGTGTCCATAAAATTGTTGATATTTCTTTTTTACTTATTTTTGTAAATGCCGCTTTTAACTTGTTACCGTGTGAATAGCAATAATAAAAAGAAGTAATAAAATATAATCGGACAATTTAGAAATTTCTATTCATGAGTGGTTATTCTTGTTCCATGGACTTGATTGATGAAATTATTGATCAATGATCTTCACGTGTGTCGACGGAACATCCTCAGTTCGGATATATAGTGATTTTTATGCGAAATAGCAGTAATAAAATCAGCAAATTTGTTAATTAAGTGTTTTTTAATGTATAATTTTAACATATTTATCATGTTGAATCAAAATTAATTTTATAATTGCAAAAAAATTTAGGGTAACGTTGCAAAACTCTCCCAAAACTGTTTATTTTGATTTTGATTTTGCTCACGGGCGTGGCCGGATTTGTATTAATTGGATTATAGTTGAAAATCATCATAAAAGTAGATTTTCTGCACACACATTTCGTTTCTATGCGAGCAGCCCCTGGACTTTTAAATTTATCCAGATGAGGTGTGTCTCGGCTGAGATAATTATCAGGAAACTGCGTAGCTTCGGATAAAACAAATGTCAGACGAGGAATTGTTTTGATTTGTGTTCATAATGAATTTATTTTCGTTTTTATTATTCTATTTCATTTTAATTGACTTCTTCTCAAATATCTCGTGCAGCTATGTACGATGTAAGTATCCAGCGAGTGGAACAGCCCGAGAGACTTTGGATTCTATGAGATTCCCTACCATTTCCCGAGCAGATAACTTGAACCACAACAAAGTGTGTCCATCGAGCAAATTGACCAAACTTTATCAATTCCTCGCCAAACCTGACCCACTGTTCACGAGTCCCACGAGAGCAACGATTGTCAATTATGAGTGGAAGACCTCGAAGAGTATTCGGGAGTTCGACGATTGCTCCTTCAAGGTGCAGAGCCAGGGACACGGAGGCCTCTACATGACCATCTCGCGGCTGCACCTCCGCCAGACTCCGTCAAGTCGCATCTGCACCGACTTCCTGCGGGTGCGCTTCAGCAACGGCACCAAGACCGATAGGATCTGCGGACGGATCACATCCAGTGACGTCGCTGCCTTCTCGGACTCCGGCGGGGAGGTGAAACTCTACTTGGCCATAGCAAATCACATCCCGCTGGAGCCTAACGAGATGCTGGAGATCGAAATGGTGTTCACTGAATATCTTGGTGAGTAAGTGGCCAGTGCGTCATTGGAAATCAACATCTGAGTCACACCCAGAGATGTTTTCAAGGAAACTTGTGCCATTCCATCAATTCATCTGCGATTAGCTCTAATTAGTGGACTTTTGAGACGCAAAGATAGCTTCCGGGGCTGGACTGAGCCTTGTTTTGCAGAAATACTTGGATTCAATTGGCTCTGAGTGGCCTCATTTAAGGCCTGAAAATATCCGTGATTATTCAGTTATTATTGCTTATTTTTAGATTTACATGTTCGTGTTATGTCGATTTGTAATGAGAATATTCAAAGGGAGCAATGCAAAAGGCCTTAGATTATTATTCTCTGTTGAATCTCGACTTTTATGTTGAAATGTGCAAAGAAATATCAACATTTCTGCCGTCTTTCTTCACTTAATCTTATGACAAATAATAATTTTTCAGCTTGCAAGGGCGGCGACAATGCACCCGAGTTCCAATGCGAACTGAACAAGTGCATCCACGGAAGCTTTCTCAACGACGGCGTGAACAACTGTCCGACGCCCCACTGCCTGGACGAGGAGATCGGATGTCTCAGTCGTCCCGAGGTAGAGGCTCACGATGCCCGCATGTCGAAGAAGGTGATCGTCGGGGGAGTGATTAGTGCTGTTGTGGTGCTGATCGGCTTCACCATCTGCATTCTGGCCATCTGCAAGTTCTCGGCGTGCGTGAAGGCGCCCCGTCGCCCGTCCAACATCTACGAGACGACGCAGCACCGGCCGCAGCGCATCGAGACGCAGGAATTAAGTGCAATTGGAAACATATCACAACCTGGGCTTCCAACACCAAGTGCTCCAGCGGCTTTTGTCATTGAGGACCAGAACAAGGATCCACCGCCGCCATCGTATGAATCTCTCTTCCCCCGCGCGAGTTAGCGTCGCACTTTCACATGGCATCGCCGAGGTATTTATGCATTTTTCACACCCATTCGCAACCACGAGAATTCTTCTCATAATTAACCACATTGGTTGGTAGTCGTAGATGTAAGAGACGATCGAATAGCGTTGTAAATAGTACTTAATAGTTACACATTGATATCATCAGTGATGTGCCTTTAATCACAAACGAATAATGTTTTTTTTACACGTAAGGAATGCAGCGGAATGTAAGATTTGCAGAGATCTGTAATTTGTAATGGGAATCTCCCTGCATCCATATCTAGATAGCTTTATCATTGAAGGTTAAAAGTGAATTCCAAATGATCTGACGAATGAATTGAATAATTACGCACTATTTGTGCTATTCAACCTTATATCTTCATTGGAAGTTCAGAGCTCTATTACATCTTTATGTATTATTATAGGCTTATTAGTTTTAAGTATTTTCACGCTCAATTTTCTTAAATGCTCTTCATTATTATAATTGTACATTGATTTGGAATGTTGATCCAAAATTATACATTTTGTGAAAAAGTGCCTTCAAAGTATCTTTTGACTTTGAAGGACGATTCGTACAAAAAGCAATTTTATAAGCAATATAATATATGTCTAAGGTTATTTTGCAATGTTGATGCATTTTTATACTTTGCTCAATTCAAAAGAACATGAGAGACATGTTTGATAAATTTATGGATTAGTGAATTAATTTGTTTGGTTTTCTTCACAAATATTTTTCAACATGTTTCTCTATTATTTGTATTTAAATTTGTGTGCGATCTGACAGCAAATTAATCTCACTAGCTGTATTACTGCAAATCTTACATTTTGTCTGGCGAATTTTCATGAATTTATCACAATAAAAAAATGTCTCTATATATGTAGCTCACGAAGTAAGAAGTAAATAACAATAACAAGTCACTGCATAGACAACGATGTAAAAAATGCCCATCACTGGATATCACGTTGAAGAATTTAGTCAATTTGGACGGAATTTATTTAAAAATACAAGGATTCATTAGCATAATGCGAACGATTGTATTTTTTCTGTCGAACCCATTTCTCCAAGGTCTCAGCCAAAAAGAGAGCATTCTTTCAGTCGGAATAATGGGCAATAAATGACGACTATAATTTATATTTCAGACGTCCACCAACTGTGATTTTCATTTTTGCCCAAGTTTTCACTTTTTATTATTCCTTTTGATATGTAATCATTTTTTTTGCGCGGATGGCAATTTGTCAAATCACTGGAAACTGTGCGTAAATCATCATTGGTTTGTTTGTCTTATGTCTCCACTCAGTTAAGCTCGACGTTTCCCCCAAAATGATCATTTCTAAGAGCCGTGTTAAAAGTGGGAATTTCTCTGTGGGTTTTTAAGTATAACTCATTTACCGTTTTTTACCTGGCTTTCTGTCGCACAAGACGAAAGCTTTCACCTTCCGTCAGGTATATTTATAAATAACAATTCACTAACGGCGTGCACAGTTATTAAATCGGCTTAATCTTCGCACCATTTGAAGAGGAGGGTTTGCTTTTGTGACTATTTTTGCATGGCACCCGTCGCGATGACGCTGGAATGAGTCTTCCCACTTAATTTTTCAATATGCAATTAATATTCTCAAAGAGATTTACAAGTGATTATCGTTGCTTGTGCAGAGAAAGCTTTCCCAGTCGAATCATATGCTCCATATATTGATGAGTTAGATACTTTTATGCTTTCCTCTGCTGCTGGGCGTTTTCTAACCCATCGAGCTTCAGAGGAAGTTGATTTTCACTTTTCACCATCGCATTATTTGGGGATACGATTAATGAGGGAAATGATCGCTGTGGTAATTTTATAGGAAACTCTGTGTGAAATTTTGAAAAATTACACTGTGTAATTTTTTTCAGGGAAAGTTACACATAATTAAAATTACATTAAATTATCTCATTATGAAAAAACAACATTAAGTAATAGACGAATCGATATTGAAAGAAAACAATACACACACAAGTTTTTTCTTCTACAAAAAGAAATTCTTTAAAGCTTTTCAATATCAAGTCGTCTATTTTGGCAGGAGAATTTGTAAGAGAACTAGAAATTATCTACCTACAACTCTAGTGTCTATTAATATCTAGATAATCAGTACGGATGTGCTGATTTAAGTTGCTGGGGCTACTGAATTTTTCAGTGCTTCTATATCGACAGATGGGCTGTTCTTGTAGTTGGTGGAGAAGAATGTGAGTGCCTTCATGAGTTGATAGCTCTTCGACACGGGTATGTTGCTGTCGTAGAGTGATCGGCTGATTTTGCAGTCCACGTAAAACCACCAGTTGCACTTGAGTATCGATTGATCGAAGAGGGTGCTTTCTGGGCAGAGAAAAGACTTCATAATCAGGCCATCGTCCGTCAAGGCGCACACATGAAAGACCTGAAATGCCATGAGAAATGGGAGAAGAAGTCAATAATGCAATATATAAGACATGATAGAAAGAAACTCTGGCGAGAATCTTCACAGATTCACCGTCCAGATAAGAGCTTTTTGACAAGCTAAGAAGCGCTTAAGTACTCTTAATGACCTGAGCGGCTTTCTTTTGATTATCCAATTAAAATGGGATTTTTTTTTATATGAATCACTACTGGCGAAATGTCCACTCAACCTCAAACCAAACAACTCTCAAAATACCTATTTTTATCACATTTGAGATGTCCACTCTTCCAATTTTGTGAAAGGTCTTCTTCACAAGAGATCATTGCATAAGACACGTGGTGAAAATTTGTCTCAGAGGGTTTAATCGTAAATCTCAAACTTCTCACATCGAGAATATTTACGACAAACTAAAAAATAGATGAAATGCGTTTTTTATGGTAACTAGGTTTAAGATGTTGGCCTGAAGATGACTAAAACGTGGGAGATTGAGAGAAATTTATGGCTTTCATTTCATCTTGTAGTTTTATGTGCAGAAAAATTTGCGGTCCAAAGGAGACATAATCATAATTCTTGACGCAATCATCCATGAAATGAGGATGAATTAATCAACGATAAAACGGGAAGTGCATGTTAATTAAAAATAAAACGAGGAGTGTCGCTGAGAAGTTGAGAAATTTTACGGATTCAAGATCAGAGATTATCTGTTGAGGAGAGACAATTTCACGAGTATTTTATATGTTAATTTTGCCTTTAATTCACTGAACAATTTAGGATAGATTAGATTCTAGAGATAAGGTAAGTGGGTCTATCTTACTTAACGATGTGCTTGATTTAAAACCCATGTCGAATTGCAAAGAGATTCGTGTTTCATCGGATATGTGTGAGATGTTATCTGATTTCTTTCTCAAATGTGAAACTTATTCAGTTCCGTTCTTCATACTTGAGCATCTTACCATGCATCCCAGATTTTCGTCAGCATAGAGTCCGGGGAAGTGCTTCTGATCGCCACAGTGGAAGGACGTCTGAGGCAGCTCTACTCGTGTCGTGAAGTTGTCGTCGAAGTTCTTGTCGTATCCCACTGGGTAGTATTCCTTGGGTGCATTCATCACTTTGTGGCCATGGTGATGGCGTTTGGCGGGCGGTGGTCGCCTCGTGGTGCTGGTCGTGGTAGTGGTTGTGGTAGTCGTGGTGGTTGAAGTCTTCAGGCGAATTGCTTCCATGTTCGCCTGTTGTTGCAGAGCTATCTGGAATTCCCTCTGTCGGATGGCGGCCTGGATCGCCTCCACGCTCACATTGGCCACGGCTGCGAGCTCTTCCACGGTGTGTCCCATGAGGTCCACTTTCGGCCTGGTGACAGTTGGAATTGTGCTCTTGAGTCCTTCGTCCTGGATCGCCTGCGTCAGGACGGTGCTCTTCTTCGACACGTCAAACTTTCTGTCCACCTGAGAGTTCAAGGACTGGAAGGTAGGAATGTTAAAAATGTCTGGCTGTATGAGATTGTCCTGGATGGCTGTGAGATTCTCAGACAGTTGGTACAGCTTCTTCGGAGGCTTCTCCTCCGTGCGCGGGATGGGCTTGAAGGCAGGCACTCCCAGCGGCAGGGACATAGCCTCTGTCATTCGGCCGGGCTTCCTGGGATTCAGGACCCGCGTCATGTCCTGTAAACTGGGATTGGGTCGCGGCGTGAGAGCCTGCGGCCGACTGAGCTGGATCGGCGGCGGCGACTGCAGCGGCAGCTGCTTCAGAGCCGGAAGAACACCCACCATTGTGGGCAACTGCCGGGCATTGGCCGACCGTCTTTTGTTGCCCTCGAGCGTGCCCAGACTCTGATCGAAGCCGATCTCATCTCCAAAGCTCAAACCTGTTGCGCGTCATTTTTTGTTGGTCGCGGAAAGAGAGAAGAGAAGAAATGGTGTAGTTGAGAGTTTAAGCCTCACGCCTAAAATAGGTGTATATATGGACATGTGGTGTATGATGGACCTCTTTGTGAGTTTAGTGTGTCATCTTGTGGAATTCTGTTCCAAATTTTCTGCCGAATCACGAGGTCGGTTGCAAAAGAGGCAAATGGGATCAATGTACAAGACTCCACTTCGCATTCAAGGTTCATTAAGTGCATTTAATTCCAGCGCGGATGGTTTTTTCCCATCTGTCCCGCTTTTCTTTCTCCTCACCTTCGACCACAAGAAAGGCACAATTAATTAGTATTAAAATTTAGAGAGTAGCTGAGATGTTGAAATGCTTGTTATATTGCTGATGTATCAACTGCAATTACTGAGAAAATCACCTTAAGCCCATGTACAATACTCTCTATTTATCTTTTCACCATGACATGAGGAAAAAATAAATAAAAGTCGTGAAAAAGTCCACCGATATGACACTCTTGGCCAGAAAATCAGCATAAAGTGATGTGTATTGCAAATTTTGAATAATTAGATACTGAGTGACGAAAAAGGCACTTAAGCCTATTACAATAGTCAGTACAAAGTGAGAAATATAGAATGTCAGAGGTTAATTTAGCCATAGGATGTGAAGAGAAAAAAGGCCAGAAATAGAAAATAGCTTATACCAATGAAGAAATTGAGGTAAAAAAGAATTACTTTATTGCTGGAATGAGAAGGAGGCAATTGAGTGAAGAGGTGAGATCTTTCGTGACTTCTTTGACATCACCTTTGATTGTAGTACTGACTATGGGTTATTAATAAAAACTCAATCGTCTTTCAATAAATTTTCATTGCGTTAGATATCAAGCGTAAATTTCAAGCATTGCACCGTATCCACAATTTCACGTGGTAAATCGCGCGCAAAAACCTACATTTAATGCCTTGTATAATTATATTGTGGGAAAGGTATTTCCCGCGAAATGGTCAGAAGCTCAACCACAGAGAATTTGTAATCTCTTTTCAAGAGGAATCACTATTATGCTTCCGAACTAATTTTGCCTTCATTGCTTGACTTTTCTGTGAATTCACACATATTTTATATAAATCTGAATTGCGTAATTCGATTGGATTTTACGAAAGTTAAGTCGTATGTTTTGAGTCACTGAAGGTCTAGCCGAATTTCAGTGTTTCATTTGGTTTGGAATGGAAAAAAGTTAATTTGTTGATGCAAATTTTAAACAATAAAACGATTCTAACAATAAGTAGCATTAAATAACAAGTATAGTGCATAATCTTGCGATCTGGAAAATAGAGTCATACACATTTAAATATTCTCAATTATCTATTATGAAGGAGCAGATAATAAATTTGGTAGATTGTGTAAATATTGTTATTTTCTTGTTTGTTATGTGCGTGATTTTGCGTTAAATTGTTTCTTTCTTTTTCTATGATTCCCATAAAAACCAGATTACCATATCATTTTCAATCGTACGCGAGCAATGCGTCTCTAAATTGTCAATATATACTCTTCCATAACATCTCGTAATGTGGTTTTTCAAGCGCTGAGAAAACACACTTGGAAATCTTGCGTTTGGATGCCAAAGGTGTGCCGTCGAGGAGTTTTATCCATTGAATTTGTATAATAAAATCTCCTGTATTAACCTTAATTGACAAAGTCTAATTGTACCTTGTCGATTTATCACTTCAAAAGACAACAAATAGTGTTTGTGCGAATTTTTTTACAACTCAATGAAATCCGTGCAAATTTTCCCGCGTATCCATTGTATAGTGAGATAGGTAATTAAAATTGACTCATCATCATTTCAGCTGATGAGGCTTGCACAAATCTGAATAATTGGGTTAGAGAATTCTCTTTTATTGTATTACTTAATAGAAGAGGAAAATTTAAAATGATACTTATTACGAAATTGCAGGGAAATTCACTGTTTAGCGGGTAAAATGCAGTGAAACTCTTTGTAATTAATATGCTCATCAGTGATAATCACTTTCTCAACTTTTGCGGGGAGGAAGCAAAGGTAATCATCTATCACGTGTGACATTTGTCAATTGTCTCATTTGTCAGCAATCGTAAGCGAGTGTTTGGCCACTTTGCCAATGCAGACAATGGAAAATGCAGAACATGGCTTAACAGTTGAGAGATAGGACTCGAAATTCGTAGTGAAGTTACTTTAGTTGCTTATTTCTCAATTGCAATGTGACCACATTTTATATATCTTTCTCTCGTCAAGACACTGGATGGCCTTCTTGCAATTTTTCCCCTCCGAGTGAAAGGATGGTGATACTTCACCGTTGCCCAAATCTCGCATGAGGAGGAGAAAAATTTTATTTATTTTTATTATTATTCTTTGGCGATCACGCCAGATGAGAAAAAGAGTATGGCCGAAAGTTCCTTTCACGCAACCATCTTTACAGAAATGTTTATCGCCTTTTTTACATGTGCATTTTTTCAATATGTTGTTTATATTGGCGTGGAAAATACTAACTTTGTGAAGATATTTGCTGAAGACCACATATATGGAGGATAGAAAAACTACAAGAGTGGCTAAAAGTATATACTTGACACTCTTTCAGTGTGTGCATTGAATTATTCAATTGCATGGATTGAAGACCACAAGCGATCAATTGGCAACTCTTTTTTTCAAGATCATCATCAAAAGTTGAACAAACTGCACATCTCAATGCGAGAAAGTCACCCTTCCTGGCTCAATTGATTGCGGAGTTAATGCACCAAGATCCGGAAATATTTATGAAGAATCGGAGCATAAAGAACTGCGAGAAATACCTTTCATCATATCTGACGATATTATTTATGAGTTAAGACATTCTTACTAATGCACAATACCATCACTTTTATCTCTCGCTTTTTGCTCACTTGAGCCCAAAATGATGAGTGTCGTTGAGATACACGAAACATTTCATTCACGTGTACATTTTTTTGGACTTTGTTGAGATGGAAAATGGCCATTTCATTTAACATTAAAAGCGATCTCTTGAAATAATTAGGGAAATATTAAATTTGGTGCTCTTTGAGCCGCAAATTTACGTAACATGTTTATGTGAATGCTTTTTCGCGTTGTTTAATGGGGAAATGCGTTCAGAAATTAATATCGTGGCTTAGAGATGAAGAAATATATTAAAAGACGCCCGAAATTTATTGAAAAACTATAAAAGAGTCGCATCTTTTGAAAGATAATCTTCATTTCAAAATACTTAAAGTTACAGTACGAAGTTGAAGACACACCTTCTTGAACTATCTCATATCTTAATTGAAAATCTTCCTACGCTCCTTCTTGTTATACTTTTCATTAATGCCAAAATTCGTTCTCTGTGCGAAATACCTTGTGTATATTTTATATAACACTAATATTTCCACAGTGAATATCGAGGTGCTTGTGGTCCAATTTTGATTGACTTTTGTGCAAATAAAAATCAAATAGTCATTCGTTTTGTGATAGCTTTTGAAAATGTTAATATATAGCCTCATTAATGGTGGTCTGACGATCTTAGTTTTATAACGATTTGTGCATGAAACTTAATTGCCCCAATTTTATCGGAATCCAAGTCCTCAAAAATGTGGTGAAGACTTTTTTTTTGGCAGAATGAAGTAATAAAATGTGCCGGTAATTTTTGTGTTAAAACAAGCCAGAAATGTAAGAATAATTTCGTGTAATGTTTCTAAAGGAACACTTAAAAAGAAGTTAACACAGATCATTTACCTAACCCAAAGTGCGCTTTTAAGCCACCGAGGTTCCTCACCCGGAACAATCCAGACTTTTTGAAGGCACAATTAACAATAATACCAAAATCTGTCTCTAGAACACAAGTGCCATGGGCCGTGCCTAGAAAATACAAGAGAAAATAGAAAAACACACACTTTTGATTATGGTCGCAGAAAATCAAACAACAAAGTGTGACATAAACTCATTTTATCTGTGCATAAATCCTTCTTTTTGTCTGCTTTTGAGCACCAACAAAGATTATCCGTCAAATTGGAATCAATCATTTGGTTTGAGTGGAAGAGAAAACACAAGATTCAGCTGTATTTGATGAAGTTAACATTTTGTCCCAACATTGATTCACTGCAATCAATATTGATTGAAGATGAATTTCAAAATTCATCTATCGGACAATTAGGTGAGATATGGCGTTTCTTGGTCGCACGAGGTTGAGAGAAGTCGTGGTGATAAAAAGTCTGCTACGGCTGTTTGTTCAGTGTTTAGGTGGAAGAATTTCGATTTTCGGCTCTTGTTTCACTGACCGCTTGACCCAAATTGGGGCCCACACGACACTGTATCATGCTTAAACGGCGAGACGGTCAAAACCAATTGCTCACCTACAAAATTGTACGCTGCCAGAGACTCTCGAAAAAAACTTCTCACAGATATCATCTCTTGTGGGAATCTTCCAATTGTAAAAAGTGAGAAATTGAGACAAATAGACAATTATTCACAGTGGCTTTTTTTCCACTCGCCAAGAGATTTTCTCGTATCAAAGCCAAACCGAAAGATCTGAAAGATATACTTTTATTGAGGAGATGACTCTTATTAAGTTGAAAGTGGACACTAAGAATGCGTCACAGCGAAAGAGAAAAAAAATTAGAGAAATCTGTCTTCGATTTTTCTTTCAGTCAATTTGCAACTTCTTACGCGATGTCCCGGTGCTTTTATTCCCATGCGCGCCGAAAGACAATTTACACAAATATTCGGTCACAAAAAGATTGACAGACAGATTTTATTGCGTACACACAGAGTGAAGATCCCATCGGCAGGTCTCAATATGGGATGAAAATTAAATATTGCTGTAACATTAGTTCATTTGCTATTCATCATTTTGTGTGATGCCGTTTGAAGGGAGATTCATTGGCAAATACCAACTAATTAACACGCATGTTCGAATGTATGATTATTGCAGGATGGCTCTTGCACTGCGTTTCTATTACTTTTACAATTGTCTTTGAAAAAACTTTTTTGTCTCTTTTTTACGGCATCATTCTCAATTTTATTATAAGAAAAAAACACGTAACAGCAGGAGGTTTACACGCTGTTTGATTAAATGCGAATTTACGATGGCTTCGTGATAAAAATCCTGAAAGAAATAAATTCCATTCGTACTATTGCAGCATAAACGGCAAACAATTGATTTTTTTGCCTCAATCTACCTATAATCAGTCTTACTTTTATAGTTAAGCAGTTACAATTAAAAGTTCTGGTAAGAAGAATCATTTGATATTCGTAAAGTCTTAAAGACATTACTATGATTGGAAGGCTATAAATTTGTCTTATTAGCTATTCTTATAAAATTTCATACAAATGTGAGACTTGTAAAAAATGTTCATAGAGAATAAAAATGGTGTAAATTTTATTGCTGTACGGTTTTATATTACTCCGATAATTGTAAATTGTATCAGAATTGAAATTTCACAGTCATTTTTGCGAGAGAGGCTTTCATTTTCTATATCATTTTCTGACTGGATGATTTCAGGCCAATAAATACTTTGTATATTATCATTCATGCCCCTTTTATTTGGCTGCATTGCGATGTGAATGTGACGCACTGTAAAGCATTGAATACATCATCAGAGTCCAATTTGTGAGATTGCGAAAAGTAAATTGAATTAAGAACAATCCCTTATCAAGTGACAATTTGTTGTTCTGCTTTGGCAATTTCAATGAATTTATGTAAAACAAGAAGAATGTGAGAATAGGATCAACAAAGCAGGTTTTTAAATTGCCAGAAAGGCCTGAAATGAGTCCATTGTGGTGTTGATGATTTAACAAGAGGCAGAATCGTTTTCCTCTACAAACAATATGACCCTGATATTACGTCCAATTTGCAGGATTACTGTATTCGAAATTTTATCTCATTCCATCTCAAGTGTTGAGGAATTTGTATGAGAGAAATTTGAACTGGATTTTATGGTGTAAATGGAAATCATCAGTCAAAACACGATAAAGTTGGCGAAAAAAGTGGTATTATCGAATTGATAGCGCAGGTAATAATGCATAAATTCAAAGCTAATCCCTTCTTCTCATGATCTGAAGTTGAGCGTGAGAGACAAATTTGTTGGTATAGAAATGCGGTCTCGAAATTGAAAACTATCCCACTTTTCTCATCATCTAACGCAACTAATAGACTCTAATTAAATGTCTGTGACAGAAGAAAAAAACTCAGCGAGTGGAAAGAAAGCTGATGATTTTTGCATCACACAAAGTATTTCGACCTCGTTGACATTTTCATCTTCGAAAATGCTCAATTTTCATATATTATTAATTTAATGCTATCGCATTGCCACATTGAGCCGAGCACTGGTGCTACAGAAAAAGGGGAACCTTTGGCAATATTTATAGCTGTGAAATAGTCACAGAAATTGATTAATGTGAGACACAAAAAGGGGCATTCGAGTGTGGTCAGTCCATCGCCTCGAGATCTCAACTTGGACAATTATCTAATTTCCTTTTGAATGACGCCTAACTCATTTTGGGTATTTATTGTGCTGCCACTTGCTTTTTCGTCACCTTTCCTCTCGCTAGTCAAATGCCATGGGGAATCAGGGAGAGATGAAAAGACATTGTTATAGAAAAGAGCATTAATGCCATACATACTACCTACGAGCGTAAGTTAGACGGAATGTACAAGAGAAATTTCAATTAGGCATCTAAAGAGGAAAAAAATCTATAGCAAATTTTTTTTGTCAGAAGACTCGAGGGACAAATTATATGTACAAAAGACCTCGCAAGTTGTTTTTTTTATTGTACAACAGAAAATAATATTTACAATTTATGCAAAAATAACTTTAGACTCTAAAGTTGTTATTTTACCGCACAGAAAGGTGATCACTTTCAATTTTTTGGTCATTTCGAAATCTTAGGTGGTGGATGGAGACTTTTATTAAAATACAGCAAAAAAAATACATTAAAACACTTTCGATTTTTTTCCCCCTGAACATTTTTCTGTCAATGTGTGTCCGCAAAAAGGCAAGTCTTGGGAAAGAATGCGTCGAAAAGGTAATTCCGCACACGCAGAATTGAAAAGGTGCTGTTTTGAAATTGATTCCAAAAAGATCACCTTCTTGTTGAAGAAACGAGGCGCGCTTCTTCCATGTTCCATCGTCAAAAATTCAATAAGAATAAAGATGAAGAGTGTGTAAAAATTTCAAACAACCTGTCCTAGATTTCTTTTCTTGATCATCTCCGCACATTTTTTTCCTGCAATTTCATATCAATATAGTTAAGCATGCGAAACGAGAAGAAATGCAGCGATGGAACATCGAAACATAATAACGAAAGATTTCATTTCGCCTCCACACACCAATGATTCCACGTTTTCCTTCGTGAGCCGCTTTGGCTTCTTCACTTCTTTCCGATTTTTCTTATGCTCAGCGAGAAAAAAGAGAATTTATATGCACAGATCTTGTAATTTTTTGCCGATACCCATTAAGATATCCACAATGTGGAAGTTATTCGAAGACATAAGTTACTCTTCTTCATCACATTTGAAATTTATTACAAGGTGTGTTATGTTTGAAAGATAGAGAATTACAGCAATTTAATTTGTCTGCTACTGTATCATAGGGTGGCTCTTTGGACGCTGAAGAATTCTTTAATTCACACTGTTTGTTTAGAATGAGGAGAAACAGAACATAAAAAAAATTCAGATTTTGATTGTTGGGAATTTCCTACTTTCTTCTTCATCCATAACATATGAGAGTTGAGACACTGTGGATCCGTGCAGTTTATTCATATTTATGGTCTAAGTGTGGGTCAGTTTTCGTCATTTTTGGGAAGTTCCGGACTGTAATATTTTCTACTTTTGAAGGAATAGATTTGGAAAATTGTTCAACCGAGCTGCTACATAATGAAAATTTCCAGCCAATTCCAAATACATTTACAGATTAATTTCATATGAAATTAACATCATGTCACAGCTCGATATCAAAAATATTTCAATAGGAAAACAATTATAATAGACAGAACATACAGTATAAATGGATAAGTTTAATTCTTCTCTCTGATTTTCACTGCATCCAAAATACCTTAGGTTTTCGCCTTCAAAGCCACCCTATGTCACGATGTAACAGTTTCAAATTGAATGAGAGAAAAAAGCTCGTATTTTACAGCGAGGTGGAAAAAAGAGGCAAGGAAGAGACAATTTCTTCAGATGCCGCTCAAAGCTACTAACAGTTCTTCGCATGTTTTGCGATAATTAAAATTAGCTCTACATTAGTCTATGTCACATTCTGCTGATTAGGAGGGAGCTGTGAAGAAAAGACAGATATTTATTGGTAGAGCTCTACATCCTCAGGCGATACTTTGCCAAATAGGAGAAAAAGCAATTTTCGGTTACTCATTTTTCCCCACTCTCTCTGTCTATTGCAATAGCCGAAAAAAAAACAAAGATTGAAAGAGGAAAATTCACTCACTTGCAACACAAATGACCACCAATAGGCAGGCGAATTGTACAAATTTCATGATTATATTCTTTCCAAGTTTCCTGCAATCTACACAATTTTTCACTCGATTTGTTCACTGTATTCTCACTGTCTTACACAAAAGTGCAATTTTATTTTCAAGGTGAAAATGAGGCTGGTCTTCAGCTCTTTCCATCTAATTGCAGCGGAAATGTGGAGTGTTTTCACTCCATCGTCAGTGTCTCCACGGATAACTGCTGATGCTTTCCTCTCGATTAATTGGAAAGGAGCATCGTCACTATTCCAGTTGGGATGGTCACTTTTACCCCTGCACTGAATTCACTTTGCCTGTGAGCGGTAAGCGAAAAAAGAGGCCTGAAAAAGTGTGCAAAACACACGGCAATTTGCATTTAGAAATTGCAATTCGTACCAACGACACTTAATTGTAACTCTCTGCTATGTGGGACTCTTGGAGAGACACAGAGCAAGACCTGTGCTCGGCATTTTCTTCACCTGAGCCACCTTTTGTGGCGCTGGCTTAATAGATTTAATTGCGCGCGAAAAAAAGCGGAGAAAAAAGACACTATTCTATCATCAATCGCCTGTCGTGGCGTGATTTCTGTCAAGAACGAATAATTAAAATATCATTGGAACTTTTTATGTGTTATGATTCAGCAATGAGTTGAACAATCCCTCTGTCAAGGTGGAATGCAGTTATTTGTATTAAAAATTAACAATGGCAAATGAAAAATGGGGACTGATTAAGACATTAATATGTGAAATTTAATGGTTTTCACTTTCTTTCGTAAGTGACTTTGAGCTTGAAGGAACCCATTTGAATTTTGAACTTCCGATGACTTTCTCATGGAAATGCCTCATTTTTATGAAATAAATGGTAATATGTAATCTCATGGGCAAGTGCAAGTCTTCCGCAAGATAAATAAATTATTACAAATTGCTAATTTAAGAAAAAAAAACCCATAAAATCGTCTGAAATGAACTACTATCATTGGTTTGAAGTGAAAATAATCGACTCGAGTGAATAAGTATGGAAAATGTAGTGTCTACAAGGCGGAGACTCTTTCTCTTAATGCGAATACTAGTTACAGACTCATGCGGGAGATACTAACGCAGCATTGCATTAGAGTCGTGATTTAAGTTATTAAGTAGATCGCAGCTGTATCCCAGGTTGGGTTCAAGAATTGCAGATTTTTTTTTCATTAAATGTTTCTTTCATTTAATACACTTTCAAGGCTTAAGCATTTCCTTGTCCGTTCACTTCTTCTTTACCAAAGAATGATATCTTGAGTGAACAGTTGAGAAAGTTGATTAATTTACGATAGACCGCTAATAAATCTGTGTTAAAATCATAACTTTCGAAATGCAAAAAGTCTCTCCGCTTGCCAACTGTCGATCTATAATGTAAGAATTTACAAAAGAAAAAAAAATTGGGATGATCTCGAATCCAATGAATGCCTTGACAGAATTGTCCAAGTCAATAGATCAAAAGTCTCTGTGATGCGAATAAATCATATTTCTTGTGACGGCAAACAATTCTGTGGCAATTGACAGGAACTGTAATAGCAACACTTCACTATGGACACACATTAATTACTATTTCACTATCCATAACGCATATTTTGCCAATGACCTTTTCTGGTCAAAATAATTTTCATAACAATATCTTTTTTTCATTTATATATTTTTCATTGTGAAACTGACGTTGAGTTTCTCTATGGAGGCGCTTGAATTGCATTTGTAGACGGCTTTGAAATACTTTTTCGTCTGGACAATTGCTACTTTATTTAGAATGGAATCAATCGCTTTTACTATTTCAATATATCTTCAACTTAATGTGGGGTCTTTTTCGCTGGCTCAATAAATATATTCATAAATTGTGACACACACGGCAAAGCATTAACCCACATTAACAATGTGTTTGTATCTGCATACCACAGAGCTTCAATTCACTCGCAAGGCGTCCAAATACCCGGATTTATCAGAAGAAAGTGTGAAATTTTTTAATACGAAAGCCTCGCACATTTGAGTCACCACTCAGGATGTTTTCACTGACAATACTCGACTAATTCAAGCGAACTATTTTGTCCCCCACAGCATAGGAAAAAAAGAGAAGCTCTTGAGAATGACTCGCTGAAAGTGTCTCAAGCGATTTCCTTGACTTTTGCCTAAATTTGCCCGTACACAATAATTTCCACTTTAAATATGCCGAACGAATGATCAATGTGCAATTGTGCCTTTAATTGAGCGTCAATTTGAGTTGTAATGAGATCAAAAAATTTACTGTATATTTCACTTTCGAAAAACATTGAAAATTTCCGACAGAAAAGAGCCACGAGAAATTGAACAGGTTCCCCCAGCAATGTCCACTCACTTAACAGAGAGATTTTCGCACAGAATCACAAACACGTGCCTTGAGTATTTTGCCGCTCACTGATCGTGTTGAAATATCCTGAGAATGCCTACGAGATGTTGGCCAGGAGTGATACCGTTGCGAGATCGAATTGGTATGCACTCTTGTCCGCACGCTAAATGCACGCAAAGTCACTTGCTCCGCCGCGGAAGGTCGTTTGCACACTGACGATGGTGAATGAGCAAGAAACGGCGGCGATCATTAAACTTCTCTCCACGGTGCGGCTTACTGACTGACTGGCACACTCCAAGTCGCTCTTTCTCCCTCCTCGGCAGCCCCAGAGACGGGATTAGCTCGAGATACACGAAATTCATTGACTTCCACGAAGAGCTCGGTGCGCTATACGCGAGATAATCTGGAAATTGAGCGTACACAGAGCGTGGCTCAGCAAAGGTGACCAATATTAAGCTGCATTGTGTTCAAATGTAATGTCATTACTTGTTCTTTTGTGAAAGACTTACTTTACATTCTCTCTCCGTTTAAAAGAAATTCACTTTTTGCTGAATACACAATTGTTTAAACTCTTTTAAATAATGTAGATACTAATAGAAAACTGCGCATCAAATTTTAATGCATATGAACATAAATACTACCTGAAACATCTGGGTTGATCCACACTTTTCGAACAACGAGATTTGCGCTGAAGAAAAAGTAACGTGCATGTTCAAATAGACACTCGAGTATATAATCAAAAAATGGGGCTTTAATGGGATTACCAGAGCCCGTTTAAGTGTGAAAAAAATTGAAGGCACCACTCACACCCATAATTTTCGGTCACGGAGAATGCATGGCGGAAAAGAAGTACAATTCATCTCAACTGTCCAACTAATTGGATGAAATTTATTCGTAAGAATGCCTGATCATGACTCTTAAGGTGACTACAAACATCCAATCCCATAGGAAAATGATACCTCATTTGTTGACGCTGTGTGAAAATTGGCGGGAATTCCAAACACCACAATTGGAACGAGAATTTTTGGCGAGGACCTCTCAATTAACTTTAACTTTGCTGCGGCTCCACTTGCAAATCACACGGTAGAGCTTTGGAAAGTAGATGATGACGCAATAAATGGCACCTAGATAGGCAGCTATCAGGAAAGTCAGGAACAAATCAAACACGGCCGGTTTGACGCTGCAAGAAGAGAGCAATATAACATTCCAGTCGCCTGCGAGTCGTCCAGCGAGAGCAGAGAAAGGTGACTCACCTGTAGATATTGAGGAGGCCCTCTTGCCCTTCGTACAGCATAAAATCTGGTTCCCTGGCGTCGGGCTTTTCGTACGTTATCTTAACGTTCTTGAGGTACTTCTGGAAAGCATTCTTCAGATCATTGTTCTGAAGAGTGGATCTGATGCCAAGCCACGGCCTCAGTGAGTTCTGAGTCACAGCCATTGAACCCGTGAATATTTCAGCCTCATTCAGATTATAGATGTAACTGGCGAGCGCCTCGGCCAGGATCTTTGTGTACCTCTCAAGTACCTCCAAACTAGATGGACTACTGTCCGTGAAAATGGTTGTTCGCAGTGGATCTTTGTGACTCTGCAATGACAACACAATTGTCTCACTTTCTCGTCAAAATAAACCCAGTTTGTGGTGAAAAAAGAGCAATGCAACTCTCAACACCCAAGGTTTAGTTCACACGGAATTTTTGGGTGAAAAGAAATGGAAGGACAAAAGTCGGACAGTCGCTAACATATTATAATCTCTTTTTTTTCACTCTTGACACCACTGATCTTTGGCAACTGAAGGACGGAATGCAATGATGTATCTTTCCCTAATTAAATATCCCAAAAATTAACCGTAAAGGCACGTGTTTTATCTTAATTACGAAAACATACGAATGAGTGATTATTTGCCACTATGTTTTGTCAACTGGAACTCTAAATATTCAAAATTTTTGCGCGTTACATAAGAAAATATCTCAAGTTTGAAGACTCCGATTTACACATCTTTAACAATGCATGAGCGAGGTATAAGATATTGAATATCACGTTGGGACCCATTTAAGGTCACCTCATTATTCTCAACAATCTTCAATCGATTTTTCTTTTACTCCTCATCTTTCTCTTATTCAATCGCTGGATGGAATCAAAGACATGGTTAACCACGAGATTATCTATGTAAAAAAGATGTTCATGAGTTGTCTATCAAAGTCTTGAACGGGAATTGTTGCAAAGACTGCGCGTCGTGTTGTTGAAATTCAACACTTCTTTTATGTCTAAAGCTTTTGGCAGTAAAAATATTATTTTTACATAAAAGACAATGGTGGAAAACTCATAGGGTTGAGTGAAATGATAATTCTTGTTTAAAAATCTTAATTCCTACCTTTAGACTAGACAGTGTGAACGCTGGCATTCGTTTCATGCTGAACCTCTCGTGCTCCCATGCCAGAATGAGATCCGCTAGATTGATTTTCTTGTGTACACCCTCGACAGTGACATTCCCAAAGCGCTGGGCGGCGACTTTGAGGTGTTTGTAGAAATTATTCATGTGAGTACCCTCCTTTGGTGGCTTTGACACGTGCATAAAGAACGTGGAGGAGTCACTCAGGCCCACCGAATCGAGACAGAGCACGAATTCTGCGTTCTGAATTTGGACATTCTCATCTGCATTTGTGTCCAGCCACTTCTTCATGCCCTGGAAGTTGAGGAGGCTTCCGGATTCAGACAGGAGGAACAGAAGTCGATACTTTGGCGCCGTGGAAACTGTGCTGTGGAGTTTGCTGAACAGATCCATGAGGGTGAGAAAGACGGCCACATCGAGGTTGCCAAGGTGCTCATTGAGAAGCCCGAAAGTGTCCAGATGGGCAGTGATGATGATTAGGGGGAGCTTTGGGTTAATTTCCACAGTATTGCCACGGGTGGAGTCTCCGGGCGCCTTGTGCATCGCCGCAGCCGGAGCCAGTTCGCCCTGAATGATGGGGATCTTGCTCTGTTTGTTGGCCGTGTGACTGGCGCCTGACACAACAATCTGATAGCCATTGGCGGAAATTAAGCTCATGATCTCCGTCAAGGCGGTTTCTCTCTGGCCAGGCTTGGTGTTCGAACTTGCTGTGACATCACTGATGATACCCTCCAATTTCTTCTCGTACGTGGAAAAGTAGACAGGAATGGAAACCTCCTGGGTCATCATGGCCTGCTCCAGTAGCAGAATATGTTGTCTGTCATCTGCGGACAGAGTGGAGAGATCCTGCGGAAGCAGCAAAACCAAGCCTCCAGCTTTTGCCCGGATTTCCCGGAACTGGTCAATTGTCAAGTCTTGAAATCTGAAACAGAATGCCGAATCAATTAGCTGAGAAACCATACAATGCTCTAATCTTACCTCGTCACGACACAGTGCCTTGATGTCGTCCAGGTGTGGAGGGATTTTGCCTCTAAATTAAGAGCTGAAGCCCTACATCCTGAAATAATTAGATTTCATTGGCCACGAGACATAACCTCACATTTGCATGCCATTGCCGGAAAAGCCCCCTTTTAACACTGTTCCGGGGAACAATCCCGACAGGCACTCACCATAGGGGGTTCCATGGACGTCAAACTGTGCCATCCGCTGCACGGAGAACTCACTGGAGGCCAGCACAGGATTCGAGGAGCAAATGATGAGAATAGGCAGAGTGATCAGCAGGTAATACGGCAAGCCGCCACGAAAAATATCAGCAAAATTGTCAGCCTCCTCGAACATGTTGGTACGCACGAGTCCCTCAACTACTTTGGAGAGCAATCAAAGTTAGGGCCGAAGCGCGTGATCACGAGCAGTAAGTGTTGAAATATCCCGAAGAAAAGTGAGAATTTGCTTTCCCCGGAGCTGAGCCACTAGCGCCACTAACGGATAACTGAAAATCATTCATTGCAGATAGCGCAGTCATCAGCTAAGAGTCATTTTTGACCATTTAAATCGCACCTGCCTTATATCATTACACATTTATTATTTAAACGATTTAGACTCATAATTATCTTGCTTCTTGCCCTATAAATTTCAATCCCTTGCCAAATGTGAATTAAAATGATATCGCTAAATATATATGCAAATTAGGTGTTAGATCATTAAAAAAGTAATTTCTCCTGGCATTGTGTTTTCTGCTCCATAATAAAGCGCATATTTCATGTCTGAAATTAAAGCAAGAGATGAATTAAGGATCAGATGTGGCATAAAAGGCTGTTGAAAAGTAAAAATATTACCCTTATGGATGATTATGACTGATTTGTCTGTCGTTTGCCTTCTGACGCCGTCCACTTCCGCCTCAAATGATCCTCGCGTGACGACCAAGTACTGTTAATAGAACATCATCCAGTTAATACCCTAAGAAACTCTAAAGGACGTGATATACACGATCACTTACGCATTTCTCTGACGTCACACGACATCTCTTCTTTCTTGTTCCTGGCTTGAACACCATAAACCCGCAGGCTTCAGACATTTGACTCACATAAAAATCAATGCCAGGCACAGCTGATTCCTTCTTCATGTAGACATGAACTTTTGACTCTGATGGAATAGAAAGATTCCTTATTAGTTAATTAAATATTTAAGATTATTAAATTTGCCTTACTGAAATCAAACACTTCTGCAATTTTTGGGTTATTGTCCTCATCCCGCAGTTGATTGAAAATTTCATCCTGACTCATCGCAGGAATGGCTTTGCTTCGACCAGCCGAGTCTTCATCATCCCTGGTATTCTGTGGCCTCTTCTTCTTCGGCTTTTCCTTTGTTTTTGTTGGCTGTGGCTCCTCGATCTCCGCAACATCCAACTCTGTGTTCGGCTTCTGCTTCTTCTTGTCCCTCTCTTCTTGTTTCTTCCTTCTACGCTTCTTCTCCTCGATCAAGAGGGTGAAATCACTTTTGAACACAGGTGTTTCTTCACTCGGATCAGCATTCGCATAGCGCTCCTTTAGCGGCACCTCCTCGTTGTACGTTTGCACCTTCAAGGTCTGGTATCGAGACGAACCGGTGAGCCAATAAGGCATTGGTGTACACTTTTGTCGTCTAGAGCGTCTCAAGTTAAACTCATTCTGTGGGATGACTTCTGCTTTCTCCTTCTTCCTCTTTTGACTCCTTTTCTTCTCCATCGGTGGCAGTACTGTTAGGCGATCTACAATCACCGCGCACTGTGGCAGATCCATCTCTTGATCGACTGAGGGAATCACGTCACGGACGATCTCATCCTCTGAATGTTCAGGCTCTGGTTCCCATTGACTGTTCACCACCGTATTTTCTGTCACATCCTCATCTTGACTGTTCCTGTGCGAGTAGAGCTTTCGCATAGATGCTCCTGCGGCTCTTGGAACAGATGTACGAATATCTTTCTCCAGCTGAATTATTCTCCGCACAGGCGAATCCAGCGTCTGCAATATAAAAGAGAAAAATATAAGCACATTTATAGACCAAATAATTTTATCATATTACCTTCTTCTTTCTTTTAGTTCTCTTCAACTCCTTCACCGTCAGAGATGGAACCTTAAAAATGCCAGAATCACTCGTGGTAGTAATTGTGGTAGTACGTTGGTCAGTTGTATTATTGATTTTGGAATTCCTCAATCGATGAATCGTGTTCCTCTCGGAAGCTTCCGCAATCGCTGAAATATTCGTCGTAAATTGCTTGAGGATATTCTCTCTTGGATGTCTGGAAACTGTGTCGCGCTTAGAGCTGCAGTCTACAAATCCAGAAGTTGCGTCATTTGACGCTTCAATCCTCTGTTTGTTGGATCCCGTGGATCCCTCTTCAGTAGCCTCCAAATTCGCTCGGTCAATATTCTGAGGAACTATCGTGGCATCATCGTTACGGGAACTATTGCAGCTCCTGTCGTGAGCCACTGACACAACATTCATGATCGTCTTCTGACTTTGCCTGCCATTCGCTGCAGGAGTCTTAGCCATCGTTTCAGAAATGTCCATCTTCAGAGATCCCAAATTTGTCTGAGGCTGTGGAAAATCATGCAATTCATTGTCTTCTTCATCAGACGTCAGCTCGATTATCACTTCTTCCACCTCATCATACACTACCACGTCGTCGTCCACATCATTTGGAAGATCTAAAGTATATATGGGTTGTGAGGCTTCTTCTTCAGGTTCCTGAGCAGCAGGTGAAACTGGCAAAGCATCGGGCATGTCATTGTCACTGTTAGAATGCTCTGGTGAAGAGAACGATGACAGTGACCCAAAGTGAGTTGGAAGAGTCGCTTTAGTTAATTGTCTCGAAGCAGATTGTCGGCTGGCAATCATGGACTTCTCGGATCTCCTATCGTATTCTGTAAATATCGGATTTGGGGGATCTTGCTCCGGAATCTTTGTAAGTATTGAAGTTCGGCGCGGCAAAGAATCTACCCTCCGTCTGGTAATCGACTTTCTCTGTGTCGGAAATGGAGTGCTCGTAGTGCCGGGAGCCTACAATTGCCACGAAGAGGATTGATTAGAAAAAAAATCAATAAAGGAGAACAATTGCCAATTACTCACGAAATTCAAGGTTCCATTTGTAGATGAACCTGGTGATGTCATCACTACTGGACGCTCTGGACCCTCTGGACTCTCTGGACCCTCTGGACCCTCTGGACGATGGTACGAAGCCGCTGGCGGCGCCTTTTTCTTTATGTACTTGACTTGCACAACCTCACTTTTTCCGTTCACGGGATCCTTGAAGAGTTTGGTCACCTTCTTCTTCCTCTTCGCCAACAGGTATTCAGCAAGGTTGTTCCCGGAATTATCGAACACCTCCATATCGAAATCCTCAATATTGCGAAACCTGCGGTGGCACGAAAATAATAAAGAAAATTACGGTATTTTCATAAAATTCATTCCGGGAGCACCAGTCACTCTACGTATGCATAGTTTTCTGTTAAAAAACATGAATTTTGCACAAATTTCACTCACATAGTAATCTCGTCTTTTTAGTATAACGATTAAATAATAGAAATAGTCTCTTCTTTTCGCATTTACGGAAGAAAACGTGAAATAATTATGACAAAATTTTTTCACACAAAACAAGTTTTATTTTCAAACACAAATTCCGTTAAATGTCATGACGCCTGTGCACTGCCCTCTAGCGGAATATTTCTCGAATTCACCACTTTATAGCAAATTTGAATAATGCTAAACCGGACAGAGGTGTGTTTCTTGGCGCCATTTTTTATATTCTGTAACTACTTTCTTCTGTACTATATATAATTGAGAGCTATATTCATCGCGTATGCAATTTCTGAATTATTGATAACAAAAATAATAAGAAAAAACGATTTGTTATTTTTGTTAAAGCTGAAGTCGTATCATTTTGCATAGGATTTAAATAATTTTTATAACCACGTATTTGATTACACCATGTATTGATATTTGTCTGAAACAAATTTGCAGTTTCGCAAGATAGGAAAATACGGCATCAATTAGTACATATAAAAGCACCCTCAAATTCGTTGTTCACTGTATAAAGTAAATTCAAGATAAGGTATTCAAGAGTTTCCCAAGCAAATAATGAAATACTCCAATTTCTTTCACGCCATATTCTCAATCATTCTGATCATGGTATGACTATAATATTTTATTCAACTTCAATTAGAGATATTTAAAACTTTTTTTTGTATTCAGGCAATATTTTCCCCATCAGTCGCAGGAAAAAAGGATAATGGAAAGACTAATAAACCAAAATTGTCGTCAAAATCTCCACTTGCATTTTGATGAAGGTTGAATGAAAAATGTAAGAAAGTAACAAGAAATATATTAAAATGATTCATACTAAAAAAATATCGTAATTTCTGTAAACGTTAGCTCTGAATTGAGTTCCGTTTCTTTACTTATGCATTCATAATCATCTTAAAAAAATTTGAATCCAACACACTCAAATAATCAATATTGATTATTTGAAAACTCGGCAATTTCCTCTGTGTATTTGTCACAAAATTCTAATTTTACCAACTGATTATACAAGCAATTTCTGTATTTTCTTATTTTTAAAATCATGTTTCAATATAAATTCAGGTAATAAAATGTCCAAGTTCAGTACATAACTTACCATGAATACTTTAGTCTGTGCGCTCATTTTTCTTTTGTTTTTCGTAAGTTCATGCAAATATTTAGTAAATTTAAGATAAACAGGTCAATGTTATGCGTAGATCGGATTCTGCCAAGCGGAGAATCCAGAGAAGTATTGCATACGAACCCTAAAGGATACACACTTTGACTGCATCGTTTATTGTAAGTACAACTACTATGTATTCACGGATGGCAAATTCAGCATCGACAAGAAACACGTAAGCAAGAGAGTTTGAAAAAATATGTTTTCAGTCCTTAATTGGAAAATTTTTAACTTCTAGATGGATAATCTTACTTACATTCTGATTAAGTACAAGGCAGTTGACAGTTCTAAGAAGAAACAAGTGCAAGAGCATCTGGAGAAGTGCAAGGAAAAGGCAATCAGGAAAAACAAGACGCCGAGCTGCGATAGGATCATGGATTATTACAGGTGCGTCGTTGACGACAAACTAATTGATTTTGATAAGTATGACAGAGCAATGAGAATGTATGACAGTACCATCATTGTATGAGAAAAGGTTGAATGAAATTAAACCCTGAAGAGGGATTAAAATAAATACTGAGTGCTGTTCACAGATTCTAAGGAATTTAATTAAATCGCCACCACAAAAACTCCCAAGGATTTCGTCTCTATATCATCCCACACAAATGAGAGAAAAAATGTGAGAAGAGTGCAAATTAGAGGAAATCAAATATCCATAAATTATTGGCTAAATCCTTGTCGGTGAGAGGTGAATTGGCAAAAAGGGGGTCCAATCAGTGAGAAAGAAATTCAGTAATAAATGCGAGAATTGAGTAACTTACCTTCATCAAGGATGACAAGCGAAATATACCAAGAGTCTGTGTATTGTGGAAGGATACGGAGCTTCTACGCAGTCTTCCAAGTCGTTCGGGATCTCTTCAGCACTAAACACGACTTCCTCTCGACGAGACTTGCTCACAATTCACACCGAGATACACAAGGCAGTCTATAAACTTGATTGCTGTCGCTCTTTCACTCTCACTTTTGTCGTTCAACAGTGCGAACGTTGAACTGTCCGTGTGCAGTCCTGAAAGTCAATCAATGATTACGGTTAGTCTTTGCGTTGTTCCTTCGTGTGAAATGTATCGTAATTGATGGTCAGGATAGCAATAATTTGGCCGCTAAATAAACTACTTGAAGAGGAGCTCAAGTGTTGAAGATTGCGAATTCTCATAATTCTCTATTCAGTTGATTGTGCTGAAAGTGACAAATTTGAATAATTATTCCAATGTGCATTGATGTGTAAGTTTTATGGAATTAAGAGGAAGTTCCCAAAGATAAGTCGGATGGATCCATCAAATTAAATTTCAAGATATTCCACGAGACATCGGTTTATCCCCAAGTGAAGGTACAGGAGAGAGAAAAGAGAAATTGCTGGAGTGTTTTCACCCCCCTTGGCGGCCAAATCATCTTACCCAGAAAGGAGCACATTTCAATGTCACTAATTACATAATTAAATTCATCCTCGCATTTTCCCACGACTGTCGACACTGACTCATTTTCGAGCGTCAAACTCGTTTTTGTTGTCTAAAAGAAGTGCAATATTGTAATCTGTAGATTTTGCAAATTTAGAATTTCGAACAATAATCCGTATTATATATATTTATATTTTCTTGACAATTTTCTATATTAATTTTTTTCTTTGATTTATCGCAATGTTCAGTGTCGAACATTTTGCAAAGCTTCCCTGTCTCTCGACACTACCTTTTATCGACTTCTTGAATCACGGCAAGACTTTATTTCTCATCATTACCCAATCAGTCAATTCGGATGAAGTAATTCTCGGGGAGAAATCGGAGAGACAAGATTGTCCCTGAAACTCAAAAATCGCATTGAATATTCTTCAAAAGTTGGTCCCTCCTTGTCAAAAAGTGATTTTCATCAGTGAAAAGGACATTCTAATTGAGAGCAAAAGAAAGTTTCCAAGGGGTGATGGGTGGAAAAGCTCCAAAATAAACATGTTGCCGCACATCAATTTCCAAAATAACACTGTTATGTGCTTCTCTTTGTCACCCACACCCTCTTGGCCCGAAACACTCGATGGGAAGACCATCGTGATGGAGAGAAATGGGATGTGAAAAGTTGCACAATTGAATTTTTGTGGAACACAGCACCTTTCCTCTTCTCTCGGCATCCCCTAGCTTCCAGTCTGAGGCACAGTCCGTGCATAGGCAGGAATTGGGGTGCAGAGGAGAGGCAGAATGGGCGGGTGGAGGAAAATCGTGTGAAAGAATGAAAAACGAGAGTGAACGCGACGCCAGGAATTGAGCACACAACACACCGTGTCCTTTTTTAATGCCTCTTGCCTATTACAATGAAACTCCTTTTATTTGTCAGTCTCACACCGAAACTCACATTATTAAATTGGTTGAATTGTCGTGTGTTAATATTGAGTAGGGATTCTGTTTGCCTTCCCACTAGGTGAGTGTGAGCGAGAGTCCTTGAATTTTAATCCCATTATTATTGCCACTCTCAAGAATGATTCCACTTTGCCACCCCTCCACCTTTTTGCTCCACCCCAGAACCCCCTTAACTCCCTCAGTCTCTGGCTTTTGTCACCACTACGGCGATATTTTTTATCCATCAGACAGAGAGCAAAAGTTTTCGGGCTCCATCCTCGTGTTCTTTATATCCAAAATTACCATTGTCAATTGAAAATTAAATTTGCCACCAATTGAATCCTGAAACAGACAATACCATTTCATCATTCCACAGACAAAACATCAAGAGAGATAAGCGAGGCTTGGGCGGGAAATGATAAAAAGGATCCTTCTGGAAATTGAATGAAGAGTGAGTGATGAAAAATTGCACAGACGGAAATATCACTCTCTGTGATGATGGCAATTGGTGGGACCTCACCTTCGACAATATCACAAATTACACCACAACTGAGTACCAACATGATCCAGGATTTACCCTCAGATACGGCATTTCCGCCACGATTTTTCTCAGGTGAGGATTCTATTTTTGACAAGAATAATTTGTAATCTAATTTGTAGACTGCCTGAGAAAAATCACAAATAACCATTCAACATTATTTACGGTTTACAAACCCGGAAAATTGTCAAATGTCTCCAATTTCCCGTACACATAATATAGGTATAGTAATATATATTTATGAAGGAATTTGAAATGTATAAACAAAAAATGATGAGCTTTGTTTTCAAAATAATCTATAAAGTCTCCCTCTAAGGTAAATAGCAAATGTCTTTTAAATCGAATTAGTGTAGGTGTGAAAGCGGGTGTGTAAATATTTAATTACGAGCAAAGAATCCGCTCATTCGCATTTCCGTTGGTGAAAAATCCCTCAAAGAGAGCAGTGAAAGACTGTGGAGCACTCCCACGCATTTCAATGTCAGACCGTGAATATTCTGTGACTAATTGGGGGTCTTTTTGCTCACCCCCTCTAGCCTGGCGTATGGGATTGTCTTCGTGCTGGGCGTTGTGGGCAATGTGGCGGTAGTTGTGGTTGTCTTCAAGAGCACCAGCATGAGATCGGCCACCAATCAATTCATTGCGAATCTGGCGATAGCGGATCTACTTGTGAACTTCTTCTGCCTCCCATTCACACTGGTTGGGAATATTTTTCAAGGTAAGAAATCACCTGTCTGTGAGAATCTCCGCTTTCAACACCCACAAAATAATGGCATGTCTTTTGATTCCAGGGCGAAAGCCCCGGAGCGGACAAAAGATACAGCGCCTGTTAAATTCTGCGGCGCTCTCGAGATGCTTTTGTACATAAAAAACTTCCCTCCATCCCCCCACCCTTCTCATATCTCCGCCTATGTGCACATAGGGCTATGAATTTCAAATATGCCACAAGAGAGAATTTCATGGGATTAGCAAAATATGAAGTGGATGAGCATTTCTGGGCGATTTTGCACCTGGCAAATCCAAAATTAGGATCAAATTATTGGGATTCAAGAGATTGTCGCCGCATTTCACAGAGCGACGAGAGTGTGGAAATAATTAAGCCGTGTTCTTCTTGTTATTGCTTCCTCTTTCCCAACAGCACAAATGCCCCCCCTCCATCGTCACACTGCTGTCCCCTTGTTGTTTGGATCCTCAATTTCGCCTCATACAAACACCCCCTTTAAAGCTATTTTGCAATGCAAGCATTCCTCAGTGAGTGTCTTTTTGCTTCACGGGGACACTGAATCGAATTACAAGGAAAATTATTTACATATTCTTAGATGTTCAGGGACCGACTAAATTCAATTTCAAATGATCGTCCTTGGTTGGCGGAATGCCACCGACAAACCACTCAGTGTCAATTCGCCTCAAGCTTTTCCACACATATTTTCCTCGTATTTTTTGCACCTTCCCAGAGAAGACGATATTTTATAGAATTATAGCAATAAACGATGTAGGAAATAACCAATGATTTCATTAAATATCTTCCAGATTGACTAGAAATCTCGTATAAGAGATTGCGAGTGAATGAAGGTTTCATTCCTTGTGCCACTCTGAGAAAATCATATTGAAATTCTGAATTATACATATTTTTTGGCATGTTTTATGAATTGCCTTGAGAATGTGTATTTTTATTAAAATGTATTTTTACTGATAATTTTGATGAAATCTTTCCTCAGCATGGATTTTAGGTGTGTTCGTCTGTAAGATTGTTTCCTATCTACAAGGAGTCTCTGTGTCGGCCTCGGTGAACACTCTGATGGCCATTTCATTGGAGAGATGTGCTGCCATTTCATTCCCTCTCACTGGAACCATGAACAGTCGACAGTACCGCATCTCTGTGATGCTCATCTGGATCATTGCTCTGACAATCAACATGCCGCTGCTGTTCGTTTTTTCCACTGAGCCTTTGGGAATCAAGGGAAGCGTAGCTGAGGTGTGTGTGGAGCTGTGGCCCTCGGAGGACGCGGATAATCTCTTCTTCGCAATTGCCAATCTCACTATTTGCTACCTCGGCCCACTCACCGTCATCTCAATATGCTACACCGTGATATGGCGAAGTGTGGCCAACCGAAGCATTCCCGGCGAGAGACTCTGCAACCGACAAATCTGTGTGGTCAACAGATCAAAGGTCAAGGTATTTCCCTACCCCCTCCCGCCAATGACCGCTCAGATGCATTCAATAACTCTTTTTATCGCCTCCACCAGGTCGTGAAAATGGTCTTCGTGGTCATTGTCACCTTCACTCTCTCCTGGTTGCCACTCTATGCCATCTTTTGCTTCGTCAAATTCTCCGGAGATCTCCTCAATGATAAGACAAGTGTGTCCTCTGGCCAAATCTCTCATTACGATGTGTCTAACCTTGCGTAACATTTTCCAGCTCAAGACATTATCCATGTTCTCTTCCCCATTGCTCAGTGGTTGGGAGCGGCTAATTCCTGCATTAATCCCATCTTATATGCCTTCATGAACCGCAAGTTTCGTGTGGGATTTAAGGTAACATTTCCGTCTATTCCTATTTGAGGAGTGTGTGACATCGATAGCTCGTTTTCTGATATAATAATTATTTTTCCATACTTGCACAGAGTCTCATCGGGAGAACCAATGGCAGCTCTCATCTTTTTGATCACAACGTGGGCTTTACTTTGAAGGAATTCAGCAGCCGCGGCAGTCGCAGATTCAGCTCTAGTGTTAAAACTCAGCATGGAATCATCAAAGCGGACTCGTTTCGTGTGTCCTTTCCCAATCACTCCACTCATCTCACAGTGATCCACGATCAATACCTCACGCCTAATAATTAGGATGTCTGTTTGATGTGAAAAATGTTGAACTTTTGTGTGACTTGTTGGAATAATGAAAACGTACCAGTGTGGCCCATCAATGTTCCCTCCAGAAACCACTTTTACTACACTTTCAGATCCCCAACAATCAGTATTCTTGATATTCAATGTAGTTTGAAAGATGATAAGTAAAGTTATGAGTATTGTAAATAATAAAGAATCTTATTTTACTCCTTTGATATCTAGATGGAGACTTCCAAATAAAGAAAATGGAGTAAGTTGATTTTCAATATATTCAATATACATATTAAATTCCTATAAGAGTTAGAAAAGAATTTTTCTGTGAAAGAGACTTTTAACGGCGACAGCATTTTCAATTGGAAGATGACGTCAAAAATCCCAAAAATATCCTACACTTGATTTGTATGGGAAATTTTCCACACTTGCACGCTCGAAGAGTGTTTTGACGTTCCGTGAGTGATTCCTGTGCAGTTTTTTCTCAAAAAAGCGTTTTTCCGCGTTCAGAATGGCCCTTCGCGCACAATTTGAGAATAAAGATGATATTGGGGTGTTCAGCAAACTCACAAATTCATACTGCCTTGTGGCAATTGGTGGATCGACCAATTTTTACAGGTGAGGTTATGTGACCATTCACGTGCCGGAAGACAAAATATTGCGAAATTCTCATGATTTTCCTATTCTGGGACGCGTCCGCAGCGTCTTCGAGGCAGAGTTGGCAGAGACAATCCCTGTGGTGCATGCCAGCATAGCGGGATGTCGTATCATTGGGCGACTAATCGTGGGAAATAGACATGGATTGCTGGTTCCCAATTCCACGACGGATGTGGAGCTGCAGCATCTGCGAAACAGCCTGCCAGAGAGTGTAAAGATCCAGAGAGTCGAGGAGCGCTTGTCCGCTCTGGGGAACGTGATATCATGCAATGATTATGTGGCGATTGTGCATCCAGACCTGGACAAAGTGAGTGATCAGACGGCGAATCGGAATTCTCTTGGTAATGTGTATGATTTTGCAGGAGACCCAAGAGATTCTCGGCGACACACTCAATGTGGAGGTTTTCCCGCAAGTTATTGCCAACAATGTCCTTGTGGGATCATACACAGTGCTGAGCAATCAGGGAGGGCTGGTGCATCCCAAGTCCACAATAGCTGAGCAGGATGAGCTATCCTCGATGCTGCAGGTGCCAATAGTGGTAAGTTTATGTTGCACCGGACACAATTTCCTTCCTACATGTTTTACATCTATCCAGGCGGGGACAGTGAACAGGGGAAGCGATGTCCTCGCGGCTGGTCTCACCGTGAATGACTGGTGTGCTTTCTGCGGGATGAGCACAACTTCCACGGAGGTGGCAGTGATAGAGAGTGTCTTCAAGTTGAATGAAGCCAAGCCAACAAATGTAACCAACGAATTGAGGACATCTATCATTGAGACGTGAGTTCTTTTTCCAACTCAACAAAAGAATACTTCCTTACTCTCTTTTACATTTCAGAATGTGGTAAAACCTCTGCTGCCGATCAACAAGGTGTATCTTATTCATATGTGAAGCTAATTGAGAGAATATCTTTAATTGTGAAATTTACAAAAAATCATACATGTAAGCGTATTGAAGAAAATATACCTATAATAACGTGTAACTCCATTGAAAAGAAATTTCTTGCTCTGCAAAATTCCTTATATCTGAAAAGGTAACCTTCATTTCCAATGCATTTTGTGATTAGATTTCTGATTCACTTATCCTTTGCTTTCAGGCTCTAAAGGGCAGTCGATTGAACGATAAAACACATTTCTCAGGTGCGTTTATTACATTTTATTTCTCGCATTATAATAATTTGACTGAAATTAATGGCAGTACGATGGCGGGGCATTTCAGTGGGATACATCTAGGAAACTGAAAGCCTTCGAAAATATACAGGGAAACAATTTACAAATGATTAGAAATAGTGAGCACAGATTCAGTAGCACAAGAGACTTAGAAGATACAATAGACATGGTTATTTATCCTTCCTCAATTTACCTCGCCAGACAAGAGTTGATCTCTCTTAAGTAGATATTGCTCATTTGACTATTTCATTTCTCCACATTTTTTTTTCTTCGAAAGCAACATTGAAAGTTTTTCTTATGTCTAAGATATTTTTTTTCTTAAATTTCCCCCTTTCGACTTGCTCAAGAAGTACACTGTCTGTAACGATCGGCATCTTCTTGGATTTTGTTTAGATATTTTGTCATGTCGTCATTCAAGCCAGAAATTCTGTCTCGTAAACTCTCCAGTTCGCGATCGTTGACTTTGTACACATCCACCATATCTGTAATAAATAAGTAGATGGCTTATTTTTAATCAATTCCTATCAATTCACCTGTCAATTTACCTTTCAACTCCTTTAGTTTCCCTGTGGTTTCCACAGTGATTCTCGATGCTCTCTGCAAAAGATGCTGAGCCCTTTCCCTGGCACTCTCCGAAGTCACTGCCTTGGCTGAGAGTGAATTGTTAGCTTGTTTGTATTCATTCTTCAGCTGAAAAGATATATTTTTGCTGGTTAATCAAAAACTTTCTCTCTCGAAATAAACCATTTTTTTCTTACTTGTGTAACCAACTCATGAGCATTGTTGGCTAAATCCTTCACATGATCAGATTGCCTCTGAATCTCATTCGCATCTAAATCGTTCTTGAGGAACTTCTTGCCCAACTCAGTCAGTTTTCCGGTCAGTATATTCACTGTTGTCGCAGTGTCATTCGCTTTCTTCTGAGCATCTCCTGTTTCTCCATCAATCTGCAAAAAAATGCATGAGAATTTGGCTCAGAATCTCAAGTTCCACGTTCACTCACTTGATCAAGATCTATTCTGGCAGAAGAAATATCCTCATTAGCCTTCTTTATAGCCTCGCTGGCCTTCTCTTGAGCTTCATCAGCATCATGTAGAGCTGTCACTACTTTTGTTGCCTCTGTGAGAACCTCATCAGCGCGTTTCCTGCAAAATATTCACTTAATAATAATCTCACCAGCAATTGTGTCTAATGTTAGACGTACTTTGCATGATTTGCTCTGTTTTTGAGACTCTCAACTGTCGCCAAATCTCCACGAGTTTGCTCAATGATATCCTCTACATTTTCAAGTGACGACACAGTTTCATCAATTCGAGTCGCAAGATTCTTTATTTCCCCCGGATCCAACTCCAGAGCCAATCCCAGTGTCTACAAAGTGAGAAGAATCATGTTAATAGCAGAAAATTTGTCTATCTCCTCTCCTGAACTAATTACCTCGTCGGCGATCGCTTCAATCTCACTCGGCAAGGCTGTGTTGCTGTTGATAACATCTGTGAGATTCGTGATATAGCTCCGCGCGACATTGATGTAGTCATCTGTCTCGTTGTAGTACAGCTCACTCTCGTTGAATACTCCATTGGCACGCCTCCAGGCCTCTGAGGCATTTGTCTTGGCTTGAGACAGCTGAAAGATAAGCATCAATCGTCACTTTCACTCTCTCCATGAGTGATTTACACAAAGTTCTTACCGATCTGATCAGCTCTTCTGCCTTTTCATCATTCTCTCGTAGTGTTTTCTCAGTATCTTTGGCATAGTTGAGTGCCTTCTCGGCCTTTGTTAGGGCGCCCTTTTCACAGGACAATCCGCCACAGAAGCCACATCCAGCTCCACCACAGAGGTCATCGCATGGACTTCCGCGACTGCCACACATGAGCTCGTTCAACTCTGGCAGTCGCTCGTTGAGATCCTTCAGGACATCTTCATACTCAACGAGAGCGTCAGCATTGCTTCCACTGAGTCTATGCACCTCATCCGCTGTCCTGTTGACCAGGATCTCCGTTCGTTTGCACTGTCTCGCAGCATTTTCGATCAACTCTTGCGTCTCCAGCTCCTTTTCGTCCAGCATTCGTACTCGATGATAAGCTTCTCGGGTGAGATTAAGAGCCCCGTCAACGTTTGCCTCCTGAAGCTGTGTGGCGTTTCTCTTGAGATCTCCTGCAAGATTCTTGATGTTCTCAGTGCGATTATGCAAATCCAGGAGCTCAACGTTGGCCAAATTGATTTTCGAGTCTAGACCCTCAAGGAAGTTTTCGGTTTTCTTAATATTCTCCAAGGCTTTGTTGAGGGATTTTCGTAGCGATAACACCTCTGACTCGAGGCTCTCAATGTCCTGCCCACTAATTGTCGTGTTCTCCAGCAATTGATGTATCTTGTCTAGCTTTTTGCCCATTGCGTCGAACTCTTTAGTGTAAGCTCCTGTGGCTCCGACTGTCTTGATATTCCTCGCTTCGTCAATCACCCGAAGAGTTTCATCTGGGAAGAGAGAACATTGTTAAAGTGACTCCATGAGCAATATTCATTATAACTTACTCTTCAGGGATGAAAGAATGAGATCCCAGTTGTCGAAACACTCTCCGCATGGAGAGCAGTAAGGCGCCTGTCCAAGATATCCTCGGTCACACTCGTTGCATTTGTAACCACCGATTCCCTTGATACACTGACACTGTCCAGTCTCTCTGTTACACTGCTGAGTTGCCGATCCGTAGTGGTCGCACTGGCATTCTGGACAGAAGAAGACAATGAGCAGAAAATCACACAGGAAATCGTCTTAAAACTCACCAAAGCACTTATGATTGGGATTTCCCCAGTAGTTCGTCTCACACTGATCGCACTGGCGTCCTCCGAATCCTTTTTGACAGTCACACTGGCCATCGTAGGGATTGCACTGATCTCTGAGGGAGCCTTTAGGGTCACATCCGCAATGCTCACATCCTTCACCCTTGGCAATCTTCCAGTGATTCTCCTTGCACGTGTCGCACCGCAATCCCTTCACGTTCTTCAAGCAGGGGCACTGTCCGGTGGTTCTATTGCAGTACTGGATCACATTGTTCGTGCCCAAGAGGTCACAATGGCAAGCTGAAAAAAATTTCCATATTTTGAGTACTTCGATGAATGTACTATTTTGTCAGTGAACTCACGTGAACACGACTGACGAAGGGCGTCTCCATAGAATCCATCTTCGCAGTGTTCGCATTTTGGTCCACCTGTATTGTACAAGCACTTGAGGCATTGTCCAGTATTGGGATCGCAATTGCCGGGCATTGAAGGATCAACGTTGTTGCTGCAGTCACAGGGCTTGCATTTGCCGCCTGTTTCCTCATTTCCGTAGTAGTTATCAGCACAGACGTCGCACTTGGCTCCAGTGTAGCCCTCTTTGCAGTGGCAGATCATGTCGTTTGTCCTCGGATCCAGTGTGCATCCGTGAGCGTGAGACTCTCCTGCGGCATGAGTTCCCGGACAGCGACACGGCCGACACCCGATCTCGCTGCCCAACAGGGGATTCCCATAGAATCCCTCAATGCAACTGTCGCATCGATATCCTGTGGTGAAGTCCTGGCAATTGAGGCATTCTCCCGTGTGAGAGTCACAGGTGTGAGCGTGACCATTGCATTCGCACATCTGACAATTGGGGAAGTTCCAGAAGCCAGGTAGACATTGATCGCATTCTCTGCCGTAGGCATTCGCCACGCAGTTGCACTGTCCAGTGATCAAGTCGCAATCATTGTCTCGCGACCCGATGCTGTTGCAGTCGCACGCCTTGCATCCCTCCGGACTGAATCCGTAAGTTCCAGGAGCGCACTTGTCACACTGTCGTCCCACGACGTTTTTCTTACATTGACACCATCCACCGAATTCTTCACATTTCTTACTCATCGATCCCGTGGGGTTGCAGTTGCAGGCTAAAACAGGCAAAGGGTGAAATTAAAATCTTTATTTGGAGGAGTGGAGGCTTCTATTACAATCCTCTTGACATTGTCCTGGTGAAAAGAGGAGAAAAATAGCGACAAGAAAAACAAATTTCATAGCTGACACATAAGTGAACTAGAAAAAGTGTCTCAAGATAATTGAATACTTACAGTGGTGATAAAATTTTCACCCACATTTAAAAAAAAAAGAATGATAAGAGAATGGGTGGAGAATAGAGACTTACGTGTGGCTCCATCGTAGACAAAAATACTGATTGTCCGATAGATGTCTTGACACTGTTCCGGCGAATTAACATCGTAATTCACATCGTAATATGTTTCATTGCATCTGTATCGCTCATACTCTCGTCGACGATTCTCGGCAGGAGCTGAGAAATTAAACAGGCTGGACACTTCGATGACAGGAACCAGAACGAGCTACAAAAGGAGGCAGACATTTAGGACTAGATTTAAGGTCACCGAATGGAATTTTATCTCACCGAATCAATCAGGATTTGAGCTGCTGCATTGTCCTCAGCAACATTGTGGCGCTCAAAGTGAATTTTGAAGCGATAGACCTTACCCTGCTCCAGGCAAACGTCCCTCATGCCAACCACCGATGTCTGATGCTCTGGCAGAAGGAATGGACGGCGAGTTTCGTATGAGGGATGCGCCTCGGGACATGCTCCATCAGGATCATACTCATCCGGACGGATCACCGTGATTGTTCCCACTTCCCAGTCGCCAGGAGTTTGAGTGGTGTACCTAACGATCACGTTGTAATTGGTTGTGCGCGGAACATCGGGAACACTGAACACAATTTCCGATCCTTCAGGAGCTCGAACCCATCCAGGACCTGTGACTGGGCGACGCACATCGTAAGGATATTCTGTGGCTACAATCGAACAATTCTGGAAGAGAGAAATTGAGGATGTTTTTGATAAGGATTAAGCGAATTTGCCAGATTCTTACCCCATAGCTAGAGAATCCCGTACAAATTGCACCTTCGGCCTCGTGAACAATGTGCAGCGATGGTATAAAGTGATTCTGAACAGGAATGTGGCACATGCGTCCCGTCATGTGAGGTCTACAGTTACACTGACCAGTGGTGACATCGCATAAGTTGCTCAATGATCCACCGGCATCACAATTGCAAGGAGAACATCCATCCTGACTGTCTGATAAGCCAAAAGTCTCTGGCAAACACTCGTTGCAATCCTTTCCACCAACCAGGCGCTTGCAGGTGCACTCTCCAGTGTACATGTTACAGCCTGAGTTATTGATTGTTCCCAGAATGTTGCACGTACAATTTTCACAACCATAGGGATTGTGAGGATTCAAGTTCCAGAAGCCATCTTTGCACAAGTCACAGCGACGTCCCTTTACGTTAGCCTTGCAATGACACGCTCCAGCCTCAATGCTGTACTCAGGATCGGTAACGGAGTCACAAATTCCATCGTCAACAGCCCCATGAGGATCACAATCGCAGGCTGGAGAAAGCAAAATGCATATCATGTAATCTGTTCTTAGTGAGTCAAAGAATCTACTCACGTTTGCATACATAGGGGCTCTGGATGTCCTCGATGGGATCGCGATAGAAAAATGGGATGCACTCTTCGCAATGCTGGCCCTGTGTGTGATGCTGGCAATTGTCGCAAACTCCTCCACTAATTCTTCCGGAATGCTCATAAACGGCTTGATCGAAGTGGCAACTCGTGGCGTGGTTGTTGCAATTGCATTCTGAAAAGAAATACCATTGGTAACAAGATGATCAACACTTAAGAGGAGCAATTTATCTTACTCTTGCAGGCATTCGTCTGCTTCCCCAAGGCTGGATTCCATGGAAGATCGTTGTAGAAGTCTTCACACTCTTCGCAGTTGAGGCCTTTCGTATTGTGTGTGCATTCACACCTGCCATGAACCATGTCGTACTTATTCACGACTCCATCCAATGGGAGACACCTCGAGGCATGTCCGTAACACGAGCAGGAGCCACGAACAACCATGTTCGAGATGGCGTAGTAGTACTTCTCCTGGATTTCCTGACGATCATCTAAGTGAGTGTCTCCCAGAGTGTGAAGCCGTGTGAAATTGATTCTCAGGTTGGTCATCTTGAGCATGTTCTGAATGTGATCGGCATAGGGATTCTCAATGTTCATGTTGGGCGGCAATACTCGATAAATCAACTCGCCATTCTTCGATGGCTCCACACCAGAATATCGTGAATCGCAGATGACATCAGTGATATTCTTGGAGAACTCCTTAACATGTGGAAAGGATTCCGGGCAATTGTGGGCAAAGTATCTGTAGACATGCCATGACTTTCCAAAGTCATACGAGCGCTCTATGAGCATGGCAGCCGGTCGAAAAGTGGCGAACACGATAATCAAATGTGTAAAGTGGAATTCAGCCTCCAGGTCCAATTGGATCGTCACGTTTTCCTTGCCATTCTCCGACTGCCACCAAGACTGCTCCAGTGTTCTGTGGGTGGATCGTGTCATTAATTGTGCATCCTCTCTCAACTGCAATGGCCAAGTTCAATTAACAGCACCACACAGACTCACCCTGGTTGATTCTTGTAAATGATCTGTCCAATGCGGTGATTCTTCTTTGGATCATTCTCCGTTTCCGGTCGCGTGTCGCAGAGGAAGCACTTGAACTCCTTCAGATGGGACACAATGCAGTAGCGCTCGGGATCTAACAAGCCACACGTGGACGACGCGTACAGTCTATTTTCGCGACCGATCAGCAAGTTTCCCGTGGCCGGGTAACAGGAACTGTGTTCACATGGATGTACACGCTGCAGAGGTCTGTGCGCTATAAATAGTCAACAGATTTCACTCTCCGGCCTCAACCAGTGTTTGGATTAGAAGGAAAAGGAAAGGCTTCGCTACATGTTCTTCACCCAAGCTCCAAATTTCCACCATTATTCGTGGGAGCGAAGAAGAGAGAGATGCTGGGAAAAACACCCAAGGGAAACAACACGAGGAGAGATGGGTTAAGAGAATAAATACTAATTGAAGATTGCCTGTCCTGTATAAAATTGAGTCAGTAGCAGCCAGATTAGCGGATGATGTAACACTTCCACTGTGGGATGATTATTTCTCACATAAACTGACCAATTAGACAGGGAAATGTCGCATATTCAGTTAAATACATCCTCAACAGATTTTTTTTTGTAAATGTTTTTCCATCAAAAAATAGCTGAAATCCAATGAAATTCCCAATTTCTTGAATATGCTAACTCCCACTGTCCTTCAGTCATCGATAAATACTGTGTCTCCTAATACGCTGCCAAAACCAGGGAATTCAAAGGAGTTCTACTGCTTAGGGGAGGCTACAATTGGTGGCCAAGTCTCTTGATGGCTTTGTCCGGGGTGTCTCAAAAGGGACTCAAAATAGACGAGATTGCGATCAGCACCTCGATAGTCAGTCTGATAGAAGGGAGTTCTTGGGCTGGGCCACATTCCACCGAGTGGATAGAACTCCTGGATTTCCTCGTCCTCAGGCGGTGGCCGTTGATCGCCTCTCAGGGAAAATTCAGTGGGCTTCAATGTTGGCTGTGCTGTGGTTTTGGGTGCTCTTGTCCGGTGCCAAATGTAAAAGGGCGTCTGAGTCTGATAAGTGGGACCCAGAACCTCTGAATGGATGATCATGTTGTGTTATCTCATGACGTCAATTACACTGTGCAAGAGCGAAAGAAAGAGGAAATAACTCAATATTTTCTGCAGTTATTTCCTCCTTGAAATCAAGTGTGCTTGTGATGAGTTCAGGGAATCTGTGGGAGACTTACGTTTGGAGAAGGCCACTCGTGGACGCTCCCGCCGAGCTCCTGGAAATGGTTGTGACGGATGTTGCGCGCTAACTTGTAAGATACCTGAAAGATCAATTTCCCTTATCACTGAATCATCATAGAAAATGGAGCCATTCTCCACTTACATTGACCTAAAACTACGACTATGTACAGGAGGACACTGAAATGACCGGATGTCCAGGGCAGTTTGGCCATGTTGAATGGCCGTCGATGGAGAGCGGGACCTCTTGCAATGGAGGCGTCCAATTCTGCAAGAAAGAAAAGAGGGGGAGAAGCAATCTGTTAGACAGGGAATAATATTATTGACACTGCACATTCATTGGCCTCATTCTTCAGCACTCAGCAGTAGAGATCGTGTTGCCGGAGTGAATTTTCGCGGAAAAATAATGCCCAGTGCCTCTCATTCAGAACTATAGCAATGTAAATGCACCATGAAGTAACAATGTAAGCATTTTCACTCGATTGTGTGTGCTTTCTGATGATTGCAGTTCCGCTCCCAACTGATAATGCTATTACTCTCTCTATGTCTCGCTTAAAAAATCACAGTCGCGATAAGGAATATATATGAGTGGAGGGTGGCGGAGAATTTTTGCCGGCTGTGAGCCTCAATGAGAGGCTAAAAATCTCAATATTTTGACCGCCTTATCATCTCACGCACAGTGAAAACGTTTGAGGTCAGGCAGGGCACAAGTTTTCAGCCACTCGCGCTATTTCTGGAGCCGCCCAGACCTCATTTCCCGCTCTGGAATCATCATGTTTCATGCTCTCAAGTTCAGCGTCGAAGAACAAATTTTCAATTCAATCAAATTGATCACGTTTTCCCAACATAAGCAATCTTAAAGCCTGTACAAAGTGCCGATCACAGTCTCACAAGAAGCTTCATTTTCACATGAAGTGATGTCATGTTTGAAGTCAACATCTAAATAGACATCAAACATGCTTATTCTCATGACATAATGTTTGGAGGAATAATTTAATATGAAATTAAAGTAAATATATCGCCATTGGCTCCTTCATTGTCGTCGGATGCGAAACATGTGGCCAGAGATGAAGAAATTTCACTCATTCTCGTGCTATTTCAGTGTCCACGGAGGGGCAAATGATTTTCTAACGCGTGCCGCAGTATAATTGAAACAATCACGAAGATGTCTCGTCTGTCATCTTAAGTAAATAATGTGCAAATTGGCTATTATTTAACAATGAATATCGATAAGGAACAAATTAGTGCTTGTTATCTGTGATAATCAGTCACTTGATCGCGATAATAGCGAGTTTTGAATCAATATTTATTCATGTCAGAAGAAAATTAAATATTTGTTGCGCAAAAAGAAGTTTGAACGTGAACAAGACTTGAGTTATATAGTTTGCCAAAGAAGCTCTTGCATGAAGTTACCTCATCATAACAAATTTTGGTAAAGTATCAATGAACAAAAAACGACAGTGTCATTAATTGATTAATGAACAAAAGGGGAAAATTGTTTTGTGTCATTTTCTAAAACAAACTTCTGTAGATTTCATATAAAATATAAAAGACAGGTAAAAATGAATCCTTATTGTTATGTTAAAATATTTTTACCTTTTTATCATGACGCGCCAAAATTGATCCATTTTATATGCTATTCAAAATGTTCACTGTTCAGTGTTTCATATTCGAATCTCAGGCGTAGAACATATTGGATTTCAAGCTGTTCATAAACATTTAATTATGCCATAAATGAGTGTCGTAAATATTTACACTTTAGCTAAGGAAGACCACACTCTCAATCTCAAGTAAAGGAAAATCCAGCAAAGTCAGTAGCAAAATATGTCTAGGAATGATATTTCTTTGAATTGATTTGCCCCTTGCCTTACAATTTCTCACTCTTGATGCTACATCCGCTGAATTTGTCGTTGTTTCACTTGAACTTTGCAAGATAGTTTTGAATTTGTGCTCTTCGTTTTCTTCCCGAGAAGAGAAAAAAGATTTGATAATCTTATCACACTCCAAATATATTTAATATTAAATGTTTCATGGGAGAGATTCCCACACATTTTTCTGACTATTGGAACTTTTGATCGCAACCCAGAGAGAGATAAAATCTTGGGCAGTCAGAGAGATTTTAGACTCAATTGGACGTTACTAAATGGGCTGGATAAATTTCTTGGGCAATTTTGTGGGAGATTTGGGCTGCGGAGGGACACAGAGGGGAGTGAACATTAAAGCATGAAACCGCAGAGGAAGTCGTATTTGATATTAATTTTCCTACACTCTCGGTACACTGAGAAAACGACAAAAAGCGCATTTTATGTGTGGCTCTGAGCCAGTGAAGAAACTTGAATTGTGAGATTGTTTCCATTTTTGGGAGCAGATGGGAGAAAAGGAATTCACTGTCTGCAGAATGTTTGCATTCTTAGGGCCTTTGTACTGTGAGTGCGAGTGAAATTTCGCCGCCTGTCGCCACAGAAATTCTTGTGCGAGGGCAGAGAGATACCGAGGAGTTTCCGATGGACAATTGATTTGGCTGTCTGCTGAGCCCCACAGACTCCGGAGATCCCCTCCCTCAAGCGAGAGCACTCAACATAAACAAGAATGCAGTGCTTGAGAGCAATGATCAGGCGAGTGCACAAGTTTAGAAATTGGTCTTGAGTCTCTCCTCCCTTTCTTCGCCTCCTTTCCACACCGAAAGATCTCTCAGCATATGACAATTAGGCACTGAATTCCAGGAATTCTGGCGCATCTCTTCCCCGAATAGGACGTCGAGGGGACAAGATGGTGGGGAAATCTTGGGTTTCGTGGGAAAATTTAGCAAGAGTGGAGCACGAAGCAGCCTCCCAATTATCGAGAAAGACAAGGAGCGATCATGAAGAATGCAACATACTGTCTGTGGAGTTTAAATAAGGAACAGAGGCGCAACACAACAAAAATATACACTCAGAGAAAAACACTCACTCGGACGTTGCACAAACACACACTCGGAGTCCCGCGGAGGATGAAGAGGCTGGAGGAATGGCACTTAATCCAGAAGATGAGACACAAGAGGCTGAAAATGTAATCCACTTGGGAACTGTTTCCACTCCATAAAACACACCACAAGAACTGAGAATTTCTCACACACTCCTCGGCTCACAATCTTGGCAACTGCACGGATTTCATGGGAGGGAAGTTGAAATATCCTCCAGTTTCTGGCCCACTGATAAGATTTCCTTTCAAACTTCACAGACGCACTTTTTCTTTGCTTATTCTCTCTCTCTCTCCCTCTCTCTCTCTCTCTCTCCTTCACTTTCCAGTCCACAGTGCCCAAATCCAACTGAGCTCCACTCCGTTCAAGCCATCCAACTCGACTGACGCGGAGAATGGCGAGAAGAAATTGTGAGAGAGCCGGAGATTTTGTAGCCCACACACATGCACGCCACATGTCACGATCTACTGTCCAAAATAATATGGTTACTTGCGAGGGAAGCACAAACACCACCAGTGATTTCTTTTCCAAAGAGATTCCACTCTATCTTCAAGACTCTTCCGACTGCCTTTTGCCTCTTCGCGAGACTTTAGCTGAGAGTATGCGTGAGATCACTCTCAGTTCCCTGTTTTCTCAAGAGAGAGAGAGAGAATGAGCGAGAAACTTTTATCTCAGTTCTCTCAATATGAGGATCACGTCTCGAGTGGGAAGACTTCGACTTCACTGAATGAGCATATTGTTCTGAGAAATAAGACAGCAAGGAAGCATAAGGAGAATTCTCCTCTCGAAATAGGAATAGGATCCGCCTAAAAAGTCTCGATGGTTATGAATATAGGGACTTCTCACCTTTACGCACAGTATTTGATCTTATATTCGAATCCTAATTAAATTTCGGATCTACGATTAAATAACCAAACACTAGTCAAGTGTATGACGAATATAGCCTTAAAAGAAATGTAATTGAAAAGAGTCTTGTCAGTAAAACTACGATTTTCTTTCAGAGATTTCGTTTCTACGCAAGATAAAGTTTTGTTAAATTTCCACCGCTGCTCACTAGGCGCGAAAGGTATTTCTAAAAAGTCATAACACTTGAATAAGAAGAGAAAGATTTACTCACTTCGTAGCTGATGTGTTCTGACGGAGCCTTCGATGAATCCTCCAAAGTGCTCCCAAGAGACTAGAGCTTGGCACTGGGATTTCCGCTCATTCACACACAGAAACGAACTGCCAAGATGATAAGAACGGTCGCCGGAGAGGTCAATCTCTGAAATTGGTACAGAGATAAAAATTACTATAGTTCATTGTGAAGTTAAAGCATTCAAAAAAGCATTTCTATGTGGCGCTCACAGTCTCAGAAACTTATCAATCTGCTAAGGAGAAACTGCAAATCCCACCAACTCCTGGAAAGACGAAGAGAGGAAAGGCGCGAAAATATTCACTTCCAGGCGACGATTTTGCTGGAAGATGGCAGTACTGAGAATAGCGCGCACTCAAGAGGAAAGCGTGAGTATACAGCTTTTCCTGCTCTCTTTACTCTCTTTCTCACTCTCGCAATTATCTTAAAAGAATTTCTTGATATCAAAGTGAGATTCTCTCGGGGAAATACAAGCACTTATTCTGAATTTCTCTATAAAACATGACGTAATTTTAGCGCGATTCTCTCGCGAAAAGCATAGCGTGTGCAAAATACCGGCAACCTCCGAAAGCAATGGGACGGACAGAGACGGGAAATGGTATTGAGAATGGACTGAGAGAGGAATATGACCTCAGCTGTGAGCATTTTCCATTGAAATATCTCAGTCTGAGTTGCGCCGCGATATGAGAATGTTACTCATTTTCTGTGCAGTCGCGACTTTTATTTAGTTTTGTGCAAGCAAAATAACCAATAAATTGCCTCTTCTTCGCTCTCTTACAACATCATTCTCAACATTAAGAAGATGGCAATAGGCAATTGATCAAGGGTGATCGACAGTGTGGCTCATATTGGGGTGTTTTCTCAATGAAAATCAAAAGTAAAGTGACAGGAAAATCGTGCCAAGAATGCTCTTTTGGCACACTCAGTGTCTTGTGATAATCCTTCTATCGCGAGAGTTATAATTTTTTATTGATTGTGCGTGTCACAGTCTCTGAATTGATTAATTGAAAATGAATCTTCAACACAAGTCTCAATGAATCAATGACTTCAGTGAGGAATATGAGTCGTTTGCTTGTGAAACACCAATCGTTTGATGCTTGAATCAAATTTTTGCCTTATTAGAGAACATATTTGTTAAGTCATTGCCAGAGGCTTTTTTTACATGCCCCTAAAAACTCGTTTGAACACTTCGTGATCATTAGACAGAAAACAAGGCAGTGACGTGAGAAAAGAAAAAGAAGTGTTTCTTCGTTATTCTTAAAAAAAACCATTAGGCACAGCAAACAGCGCACTCCAAAAATGCCCGAGGAAAATGATAAGGGAAGCCGAGCTAAATCACAGTCTTCTATTTCTTCTCGCATATCCAACGCCATAGCCAACTTCTTCTACAGGTGAATATTATTTACTAGCCAAAAGCTGCAATTGCGTTTTTTCTGTTATCAGTTCATTTTATATTCAATGCAAAAGGATGATTCCGGAATTATAATTTAGTCTTACTAAAATTATAGAGAAGCAACAAACAATAACTTTCTTTGTTCTTGAAATAAATCAATTATTTCGTTACATTATCCACAAGGAATGCATTTTATTTCAAATGAATGCTGAAGGTTTTTTTATTTTACTTTCGAGACACTGGCGTGACAATATTAATAAAAATTTAATATTATTGTGTGAATCATTCGGAACATTGAAGAACCTGATTATGCGGAGAGTTAGTAAAAATTAATAAAGTGCTATGCTGATAAAGAGTAAACGAGACAAAAGTAGTAGTTTGCAGAAATTGTTATTTAATTAAAAGTCATTGAGAAAAAAAGAATATTCTTTGAAAACAGTTCACAATAACCACCGAAAAGGTTCAAAGATCACTCTTTCTTTAGCATAAATTGTGAATCATTTTCTTGTTATTTAGCATGTGATATTTTTGTGCTATAAAAAATACAATAAGATCTGCCCGATCTGCTATTCCAAGTTTTTTTTACAAATAAAAATGCAAAATAGATTATTTCGTAGAAAAAAGCCTCGTTGAGATTTTGATTGTTAATTGTGGTTTTTCCCAAAGAAAATATAAATAATAATGTCAGAGCATCGAAAGTAACTTATTTCGAATGCATTTTTAAGCGATTCATCGGGTTTTGAGCATTTTTTGCTGTTTGATTGAAATGATTTCAAAGCTCAGCTCTTCATATTATCATCCCACGTTCTATGATTACGTAAATTATCATAGAATTGCAATAGTCTGTAATTTTCTACACAAATGAGCAGGAAGAGACCTTTGTTATGATATGCAAAAAATGAAGCGATCCCGTAATAAATGCATGGAAATTTTCACCTGTAAATTTCAGACTGGGCTTCATTGTGGCATCAAATCCGTGGCGCACAATCTTCTTTAGCCTGTTCACAGTTCTTCTCTGCAGTCTAGGCTTCTTTCGCTTCTACACAGAGCGTGATCCCATGAAGTTATGGATACCCAAAGGTGTGCTCTTCATTTATTAGCTTTTTCGACACGACAATTGTTTACGTTACCCTTTCATTTTCGTGTTATTTGCAGACTCAAAGTTCCTGAAGGATACACAATGGCTGGTGAAATCTTTTGAAGAGGGCTTTCGGATGGAATTTGCGCTGGTGACGGCGCCCAATGTTCTGGAACCCGACGTTCTTCTGAAGCTTTTGGACATATCAGAAGCTGTTAGCAATGTGAATCCTCTCTTGCCCAACGGGACGCGATTAGGATGGCAGGAGATTTGCTTCAAGTACGCTTGACTTCAAATTCACTCTCGATTTCCTGATTTTACACAGTTAACTCTCTTCCTCTCTAGGGTTCCATATATCGCAGAGTACACGAAGGAGGAGAATCGACAAAAGAGACAAGTCAATCTTCCCGATGATGAGGATGGGATTGATTTCAACTTCAACGATGACTTCTTCAACACCCTGGACAACAATGCTCCTGTGACAAAAACACCTCAAAGAAAATTCAATCCCAGTGTCGATTTGTCTCCACAGATTTACTGCCCACTGATAAATGCACTGCCGCAGGGATGCTATCAGCAGAATCTCCTGGAGTTGTGGAAGTTCGATAGGGAGAAGATCGCCAGTCTCTCGCGGGAGGAGATTCTCACGGCTGTGAATATGGCTACTGTGAGTCCCTTCACCGGGCACTTTACCAACTTCTCAGAGTTTCTTGGAGGCGTTGAAAGAAACAGTTCAGGACACATTGTAAGCGCCAAAGGCATAATGAGCCGATGGTTCCTCTACATGAACTACCTCACGTTGAATATGGAGGAGCAAGGAAATTTGGCCGGAACTGGTGAGTGGGCAACTGAAGAGACTCTCATCTGGGAGGAGGAACTCATCAGAGTGCTGGACCAGTTGGACAAAAATCTCACTTCTGATGACTTTGCTCTGTACTACATGACGGAGAAGAGCTTTGGCGAAATCAGTGGCGCTACGATGTTTCAAGACATCGACAAGCTGATGATCGGGATGATCATCGTCTATGTCTACATGCAGAGCGTCCTGTCCAAGTTTAACTGGATCGAGCTGAGGCTGATGCTAGGCAGCATGGGTCTCCTCAGCGTGGGAATGGCCGTCGTGTCTGGCTGTGGCATTTGCTTTGTGCTGCAGGTGCCATACGGTCCCGTTCACACATCTTTGCCGTTTCTGCTTCTGGGACTCGGCGTGGATGACATGTTTGTCATGATGGCGTGCTGGCGGAAAGTGCAAAAGATGGAGAACTCCAAGGAACTCACTCTACCTGATCGCATAGGCCTCATGCTGCGTCACGCAGGAGCCTCAATCACCGTCACATCCTTGACAGACATCGTAGCCTTCCTCGTGGGCTCCACCACGGTTCTGCCTTCTTTGCAGTCCTTTTGTATTTACACATCAGTGGGAATTCTTATGACTTATATCTACGCAGTTACCTTCTTCGTAGCGATCTTCACACTCGATGAGCGCCGAATTACTGCCCGCCGAAATGCAATACTGCCCTGTATCGTTCATCCTCCGGAGAGAGAGAAGCTGTGGTGCGACCAGCGACTAATGCAACGCAGCATTAAAGCCATCTATTCTCGCTTTATCCTCACAAAGCCCGGAAAGATTGTGGTGCTGATGACTGTGATCGGGCTGACAGGACTTTCTGGTGAGAGTCTGATGCGGCTAGAACAGCGCTTCGATCCCATGTGGTTTGTACCGAGTGAAACGCACCTGGGAAAATTCATACCACAAAGAGACACACTATTCCCCACGATGGGCTACGAAGGCGGCGTGTTTGTGGGCCAAGTGAACTACAGTGCTGACTTCGGAAGCATCTTTGCCATGAGCAATACCATCAAGAATGAATCAGAGATACTATACAACGTCAATTCCTGGGTCGATGGCCTATACAAATTCGTCCAAATGTACTATAACAAGGATCTCTTCGTCGATTACGTTTCGGACTACGAGTGGAGATTATATCTGTCCAAATTTCTCTTCTCAAATGATGGAGGACGCTTTCAGGCAAACTTTCGCTTTCAACGGAAACTTGAGTGTGGTAAAATAGCGCCTCCTATAAAAGTATCTTCAATCGACTTTCAATTTCAAAAGTTCCACTCTCGAGATGAGTATGTTCCGGCCATGCGACGAATCTTGACAATAGCCGCTGAGACAAATCTAACAACCGGCGACAAGTTTGCCACCGCCTGGTCTAAGATGTTTGGCAATTGGATCACCGACGAGATCATTGACGAGGAAGTGCTGAGAAACATCACTCTGGCTCTCGTCTGCGTCATGATTTGCACCGCAGTCCTCATCGTCAATCTCCAGATTTGCTTCTGGATCTTCATCTGCGTCCTCCTGACTCTCGTCAATGTCTGTGGCTTCATGCAGCGTTGGGGTCTCACCATAGATCTCGTGAGTTGCATCGGATTGCAGCTGGCGGTGGGTCTCTGCGTGGACTATGCCGCTCACATTGGCCATAGCTTCCTTACAGTCACCGGAACGAGGAACCAACGCGCCCTCAGCACACTGATGCACATAGGCGAAGCTGTACTTTATGGCGGAGGATCCACTTTGCTCGCCTTGTCTTTGTTGGCCACATCTAAGGCCTACATCTTCACGTCATTTTTTAAAATCTTCCTTTTGGTCATTCTTTTTGGCCTCTTTCACGGTATCGTTTTCCTACCCGTTATCCTCAGTATTGTAGGTCCTCCTCCCTACGCCCAACCTCTGCGTCCAACCGCGGCAAACGGATCTTACGTGGGAGAAGAAATGAACTCGATGATCAAGAGTCAGCAGCGACTAGAAACTCCTGACGAAAGTGCCCAACTCAGAACTCCAGAATAAGATTACAAGGTGTGGGAATAGAACAAAGAATCTGCGATATTAGGGGAATTTTTTTTTAGTGATAAGAATGCCTTTTGTTCAATATATAGAGAATAAATTAACGATGAGGATACTTGTGTGAGACATATAAAAGCTTTTCCTCCATCTACTGCTCCCTCATTGCCTGCAAAGATAATGCATTTGTTACAACTTTCCTTGTGACCATAGAGGTTTTCCTTCAACATCTTTCGCCTGGCCCTCAAGTGGTCAAAGACGCCTGCAAATTGGGATGAGATGAGAAAACATGAGCCATAAAAGAGTGGCGACTGCACGAAAATTTTCCCCCACATTTCGACCATTTAACAGCTCTCCGCAAGTGAAATTCGATTGAAAGTCAATCAAAGACAAGGTAATGCAATGAAATGTGCTAGAATAATTGAATTAATAATTAAGGATTAAAAAGAAGATTAAGAAGTAAGCTATTATATTTCACATTCACAGCTACTTTGCCGATGATCTATTTGCACTCAAGTATTTCTGTTCTTCGTCTGAGTCTTTTGGCACAATGTAGAATGTGAGACAGCCGGCATTTACCAGGAAATTCTCCAATTGCGTGATCTCCTTTAGTGTCAGTTCCATATTTGCCCGGAAAGCCTTCGCTAGAAGCTTATTCTCATAATATACGCTCACTGTGTCAATCGTGTACTTTCCCTCGTCATCACGCTCTTCGTTCTCGAACAGGATGTCTTGAATACAATCCGCGAGAGTAAAACTTTCGTCCAGTTGCTGTTGGAAATCGCTGACACTGTATTCTGGGAAGCAAAAAACCACTGGCCAACAAAGCTGGCCATCAGGAGATAGACAAACCGGAAAGTCCTCAATTGGCGCATACTTTGGTTTCAGCACCTCCATCGTGAGTTCACTGAAAGCTTTGATCTCCATCTCTTCAATGCGAATTCCCCTCTTCTGGATCTCCGTAATAATCTTCCTGTCTTCTCTAGTTTTTCTCCTCTGCTCAGCATCCAATTTTCTCTCTTTCCGCTCCTTTTCAGCCTTCTTCGCGCAACAATTCTGCCTCATCTTCAGCATATCCTTGTCACTGGGCTCTTCAGTTAAAATCTGATCGCAGTAATTAATACATTCATCGAATCTCTGGAGCGCTTCCGCACACTTCGCCGCTCTCACCAGTGCCTTCTTGTAGTCTGGCTTCAGTTCCACCGCCTTCAGGGCGTCTGCTAGCGCTGACCGATAGTTCTGCAGGAAGAAGTGTGCTGCACTCCTGTTATTGTAAAGCGTGGCATTGATTTCACGGTTGTCACACTTAGCCGAGAGTCCTTCGGTGTAACTGATGATGGATATACGGTACTTCCGGTGCTTCATGTGGAAATTCCCATCTTCCTTGTAGCTCACGGCCAACTCTTCGGGTGTATTTTCAAGTGGATCATACTTCAATTGCTGAATGCCCTCTACAAGCGGATCAACTTCCTCTCCTGCCTCCGGAAGGCGTTTCATGAAGAACGGATGTTTCTCCATCTCCTCCTGCCAACGATCCTCTGGCCATCCTTCAGCGTAGCGCGACTTCTCCAGACCATCAATGAATTCATCCAGCTCCTTGTCCAATTTCGCTGCCAATTCAATACGTTGTTCATCCGTAAAGCGCTTATCCATCTTCACAACACACTTTTCCTCGCGCTCGAACGGATAAAATGAGGTTACATTTGTTGTTTTCATTCAATGACAGAACGGATGCAGACCAGCGCCTTCTACCGGGAAATGGTACTCAGCACGAACCTTCGCGAAAAGGCTTTTTGCGGCTCACAGTGACAAAATGGCTTCCGCAGAGGTTTGTGTGCCCAACAAGGTGAGTGAAAATGCGGAATTTATTGCATTAATACTACATATTTCGTTCTTTTGTGCATCTAAAACTCATCTTTAATCACCTAATTATAATATTTTCACTAAACTGCAACAGTTTTTGTGCTGCATTGTTTGTACATTATGGGCGTTGTTTTTGTCTCCCCAGAACAAAAATTCTGGGAGTGAAAAGTGATTTATTTCCTCTCAAGTCTCCAATTTTCCTCATTTTCTTCATCTAATCGTGTGATTTAAGTGCCAGTCATGTTCTAATCGAGTTCAAATTCAATCAATAACAGAGCTTTTCTTTTGCATCTCATTTACCCAAATTCCCTAAAGAAAACAATACACCAATAACAAATCTCCCTCATAATTTACAGTTATTATTGTTGGTCTTTTTGTACTCGCGCGGTTATTAATATCACTTTGCTGCTTGGAATTTTAAATATGTTTCACAATTGGCTTTCTCGCGGTCTTTTGTCTGCTGTTGTGCATTCTTCAGTCTCAGTTCAGTACATTAATGAAGAAAATGGTCTTCTTGAAGGCTCTGGAGAATTTGGTGAGGACACTAAAGTTGGCCGGTCACGTTGGTTTTGACAGCCTGCCAGATCAGTTGGTGAACAAGAGTGTTCAGAATGGATTTGTGTTCAACATCATGTGCATCGGCGAGACAGGATTGGGCAAATCCACGCTCATGGACACCCTTTTCAACACCAATTTCGAGTCATCGCCCAGTCCCCATTCTCTGCCCAACGTGAAGCTCAAGTCTAACACGTACGAACTGCAGGAGAGCAATGTGAAGCTGAAGGTGAGTAAATTGGGAATGAAATGTGTGGTGAAAGTTTGGGTACAAATCTCTTTTGCAGCTCACCATTTGCGACACAGTTGGCTATGGTGATCAGATCAACAAGGATGACTCGTTCAAGGCAGTTGTAGATTACATTGATGCTCAATTCGAGGCTCACCTGCAGGAGGAGCTGAAAATCAAGAGATCACTATCGTCCTATCACGATGCGAGAATTCATGCATGTCTCTACTTCATTTGTCCTACAGGTGAGAACCATTCGTCATTTTGTACAATATTTGAGCAAAGGGAGTAACTGTAAACTTCATCTTCATCATCAATTGATGGGGCAAAATCGTCTTCTATTTATCATCTTTATATGGGCAATAGAATCAGTTTTTTTTTACTGCACCAGATTAAATCTTGTGATAAATTTCTATACACAATTGAAGCACCCAATTGTCTCTAAAGAAAAACAAATTATAAAATAAAACGGATGTAATTATAAACCGGATTAGTCGTATTAGAAATTTTCTTGTTATCATACTTTTACTTCTTTAGGTACAATTGTAATCTTAAATCGATTGATGGGTGTTTTTTGTATTTGCAGGACATGGCTTGAAATCCATTGATCTGGTTTGCATGAAGAAACTGGATACAAAGGTCAATATAATCCCCATAATTGCTAAAGCTGACTCTGTCTCGAAGGCGGAGCTGCAGAAATTTAAGGCAAAGATTAACGAGGAGTTGCAGGCGAACGGCGTGCACATTTACCAGTTCCCAACTGACGACGAATCTGTGGCGGACGTGAATACTTCGATGAACGCACACGTTCCGTTCGCTGTTGTCGGCAGCACGGAGTTTATTCGCATCGGCAACAAGCAAATCCGCGCACGCCAGTACATCTGGGGCTCTGTGCAAGTGGAGAACGAGTCGCACTGCGACTTCGTGAAGCTCCGCGAGATGCTGCTGCGTACAAACATGGAGGACATGCGTGAGAAAACACACACGCGTCACTACGAGCTGTATCGACAAAAGCGCCTGGAGCAGATGGGCTTCACGGATGTGGACAGTGACAACAAGCCCGTGTCCTTCCAGCAGACATTCGAAGCAAAGCGCTCGAACCACCTGGCCGAATTGCAGCAGAAGGAGGACGAGATGCGGCAGATGTTTGTAGTGCGCGTAAAGGAAAAGGAAGCGGAGCTGAAGGACAGCGAAAAGGATCTGCACGCAAAGTTTGACAAGTTGAAAAAGGATCATGCGGAGGAGAAGCGGAAACTAGAGGAGTCACGCAAGAAGCTGGAAGAGGAGTTTGTGGAGTTCAGTCGACGCAAGGCTCAACTCACGGCTTCACATCACACGCTCACGCTGGGAAAGAGCAAGAAAAAGTAGAAGCTCCAACTCTTGAATTCTATAAAATATTCCAATATTTTTTTTATAATCTTATCGCGTGACTATAGCATTTGTGGAACATATTAAAGGCTTAAGTTAATTCTACTGAAAGCATTTATATAAACTTATAAAGCGGCCGAAGAGGCAAATATTTGCGATTAGAAAAAATTAAAATTTATTTTATGAAAAAAAACAGCTGATTTGTCGTCAAACATATGATCTGAAAATGTTCTCTTGAGCTATATAATAAATATTTTTTAAAGATTGACTTAGAAAAAACCATGCCGGTATTTCTTATTGACAATTTTGATATATAATCATAAATATTTGTTTGATATTTCTCTAGAATCGATTTCCAATTTCAAAAGTTCCACTCTCGAGATGAGTATGTTCCGGCCATGCGAAGAATCTTGGCAATAGCCGCTGAGATGTTTGGCAATTGGATCACCGACGAGATCATTGACGAGGAAGTGCTGAGAAACATCACTCTGGCTCTCGTCTGCGTCATGATTTGCACCGCAGTCCTCATCGTCAATCTCCAGATTTGCTTCTGGATCTTCATCTGCGTCCTCCTGACTCTCGTCAATGTCTGTGGCTTCATGCAGCGTTGGGGTCTCACCATAGATCTCGTGAGTTGCATCGGATTGCAGCTGGCGGTGGGTCTCTGCGTGGACTATGCCGCTCACATTGGCCATAGCTTCCTTACAGTCACCGGAACGAGGAACCAACGCGCCCTCAGCACACTGATGCACATAGGCGAAGCTGTACTTTATGGCGGAGGATCCACTTTGCTCGCCTTGTCTTTGTTGGCCACATCTAAGGCCTACATCTTCACGTCATTTTTTAAAATCTTCCTTTTGGTCATTCTTTTTGGCCTCTTTCACGGTATCGTTTTCCTACCCGTTATCCTCAGTATTGTAGGTCCTCCTCCCTACGCCCAACCTCTGCGTCCAACCGCGGCAAACGGATCTTACGTGGGAGAAGAAATGAACTCGATGATCAAGAGTCAGCAGCGACTAGAAACTCCTGACGAAAGTGCCCAACTCAGAACTCCAGAATAAGATTACAAGGTGTGGGAATAGAACAAAGAATCTGCGATATTAGGGGAATTTTTTTTTAGTGATAAGAATGCCTTTTGTTCAATATATAGAGAATAAATTAACGATGAGGATACTTGTGTGAGACATATAAAAGCTTTTCCTCCATCTACTGCTCCCTCATTGCCTGCAAAGATAATAACATTTGTTATAATTTTCCTTGTTTAGAAAATCATCTTTTTACCTTTGTCAAGTGAACGGCGGGGAATTTCGCAAAGTCACTCTTGGCCGAACGATGAGGTTTCCTCTGTAGATATTCTGTTAAAATTTCACTGGCCAATGATTCAGCTCGCAACTTTAAGTCACTTCTAGCCTGCTTAAGTTCATTTTCTTGGTCCTGAAGTCGCTTCTGAATGCTAGTGTGCTTTGTGTTGCCCTCGGGAATATCACCCTCCTTTACCATCGACATTATCCACTCATGCTTGACATCTCTGAGCTGCTTCTCCAGATCCTTGATGCGATTATCCGGTGGCTTCGGCACATGTATTGGCTCCAGACTACCGAGGATCCTCATGTACTCACTTGCTTGGAGTTTCATGCGTTCCGATCTTTCTTCGGCAAAGGCCTTTTGCAGAAGAGACAGTTCCTGAGCAATGTAAGGCGACGAGGCGGTAATATCTGCAAGGAAAGTATTGAAATTAATGACCTTCAATCAATGTTTGATATAGATTCTCCTCACCAAAGGCTGTGGTTGACTTGAGATCGCCCTTTTTGCTGCTGTGCGACTTCAGTTTCTCTCTAAGCGCTCCCTTCTCATTCTCCAGTGTGTCAATATCACTCTGAAGATGGTCCATTGTCTCCTCAAAGTCCTTTTCCTTCTTCTTCAGCAACTGCAGAGTCTCATCGTATTTTCTCTGCAACTTCTCAATATTTATCTCATTGTCATGCTGTAGCACTGACAGTTTCTTCTCGGCCAAGTCCTTTCGGATCTGCATCTCTGACAACTCATTCTGTTTCATCTTGGCCGCTAGCTTCAGCTGTCTGATCTCCGCTTCTCGATTCTCCAAAGTTGCAGTAAGTGTCTTGGTTTCTTCCAGTTGCTTCTTAATGAACTGTGCTCGCTGCACAATCGGAGCTGTGGGTTTCTCCACAGCCACCGGAGCTGCCATGATCTCGTACTCATGATCCAGCAGATACTGCGCCAGCTGAGACATATCAGTGTTCACCGCGCTGAGTACATTTCTCATGTTTTGCGACGGACCACGATCGTCCTGTTCATAAATCCTATCACAGGCCGCCGAGAGGAAGTCCCACAATTTTGCGTGATTCACCGAAGCATCTCCAGCTTCTGTATTCACTGTTACGTGATGCAAAACTTGCTTAGCTACCAGGAACAGTACCATCATTAGTTTCCCAAGACTGTCAGCCGTCTGCTTCAGATTAGCCATGGTCTTCGGAGACAAATTGCACTTAAGCACATTTATATCCTGCGGAAGGCGTCTCTTTATCAACTTTAGCTGTTGCCTGATGGATTCAGCATTCTGAATCACATACTGCAGGAGCAATCCTGAGTCACTGGTCTCATCTCCGCCCTTGATCAGCGCCTGCACAAGTGTAGCATCCGTGCTGATTGAGTCACAAGCAGCTCCAATTGATGCGATACAGTCTCTGACGTACTGAGTCTCATTCATCAGTTGCTCCGAAGCCAGAAGAACTGAGAACATTGCATTGAAGAAAGAGATGCATTTTTCCAAGTTCTCCGTCGATGAATTCTCATCAAGTTGATTGGCTTTCAGCAACTCAACAATGCCATCAATTGTCTTCTCCTGAGCCACCATCTCAGGCAATGAGGCACCGGCTTTCATTAACAACTCTGGTGTACAAGAGTTGAGACCGAATAGGAATTGATGCATTATAGTTTGCAAATTGTGCACGTGATGCAGTAGGCGTGATCGGAATTCAAACTGATGGATGTCGTGAGCCTGAAGAATAGCACCCCGGTCAAAGGTGGTAGGCTGCGGAAAGCGTTCTCTGCCCTGATTTACAATAATATCTGCCTTGAAGACGATGCGTGATACAAGCAGGATCACGAGTATGGCATCGTGATCTCCACCGCGGTTCATGAAAGTGTCCGGCATGTACGCTGACAGAAGGCGCACGTGCTCGTTTGCCTGAGTGAGTTCAATTTGCCTAAGCTGCAGATCAATTGCTCTCGTGAAGGCCTTCGACTCGGCAAACATCTGCTTGAAATCAATCGTATCTGCGATAGTGTCCTTTGCCAGTTTCGTATTCTCTTGATTCACCCTCTCACGCATATCCTGCAATTGTTCGTTGAGCTTCTGCACCAATTCTCTGAACTTCAGGATCGTTTGATCACGATCCACGATCGTCTCTAGAGCTGCATCCTTTTCTCTGATCGCCTCGCGCTTGGCAGCATGCGACATATCAAGTTCCTCTCGCAAATCCATTTCCAACTCGTGGTTGCTCTCCACAAGCTGTTCGTGCACTTCTTCCAATGCCTCCAGCTCAGCCACCTCTTCTTGCAACACCTTCACCTTGTCCTCAAGCTCAAGCTTCTTCTCTGCCAACTGCTCTACCATTTCCTCAGCTCCCAGCGCAGCATCCACCTGCTCTTGCAGATCCACATTCTGTGCCTCCAACTCATCCACCCTGCTTGACAACTTCTCCTTGGTGCGATGCAATTCCGCTACTTCAGACTTCTTCGTCTCCAACTCCTTGTGCATCTTCTGACTCTCGTGATTATTGTGCGCCAGGAGATCCCTCAATCTCACCAAAGTCTCCTTGAGCCGTGCATTCTGCTGTTCAAGTTGCTTGCACTCATACAAAGTCGCTGCATCCGCTTGACCTTCTCCACCCTTGTTCTGCATCTCCGTCTTGATTATCTCCAAATCCAGTGTAAGCTCCTCAATGCGCTCTTTCGCTTGATCTAACTCCATCTGCAGCGTATCTGCCTTCTCTTCTGCCATCTCCTTGTCTAGCGTAATCATCTCCACATTCTCAGACAGATCTGACATTTCTTCGGCATGTCTGTCACGAGCTTCAATGGCATCTTTCGTTTCCTGCCTGGCTCGCTGTAGTTCCCTTTGAAGCTGCGTCTGGGCGTCCATAATTTTGTGCTTAAACTCTTGCAGTTGCTCAAACTGGGTTTTCATCTTATCAAATTCACGAAGGCGCTCCTTGTCTTCAGCACGACGCAACCTCAGTGTTTCAAGTTTCTCCGTGAGATCCTTCACTTGACCCTTGAGATCATCAATCTCTTGCTGTTGCTGCAGAGCCGCTAACTTGTCCTCCGCCGTGAGGGCAGGAGACGGAGACGTTAAAGACTGACCAGGGGTGAACTGAGGCTTCAGCGTCTCTAGGAAGCCCGTCTCCACGAAAGAAGATCTCTTGGAGGACAGAGATGACTCTGGTGGAGCCATAGATCGCTTCTCTGGGATCTTCGAAGCTGGAGCTTCTTTACCATCTGTTGTCGTTGCTCCGGCGATCTTTTCTCCCGCCGGTGAGGCCAATTGGCTCCTGGATCCCACGAGACTCTGCCTGCTGCCGGTCAGAGACAGCCGAGAACTGCAGAAACCGGATAAATTATTTAGAATATTAACGTAATATTGAGAGAAACTTCACAGAGAGGCAATAATGGAAATGGGAGTGAAAAGTGTTGTAATGGAAAATGTGTGAAATGTTTGGAAAATGTGATATTCTAAGATAGTGAGAGAAGAGAATATTAGTTGCATTGTCAGTGTTCTAAGTTTAGGGTATTAAAAGAAAATACTTTTTTGACGACCTTGATGTCGATGAAGTCATAGAACTTGCTTTGCGAGCTGAGGGCGCTTTTACAGGTGACTTCCGTCTCACACTTAATTTATTACATCCACATAATGCAGCAAGAGAGAAAGAGGAAAGCAGAAAATGGTCTTTACATATACTTGATCAACATTACACCACCTAAATCTAATATATAAGACACTACGTCAAATCTACGAATATTCTAACGAGAAATCTTGGAGGGAGAAATGATTTGTCAGTGAATACTTACGCCGTGGGCTTCGTGGTGTTCACAGAGCGTATTGAACTAGAGCTGCATTTGGTGTGAATGGTGATGATGAGAGGGAAAATGCAGCCAGAAACATACACAGGCAAATGGTTAGTTTGTTAATGAGAAGAATTCAGGCATGCTCCATGACCACATGAAGCTCTAGAAATTCTAGCTACCAACAAACTCTACTCATTCCCTGGCACATTAAGAAACTCACCTGCTCAACCTGGAGCGGGGCTTCTCCTCTGGACTGGTGTCCTCCATGGGATTCCCACTGTCGTCCAACACAACCAGCTGACTCGGCCTCACGAAAGTCCCGTGATTCTCCTGACACTGCAACGAAGCCCGCAAAGATTACCAAGAAAATTCAAGTGATGGACGTGATCCAGAACTCACGGTAAAGTAAGTTGTGCCCTTAATTGTGCCATTGTTCTTGCCTTTGGCCTCATCCAGAATCACTCCGATCCACTTTCCTGTGGCGAATGATGTCATCCCCACATACGCCACCTGGCCACGTACATCCTTCCCAGTCACCTCCACGCGCTGCCCCACCTTGAGGTTCTTCTCCGACATCTTTCGCCTGGTCCTCAAGTGGTCAAAGACGCCTGCAAATTGGGATGAGATGAGAAAACATGAGCAGAAAAGGGTGGCGACCGCACGAAAATTTTCCCCCACATTTCGACCATTTAACACCTCTCCGCAAGTGAAATTCGATTGAAAGTCAATCAAAGACAAGCTTATGTACTGAAATGTGGTAGAATAATAGAGAAATTACCTACAATATCTTAGATATCTCAAAAATAAATCCCACTGAGAAAATCTCTCTTATTTGACACTCACAAAACGGGAAGGCAAAATGTCAATTTGAGCCTTCCAATTGGAATTCCGAAAAAGCTCTGGAAAGACATATTCAAATAGGAATTCCGTTAAGAAGAAGGTATGTGAAAATGAAAAACGCAAAATTATTTTGATTTGTTGGAAATGCCATTGTATTTCTAATCACTTGTTCACATGCCATTTGTCCTACATTGATAAGTACATCCATCAGAAACTACATACTCTCTTGTATATTGTGGAAGACTTCTTTTCATATTTGCTAGCACAATTATTTATACTTTTCTAGATACCCCCAAAACTATAAAAAAAATTTGAGCCAATTATAACTAGACATCTCACTAAGTGATTGATAGACAATCTCATAGGTAAACTAAATAACAGCTTAAGTATAAATTAACTAAAAGATAGAAGTAGAGTATGTAATACTCATTATAAATTCATTGTAAAACCATGCTCCTCGTCAGCAAGTTATTTTTCCTAGAATTTTGTGTTTTCGCTGATTTTGGTGCTGGATACATCAACCTGCCGGGAAAGAAATGTTTGCTCATCAATAAAAGACATAAAACACAAATATTTGCAGGTGTACTCACAATGCCGCCGTTTTGGATGTATTTTGCGTAGCGCTTCTTCAGCTGCCAAGCAATCGGTGGGGAAAACAGATCTGTATTGATACATTCCTTGTTGCCATCCTGGTAGATCCGTGATTCACCCTCGAGCTTCAGCCATCTGAGAAGATACGCCAAAACAAGACCAACGAACAGAGTGACCAAGAATCCCAGGACACTGTACCAAAGATAGGAGAGACGATAGAGCCAGAAGTACTCAGAGTCATCGGGAATGGCATTGGCTGCTTCCAGGCGGGCGGATTTCGCTTCGGAGAGCGGTGCAAAGGAATAGAAGGATGAATTAAAGCGAGAATCCGAGCATCCTTCGAGACTGAAGTCCAGCATCTTTACAGGAGGCTTCGGCTGGCCAAATCCTATCCACATGGAGAATGCCAAACCCGTGAGAACAGCAGTAATCGCAGACTGGAAAGCCAAAAAAGGAATTAAGATACTGGAAAATCAGATGCTGATGTTGTACTCACTCTTTGAGTAGCTACAGTGTTGAACATCCCGAGAGTAAAGAGGCCAAAAAGCGGTCCTCCGACAACGCCAAATACTGTCAGTGAAGCCTGAAGTACTCCGCCAAGAGATTGAGCCCCAAAAGCCATCCCCACGCAGATTATTCCGTAGATGCAAGCCATTAACTTGGACGGCAGAGTCGATTGTGACTCCACCAGAGGCCTTTTCTTTATAATCCTGTACAGTGGCTTAATGTAGTCTTCAAGTGTCACGGCAGCTAAGGAGTTGAGAGCAGCTGAAACCGTGGAGAGACTTGCAGAGAAGATTCCCGAAACAAACAGACCGGGCAGTCCTGAGTACTCGTGCATCGTGTCCACCACGAAAATCGGCATCAGCTGGTCGCGAGAAGAGATTCTGCCCTGCAGCAGAGGATCGCACTTGGCATAGTAATAGTAGATGGCAAGACCGCTGAAGGATGTGCTGAAGCTCAGCAGAGAGAGGATGGGCCAGTTGAGCCACAGAGCTCCCTGAGAGGCCTTCAGACTCCTCACTGTCAGCAGACGCTGCACCTGAGTCTGATTCACAGCGTAGAGGGAGAGGTAAGTGAAGGCTCCGCCAATGATCAAGGACCACCAGGTGTGCCGAACGGTGGGATTAGGATCGAAGCTGAAAATAGAATTTTGATGAGAAAACTGTTCACGCAGAGGAATTTTTATGCACTCACTTGAGGAATTCCAAACGCCCTCCTTCGTCAGCAACTCGCCAAATCTCCCCAAATCCACCTAGAGGAAAGGCGTGAAAAGTTCAGACACGTGCAACCTTTGATCGAATGAGTCACTTACCGGCAAGAACAGCCGCAACAATGATAATGCTGTAAACAGCCGCGAACATGAGGATTGATTGGAATACATCAGTGATAAGAACAGCCTTCATGCCACCAATGGTGGAGTAAAAAGTACAGACAAGTCCTATCGATAGGATTGCAGCGACTTTGGACATTCCAGTGACAGCCTCCAGGGCCAAAGCTGGAGCGTACAGGACAATTCCCATGTACAGGATCATCTGGAGAGAGTAGGCGATACTGGCGCAGAGTCTTGTGGCTCTGCCGAAGCGTCTCTCAAGATACTGAAAGCAAGATCAACGTGAGAAGAGATGCTGGACAGCAGAAGGTGGAACACTACCTCATAGGCACTTGCGGCTTGGAGTTTGTAGAAGACTGGGAGGTAGAGATGAGATGCTATTGGTGTGGCCAGGCCGTAGGAGATGTTGATGATGACAAAAAGTGTGCCGAACTGATAATTCTCCATCGAGACGCCCAGAATGGTGATGGCACTCATGAAGCTCGCCATCAAGCTAAATGACACCGGCCAGACGCTCATATTCCTATCAGCTAAGAGGTATTCCTGCAATTTCACACCAAATTCCTCGCCTTCGTTATGCATTCAATTACTGAGAAAAATATCTCCACTGCCTCACATTTGTTGTCTTCTGCTTTCCACCCGTAAACCTGTAGTAGACGCCAATTCCAGCTGAGATCAGGAGCATCACCACAAATACCACATAATCCCACACCGTGAACGATGCCATTGTGTCGAATTCCTCTACAAAAAGGAGAAAATAATTAAATTCCAATCTCTACTATTGAAATTCACTATCGCAGGTCAAGTTCACACTTCCACTGTCCGAAATTTCGCTGCCAGGTCGACAATTACCATCTTCAGACACGGGAAGTGAATGAGCATTGTGGCCACAATTGGCCATTATCCATCACCAGATACATTGTTGTACATCAGGTGAGATTACACGGCAAATACACTGAAAGCCATAAAGTTTACGGCAAAGTGGATTGTGTCTGGCAAAAGAGTGAACTCGATAAGGATGAAAAACCCCTATAAATCACATGGTTGAAATGATTTCAAGATAGTCAAGCAAAAGACTCTCAATTTTTAGAAGAGAGCTATTGTTTAGTTAATTACACTTAAGTTTCAACAAGCCTTTTGAAGAAAAGAGGCAAAAAGTGTTTAAGGAACCATGGACGTAATCTCTAAATTTAGATATTCACGTAAATAATCACATTTTGTACGGAATGAGACCAAGAACAAATGGAAATTTCCATATTTTTGATGATACATTTAATTATGGTGCGCACAATTTTACGCTTAACTGCCTCAGACTTATAAATTGATATTTTTCTTTAACTCGGCTCTACATGTTAACGAATTTTTATCATCGAAGCTGTTGATAAAGATAAAAAGTAATTTCTGATTTTTATAAATTCAAATACTTTCTATGCCATAAAAGTATTTTGAGTAGTTTTGGCCGCAATATAACGACTTTAACTTATAAACTTGTACTGGGAGTTAAAATTTGACCCGAAAATGCTAAAATTGAAGATGCGAATTGAATGAATGGTGCAAATACACCAAATACACAGTTACCCACTCTATTTTTGATCCCACAGATCAAGCTTAACATCTTGATAATGCTTATATTGCTTTATTGTTGGTGCAATTCTCACAAGGTTCTCGTTGTAATTCAAGTGGAAGTCCATAAATAAATATATTTGAGTACATACACTTCGCATCTTCTCTAAAAAAAATTCCGCTATCTCAAGCTCTTGTAGCATTTATGAGAATGTTCTTTAATTAATATGGTCTGAATTGGAAGCAATGACTTAGTAGAGTGTGTACACGAAATTGAGTCATCTCTATATTGTGCCAATTGAGAATCATTTCATAACACGTGCACAAGATGAGTTCCAGAGAGATTTGGTGATCAAGGCTGCGCGCGCTCATCGCGCCAAAGCAGTGGAAACATAATGATTTCGAGTGAATTACCGACAAAAAACATAGCTTCTCTCCTTCGTCTTTTTCTTCTCACTGTGTTCTATTCTTGAGTCGCGTTGCGTTTGGACGCGAAAAAAGCATCGCGGTCTTATTGTATTTGTGTTTTAACTTCCTTCCCAAAAATCTCAGGGAAAATACTTTGTGTGTAGAAGAGCAACTTTGTTGCAAATTTATCGTTTTTGCGTACATTTTGCAGACTCACCACGAGGTTGTGCACAAAAATAGCACAACACAAGCAATTTTCCGATCATTTATACCAATTAATTGATTTTTTCTCTGGCGTCAAAGTCACACATGACAATGCTTTTAAGACTTTCAAGCTCAGAAGCCCTATCATAGTTCATGGGGAGCAGCAAAACAGAACAATTAAATACTTTTATCTTTCGGTAAGAAGCAATTTTGGGCCTCTTGACCACAGAAAAAAAAAAAACACGAGTGATTTCTTTGGACCACCGCAAAGTGTCAAGCGTATCAGTGTCGTCAAATTAGTGTGAGAAAGTTATCACGGCCTTGACCCAAAGCTGACAAGTGTTATCAGCTCCATTGGAGCTCCATTGAGCGGCAAACAGCCAAGCAGTATTGTGCAATATCGATTTGCGTGCTTCCCGATGCCTCATTTTCACGTTACATAAATCCTGTCTAGTTTACATGAAATTTTCTCATCTTTCACGAAATTTGACTGTCGATGGACAGCCGAGTACTTACCGTTCAGTCTCGTGATAAATCAACAAACGGTTCTATGGAAAAAAGTACAATTTTGGGGACTACACACTGGCACTCGCAATTGAGGTTATGCACACATTTTCCTCCTCGAAATCGCGCACTTCAGCGAACTACACTCTCGCTAGCAACTATGTCAGCATATCGAGTAATTCGCGGAAAGTAAGTACGTGGAGAAAGGGAAATATAGGAAATCAATTTACAGCACCATCATCACTGAAGAAAAACACATCTGACCACGAGAAAATCAACCAATCGACTGTCATAATTCGGATCGCGCGGTCGCAATTCGACCGTCGCGCTTTCCGAACATCTCACGGTCCGAGAGCTTTCGAAATGAGCGGGAAGATCTGGTATAACAGTAGCAATTCAAATGAAAGAAAACGTTTCAATTATATTTTACTCCATTAGAAGTTTATTTTGAATACTAATAAAATTACATTCATCTACACTACAAGTAGATAAATAAGGAAGCATTGAGAATTAATATTCTTTCTGAATTCATACATTTTTCTCGCGGAAAACATACAGAAGGATCTCAAGTCCTCGTTATCTACTAAATTCTACCTCAAACATTCATCATAAGCAAGAAAAAATAAGCGGATGTCATGGGAACAATACAGATTTTAAACTCTAACAGAATTTGGATGGACTATGCTTATCTATTGGGTGATTATAAGAAATGAATAGAACTCACTTCTTGGCAAAATTGCACAGTTGCGACATTGAGATTCAGGTGATGAATGTTTGTGCAAAATTCCCCTCTAACTGACTTAAAGCTGTCCTAGAAGCGCAATTTCTTATCTACTGGATAAATACATGAATGCAAGAGGTCAGTTTTACAAAAAAAAAGAAAAATCTACTATTTCACAAAATTTCTTTCCTATCTTCAAAATTTATTTATGAATAGTGTTCCCACAGAAAAATCATGCACTATCATTGAAGGTTTCTCTTGAATGAAAAGTCATATGAGGAGATCTCTTGAAGGTATGCTTAAAATTCTTCGCAAAGTCTTTACATGGTACTTCCTTTGGGTGATATTTTTATGTTGCAAAAAGTCAGAAATGCTTCATCTTTACTGTGGGCCAAGTTCAAAAACATTCAATTCTTCTCCTCGCCTACAACTTCTATACATTACTAAATTAAATCTACTATATGAATTAACATACGGCAGTTATAGAAATTATCAATAAAATTAATGATTTTATATGGTACACATTTATCTCGACATAATATTTTGTAAATGAGACAAAAGGGGGAAATACGGGAAGAACTATCTTTTAATGTTCAATATAATAAAGTATTGGTCTCAATTTTTTCATACTTGTTTGAAAGATCCTTTCAAACCGGTAGGTTGCTTCTGTGGAACTTGAGTATTTCTATATTTGAGTAAAACGTCCGCAACTTCGAAATACATCAAATTGCAAATTATGTGCACATGAGAAGAAGTTTTACTAAGTCATTCACTAAAATTATATGGCGGAAGTGTTGATTAATTCCACTACGAAGTGCATCAAGTTTTTTTTCAATCCCAATTTCATCCTTAAATTAGTTGTTTTGTACTTTTTCCAATCATTTAATTTCTCCAATTTTTTTTTATCTGTCGTTTTCATTCTATTTCCAATATTTTTTTTCGCTTTTTCTTCTAATACAGTAATTCATATTAAATTTCGTCTCTTGCGTGAAAAAAGACATATCACAAATATTTAAATAATGCGTTTTAATATAAAGCTTATTACTTAGTGTTTTGTCCTAAATGTATAGATGAACAATTTACATGAAGCAGAGTCACCCACAAACTGAAGAACGGATCTTTACCCCAAATTTTCCTCAGCATCCGTGGACACCATTCAATGTCGAGGCTATGGCAATTTGTTGTCTGGTTACATTTCATACTTATCATTGAATCCACCACTCCGAAAAAAGGAGCGGCTCGCAGGATCAATGAAAAAAGCACTCCTTCCATGAAGACTTGAGAAGAAGCTTCTGCGAAAACATAAAATGTAACCTGAATAAAATGGTAAATCATTTGGCTGAAGCACAGTGATACCTTACAACGATAGAACGCCAGGATGCTCTGATGAGGACTCACTACAGGACATCGAGGGTGAGTGTCTGGTTCTTGGACGAGAAGCAGTTGCCACAGTAGCCCCCACATCGGGCGATGACTTTGAAGTAGGGCGGCTCCAAATTCTGATGGAAGATGATAGCGGCGTTCTGGCCCTTTGTCTCCCACTGAGTGTTCGGTCGTATCCTGAAGCCCGTGCCCTCGAAGTTCACCGAGAACACACCCTTGGGACACCGTTCGGTAATGCTGAAACAGTCCCCGGCCGAGGCGAAGGGTTGCGTGTGTCCCGACGTGTGAGCGAAGGCAAAATCATCATTGATGACCTGCAGAGTGTGCAGGTTGAGGCGCACCTTGCTGTATCTGGTGACGCCCGAGGGGATGGTCTGGTCAGTGAACATGTGGTGCTGACTGTCGGGGCACTGGGAGCGGTCATTGGACCTCTTGTCGTAGTACATGGAGTAGTTCTCAGTGGAGCCCACCTTGAGCGTCAGATACTCCCTGGGAGTCGAGGTGTTCATCCGATGGCAGTAGATGTTCACATGGCGGCCTCTCACGTTCATCATGTACTCCCCGTCCTTCCTTGTGCCCATAAAGTGTTGAACACTGCGACAGGAGCAGTTTGGCGGCGGCTGGCAACGCTGCTTCATGGGTGGTCGATCGCTGTAGGAGCAACTGTTGGATCTCACATTCCTCAGCGTGTCCATGCAAATGACCCTCCTCTTCACGTATCCACTGCAAGTGCACTGAAAGCGAAAGACATTGAGAAGTGTCTGCGAATGTTCTCCAACTATTGCACTCACGTTCTTCTTTCCCTTGTGAATTATCCATGCACAGTGACTTCTCGCTTCGCAGGACTTGACCTTTGCCGGCTTCGCGATCCCATTGCACTCCGTGGTGGAGATGACTCTGCCATTGGTACAGGTGACGTTCCTCGTGGAGATTCCAGCTCCACAGCCCGGAGAGCACTGGAAAAAAAACATTCAATATAAGTTGGTAATCTGCAATATTGCTGACCTCATTTTAGCCTCACCTTTGACCAGGCGGACGTCTCCCAGCGAAACTCGCAGAGTTTCTTGCAAGGCCTCGTTGTTTTCTTAAAGGTCACTACAGAGCCTGCTGTCGGACAATATCTGGGATCTACGCGTTTTCCTGTCTTCACAGGATGAGGATTCGATTTGGATCTTGGCATCAATCTCATGCACACTCTCTGTCTTGTTCGAATTCCGTGGCCGCAAGTTGCTGAGCACTGTTGAACATTCACAATATTAAGCACATTGGGTGTAAAGAATAGAGGTAATTTCTATGATTACGACTACTAACCGGTGACCAGACACTACGCCATCGGTAGTGGCAACAGTTCTCTCTTTGCGGTGGTCTCAAGCTCATTGGACAGAATTTGTCATCCACCTGACCTCGATGATCTTGGCAGATAACATGCCTTCTTCTCGTGCAATCGTCCCCACACTCACTCCAGATCCCAAAGTTCCATTCAGGACATCGGATGTCTGAGCAGTTGGCTCTGTTGACTGGCTTCTTGGCTGGATCACAGAATGAGTCCGCCACGTATTCATAGCCAGATTCTGACTTAAGGGAGCACCTGACGTTGCGCATCTTAATGCCACCACTGCCACAGGACACTGAACAATGACCCCAAAGGCTAGCTCGCCACTGATATAGCTTTATAATTGGGGCGAGGGTGGTTGTAGTGCTTGAGGTGGTCACTAAGCCTCTCGGGGTTGAAGATGGCATAGTGTGTTGGACTTCATACATCTCTCTGTGTCCGCTGCGATAAATCAGGGGATCGTAGTTTTGGTTGAAGTAACCCACCGAAGAAATGTCAGACACCTTCGAAGAAATTCATTCATAAAGTCAAGGAAGTGAGATTGATATAATTCTGTATTCTAAAATATTTCAGGAGATTAGGGGTCATTTTGGGTACCTTTTCAGCACACGGAGGCATTGTGCAATTTGTATAGACACCAACAGGACGTGGAAAACTTCGACAGAGAACAGAATTGACGATCACATTATTTTGCTTACAGTAAATTACTGCCGTTCTTTTGCCTTCACCACACGTTACAGAACACTGAAATCATAATAACCATTAAGTTGATACACACAACATACAGCACTCGCAGAAAGGGTAGCTCTGCAAAGGGAGCCTACATCTTCCAAGAAACTTGTAATCTCTCAAAATTAACAGACAAATTTTGGTACAAACATAAAAATCCAGGATTGGAGAGATTTCCTGGAAAACTACAAATTATATTTCTGATTTGCTTATCATCTATGGCAAGCTGTCTAATAACAGAAATATGACAGACATGATTGTAGTGATTTGTGTAGATTTGATATGCGATTGTGATTCCTTTAGGACATTTGCACATAAAGCCAATTAGAATTTTGCACATGAATAAGGCCAATGATTAGAATTTTGTTGTGACTGATGGATTTGATGGCATAGTAAATGGAATATTCCTTACCGGTGTCTCCTCCCCGTAAGCCCACTCCGGACATGACTCTATATTGCATTTCCGTACCGTTTCTTCCTTGGCCAAATTGCTACAGTAGCTACCATCAATGGGAAACCCATCAACGTGAGATAAGCATGTCGCTGATCGGTTTTGCAATCCGCCTCCACATGTTTCCGTGCACTATTTGTTTGTTTCCACAAATGATTAGTGTCAAAGAAGCAATTTTATACACACAGAGAGGATAAATATCGTGTTGATAAAACTCAAGGAATAAAAATATTTACAAGTGTGACTTATAACGACAATTTTCTTCTATATGGTCTGAGGAAGAGTCTCGCAAAAATAGATGAATTTGTACAAAATCGATATAATGCATGTGAATGAAGTTAGGAGACAACTCGGCACTGATTACAGTGCTTTGAGTCACTGAGATAATGAGAAAAGCGTTAATGCACACTGATCAACATTTTCAACAATATAGTAGAAGAGGTGTCTTCCTCATGACTTCACACTGGATGATTTTTGGATCATATCCAATGTCTGCGAGAAAGCATAGTTGTACTGTAGGTTTTGTACCAAACTCCACTTCTTTCTTATATCATATGATGCTTATTCGATAAAAAATATACAGAACCTAATGTATCAGCTATGCATTTATGAATTAAATAATCCACATAGAAGAAAATATAAAAAGAACTGTACGAACACTTTTGCTGACTAGCCTCAGGCATTATTACTCACCGGTTCCCATCCGCCATACGTCCACGTGGCATCTTTACAGGCTCCCTGGCATTTCTCATACGTGATCGTCGAGGGTTTCGAGATGTGCTGACAATGAGAATCTTCCACAATATGTTTCTGTCCAGATTGAACGTACAGCTGGATACAAATGTATTTGAGCGTGCGTACGCCCTCGCCGCAGGATTTGGAGCAGTCGGACTTGGTGAGCTCCCAACTAAGACAAGGAATGTGTTTACAACTGCATAACGCCTCGGATCTCAAGATACTCACTCCAAGCGACAGTCGGTGTTGCACACTTCATACTCATCCGGTGATTTTTGCTGACTGTGGCAGTAGTTGGCTGGCACTTTGGCATTACTGTCCACTTGAATGCACACTGCTGTCCGGGATTGCTTGCCAATGCACAGCTGACTGCAGCGGCTCCACTCGCTCATCCTCCACTGATAGGGCATTGTATTTCGATGATGGTTATACAGAGAGGTTGTGGATGTGATCTGCGGAATGCTCTTCTCCACACCATACGATGGCTTTGGCGTTGAATATGAATACTGAATGAGATTTTCGCTAATCTCGCGGTCCATTGGTCGGACCGAGAGCACCTCAACGATGAGGTCGCGCTTCAGGTGGCGCGCATACGTCGAATTCACGCGTTCCGTAGCAGAATAGGCGCCATTGTAGTCAAATGTGACTCCGGCATAGGCGAACACCTTTGGGTACTGTGTGATGAGATTCTCTCCATTGAGGAGATAATTGCCCTGGTCATCCATCAGGGCGATGTAGTTGTGATCATCGCCGTAGCCAGGCTGCGTGATCTCGATGTTCGTGGATCCCTTGGGGATCATTGTGACTCGATAATAGAAGGTCGATCGGTTGCTGATATCTTCAGAGAAGTGCTGATGGCTCAGGCTTCCAAAGACATCCTCACACGTGTCGTTCTTTCCATTGCACACCCCACATTTGTCTGCAAAGCAAAAGGAGAGAGTTAGATTGATCAAGGATACTGGGCACGGTGCGGCCTTAGGAGGGTGTATAACTAGCATCTTGGCTGTGAAGATTTCAAGCTGATGAGATAGTTTAGAGGCCAAAACGTGCTGCCCTTCCTGATGGCATAGTTATACACCCAAGTGGCAAAGGTATTGAGGTGGCAAACCCAAGACTGCCGATGAGTAGAGGACATTATCGCATCCTGCCGGTCGACAGATGCCATTGATGCACTTGTTGAAGCTCTGCGGTGAGCATGGGGTTCCATCTTTCACCTGAAACCACACAAATGGCCATCACATAGTCTCTCCCCAAAGCCATGCATCGTCATTTTGGGCTAAAATCTCTCACCTTATCTTTAAGAAGAAAATAATGATTGGTCTTATGAACTCTACAATACAATTTGCACTCGTCAGCGGGTGAAGCTGCGAATGATAAGAGAATTGCAACGTACGTTGCACTTCTTTAAGCTCCGGACAACACAAAGTACACACATGGAGCCTTACCTCCGTATTTGGGCACCCACTTTACGTTCTTGTGGATGCCCACAATGTCGAAGTTGTTGTTGTCCAGTTCCCGACATTGTTCTTCTCTCGCATCTAGCGTCCCAATTGGACAACTGTGTGTGTTGCAGGACTTGTACTTTATCCTCGCACCAACACAGTACTTTCCACCATTCATAGGCTCCGGAGCATTGCACTCCCGCGTTATGAACTGCGCTCCACCTCCACAAGACCGGCTGCACTCACTATACCTACAATTGAGATGTTGCAGAGCAGAAGGTTTAATTGATTGTGTCAAGGAGATGCACAACGGTTACTCACGAGCTCCATGAACCCCATCCGCCGTCCACTGGCTTCAGGGCACTCCTGTTGCGATCCACGCAGTGCGCCTTCTGACACCACTGATTCTCGCCACAAGATGTTCCATCCGCCCAGGGCATCGCCTGCGTGCGGCATCCCTGGTCATCCATCTCGCCCGCTGTACACCACAGAGAAGTGCAGACGGGCTGCCAAGAGATCGAGGGAACACGAGAAGCAGTGAGATAATGAGAAAATTGCTAACAAATACCTACTGAATATCTATCTAATTGCACAATTGCGAAAATACAAGAATTTGCATAATATTCATAGGGATAACTGGGGTTCCTTACACCCCCAGGAAAAATACCTAGCTTTACTCGTAATGATATTGTATATTTGAATTTCATTGCTCATTGATATCAAAATTGTTTGAAATTAAACTTTTAATTTATTCATTTACTTTAGTCAATTAAGCCTATGTAAATGTGTATTTTCTCTTTTCAAACTGTAATTGAACGTGTCATTTACAAAGTTAATTTAAAGCAGATAAGAAAGCATTTAAAGTACATCACGACTCGCGGCGAATGACTCCGTTGAACCTCAGAAGGAAAATTTGCATATCTCTTGCATAGGACACTTAGAGACATTGAATAAATTGATCTGAATTTGAATGTTGCGTGATAAAATCCATTGGATGCCATCGAATGGAAGCGAATAGAGAAATTAGCGATAGTTAAGGGTACACGCAAAGATTCCCCGGGGAAAATCAATTCAATCTGAAGAGATAAAATGGGAGAAATAGATCATCTTCTCACCATGTACGAGCAGATCTTGGTGCCTGGTCCGAATACCAATTCGCATTGCTGGTCGTCTGTGAATTTCTCACCGGCCAGCTTGGCATGGGCGCTGTTGGGTTCGATCATATCCCGCTCCGGTTTGTTCAGCATGCAACTTCCGTGGTTGTTTCTGTCAGAAGTGAATTAAAATTCCATTAGCAAAATATCATTAAGAAGCTTGCTATAAATATTTTTTTTTCCAATTCGCCAAAGAGACAGAGTGCGGTATAAAATCGGCCAGACAATTCTTCGTTCTCAAACATCTTTTGCCGGCTTTGCTTGTGTGAAGAAAAGGCGTTACGATGGTATATAAAAACAACATATTAATTATCGAAACTTGTCTTTTCACCATCGTATAAAAATTAGATTTTGAGATCAATGACAAACACCATGAATCATTTCACTTTACAAACATAATTGCAATTAATTAGATTCCACCATATAAAAGTATTATCATTGCAGACTCGTGGAGTATTTAGAGATCGTCGCACGGCAAAACATTTCCAATCGACACTCCGCAAATTGATGTTTACGTATTCAAGGCGCTCTCAATGGGCGAGTGATTTTGAACAAAATCAACCAACATGAAATGCGTGGTGCCCAATCATAACATAGACATTGTGCAAGTGATAAGATTTCTGTCAATAACCAAAACGAACAATATGTTGTGTATACATATTTCATATGGAAACTGTGCTACATTAAAATTAATGATTCCAGAGTGCCTGTCAAAACTTGATTAATAACCCAGACGTGAGTTTTGGCTCACAAGAGACTCTACTGTATTTTTCGCTCTTGCACTGGGAGATACATGATCACGATAAGTGACTTAATTTTTTACTCGCCACTTTTCCCAATTGACAACATTTTCAGCATTGCAAATCCGCCAGAAGAAAGTAGCAAGTGAATAAATTCCTTCAATTGGCGAGGCATTTCGCCAGAAAAACTTGTCATTACCAAATTTGACTGCATAAAATTGGCCGAGAAGACGTACATGAAAAAGCCATTTCATAATCTAATGGCCTGAGCCTGAGAAATGGGTGAAAAGCTGTCAGAAAAAATATTATTAATTATATATTGAAGCTCCAACAAGGAAATCTAGGCTAGTGTGTCTGTTTCAGAAGACCAAAACACACTTTATGAATTAGGCTTTGATCTTGCTAAAGAGCAGCTAAACTATCAGATGTAAGAGAGCTCTCGAAATGTGGGGCCCACCGTTAAAAGCGTGATTAAACTGCTTACTGATAACTTATTAGAAATAGGGTTACAGCATATTTAACATGGAAATAGTTTAGAAAAATGCACTAGTATAGTTATGAACTTTGGTGTTCTTGTGAGAAATAAAATGGGAATAAAGGATTAATGTCCTATTGAGTGTGTGTGTGTGTGTGTGTTTTTTATAAATACGTACCAATAAGTTAAGAAATGTAAGACAACTTGTATGGATACAAATATAAATTGTATTCCAAAGCAGAAAGTAAAAATTTACGACTGTGGAGATACAATTGAATATATCTCTCGAAAATATGCCCATAAGAGCTTTAAATACTTCAACATCTACAGACAGAAATGCAATGGAAGAATGCATGAAAAAATGTAAGGGATCATATGATTAAAATTCTCCGCACAGACATTTCTGCATTGATGCTTTCAAAATATACTTTCAGTACCGCACAAGACGCACAAAGGCAGGATTTATGGAGGAAATGAGAGATTTATTACTTTCCCATTGAAATGTCAGTGATGGTGATCAGTCTCGAAGTGGGTGGGCGCGAATTTTCATCAATAATCACCCAAGCTCGTGGCTTTTTGGATATTCAATGGATATTTGATACCGTGGCACAATTGAATCCCTTTCATCTCCACTTCACGTCAATTCACCACATCTTGTCTCTCTACCTTATGCTGCAGAATTTATAAAATGCTAAATCGAAATTATCGAAATGTCGCTGAACGAGTGCGGAACGCAAAGAATGGAGAGAATTGACTTGAGATACTTGAGACAACATAATCAGATTGCAGTGAGGAAAAGCCATGAGCTCTTTGGGAATACAATGCGTGGATAAACATTGTGAAGAAAGTTTTTTAATCGAACAGGTATTGTTGTGTATTTTTGAAATTCCGCAGCATCTTTTATTCATTTAAGCCCCTTCTCAAGTGCATCCGCGCCATCGAGGAAATCTGATATTCTCGTGGGAAAAAAATCTCACCGCTTTTATTGACTAAAACACCTCTCAAGAAAGTTATTTCTAGTCATAACTCATAGTGAATCCTCGAGGATTTCCAACAGCACCTCGGCCAGACGGAGGATTACTCAATAGCGTGCACGAATGCCCCGAAAGAAGTCAGGAGATTTGGCATCACGGAAAAATGTGAGAGTTGCATTAAAATAAAACCTCGCATCTGAGAATCTGGTAGTTAATTTATTGGACTTAGCGTTGTGAGCCATTTGCATCAGGAGCACAAGCAAAGCCCACAATTAATGGGGAATATCACTTTTTATGATATAATTCTGGTATTTTGAAACGAGTCTGACAAAGTGTGAGCATTTTATTGCATGATTTCCCCACATTCAACTGCCTGGCAGCATTCAAATCACTCACTATGGCTATATTTCATGTGCACTCTCGTGGGACTCCTTTTGACTATTTCAAAAGAAAAACCATCAACACACCGAATCATCACGTTGGGAGAACAGCAGCCGTTGCGTATGGATAAATGCAGAGAAGCAAGATATTCACTGCCGGTATTCAAAATTATTTTATGGGAAATCAATAAAAATGTTGGTAATTTGCCATTAAATGCTTCACGCATTAATGCGATTTGTGGCATCGCCCATCTGCTGACAGACGCCGTCAATCCACACATGTTAATGCCATCTCTTTGCACAAGTGGCTGCCCAACTGTCTGGCTTCGTCTGGCCGTCAGACTTGGCATGATGAGGCAGAAAATATAATAAAATACTCACTCCAGATACTCCGTGATAAAGTGCCGTGAGCAGTCTGACCAGGCCCATGGATGGGTGTTGTGATCCAACATTCGCGACATGATAAAATCCTTGTGTTTCTTTGGTCCATGGAATTGCCCGCACTTGGGATCATCATCGTGAGGCATGCTCAGGCTGGAATAAGAAGTAGAGCTTGGATTAGGCTTTATGTAAAGAACCTACAGTGAAAGAAAATGCTATTATGTGAGTCTCGTGACCTCAAATGATAAATTGCCGAACTCCTAAATGGACTAGAGAACTTAATAATTAAATTCGACATCAAAACGAGAGCTTCTACAGTTTGGCAGTGTTTTTGCGAGCACAGCCAAACCAATTCTTTCGGCACGTAATGCAGAGACGAAACACTAAAGAGCAGAGAATTAATTTGAGTGTTCATCTTAATCTCAAAACAAGACACTTTTGATCCACTTAACATCATTTGCTATTGCTCCCAGGCCTCGGCTTCCCGTCATCTTTCATGAGACACACAGTGCCTCGTTGTGGTCGTCATGCCGTGGAATCGGAATTAAAATATATACAGATGAACTTTAAGCATCATGCTCCATGATAAACGACAAGAAACAACACTTTTTGATGGTCATTTGCATATGAAAGCTATGCGAAGATGTTTTATTGGTCACAAATTGTGTGTGGACAAAGAAAGGCGAAGCATGAAGCAAAAAAAGAGATTTTGCAAATTAAATACTCAAGATGAGTGAGGAAACTTAATTCAATCATTGTTGACGCGACACTCGCCATGAGAGCGAAGCACATCGTAAAGGTGGGCGGAAAAGTGGTCCGAGACAACTTCTTTGGCGGCAACTTGCTACTTAATCTCCTTCATCTCTACCCTTTTCATTTCGATTCGAGATAATGCAAATTGGTGAGGACGAAAAAGTGTCAGATTGTATGAAATATTCACACAATTTATAGGCAAAATTGATCGTAAATTTTGTTATATTTCACACCCATAGAGCAATAAATAGGAAATTATCAAGTGTTGAAATTCTAGCGTGTCGCTGCCTCTATTTCGATGCCCCACAAAGAGTGCGACAAAGAAAGAGCTTCGACAAAAGACGATTAAGATTTCCTTTATGTGCATGGCGGGAAAAAGAAGCACCAAATGAGCTCCAATTTGTGCGCAAAATACAAATTGATGTGTCACTAAAGAAATAGTAATATTTCATATGGGATCTCTATTGATTCCACTACGCCAAAATTGAAGCATTTAAGCTTCCATCATCAGTGCCACCAAAAATGGCATGGGAGGACAGATTCTGTGCGGAATGTGTGCTATAAATCATAGAAAAATTATTCATCAGTTATATGAAATCAAGCTAGAAGACCAAATACAGACGCTCTAGCCGTCGAGTGTCTTCCCACGAGAGGTTGAAAATTTCACGAAATTCTATATTTCTTCTGTTTGTGGTCAATTTTTCATTCTTCTGCCGGTTGGAAATTTCTTCTGAAATGATATACATTTCAAATCCTCTCAATTAGAGGCGGGTATTGATTTTCGCGCCAACTGCTTTTAGGGATGAATGAGTCGAATCTCGAGGGCAGTCATTGGCGGGGTCAATGGGTGACATCACGTTGAATGACCGCATAAAACTGTCTTGTCCTCTATTGTAAGAGAAAGATGAGGAAGAGTGAAGGAGTGTGATTTATGCGCCGCCAAACGTGACTGCGTGTCTTACCACAAAAGCCAGGAAATAGATTCCTCCCGATGAAGATTCACCCTGTCGTAATTCCGTATCTTTACAATCTCTAACGTCACAGAAAGATTTTGTGAGTCATAGAAAATCAATTCTAGGACTCTGCGAAGTAGAGTCACGTCCAAAAAGGGGAGCAGCGATTGCTCGAGAAAATTCAATGGGCCATTAATTTCCAAAGCGCGAGCAATCAGAGAAATCCACATGACAAATTTGGAGGCGTTAAAGCTGTGCTAATTATCGACAATTTCCTCTGTCAGATCTCAATGACGATGACGTGTCGATGCAGCAATTTGCCACGATAACAAAGAGTCTGGCGGGAAAGAAAATGCAAGTCAGTACTTACACGTGACCCAATTCATGGGCTATTGTAAATGCCGCCGACAGTCCATTGTCCTGCACCAGCGAACAAGACGTCGTTCGGCACATGGTCCCGAGTTCCGCCAGTCCCAATGTGTCACACTTGGTCTCATTGGCGTTTCGGCAAATTTGCTCGCGAGTAAGCAACAGGGCAGTGTCGTGCTGGAAACTGTGATAGCGCTGCTTCATTTTGCAGAATTCCGCCAACATGCTGGACGCCGAGACACCTGGAGAGTCACAAGAAAATCCATGAGAGATTGATTCCCAATCAACGTGCAACACGAACTTGTTGCTCGTAATTAATTGTAATCCACTAATTTATTTATTGGTGCATGTTCGCGCTAAATACAGCGATAGAGGCACCTTTTCCGCCACGAACACGAGAATATTTCAGGCAACAGGAAATTCTACAGCTCGAGATGTTGTGATTGTAAAATTACGTGAACTTTACTTCACAGGCATTAATAAATATAAAAAAATGCGGTTAGAGATCTTTCAGAATCTGATTTTCTCTGTAATTTGTTTACAAGTCGATCAAGGAGTTATTTAATTAAATAGGAACAGCATTATCAACTCATTTCAATTAATCATCAATTATTTCCTTTAATGCGCCAATCGATTGGAGCTTTATCTGCCACCACCGGGCGCCTCCATCGACAATCTTTTTCAGTCTATCCAACGTGTTATTAGCGTGATTGGTGAATTCTTCGGTAATTCGAATATTATACCCCGCGAATTAATGAGTATTTCTACACGTACAATAAAAGTGGACAAGAGGCTGTTATTATAGTGGATAAACCCGATCCCGCTCAGCACCTGGAGTCCATCTGTAATCGTTAAAATGCTATATTTGCACACAAAGTGAATAATTGCAGCAACACCCCGTCTCTGGCTTCATAAATCCACTTCTACACGCCATCAAACAAATCACTTTGGATTTCAAATTGTGTCTCACATCGGCCGTTGAGCGCGAATTAGAAAAACGCCGCACGCATCCACAATAAATGATCTTATGTGAAAATTGGAATGTGGTTCGGATTATTCCACTTTGCTTGCATATCATGATCCGCCGATTAGATATCCATAGATTTTCCTCTCAGTGGAATCATTTGTCGTCAATCGGAGATGATCTGAGTGGGTAATTTTAGGGCACAAAAGCCGACCATTTTTGCATGACCCACATTTTCTCTCAATTGAATTTCACGTCCCTGAAATCTCTTATATCTAATAATTGCTCAATTATGCATTGACGGAATGAATCAAAAGAACATTACATACCTATGTGATTGGAGTTGGGTACGAGATCATGCTTCAGCAGGAGAATGTGAACTACAGCCACGTTCAGGGAATTTCCAATGCTGGCATCTGAGAAGATGCTCGACACCTTCAACCACAAAAAGTCAATTAAAATAGCTTCGCTCACATCATCGGCGGCAAATCTACTCACAATGGACATGAGTGTCAGAACGTACTCCTGAATGGCATCCCCGTGGTATTCCTGCATCTTCTTGTCCACCGCCACGAGAATCTCCATCGTATACTCATTGTGGGACATCATACTGTGATGACTTCGTTTCTTCCTCACGTGCGTCCCGGCCTCCCGCGAAGCCGCCAAATCCTCGTCGCCGCTGGGCGAGTAGATGTCTGAAATGTCACGCGGGAAATTTTTATTATCAATTATCCGCACTGATGAGAAAAGGTGACATGGAAGTTGATGCACGGTCGGCAATTATCTCAGGGAGCATCGCGCTTATCGATTAAGTGTCCGCTCTTGATGCACTCCAGATTGGACTCCCGCCTTTTCCCATAAAAAAGATTAATTGAGTGTTTGCTGAAGACTTGCGCTGTTTGAGGCATTGCAGAATGTCTCACTTTGGGAAATTATAAAGAGAAACATTTCACTGACACACAGAAAGTGAAGAAATAAATCTTCTTGTTCTACAAGTTGAGAATCGGAGCGATTTCAATAAACATTTTATTAAGATCTGGGTTTTGAAGAGAAACTTTCTGAATTCTTTAATTTTTTTTAAACAATATGCAAGTGAGAACTTTATAGAAAGCTCTCCATGTAATAGAGAATTAGAGTACATGTGATCGTATTTATAATTTATTATCAAATCACTTGAAAATTCCCCAAATATTGCAGTCTTCCGAAAAGCCTAATTGAGGAGCAAAAATTCCATCTCGTTAATGATCACCGCCGACAGTTTCGTGATGCATTAAGCGACGGACTTTAATGTCACGTCCCGAAACTGGTGTCAATCACCGCAAGATGGAATTTCTTCCAAGGAGAAAGGGCCAATCGCCGCCTGCATAATGGAGTGTTGGCTGAACAAAAACGCAACTTATCATGGTAATTTCTCAGCGCGCTGGGCCCAAAATTCAACATCCCAAGAGAACCTCGAGAGGAAATCATTATCGATTTAGTACGCTCGTATGACATTGGAGTGGTATTTACTAATGGGTGAGGCTCATCGATTAGTGACTCCCCTGCAGATGGGCATTTCAAGCGGGTCAATGTGATTAATTGCATTATGTTTAATCACCTCTCTCACCTCACCCATTGATTTCTCATTAGCGTGCCACATTGGGGATCATTTGCTGAACATTTAGAAATCCAATAGTTGTACCAATTAATGTCACACGAAGGAGAGTCAGTTCCATGTCTGCAGATTTGCCGAGATTCCATCAAATAGAGACACTCTTACTCTGACCAAGCAATCAAATTAACTCTTTTTTTGCTGTCGCCATGGAAATTTTTGCTATTTGGAGCACGCAAACAGTCCACATTCAAGGTGTATCCAAGTGGAAATTTATCGCATTCAGCTTAAATAACATCCCAATCACCTCTTTCCCATTTCCTCAGCATTTTCTGCCCGAAAAAACGTCAGCGATAGTGTGTGGAGTGGTCAACTATTGGATTTCACTCTAATGGAACTCAAGAGTCATTTGTAATTCTCACTTTCAATGCCGACAGACATGAATCTTATTAAGTCTTCTGCCAAGCAAGTCACACTCCTCGAGAAACTGCTAATTGATTCATTCACCCAAAAATTCGTTGAATTATGTAACGTGAATACTCAAATAAATTCCATTTTTGGTGTAGAATGTGTGTTCATCTACCTCACACACAGTAATTTGAATTAGTGTGTTTGGCAGTCCAAGAAATTCGACCATTTAAAAAAGTGTTCCACCGAGAAGCGGAAAACCAACACATTTTCCTTCAAACACTAAAATGCAAATTAAATTCGCACGCATTGGAAAGACGACATTTTTTAATGGCAAATGAGACAATTTGCATGGAGTCATCACAACTCTATTGCTAAATATAATTTTCTTATGTTTATTCTCACAAATGTCCGTTTGTCATAACGACTAACCACTTAACACTTGTGATACGGAAATCTGTCAGAGGTTCTAGATCTTTTTCTATCATTGATTTCCACACTCACAAGCGCCTTCCACGCATAAATTTTCTGTGAATTTCAATTGTAGACCATCGAAAAAATGTGTGAATGTCCGCAATGTTTTTCTGTGTTGGTCTTCACGGTGATTTCCACCTTAAAAGCCAAAAAATCAACGTGCAAAAATCATCCTTTCCTCACATTCAACAGCTGTATTTGGTGTCGTTACGTAAGTTTCCGCCAATGTCAATGGCATAAAATGTTGAATAGATCCGTTCGCAAAAAATCACAATCATCAGTCAGATTAGAGCTTTGAATTATGGTGATCCTTCCAATAAATTCATTTCTAATGGTCAGCAATAAAAGATCGACTTCTGCCGAGAGACACACACTTGATCGTGTCGAGGAAGGAGAAGAATTGCAGAGACACTCAAGATCTCTCGATAGTTGAGGCCAGAGACAAAAAAGCGCTCTCCTCGCGAGTCTCGAGTGCTGAAGGAAAGCAGAACTTGTAAAAAAATGTGCCTAGATTCTTTAATGGAATCAAAGCATGATCGTGACTCCTAGACAGAGTGGCGCAGCGCCGCGATCGTGGCCACAATTGCCAACACGAGACAACTCATGTGCTTCCGATCGAGAAAAACTCGTTATAAATACATATTTGTTAAAAATCACTTTGCCGTATTTACATACGCAGATGACCTTTTCCCATACTCAGGCCCACGATGGAGAGTTTGGAGCCGCCGCCAGGAATGTTTACTCGCGCGGTATTTGATGCGTATGTACATAAACCATTATTGCCAATAAATTCTGTGGTTTCTGCTTCTCTCCTGAGCACCTTGCACAAGACTCTTTTTTCGTCTTCACCACACTCTGCCCGATCGTGCGATCGATGCCTCGGTGTCTACAGGCGCGGGACCACAAATTTTCATGAGATCGCCTTAATTTTTGCCATCGCCACCATGAGATCACAGCATCCGCATGTATTTGTCAATGATGTCGCATGAAGAAATATCGAGAGACTCTCTCCACACGTTTTGTGAATGTCAATCAATATCTCAAGTTGATAGTTCAAGTCTCCTCAATAGTCTGATGGCAAAGAGTCAAATTATTGAGACATCGCGCCATCCTCAAGAGACTTCAGCTCTCGCACCTGATTATATCGCAGAAAACGTGATTACCTTGTTCATGTGTCGTTCACACAGTTCAGCAGTGGCAAAAAGACATTTTTTGAAATCTCAGTTCCACCAATCAATTACCAAAGCGAGAAACATATGTGAGAAAGAAAATATGCCAGTAACGGAGTATTCACTAAGCATAAAAATTCTATAATTACACATATACGAAGTAAAAAATCAAATTAAAGTCATCCTCACGAGGGTTTCTCAAGGCAGAAAAAAAAACTTGAACATAAAACTAAATTGATCACAGGCGTATTATTTCCAGCTTGGACACAACGAGCAAGAAGCACTGTAATGTTCTGGGTCAATATTTGGACATTATTCAGCTATGTGAAATCTTGTGCGGCTCAAGTGAGTGTGATGATTAAATTCCGAGAGATGACAGAGATTTTTGTGTGAAGATGACGCAAGGCGCAAGGACGTTCGCTGAAGATCAAAAGTCAACACATCATGAGAACCGGAAATTCTATATTAACTTCTTCACAATGGCAGCGATGGCAAAAACAAGAAATAATTTACACTCTCCTCTCATTTACTCATGAGTACCTTCTTTTTTTTCGCCTTCATGACTGAAGAACACATGTATTTCGTCAAAAATTCTCAAGATCCCGACAAAGATTTATGAATGCAGTGGCAATTATTTTAGCAGCACAACCGTGAGAGCTTTTGGGGGAGATGACAAATGGATTTTCATTCACACCTGTGCTGAATTGAAAGAATAGTAACTGCATCGACTCTATCAATTAATTGCAATACGAGGCTGAGTTCTTTTGTACTGTAATGACTTGCATGACCTCTCTCCTAAGCACGTGTTGTGACATTTGCTCTGATATTGCCAATTGTCACACAAAAATGTTCGAAAATAATGCTCAATAAACTCTGATTGATAGTCAATGCATTTCCAAGACGTATTGAGTCTGGAGAGCCTTTTCAAAGACTCAGCAAATGTCTTAGATTTCTAAATTAATTGTATCAATATGACCCCCATTGATGACTTTTGCACGTGATGGAAAATCTAAGCATGACCCGACGATTGCTTAAAGCACTTGTAAAATAGTGATAATTAACTATTTATGCCTCATATGTCTTGAGATCTTATTTTTCTGAGTGCAACGTTGCACTTTTGAATATCTCTTAGCCCACTCTATCACCACAATTTAACATTCTCTGCAATTGCACATTCCGTAGATTAATGGCAGTGATTCCATTATGAATTTTCGCCATTAAGCATTATCTCGTCTGCGAGTGTGTGACTAAGAAATAGAGATAAAAGCTAACCTCCAACATTTTCAAATGCAGAATTGCTGGAATTCTCTTCCATGGATTCCAGTTCATCATGTGGCTTCATGTTTATAGGCAATCTGTAGACAATGTGGAGAATATTTTCATTGTCGCTGGTGTACTTCTCCACGGGTTGTATGAAGAATGAGCCAGACGATGTTCTGATGTGTCCTCTCTGCAAAAGTCGCGGCAGTGCGCCAGAAAAAAGATGGTTAAGATTAGTGAACATTCGGAATAGAGAAAGAGAGACTTTTGGGAAAACAAAAATAATGGATAAACATCCCGTAAATCATGCAGAGAGAAGATTTTGTGCTGAAAAATCATCAAGACTTTTCCCGGAGTGAAGCGGAAAATGAATTTTGGGATATCCGCTTGATAAACGTGCTGTCTTGGGGGCTTCGAGACCATGTTTTCTCCTTCCAACTTAACATATAGTGTTCGACTTTTGAATATTTTTGCACGTGGTGGACATAAATTTCATCTCCACTGCGAATTCACTGCTCATCTAATTATAAATTATGTCTCTCTGATATGTTTTCTGTCCTGTCTCTCTGAATCATCTGCATAAATTGTACAATTGTATCAGGATGGCAAATTAATTGAATGTTCTGCTCTTGCATCTCCACCATTGAGCTCATTATCATAATTCTCCCCTCGACGAGTTATTACATTGTAAACCCACGCTCAATGTTGCTGTTGAAAAAAAATGTGCAAAATTCCTCGCTCATACACTATTTAATGCATAAAACTGTTTACACTTCATTACAGTTTCACATAAAATAATCGGAAGATTCTAAAGTTAGTTCATGAGCTTTTCTCATTACAATTCCACAACTGACTTTTTCCCACTCGCACTGTATTTATCTGAAAACCCACAAATATCATCCATAAGTGTTTCAACCACTACTACTTTATTGCTAAGCTTAGAACCATTTTTTTGTGCTGTTCAATTGAGAGACAAGGTCGCCCAGAAGATGAGCCTTGCATATGGAAAAATATGGCACGAGCATTTAATTGAAATCTTGTCTCTTCCATTGCACTTAAAGTGCAATTTAATTTCAATTGCAGCCTCCATAACGACTAAGAGACTCCTCACACGCCCATTCTCCTGCCCACTCGCAGTCTGCCAGAGAAATTTTCATCGCAACACTGAGCGATCAATCCGAAATATCATTGCATATTTAAATTAATATCTGTCTCGACGATCGCTCACACCTCAACAGGAGAGCAGTTGAAAACCAGAGCGCGACGCTTAAATTGATTTCATTATCTTCTATCTTCTCATATACCTGTGTGCATATGTTCTATAGATGCGGAAGAGGATGTTCCTAACACAATCAAACTTGTGAATATGTCACTTTTTCCTTATGTTATAAGTTTGTTGTCATGTTAGACTTTTATTAAGTCATTTTTCTCACAATTGGAAATTTAAAAATTTACCAATCAACACAAAAACGCCCTACAATCAATTTGCTCTTCTTCCGCTAACATTTTCTGGTAATTTTCAGACATGAGAGTCATTGTACGTGCTGCCACATCCTCCGTGGCAGGAACTCCCTGCGGTGACTCTTGTTTATTATAATTTCATGACCAAGGGAGCTTCATGAGTGTGCAATTGTTTACCGTGTCAAATGCACCGAAAAACACATGCAAACACACTCAATGTTTATTTTAACGAACAGTAGATTTTCACGAGGTGATTAAGTAATTTCCATGGGGAATGTTTAACAATTGTTCTGTTAATGTGCGTCGTACGCAGGGCAGTCAATGGTGTGTTTCTTGTTGCCTTCTGTTTATGCCTTGTTATCGCTGATGTTGCACAATTTCACTGCCATCAGCGCAGAAATATGGCCTTTCGGCTGGAAATTGAGAGTCAAGAGGTTCCACGCGTTTTACGAGTAACTCAGAGGCATCGTAAATTGACGCTAAACGGTGCCTCGAGGGAGGAAATAGAGAAATGACCTCTCCTCTGCAACATCTCCAAGAAGCCAGAAGGTGAGTGATCCAATAACTCAATTCTTGGGGTTGGTAATGCCAACTTGGCACGGACGAGGGAAGCGATTTACATCGTGATCATGGATGGATGGTGAAGCCAAAAAGGCACCCATAATTCATTCATCCTTCTATGTTGATAATGGGTTGATTCCAACATCGACACGCTTCATCGGTTGAATTTATGTTTCGCAGCTTAATTTCATAATCTCGCCGCTACATAAAAATAGTGTATATGGGCTGAGAGTAGAAGAGGAAGTGTGGAAGTCACTCCGAGGCGGCGAATCCACTTTGCAGTGACCAGTTGTCTTGCATGGAGAACAGTGGTTAGGAAATTCATTAATAGATATCTTTACGATGTCTATAAATAATAATCGCAGACATTTATTGCCTTCGCTCTCGCGATCTTCCCATTCTTTGCCTCCCTTCTAACGCGCCTCGGGATGTCCTTCGCAACAATGGTTCAATGAAATAGCATCGCTGATATCGTCGTAATTAAACGGCTGCCAGAGCGCAACATCACAGTTGCAAATTGTTGGTAATTGCTCAGTGAATCCACTCCAATGTCGCTCAATTTTAGATTTTCCCATCACGCACAATTTCCATGGCTATTGATCTCAGAATCTCTCTCTCTCTCTCTCTCTCTCTCTTCCTCTCCGCAATGTACCAGCAGAGATGGAATCGAAAAGACAAGTTGGTGGGATTAATGTAAATACACAAAACTGATAAACTTATCGTGTTACTAAATTGAAATTCCTCACTTTTCATCTCGCGCCAGAGTGGCTCGTTGTCATTAAGTTGAATGGAGTGAACCTTGAAATTAATACACTCACACTTTTTGAGTAAACGCATGACTTAAGAAAAAAAAAGATATGATCACCACTGAGGAGATTGAATTTATTTTGGGGCCAGAAAATTATCTTAATTCCTTCTTCCGTGTCACTTTATCGGCCAGAATGAAAGTTTGGTCAATTGAAGCAATCAAACTCGAATTATCATTGGCAATGTTATCCTGAGCAATGTGAATCATTCGCGAAAAAATAAACATCACATTGGGAAAACGAACACACAAATTATCCTTAGAATACTTTTCAGCTCTCTGCGCCCATTGACCATGTTTATTTTACTTCAATCCACTTCAATTCAATTTCCTCTACTGTATGTAGGTTAAGTTGAGGTGAGAGAATGCACACAACATGAAATGAAGTGTTCTACCGAACTATGAAATTGTTTGAATTTTGGGAACAATTTTTACGTTAAGAGTTTCGTAAGATATGTAAAAGTGTCTGTATTCAATCTATTTTTGCGATCATAAAGAAAAGCATCTTTCGCGAATAAAGTGAGAGTGAGATGATTCAGTTTTACGATATCATCGACCTGTAAATTCATTTGCAAGTCAGCGACACGTGTTACAATGTCTGTTTCCTGGATACTTTAAGAGTACGGAAATTTTAACGATAATTGAGACGGAAATAAATTTAAAATACTCCAACCGAGTGTACACAAAGAGTATCCAGTGCAAAAAGTCAAAAGAAGGTAAAATGTAGAAGAAAAGAACTGATGAGAGGACATTGAGATATTAAGATTAATTGCCTCCGTAGAATTCTTTAGAAATATTTTCCATTAAAATCTGAATGGAAAGAGTAAATTTTGCAATTTCTCAAGAGGTAATTGGAGGAGGATTTCGTCTGAGAGAACTATCAGCAGCAAATCCGTACGTCTGGCTTATTATTGGGAGAATGTGCGGAATCCCATTATATTTGACGTCAAAGTGGACAATTCACAAAAACACACGCCTTTAGGAAAATTAATTGCCTAATATCCACGGAGGAATGCTCATGTAAAATTCCTCAGAGTGAAGAAAACACTATTTAGAAGGATTGGGTATCTAATGTAAATCAGCAGAAAGAAAATCTTTACCTCCAGACATTCACAACATGGTCTCACAGAAAAAATAAGCACATTCAGGCTAAATTAAAATACGGAAAAGAAGTCTTTTGATTTTTTACTTCTCTCTATCTCTCCCTCTCACTCACTCGCATTTCGCTGTTATTTCAAATGAGTCGAAATATTCAGGTGAGGATCAAAGGAAACGTCTAGCATTTATTTATGTAAATATCACCACGATCCCGCAAACTCTCACACCCTCTTCCATTTCTTCACTGTTCACATGAGGAAATTATTTGATTTTTCTCTCTCCCTCATTTCCATCTATTTTCACTAAATTCTCTTCTGGCTATCCTCTATTTTCATCTTCATATCTACAAGCTACATTTCTTGGCATATAAATCTACTCTCGATTGAGAGTTTTAACTGAATGTTTGAGTAAATGAGTTCTTGAGTAGAGCGTGAACTGTAATTATTAAATAAATTGCTTAATCAAGTTTTATCGAACACATTAGCAAAAATTGTCATAAGAAGGTTTACTTCACTTAGCGAAAGTGTGTGCTTAAAGTAGAAATTTTTACTTTGAATTTTTAAGAGGAGATTTTTCTCTTCAAGTAAAAGTGAATCGTTTCTGTTCTCACACAGTCTTTGGAGCAAAATCGCCCGGCAGAAAGAGGAATGAGGGCTATAAAATACGATTTTAATTCTCTAATTTCTGCGGCCACATGGAATGCGGAGGCGTTTTGCACACTTCTGTCTGAAATCAATGTACGATGGAGGTGAAAATTGGGTCAAGGATGCCCAAAATCACATGTGCAAAAAGATGTAGTGATCACGAAGAATTGGGAGCGTTTCATTATTCCCTATACATGCAAAATCATTTCCCTCTTGTCCAACATTGTGGCAATAGTAAAGCGATATCGTAAAATTCTGCAATATACTTAGTATTGTAGTAAAGTGAAGAAAATATGAGATTATTGCCAGCTATCTACGGCAATTTGTACCATTTTGTATGGCATGCAAATTTTAATGTGGCGGACTAGTCTGAAGAGTGTCAATTCGATATGGTATTTATCTCGGCGCTGAATGCAAGGTATTTGCTAACACATTTTCCATGCAAAAATAAACAATATTCACCGAGGAATTCAAATAATTCCTCAAATGCTGTATACAAGCCATGCTGCACATTCTAAAAACACTCACCATTCCGTCACAGAGGTTCACCGACACAAAGGACTTCTCATCGCCTCGGATGTGTCCACGATAGAAACATCCCTGCAGAGATTCTTGCTCTTGGTGATCCACCTTCCGTCTCAGTGTCTCGTTCGGCCAGATATGCGTCACCTGAAACAGAGACAGCAATAAATATTGAAGAGTAATCGAGTGCACTTGCAGCATCTCCAATGGTTTACGATTTGTGAATGAAGCGACGGGCTTCATAGTCATTGGCTATGCAGCGTTTCATTGAGAAACGAGTGGAATAAATCACTGAGTCACACTATCAGATTCTCGCCAAAGCCAATTATTGGCAAGTGAATGGCCACCGATACGTGATGATAAGGTGCCACTGAATTTGAGCCATAGCTAATGAATTGGCCTCCACTTAATAGTCGAACAGTCACCCACCTTTAAGTCGGTGTGCATGAAGTTAGCAGCCTGATAAAGGATTAAATGCATGTGAAGACCAAAGGCGTCAATCTCATACTGTGGATGTGGGTCCCATATTCGACTCGATTTATTACGAAAGTGTCCGGTAATTCGATGATTTTCTAGAAAGAAATTACAAAGTAGACGATTAGTAGTCCAAAGGAATCTCAAACATTCAATTGTGAACCCCTTTAGTCGGTAAAATTCATGATTGAATTAAGTCATTTAATTGCTCTCTAACTCCCCGTCACTTTCAGACCAAGAATGCTGACGTCTAACTCTATCTCTGTTCCATATCAGCCACTTTACGAGATCTCCAACTATTGAGCATACATTGCAAGATGGAAATCCTGCGACCACGCGATTGCCACTCACCTAAGTTACTCGTTGCAGTCTCTAGATTCTTGGACTCGTATAGCAGATCATCTGCATGGAGGGGTTGAGTATGAATTTTCGACGGTTTCACGTACTCCGCATTGCTCATTGGAATATTCTCATAATCGAAATGCGACACATCGATGTCTGGCTGCTGCCGCGGAGGCGTCTTCTCTGTGGAGTCCAACTCGCTGGACGCCGGCGACGTGGATGATGTTGATGAATGCAAATGATGATGATTAGAGGAGTCTTTGGGGAAGAGAGAGAGAGAGTGAAAAAATGGATAAGTAAATAGCTTCGTGCAATCTTTAGGTGGGAAAATTAATTAAATTATGCACCTCTGTTGGTCTTGCACGGCAACATTATAAATAAATTTATATCGAGAATATTTATGAATGGTGGACGTGCAAAGAGAGCCTCCTTTCCCACACAATCCAGTGAAAAATATTTATGATAATGTGTGATTGACATAATTACTAGTTTCGTAGTTGGTACTAAACGCTCAATTATCGCTATCGTCGTGTCCATCTGTCTTGTATTACAATGCTTCGTGGAGCGAGTCTTCGCGCGTGAAGGGAATCATAAAACTCTTATTATTATGTACATTTCCAGTAATTATACATCACTTTTTATTACTATTTGCCATTAATTGTTAACTGCGGCCAATTGGAGACCCTTCGAGTGCCAATATGCAAAGGGAAAATTGTGAAACACTCATAAAATTCATACTATTCGCCTCAATTGACTAGAATTTTATGTGGGAATATTCAGTAACATGAATAATGACCAAGTCCACAATTGGGGACATGCATTGCTCAAGATTAATTAGCTTAAAATGTCAAGATTTGATTCTCGTATTGTTGATGATTACCAAACAGCTGTTGCACCTTCCATCCGATTGAATGGGTAACCGTTTGATCACGAACTAACAAAACATTCCAAGAGGCACTGTGCGATATTCATATGGATGCAGCCAATAAACTTTGAGACCATTCACAGAAAACTTCCATAAAAAAACAACACAAAAAATACAAATATGACACAACATTTCGTACGTTAATTAAATTTTTAATATGTACAGGCAAATGAATGGAATATGCCATAACATGAGGTACTAATTCTGCATAATTAAGCAGGGCCTAATATTTCATTGAAGTTTTCACTTATAAAAACACACCCACTATACTGGAATGCAGAAATCAAGGTTCTTGTTGATACGTGTGATTCTCCGATAAAAGCAATTGAAAAGCAATTCAACGAATTTATTTACAACCTTATCACAATATCAATAAGTTCTTGTTATAAAATTGTTAAATTTTATCAAAACTCACAGTTCAAGTACATTTTACATTCATTTCAGAGATAAGAAGCATTTTAATTGTCCAACCCTCAATCATGAATATGTGGTAATTGAAAGTGCATTAAAACTGCACTCAGATTGCTAAAAGCTGATTACACTCAGAGATTATATGAAGGCTTATTAGAATTTCAGACCACGGCTCACGATTTGTACTTCTTTTCTTTTCAATTTGTAAAATCAGCAACTGGAATTTTGTGTAGAACCTGTTCATAAATATATTTAAGTTCAACACATATCAATGAGTGAAAAGGGAATATATTTGTGATACAATGTCTCATGATAATGAGGAAGTGTCGAAGAACTGACAAAAGGCTTACTCAATTCCACTGTATAATTGATTTTCTTACACTCCGTTGCACAGTGAATGGTGCAATTTATTTCATAAAAACGTGTGCAAATGATATTTCATCGTTTCCTGACTCGTCCGATAAATCATCCACTGTGCGATATTTTATCTCGCGCAATGCACAATGTTTAGCAAATTTTTCAATACATTCAAACTGAATAAATAATTCTCACATCGTTACGGCGTGCAATTTAATTTACGCAATATACACCAAATGATGAGCACAGATGGTGAAGTGGGATATTATCATAACTGATCCGCCACAAATCATCTTTGCAACCATGTAGGAAGAGCCTCGCGAAGAACCTTTAAAATCATCTCCAACTTTGGTGGGTCTTTTTTATTCACCATCCATTAATCATCGGAACTGAGTGTGAAAATATTTTCTCTCTTATGCAGCGTATTTCGCTATTCATCATCTTTTTGGTGTCTGCAAATTGCAGGCGGAGGCTCTGCCATTGTTGGCTTCATATTTATGGCATTTATTGATACAAGATCTCAGTTCAAGTGCACACCAGCTAATATTTATATTGCTCTTGCAACATCCTGACCAAGGTAGCCAGCTGCTGAACCACACTAATTACACGTGCAAACACTGCACTCTTTGCACCTCTTGAACTTTCCGATTGTGGATCTCCAATGTGAACATAAACGGAGGATTGCCACTTTGCGCCCACTTTGTGTGTCTTTTTCGCTATAAACATTTCACAGAATACTTTTCATGCAAAATCTATACCTACAGGTGTAATAAAGGGTGAGAATCGCACCATGAAGAAGCATATTTTCAATTCTCTTTATCTCACTTGAAAACTCGGGATGATGCCATAAATTTCATGAAACTTCAATGCATTCTGCATTGATCTTAAGAAGTGTAAAACAAGAACATCCACATAAGTGCAAAAGACCAGCATATCCATGGATAAATAATAAAATGACGGCTGGGTAGACTGTTGTTAAGGAGGTGTGATGAAGATTCAAGGCTGCCAGAGGACTTGTTGAACGATCGCCAGCGTATTTAGATAGTGCAGCGATAATTGAAAAATCCCTCTTCAGATTGTCTCGACAGCCGAATTGACCGTATCCAATGTTTCCGCAAAAACTGCACAAAGACTCCCGGACTTGAAGGCCACCAGACTCTTCCGAGAATCTTTGTGGAATGTTTGTGGACAGCTCTCTAATTTTCACACGCGATTTCCCATGGGGAGATATTTAAAACCGCCACACAACTATCGAGACGCTATGCTTCATTGGGCATTTGCTCAGTCAGCACAGACAGTGACCTGAGTTCAGTGGCCAAGCACCCTGACCTCCCTTGACTCATCTTGCGGGCTTCTCTGCACCCGCGCATCCGCAGAACGTGATCGAGATCCCATATTTTCCACATGAGCGTCTTTCTCCATTAATAAGCCACAATTCAATTTATCAATTGCCAATCAAGATTGCAGCCTCCCGAGATTCTTTGATTGATGACGAGCATTTTGCAGTCGCGCTCTTGAACTTGATCTTGAGGAAGGCAAGACTAAAAGCAAACAATGATCAACGCCTCCATGGGAGCCGATTTTCGAGCGAATGCGAAATGTGCACACACCACATAAATGCCACAGATTACGTACTTCATCAGCACAATTCCACTGACAATTCCTCGTATTTAACTTGTGTGATTTCACTAGATCACAAGCTGACACGGCATCGTTTCATTTCCGATCCTCCCCATGTCTTCTACGAATTTTAAAATCCAAACACACACCAAAAGCGCCCACCTCAAGTCCACAGAAATGATGAATGAACTTCACAGTTGATGAATAAAATAACAGAGCATATTTAATGATATTTGAATAATGTTTGTCACACATCCATGAGAAGTACCTTTGTTCACTATGGCCAAAAGAATGCATGTGACAAAGAACTCCAATCGACAAAGAAAATTCATATGAAAAACAAGCCCATATGTATACATAATTCCGTATCACGTTTCGAAAAAGTTCTCACGTGTTCCTGAGCAGAAAAGAGCAAATAAAAAGTAGCCAGTAAAAGTGACTTCAACTTACAAATAGATAATTTTATCTTTCTTGCAGAGAGTCCAAGAATTTCAATTGTACTTCACATTCTAGGAACTATGCGAACATCCTCTGAGGTGCACTAAAATGGGCGAGACAAAGGCGACTAGAGACATAATACAACGTGCTTTTTGAGATAGTTGATCGTAAAGTTTCATTCAATAAAAAATATTCACGATGAACTTTGCAATTCATAAAACTGGACGTGAGAAAACTTTCGGTCAATGTCTCGTGGAGCTCTTTATCATAATCGGTGTTTTTTGTTACTTATTTTGTTTATTTAATTTTCCTGAGCAAACAATAAATTTATACATAAAACAACTTTAATAAAGGAACACGATATCAAATCTGTATTTCTACAAAGTTATCAAATTCACAGAGTTACTCTGCATTGTCTTTATTCTACAGCATTGTAGCCGCTCTTGCAGCCTCTGTTGCGTTTGGGATGAGAATTCTTGGAACAGGACATTTGTTCTTCACGTCTCATTAATCACACTTTAACGCGATGTCATCAGTCATAGCAAATGATTGCACTGATCACTTCACGCTCGTCTTGCAGTCCAAACATTGCACTCCAGCGCTGGCTCACAGAAAGTGGGTGTCTCCTCTGCAATTAAGTACCTTTCGTGCTTCATGCTCGAAATGATTGAATGTGTTCCAATATTTTCCCGCTCAGCGCACTTTTATTATACTCTCACGCTTTTTATGCTTCTCGTGGTCGGAATTTGTCACCGATTTAGCGAGTAAAGTGGCCGTAAAATTGATGCAATGGCGAGGAGAGTGTTTAGAAGCAAAACGAGGCGTGTGTTTCTCACTAAGAAAAAAATACTTCCGAGAAGTATATCGTAAGACTTGCATTGCCAAGAATATAAATGAAATTAGAGAGATGAATTTATGCTCTTTTCTGGATATCTCTGACATTTATGGGTAATTTGAAAATTGCACAATGAATCCCCGGGAGCCAGAAGGGGTGGAAGACCATGAAGTCGTTCGGAATCAGTGCAATATGTCGAGAGAGTTACTTTTTCGCAAAAGTCTTCCGCATGGTGTAACAATCCTTGTGAAAGAAAACGTGAAAAAAACGATTAGTCTATGGAGAAACGTGTTCCCATAACACTTGTTAATCTGCATAAAACATCCCGTAAATGGACTTTCAGATCGTTAATATTAATATCATATTTGTGTGGTGAAGAGAAACACGGTTCTCCTTCGACTGTCATTTTGGCGACACTTTTGCTGTTTAATAGAGTCACCTCAGCTTTAACTGAACTGGCAGAGAGCTCGTGAGATCCTCGTCTTGTCCACGCGTCGCGTTTTGTAATCACGAAACATCAGAGACAGGCTATAAATTCCCGACGTGGAATCCGATTGAGGAATCTGTCTAATGAGCAATCGACCCACGCATGAAGAATCGCTTGAAAGACTCGATGAACAATGAGTTTCCGCGGAAAATAAATCAGCCGGGAAGTTTTGGTGTGTCTGGTCA